CAACCCCAACCCCAACCCCAACCCCAACCCCAACCCCAACCCCAACCCCAACCCCAACCCCAACCCCAACCCCAACCCCAACCCCAACCCCAACCCCAACCCCAACCCCAACCCCAACCCCAACCCCAACCCCAACCCCAACCCCAACCCCAACCCCAACCCCAACCCCAACCCCAACCCCAACCCCAACCCCAACCCCAACCCCAACCCCAACCCCAACCCCAACCCCAACCCCAACCCCAACCCCAACCCCAACCCCAACCCCAACCCCAAACCCCAACCCCAACCCCAACCCCAACCCCAACCCCCTAATTTAATAATTAATTGTTGAAATAAAACAAAACTGTTGAAACTTGTAAAAGAAAATTTTTTAAAATATCAGGAATGATATTTTATCAGTAATTAAAAATCCAAAATAGAAATTATATTGAGAAAATTGGCTTTAAAATTAACAAAAAAATTTTGAATTTGAAGAGAAAGTTTTGTTTGCTTTTTCAAAAACTAATTAAAATAAAGAAATAGATAAACAAACAAACAATTATCAAAATTTACCAAAAATAAATAATAATATCTAAAATATATTCAAAGATATTTATTAAATTTAGAAAATGAGCAATAACTAAAATTAAAAATCAAGTAATAGTGATTTTTATTACAACGATCTACTCAATTAAAATTTGTAACCAGCTAATGATGATTAAGAAAAATATGAAGACAACGTGATAAAATTTTCTGATGCAAGCGAGTCAAAGAAGAATAAATGCATGCAAAAACTAAAATCTATTATGAACAATGAAAAATTTATATTAGTTATATCTAAGTTAGTTGTTTTGCTGACTGGTATGGTAGGACCTCTATTTTTATTTATTCAAGATAGTGAACTTTCAGAGTATTAAACATTTTTTGGATATCAGTAATTGGATAGAAATGATTATCCTTTTTAGAAAGTATTTTTTAGATATCTGATATTAGTTGCTTTCCTTTACTATAAACAGTTAAAAGAAAAATAACCAAAAAACTCACGAGATTTCATAAGCGGATAGGAAACAACATAATACTCTCTTAAAGAGCATGCCTTTTTAGGATTGTTAGATTTTGTGTAAGTTTAGTGTTTTGTTTTCAGTTTAGGATATACTTCAGTATTGAGAGCTTATCTTTTTAGTGGCATTTAATTAGCCATTTTGCTTTTACTTAAAAAGAAAGAGGGAGCTTAAATTTACACTTCAGAATATGTTGCTTTTTTTATGGCTTTGGCAGCTAAAATTTCTATTGCTTCAATAAGAGTTAACTAATTAAACAAAGAAGAAAGCCTCTTTTATGGTGATTTTGTTGCTTTAATAGGTGGATTTATAGGCTCTCAAGCATATTTTAGAACAGATTTTAAATAAAAAGATTATTACAATTTCTTATATCAAAATCACTCATTTTCTTTAGGATACTCGCTAATTTTCGTAATTCTTTTTGACACCTCTGGATTTTTAATAGATTTCGATAATATTTAGAATTTATTGATGCTTCTTTTGATAGGATGTATAGAGTGTATAGCTACTATAAAAAAAATAAAGACCTTCGTCTTTATGAGATACTTTAAAAATATATTTGAGCCATTTGTAGGATTTAAATTTGAGTATTTGTTTGGATTGCCATTTTTAGACACTTGGACAATATTAATTATATTTGGTGTTCTTTATGTTCCAGCTAATTTCATAATGCTTTCTAAGCATGCTTCAGATATTAGAAATAACACTAGACACAGAGATTCAACTTTTGTAGATGTATTAAACTTTGAAGAGTATATAGAGATGAAGGAGATTCATTCTCCAGAGCCTATTAACAAGAGTAAAAGTAACTAAAAAAGTTGATTCAATTTAAATTCAAATGAAAAAAATAAATAAAGCCATAATTAGAAAAATTAGTAAAGGCATACATATATACTTTGCAAATGTAGTGATGAAAATAAACAATATAATTAATATTAATTAATATTTTAAACAAAAATTGTACTTCAAATAAAAATATATTATTAATAATGTAGGAAAATAATTGTGTTTAAATAATTTTATCTTAAAACTAACTTTCTCTCTTCTTTGTAAAATCTATCACAAAGATTTTCTATGTTTTTTGTAATTTATTCTTAAATCTTTTATATTAGCAAGTTCAACATGTTTATTAAATTTGTGTTGTCTATGGTTGGAGGTTAGGAGTGAAATGAGGCATTCTCTAATAAGGAGCTTCAAATGTAATATGAGGTACATAAAGAGGCTCTACATTAAAGTTTTGATAATCTTCGAAAGATTGGTTTTGAAACCAATCGTGATTCATTAAATCTTGGAACCCATCCTCACTTCCTAGCCTCTTTTTAGGATCTTTTTGGAGAAGCTGAATTAATTTTAATAAATTTAAGTTATTCAACAATAAAATTTTTAATAAAAAGTTTACCTATTTTATTAGTTGCTAGCAAGGATAAGATATATTCAAAAAAGATGGGAATTCTAATTCATCTTCTAAAATTAATTTATATTATAATTCTAAATTTTCACTATAAAAAGGAGGAACGCCTGTTAAAAGTTCATATAAAAGAACACCAAAACACCAATAATCGCTTAATTTTGAGTAATCTTCTCCTTTTAAAACCTCAGGGGCTAAGATTTTAATTATAAATATTTTTAAATAAGTTTATTCTAAAAATTATTCATAAATTTAATTATTTTCTAGTTATAATAAATAAATATTATGTTTATTATCTATTTATTTTTCTTTTGGTGATGAAATGATTTGCTCATATTATAAAAAATATTTAATAATGTTTCAAATTTAATAATTAAATTTCATTTTAAAAAATTAATTAATGAAAATTATTTATTTATGAATGATTATTTTGTTAAATGTATGGCTTAATTTTATAATTTTCAACTAAGAAGAACAAAAATATTTAATTTTAGAAACACTTTTTTTAAAATTAAAAACCTCTTTCAAATGAAATTTTTTTTTCTTTAATGTTTATTTTAATAATTAATTACCAGTATAGCATGTAATAATAGTATCAGGTGGTTAGTGATCGTCTTACAATATGTTAAAACGGGCATTTCCAAAATCTGTTAAAAATACATGCCCTTTATCATTGATAAGAATATTTTCTGGAATTAAATCTTTATATACTACTCCTCTAGAATGGAATTCTTCAAGAGCTAGACATATTTCTACAGCAAAGAATCTTACTCTTTTATTAAAATTAGTAAATTCTAAATTATTCAAAAATAAATTTACTAATCTTCAGTGAATTTATTATTTTTACTAAGATGCATCTACAAATCTCCTTTACTAAAAATAAAAAAACATTTTAATTATTATTATATATAATCAAAATGCATTTTACTTAAAATATGGCATCAAAAAGAAAAGGTTTCCATTATCTTCACTTGTATATAATAATTAAATTAGAAAAGGACAGTTTTTAGGCTATTTTTAAAAGATAATTTAGAATTCATTTATTTATTAAAAATTAAATTGATTACCAATTTAAGTTTATAGCTGTTATCTTTTATTTGCAGTTGTATTTTTTCAGATATTTTACAGTCAGAAGCCTTTATTTCTTTTAGAGCAAATTTGTTTGTAGATTTTTCACCATATTTTACTAAATAAACCTTAATATTAATTGTTAATAAGAAATTTAATGAATAAATAGACAATATTTAATTTAGTACTTTAGACTTTTCAGATTCACTGATAAGACCTAGTTTAGTGAGTTTATCTAAATTGAATAAAATTTCAGATGAATGCACATTTTCTTACTTGATTTCTTCTTCTGGAAGAAATAATATTGTTTTTTTCTAAATAAATTAATATAGAGTAAGTTTAAAGAGTAAGTATCGACTTTAAAATGAAAAAATACTCCTTATTTTTCATGAACAGGCATATTATTTTTATTGTTTTTCTTAATTTCACGAGTTGTTACAAACCTGTCTAGAGATTTTTCTTACTAATAAAATCATATTATTGAGTTATTTATAAGTATTAATAAATAATTTATTAAATACCATAATAAAACAAGTGATTCTTTCTTTCTTCTTCTAGTAATATACTTTCACTAAAGTATCAAATACAATAGTTTTACTAAGATTTCCAGTAAAAAATATAATTAATTAATAAGCGCTCATGACAAAAATGCAATCAATTTATTTACTATTAACATTCTATTTACCAATCACTTTCGTCTATATTTTGATGAAAGTGAATAACTATTTAATTTGAGTTTTCGCTTGTTGTAAATGCACAAATATTCTTAATTAGCTATCTCTTTTTAATTACTTTTTGAATTAATTTTTAAGAAGTGATATTTATTTTTAAAATAATGTATGATTGAATATATAAATACCTTCATCTCTAGATCTGTCGCCTCTTGGATTATTTGTTAAAATACGTAGTTTGCTTTCAGTTATCATGAGACATCTTTCTTTTTTCTTTTTTGCTAAGAACTTGTGAGGATAAAAGAAAATTTTAAAGGTAGCTATTTCCATTTCTAATCATTATTATGAATAATAACTTGATTAAAAATTTTAATATTCAAATCAATTTAAACAAACCTTTATCGTTAGGAAGCTAATGCTATCTAAATAATCTTCTCAAATCTGAAGATATTTGCATGTCCATTTTTAATTATTTGTAATAAATATGTTTTAAAATTCTAAATACTATATTATACTAATTTATTAAAAAAAACTATCTATGTATGGAAATATTACTTAATAAGATTATTCAATTATTATCAGAGTATTATCAGATATTATTACTTATTACTATAAATACAAAAATTTCAATTAAAAAAAACTTTCTACATACAAACAGAATATTATTTATTGCATCAAAAACTTAAAATATTTTATGAGGAATAAAAAAAAGAATTGCTAAAAACTTATTTTTTAATTTTTTAAATGAAAAATAGGAATTAATATTAAAAGTCAAATAAAAAATTAATTTATAAACTAATTTAAGCCTTTTTAATTTAATCAGCATTTTAGGAATATACAAAATACTTTTAAATCTATATATCGTAATTACTCTAACATAAGACACTTCTAATTTAAAATAGTCTTCTTTTTAAGAATTTGGTTTTTCTATTTTTTTATTAATATTTTATATGCTCTTAAGCAATAAATAAATATAGTATAGGGTAAATTTATTTAGTAAAAATTTAGAAAAAAAGTATAAGATGATGCAAATTATTTAAATTTAAAATCTTGCTTAGATTTTTTTGGTAACAAATTTAATTTTTAAAAATAAAATAACAAATTTACATTTTTAATTTCAGTTAATTAAGAATTTTTAAAATTTGATTAAAATATTTCTTGTGTAGCATTTGAAACTTTTGTTGTTAATTAAATTTTAAGACAATATTTAAATGTTTTGTTTATCAAAATACTTATTTTATTTATCTTCAGCTTTTGTTATACAAAAATATATTTATATATTTAAGTAATAAAAATTATCAAATCGTACAGAATGTTTTTAATAATATAAATAACCAGTTAACAAAGTTTATCAAAAAAAAATTAAAATTCATTTTATTTATTTATCTATTTGCTCTTTTATTTTTTAATCAGTTTATTTATTTATTTGTTTGATTTTTGATAAAAATTAGCTTATGTTTCCATAATATATGTATGCCAAAATATATCCTTCTATCGGTTGAACTATGAGTCGTAAAGTATTCTAAGTAAGTTTGGAGATGGTTTAAGTTTTGAAAATTTATCATTTATAAAAATTAATTAAAATTGTTAAGTTCTTGAAGTAAAAGTTGAAATTTTTCGATAATAAATAAAAATGAATTTAAATGAATTCAAATATAACTTTTGGTTAAAAAGTAGAAAGAAATCTACCTACCCTAAGTCATTAAATAGCAGTTGTCACATTAACAAGCAAGGAAATATATTATTACTACATTGCTCTGGGCCATAAAAGTTAGTTCAGATAGTGATTAATTCGTAGAGTTTTCAAATTGAGTAGAAGATAACATTGAATACAGATGATTGCACAAATTTAGATACAACATTCCTGCATAAATAATCATTTTATGTGAATAATAGAGTTTACTTTATTCAAAACTCCATTCCTAAAGAATTGAATCATATATATTGTGCTGACTTTGACTTAAAAAAGCTTTTTCCAATTAAAAATATAGACACAAAACCATCAACTTTTAGAATCAATTATTCAGCAACATTGTTCTAATTTAAGATTTATATGTTTGGTGGACTTAACGAAAATAATCAGCCAACAAACGCATTTGATACATTCGACATTAGCACATATAAATGGGAAAAAGTTTTAACATAAGGGAAAGTTCCAGCTCCACGTCATTCTCACTGTGCTGAAATAGTGTCTGAACATTTAGTTATTATAGGTGGTACTAAATCCAACGATCTATTCGATAGAGAATGCTTTCATTCAGAGTTACATATCCTTGATTTAAATACTCTTATATGGACATAGATACCACAAGATGTAAAATGTTTATTTTTTAGAATAGATTAGACGTTTGAACATGAACCTAAAAAAATTAATTCATTTCGTTGTTAGTAGAAATTAATATTTGAATGTCAAAAGAAAAAAATAAATAAATAAATAAATTAAATTGCAAAATTTTAAACAAATGTTTATTTAAATTAGGGGGCAATTCCAAAGTATATGTCTTATGGGTATAGCTTCAAGATAGATGAAAATAGTATAATTTTTTTATGGAATGACAGAGCAAATGATAATTATGTTATTGAGAGTAGTGTGTTAGATTTTTAGACAAAGAAGTGGAATAGTCTTCCAATACTATCTCAAAAACCAGAGCATAGATACTCAGCAGCTACTTGCTACAATGAATTAACAAAGTAAATAATTATTTTTGGAGGGTTTTCCTTCACTCAAAACGAAATGAATTGTATATCGAATGATCTCGATTAGCTGAGTCTTTTCAAAGAAGAAGACGAAGAACTTTTTTCCCAATTAGAACTCTATGGAGGAACAAAATATCTAGATTAGTTGGAATAAGCTCCCCCACAGTTACCTGAAAAAATAAAAGATAGATTTTGTAATTTAAAACTCTTTTTTGGCATCAAGCATATAATTAATTTTAAAATATAAAATAAACAGTGGATGAAGACATTGAGGATATATCATTTGAAAAACTGTTAGAAATAGAAAAAAAGGCTGAAGAAGAAGAAAAACTAAAGCTTAACACTTCGAGCAGCAGCAGTATAACTGAAAATGAATCACAAAGAGAAAATTCTAAGCCTAAAAGTAAACCCAAGCCCTAAACATAAGCAGCTAAAAAGAAAAAGAAACCTAGCAAGAAATGATTTTTGATAATTTATTTATTTTAAAAATAATTTTGTTAAATAATTAGTTAATTAATTAAATATATTTTTGAGTTATGTTATTTATAATTATTATAAATGCACCACAATATCAAATGAAAAATTATTTAATTAAATGAAAAATCATAATTTTGAATTGTTTGTTTTACATTAAAAAAAGAACTATTAATTTATATCTTGCATGTTTCATTTTTTTTTATTTAACAGCAAACAAATATTTGCTATCAAAATTTTTAATACAGTTTAAAAACTTGGAATTTTTGAATTAAACTATAGAGGATTGACATTAGTATTATAGAAAGAATATGGATAAAATGAAGGAAAGTTTTATGTCTGTTAAAAATTTTTTTGATTTATTTGATAAAATTACTATTAAATCTATAATGTAATTTATATAAGATTTAGAAAATTTAATAAAAATAAAAACAGTATTAAAGAAAATTTTAATTAAATAAAATATTTTAAATTTAATTTTTATTTTATAGTAAGTATTTTTATTATATTGATATTATATTTACATTTGTAGCAATTTTAGTTAAGACTAGTGAGTTTATTTTAATTAGCTGAGCTAAATAATTAATTACTTGACATGAAAATCAAAAATAATTCGGAAATTAATCAAACATAAATGAATGAATTTAAAGTTTAAGATATATAATATTTTTTGTAATTATAAATGAAGAATCAATCGATCTAAGGAAAATAGAAAGATAAACAAAGAAACAAACAAACGAATGATATAAAAAGTGAGTAAATATTGAGTGCAATTAAATCGCAATATTAAGAATAAGTAATTAATTCTACTTTACCATGAGAAATCTTTTATCTATTCCCAAAATTAAGTAAAAGTCTGTTAAATATTTTTTATTATATAATTTTAATTCAATAGAGACTTGCTATTAAACAGTTTTTTTATAGTAATTTGTTTTATATTAAGGACAAGATTTGTTGCAAAGTGTAAGGCAAGTGAATTAAATTAGAAGGATGTGTTTGTAGACTACTTTTAGCAAAGTCTACTAACTAACTACAACTTCGTAACTCAACTCATTCATCATCTTCATCGTCATCATCCTCCTCATCATCATCATCTTCACGCTCATTATTTTTCTATTTTTTTTATTACTGTGAGCTTTCATAGTCTTAACTTTAGTCGTCATTTTAAATGTTAGTATTTTGTTAGCTTTATTGTTATGTAGTACTAAATGATTAAAAGATATTTTAAAAATAAATTGTATAGTTAAGCAACTACTTATTTATTTATTTTTAGTGAATTACATATTTATTTGGCTGATAACTTATTTTATGTCTGCTTCGGGATGTTTAATCTTTACATGCTATATCAAAGAGTTTTCAGATCTGTTTTTGTGTGTAAAAATATTTTATTAAATTTGAATGAAGGTAGAATTGTTTCGATTAGATTAGAGAGTTAAATAAAATATACCCATAACTTTTTTCACAGTTCGCGACAGGACATCTGTAGTTTCTTTCAATTTGACTGGCTGCTCTTCTTATTCTTTTTTTGTCATTTGCAAAATTGCTATTGGATCCACCACCCTAAATACCATTGTTGCTTTCTTCAGCAGTTCTTCTTTTTTATGATTTCTAATATAATTTAAGAGCAATAAGATTAGGAATTATATAAGAATTTTAATATTAATTAATTTGGCTAATTAATTAATTTATTTAGTTTTTTAAAAAATATTAATTTAGTAACTTAATATTTATTAATTATTTTTATTGTTAAAAAGCGTGATTGCTATTATAAAGGTTTGTTTCCCTTTTATTTTGGATTATGTAAAAAATTAAAATTTTGCATGGTAAATAGTTGTTCATACAATCAATTAAAATTAAATACAATAAAACTAATATCTTTACCTCCAATCTTTCAATTTTATCAAGGAGTTCATTCTTTTCGTTGAGTAATTCCTTTAACTATTTATTATTTTAAAAATAAGGTATTTATTACACGTTTTTTTGTTTGTTTGTTTATTTATTTATTAATTTATTTGTCATTTTAGGTTTCCCTTTAACATCCATTTTGTTATTTATCCAATCATGGACATAACTAAAAACTTTCTAGTTAGTTAACTTTTTATTCAAGCTTTTTGGATTTAACTGCTACTTTTAAAAATTTACTGAACAAGCACTAAAAATTCAAATAATTATTGAATTACTTAGCATGTTAGGAGAACGTTAGCTAAATAAAGCTTGCAGGATTCTTAATAGTAATTTGCGTTTTCTTCAGGATTCACTATTTTTATGCAAATTTTAATATTTTAAATGTTAATTTTATTTTATTTTAAAGTTTTTAATCAGAGAGTCTAAATAAAGGGCGCCAATAAAAGGAAAACACTTTGTTATAGATCAATAAATCAATATATCTCTTAAAAGGGGCCATCTTTTATCAAATTATTTGAGTTTTTTTATTTTGAGATCATTTTTAATTTCGTCCTAGGTTTGTGGAAGAGTTTTTGATGGGCAAGTTAAAATCTTATTTTGCTTAAAAAGGCGCAATTTATTTTATTCTTAAAAAAGAGTGAAAAAATAATGGAGAATCAAGTTACTTTATTGATATTAACGATTAGCCATGTATTAATTTGAAATGAAGCGTTTACTTCTATTTGTTTTTGCTTTTAATGGGTTCTTGAGTATATATGAGAATAGGTAGTTTCTTTCCTTTCTTCTTAGTTTTTTGATTAAAGAATTATGATAATCCTGCTATTTATTAACTAGGAAACTTAGAATTTTAATTATTTATTTTTTTTAATTACAAATTTATTATAATAATGTATTCTTACATCCTTTAAAATTATATTTTTCTTTTAACTAATTTTCTTTCTTCCTATCTAAATACATTCAATTAATTTTTATTTTTTTTTAGTAAGCTATTTCTGTTTATTATGTATCATTTCTGCTTCTTTCTTATCTCCATGCTTTCTTTGCATTATATTTTACATTCATTTTTTGATTTATGAGTCCACCCATATTTTTTTTTTTAAACTTTTATTGAAATTAGCTAACATTTTTATTCATTTTTTAGCTATCGTTCAATAAAAGCTGCAATCATACAAAGCACATGTAATTTCTATTTAAATTATCATACACAAATAATTAAATTAAATAATTGTCTTATTAATTTTTTCCTAATCTCCTAATCATATTAATTATTCCATCTTTCTCATTTTTCAATCTATTGATTGAATGGACATTCTAGCCAATTATTTTTACCAAAATATTTAATTTAAAACTAATTTAAAATTTAATCAAACCATCTGCACCATTTATTTATAATCTAAATGATAAATGATTAATTAAAAAAACCCTATTTGCGCTTTCAAATTTAGATTGATTATTACAATTTAACAAATTAGATTTAAAGAAATTGTAAAGATTTCAACTTTTATGCTAAAAGATTATTAATTGGTTTGAAAATAGTGCAAATGTCTCTACAAAATTCATTAAAAAATTTGTTAATTTCTTTTTGAATTTTTCAGCTAATTAAAAATTAAATTGAGATACACTTTTTTTCAGCAAAATAATAAATTAACATTAAATTTTCATAATCAATTTATTAATTTGTTAATGTGAAAACAATAATAATAAATTTTTTTGTTTTTTGAAATTAATTGAGTTAATTTTAAATTTCGTATTTGTTTGTTTATAAATATTAAAGCAAATTAAAGAAATAAAATAATAACTTATAAAAATAATTTTTTCAATGCAAGGTTTTAATATATAGAACTATAATGAAAGAAAAATATTTTTTTTAAATTTAAGAACTTTATAGAATTGCTTAATTTGAATTGAAGAAGATTTCTTGATAACTACTACTCATTGATTCAATTATTTTACTATATACTTTGTGGTGCGATTATTAAATATTATAAAAAAAAATATATGTGCATGTTTATATGATATTTAAAGCAATGGTACTAATTTTTTGGACTTATTATCACTAAATCATATGATTTTTGATTAGTGTTAAAAAAAGTAATTTTATAAAGATAAAAGAGCTTAAAGAATCATAAATCTTTAAAATTCATAGTAAATATTAAATTTTATGCATATTTTTCAATGAAGTCTTTGAAAAAGATTATTTTTTATCTATTAAATATTAATTGTATAAATTGATTAGTGAAATTAGCTTGCTTGATAACAAAAATATCAATGAGTTCTAATTAGTTGAATAATAAGCTAATGATGCTAGTATCTAACGGAAATAATCATATAAATAGCTAAATTAATAATGCGAATATTTAGGCCTTCGAAAAAAGAAATAAAAGCACAGAAAAAATGAGGGAATAGTCAAATTCAAGGGGAGACATTTATTAAAACTAGTTAGTTAGTCCATTTTAAAATAGCATATCAAATGTAAAAATAATTATATTAATAATCTAAGAACATATTTACAAGATTGAAAAATGCAATTAAAATATAATAGAAGGCAAATTAGAGGTAAAGAAATGCATCAAGTGGAAATAAAACTTAAAATAGATCAAATCAAAACAGTCAATAGGTTATACAATTTAACCATTTGAGAGCTAACAGCCGTACATTTATTTTAACAAAAATTATATAATAAATATTCGATTCAAAACAATATTTTTTAATTACTAAAAATGATATTTGAATAGAAACATAGCACCAATTTTACAAGTATCTTTATTTGTTAAATTAATATATCTTTATTTTTGATTAGACAATGATATGCAGCATGCTAGAAAGACTCTAAATTCAAATGCAATGTAGAATTATAGTTCTAAAAGTCCCATAGTCTTAGATAGTTAAGTATTCAATATTTAGCAGAGGAATGAATTTCAAGATGATATTAAAAGAGTGATGAATGGTTAAATAAATACAAATTTAGGATAAACGAGCAATGGACTTGCAAATGGCTAGAAAAATATTAAAAAAACTTATTAGCAAATTAAAGGAAATATGCAGATCAGTAATAACAATAGTATGAATGGTAATGGAAATAACGCAACATCAACGAGTTCATAAATGCAACAATAAAATATGGCTAATCAATATTAAAATTAGCAAAATCATTCCTAAAATACATCATAAAATTAAAATAATATCTTATCGTTGCTAAATGAATATGCAAATCAAAGTTAGTAAAACTCGTAAAATTAGTAAATTAGTAATAATAATGGTAACTCCTTTCATGCTATAAATAGTAACTAAGCATAAGAAAATGCAACAAATTCAGAAATAAAAAATAGTCAGAAAGCTCAAATAAATTCTTAAGTTGATTTAAATGATATGAAAAAATCATTGAGTGACATTAAACTGCCTAAACTCTCTTCATAACTCAAAAAATAATTGTAAATATCTCAAAAATGCAACAAAATTTATTTTATTTTTAATGATTAAATAATTAATTTATAAAATATTTAGGAAACCTGGAGTGATTTAGAATGAATAGCCAAGAAGCTAATCAACTTAGCCATAGAGGGAATAATATTAAAATATAAGTAAAAGCAAAAATAATGAAATATAGAATGGAAATATTATCATGCAAACAGAAGCTAGTGCTTTGTAAAATGAAAGTGTTGGAAGCTCTTAGATTTTGAATAAGATTTCTCAAACTTATGACATTTAGTAGAAAATGATCACTGATATTGAAAATATTGATTATTAAAATGGTAAAGTCTATGGTTACTAAAAGTAAGCTTAATAGTAAATGATGTCTCATCAGCTAAATGCAGATACTTTATAAAATAATTAAAAAAGACCAACTTAATCAGCAATATATAAACAACTTTAGTAATCTAAATATAATAATAGGTAGGGCGAAAACAATAGCTAAACTCATTAAAATATTCTGAAGCAATCGTTCTAAATATCTCTACCAGTTAAAATGCAAATAGAGAAACAATTGTAGTAGTAAAAATAATCTTCAACAATACAGGCTAACGAAAATAGAAATGGAAAAACCAATGAATTAAACGAAGAAAAACAAAACACAATCGAAATTGTAGGTTTAAATTAATAATAAAAATAACTTATTTAGAAAAATAAATCAAACTTAGTTGCATAAAGTGTAGATGCAAATTTCAAAAATTACTTGAAAAACAGTAAGAAGAAAAATATTACTCCTGATCCAATGAGAATGTCAGTAGACTCCATTTATAGTAACTTAAACGCAGCTAAAATATAAAGTGAAAATGAACATATTGATGCAAAAACGTTGTAAAGCACATTAAATTAATTTAGAGTGAGGAGCTAAACACCTAACAGTAACATCAGGAGTACAAATCAAAATTAACCAACCAACGCAAAAAAAACTCACACACCCATAAGCAGTAGCTATTAGCAAAATGATTTCAACTCTGCTATGAACAACGCCTATAATATGGCTAATTAAAACACAAACGAGAACATCAACTAAAATAATCAAAAGTAATAAAAATAACAATCAAACTCTAACATAAAACAAAATTAATATTCATACACAAACAATTCAACTATTAATTAAATGAACAATCAATAAGCATAACAGTAGAAATAACAACAATAATAAAATTAATATTAATAATAGCAACAACAATAATTTTAGTAATAACAATAATAATAGTAATAATATCATCAATAACAGTAGCCTGTATAGTAAATAAACAATTATGAATATAACTTAAACTTTAATTCTATTCCTGATAACTAAAATTTTAGGCATAAAACTCCCATAAAGCTAAAGCTAAACAATAATAGTCTGATTAAAATTTAAAAAGTTCCAATAACTGATTAAAAAGAATACCTTGAAAATCAAAACTTAATGAACTCAAAGTTAGCATCTTAAGCAAATAATAACAGCAGTAATTTCCAGAATGCAAATGATAAATCTTCTTCGAGACAAAGTGATAGCACAAACGAGGACATTTAAGGAAGTAAGAGTAAATTGCAAAAGAATAATTATATAGCAGAACCAGAAAATAATCAAAGTTAGCAAGGACAAGAAAACAATAGCTCATAAAGAAATTCATAAACAAACTAAAATAAATTTTAAATTAATTTTTAAAAAACTCCAGATTAACAACAAAGGAAGGGTTAAGTTATTTCCTTGTAGCAGTCATAGCAATAGCAATATTAGCAAATTTAAAAGTAGACCTTATAAAATGTTCTGAATAAAAAATTTGACAACACTTCTCAAAATAAAAATCCAATAAGAAAATATTAGCATAAAACAAAAGCAGGATGTAATTATAATGGTCCTAAAACAAACTAGGATAACTTTATAATTTACACAAATCTAAACAATAAATAGGACAGATATATTTTTGCTGTTTGCGATGGTCATGGAGTATATGGCCATCTCTGCTCTTCCTTCATCAGAAGAATACTTCCTAGTAATTAATTAGATTTCAAATACATTTATTGATTCTAAATTAATTTATTTATTTGAAGCTTTATAATTTGAATTAACCAAACACATTTTTTTTTGGAAAATAATTTAAATTTAAAATATTTTAATAGAAAAAATAGAGGAGGCACTTGCAAGAGAAATAAATAATTTAGAGAATGATTTCATTGAGAATTCTTTAAATTTAGCATTTTTATAGTGTAGCAAAGAATTGTTAGAATCAAATATCGATTGCACTTTTAGTGGTTCTACTTGTGTCTTGCTTCTCATTATAGGTAACAAACAAACTATTAAATCGTAATCCTATATTTTTAATATATATTATTTATTTATTAGGAAATAAAATATGGAGTGCAAATGCAGGTGATTCAAGAGCTATTATATGCTCTTCATACGATAAATAAAATTGGGATTTAAAACCCTTATCAAGAGACCATAAGCCAGATGACCCTGAAGAATATAAACGTATAATGTAAAGAGGAGGTAGAGTAGAAACATATCGCGATGAATATAATAACCCTCTTGGGCCATATAGAGTTTGGTTAAGAGATGAAAATATACCAGGACTTGCTATGGCTCGTTCTTTTGGAGATGTTATAGCCTCATAGGTAGGTGTCACTTGTGAGCCTGGTAACTATTTTATTTAATAAAATGTATTAGTTCATTTGATCTAAATCTTTTCATATTTTTATTATAGAAGTACTACCCTTTGAGATTTAAGAAAGCGACAGATTTATTATTTTAGCTTCAGATGGTGTTTGGGAATTTATAAGTAACGAAGACGTTATGAATCATGTAATTCCTTATTATAAATTGGATGATACTGAGTAAGGATGCCAAAAATTAGTAAAAGAGTCAACAACCCAGTGGAAATTAGTAATTTTTCTAAAATGAATTATAATTTTTGTAGCTTAATTAAAAATTTTATTTTAGAATGACGAAGTTGTAGATGATATTACTTGTATTTTGATCTTTTTAAGCTGAAAAAACTGAATCAAAAATTTGTTAAAGAAATTAAATATATAGACAGAATCAATGAATCTTTTTGAGTTATGTTTGAATTTTTCCATAAAACTATTAACAAAAATAAAAAATTAAGTAAATAGGTAAGTAAGTAGTAAATAAATAAATAAATAAATAAATAAATAAATAAATAAATAAATAAATAAATAAATAAATATAAATTAAATTTAATCAAAAATAAGAGAATAAAGAATGAATAATAAATTTTTATGTATATATTATTTTTAAATATAATTTTGTTTTATATTTTTGTAAAATCAATATGGTAAACGAAGTTGCAGTAGTATTATGTTTCAAAGAGTCTTGAAGTATATTTTAAGAACATAATCTGTCATTTATATAATATATAAACAATAAACTTGTTAGCATATCCAAACAAATATAAGGATGTTTAAGATAATTTTAAATATTTATTTTAATTATATGTAATACCTATATAGTTTATTATTTGTGCTGATTTTTTAATTATATTAGCAAATATTGCAATAGTAGGATAATTAGTTTTTTAGTAGGTAATAAATATAGAGTATTATAATAAAAATTATTTTAAAAATTTAAAGAAAATAAGAAACAAAAAATGTAAAACCTCAAATTGATTTTTTTAATCCTCCTTATTTATGTATAAAACAACTCATTTGTAACTAAATATTTTTACATTTTATTATATTTTATATATGTAAGCATTTATGTAATTTATTATCAGAGATTTTGTGAATTTAGCTGATATATTTTATAATCAAAAAAATATGATTAAGAAATATTTTGCAATAGATATCAAATTATAAATTTATGATAGATATACTAATTAATTATTTATTTATTTATTTTTTGAATTTCAGATTCTTTTGTAGGGCAAGCTTGTTTGAGGTCTTTAATTGATGTTTTTTACTGATTAGCTAAATAGGGGTAAATTTAATTATGAGCTTTGCTAGTTTACTAGATTTTTTACTTTAAATGGATAGTGTGTAGGGTTATTAACATTATTAGAAAATCTATGAATATTATCTAATTCATCTGTTTAAGTATCAATATGCTATCTATCATAATATTTATTACTCGAGAGTTTTATATTTTATTATTACTGTGCTTTATTCATTTACTTCAACTATCTTATATTCACCTATTTTCCTAACTATTATTATAAACAAAAATAAATTATCAAAAATTATTTGATGGTTTGTAAAATATTACATCATTGATTAGAGGCTACTAAAACAGTCCCTTGATATTTCCATTTTATGCTTGGCCTTGTATTTAAGGAGATTATTATTCTGTTATTAACTTAGTACGCTATTATAAAGTGTAGAAGGAGCTATTCTTAATTTAACTGGAAGGTCTATGGAAAGCATTATTACATATATAATCAGAGAACTGTACATCATCTAAAGGCCCGTTGATCATTTAATACTGATTTTTGCTGGTATAAGGAGCCAAGCCTGTTTATTTATTTTTATATTAGTTAGAAAGATTCCCTTAAGCAAGTTATTGCTCATTTCTAACAGTTTATGCTGAACCTACTCTTTTAAGAGTGAGAACTTCCTTTATATCTAAATTTATATTAACTGGACGTGCAAGATTGCTTGTTTAAGGTCTCTTGGGCTTTTTTTCAGATAGAATACTTACATTATCAATAGAATAATTAAAGTCATGAATTTGATTGAATTGCTAATTCAGAGTTTCCACTTCTTTTAACTTGTGCTTATTTTAATTGTTAGCACTCTACTTCCTTACAGCTGCAGCTGAAAAGAATCTTTAATTAGCCGTGTTTTAACCAAATGATTGCTTATTTTTATTTAATTAAATTTATCTTTTTTCATGTTATTATTTTTAGTAGTCATTAATAACTTAATTCTCTTACTATTCAAATTAATTAACTTAATCAATTTTTTCTAATTAATTAGGTTCTGGATATTCTTCAATACTTTAATCTTAATTTGTTAGTTTTTAATCTAAAATATTTTATTAGTATTACATATATTACATAGATCTATTAGAGCCACTCATATTTAGATTTTCTTTCTCAATTTAATTTTCATTTTATATCTTTAATTGCTACAAAAACTATTAATCATATTATAATTATTCCTCCTGATTTTATTATTACTAACTTTAAAAATCTTATTATTATTATTATTCAAGGATTATCTAATCTTCTATTTAATTATGCTCTTAAGAGTGATTTTAAATCTATTATGAACTGTTATTTTCTTCTGCTTACAAAGATTCTTCGTTTTCTTCTTTTACATTATATACATTTTCAGGTTCTTTATTTTATTAATGAAAATTATTTTTAGCTGACTAAGGTCTCTAAAAAGAATCTATATTTATAGAATTCTACTATTCGTCTTATAATTATTCTTCTTGAAACTGCTCCTCTTGCTAAATTAGGTTATTTATGATAAGTGGATTACCTTAATTAAAGAAATTAGATTAGTTGTAGTTCGACTAAATGTTGTTATTTTCATATTAATAATTTTAATCAACTACATCATTTCCCTATGAATCTTATTGGTAGTTATTGAAGTTCTAAATTGGCTAGAAGTGAATTGCATTTTATTAAAAATTTTGACTATTTTTATAAGGTTATTATTCATAATAGTTGTTAGTATAATTCATCACATTGATTTATTGATCTTCTTATTACTTTAGCTGGCTGTATTTTTCCATTAAAATATCGTAAGGACTGATTTTACTCCCTACAGACATTTCTTTAAATTTCATTTTGCTTTCCAAATCATTTCCTTTCATTTTTTGAATTAAATTAGAATTTTGTAATCCTATTTTCCTACCTGGAAACGCTTTGCTGAATTTCGCACTCTGAACAGTTAAATTCAAAACTTTATTGACATATAATTATTCACCTATTGTTAAAAATTGCATCTTGCATTTAATTTATATTAAAAAACTAAAAAATTTCTACCGCATTCACATTTCCATTCTAAAAGTTTGTGTTACTAAAGAGAAGATTTAGGTCTTTCTCCAGGCTTGTAAAATTATTTCATAATAATGGCTGTATTTGGCCTTTTTTTAAAATCGCCATTCATGTTATGTTGCTATTTCTGCTAATATTAAATATGATGGAAATGATGATCCATTTCTAACAACCTATTTCGATATTTGTTTAATTTTGATAAAAAAAGAAAAAGCCTAAAAAGGAAACAATCAAACAATATTATTGTATTGGTCTTTTTAGTTATAATAACAAATGCAAAGATATTAATAAAATCTAAAGAGTTTGAAAAAAACACTGGTTTTACTTATTTTAGTAAAACTGATTATAATCCTAAATTTTCCAAACAAATTATTTGATATTATTGATTGACTGATATATCTAGATATTTAAGAGAATATATTAAATTAAGGAGTGTTTGTATGTTGGAGATAGATTAAATTTTAAAAATAGTAAATAAATTTGAAAGTTGAAAATAATAGTTAGTTATTTTGTTCCTAAGCATTTAATTATTAACATATTTTTTTAATTTGAATTTGAGCGTTAACTTTGCATTGCTAGCAAAACAACAGCAAAAATTCAGGAATTTTAAAACTTAGTCATAATTTGACTTTATCAAAATTATAAAAGTCTTCTTAATAAATTATAATATAATGTATTAGGTATTGATATATTTCTTTGGCATAAATAGTAGTATTTAAAAGCAAGAATAAAATAGAAGTAAATTAGTTTCAATAATTCAACTCGGAATGTTAATAATTGCTTATTTTTAGTTTATAGTTTATTCGTTAAATCAGAGTAAGCAAATTTTTTTTTTTAAATGTTATTGTTTTCTAATTATTTGGAAAATAAAAATTAACAGTATAGAATAGATTTACTTGATATTTAAATAGATTATTTCTTTCTCTTAATTATTTATTCTATTTATAATGCATAAAATGATTGCCGCTCCAAAAAAATTTAGAAATATTTTATTAAAAACGCTGTACAATCAGGAAGAATATAAATTAAATTAATTATTTGAAATTTTTAGAAGTAATAATAGAAAATTCATTTAAAATATACTAAATAAATTTCATATTTGGAATATTTGTTGTTTATTTTCTTAAAATTATTTATTTCTCTCTTGAATTTTTTAAATATTTTCAATTTATCACTAAATCCTGCTATCCTTTAAATTTTGAAGTACGATTTAGTGATACGAAACTATTTTTTAACTTAAAATAAAAATAAAAATCACATTGAAAATTGTGTAAATTTATTTTTCGTTTTTATATTTTTAGGAGTTTTTATTAATAATTTTTAAGATAAGAAGGGATTATTTGTTTGTTTGTTTGTTTATTTATTTAATTTTCAGTGTAGAGAAAACAAACAATATTTTTTGATATATTAAAAATAAACATAAAAAGACTTTAAAGAGCTTCTTAAGTAAGATTTATGATGCAGATAACAAACATAACTGAGATTAAATTTACAGTTAGAGTTTATTATGTAAATAATGAAGATATTTATAAATAATCTATTTTTTTGATGCTTTTATTTTGTAGAAGTGAAGAAAATTTTTCAGTTTTAATCGACTTATTTTTGAAATTTCATCAATATATCTACAGTAATACTTTTATTTAACAAATTTGGTCAAATTATTACAGATGACTTCTTTATTTGACTTCAAAAAATCACAAATTTTTTCTTAACCTAAAAATTGAATATTAATTCCTAAATTAGTAAAGAAATTAAATAATAAAAAAGGAATAGTTTCATAACAATTTATTTTTAGATTGAATTTTTCTTTGTAAATAATAAAAAAATTAATGATTCAGTCATTCATTCGCGGTGGCACTTATATTTTAAACAAAGCAAAATATCAAATTAACTTTTGAAATAACACAGATTTACTAATCAAATTTATCATTATCATTATTTTTTTTTTTTTGTTTGTAAGAGAGGGAGTAAAAAAAGTAAACGAAAAATTAATGAGAGATTCCATATAATTGGATTAATATGTATTCTAACCTTTAGTCAAAGGCTCTAATTCATAAATCTCTATATTAACTCTTGATCCAGACTCCCCTCCCTTTCATACATAGAGCGCACATCTAAATTATTTTGACGATTCGCTTGATGATTTAAAGAATGAAATCGACTTCTTTTCCATCGATAGTGGAGATTATTAAAAAAACATTATCAATTATAATTTAAGCGCAATGAACACTTCAACTGGATCTCATTTCAACAAATCTTCCAATTATTCAAATCAAATCAACAAAAATAATTTATAAAGCAACTAAAATCTTCATCCGCTTCTTTTGGTAAACAGTAGAAGCGATATTTATCCACCAAACCAAAACCAAAACCTAAAGCCAAACAGTAAAAATCTTTAGACAGATCCAAATTATTTTACAAACTCTCCTTATATATAAAATAACTATGTAAATAATACTCCTTAATATATACCACAACAGATAGATGGAGGATGCCCACTTTTTGTTCTTCCTCCTCAGCTTATTTAACATGACGCAAATACTCAAAAATGCGAAAAAAGTAATTAAAACAATAGTAATAATAATCAGATTAAGTACACATAAACGTACCCAATTAAAAATCAAATACCCCAATTTTAAAAAAGTAACTCAGCAGCTTTTCCTTCAGCAGCTTAATATTCGTAATCAAGATAACTCTAATAACAATTTATCTAAGAAAAACAAAATATTTATTTACAGCATTAATTTTCACAACAACAACAACAACAATTAAATTATCATTAACAGCAACAACAATAATAATAACAATAATAACATCAACATTAATTATAGTAATAATTTTATTTTTGCCAGTAAGATGATTCATTTAATTCTTAATAATCGCCTTTGAATAGCAGCCAACCCTAAAGCGAGTCATAGTTTTTTGTGTCCCCTTAACTTATACCCATCCAAAATTTACAGAGCCCAAATCAAGGATGCAAAGCTGCTTAAAATTCTTTCGGACCTTTCTTCTAAACTAATGAACACCTCTAATAACAATAATACCAAATTATATAAAATTAATCTAATTGCGGGTAAAATCCGTAAGCAACTATAAACTCTTAAACACATTAATAACAAATAAATAACTTTTATTTATCTCAACAAAACTAATTAAATTATTACCCCTAAAACCAACAGCAGTATATTTACTAACATTTATAATAGCAAAAATAAAATCACCTTAATTTATAATAATAAATGCATCCGCAAAAATCTAACTAACAAACATCTTCAAACCTATTAAATCAAATCCCTATTTATGAAAATCAAATACCTCCCAATTTTACATACAACTATTTTATATAAAATATTCCAACAAACAATGATAACAACAGCAACAATAAAAATTAATCTACCTAAATAATTTATTAAAGTTCACAGTAAACCACTCCTAAACTTAGCAACTAATAAAACAAAAATATTTTTTCACCATTCTCCACTTGCAATGATGATGATTTTTTGTAATAAATAGAAAATGAATTAAACTAAAATATTTTGCAACACGAAACACCTTAAAACTAACACTAATAATAGTTTTTATACTAAACTGATAATCATATTGAAAATTAGTAATAATAAAAGCAATAATAATCATAGCAATAATAACAAGATTAACTTAGATAAAAAAATATCTCTTTTTAACATTCAAAAAACCAACCAGATTTAAAACTTAAAAAAGCAAACAGCTAAACATATAACAACCATGCTATAAAGCAATAACAAAAGAATTCAAATAACAATAAAGAAGTGTAAATGAATATATCATCATCTTCTTTTAATCCAAAACAAATGAAAAAGTATATTGATAAAAATTGTAGTGGTGCAGCCTATTCATAATACTAACCAACATCACCATTGAATGGTTATTTAAATCATCCAAAGACTCTCGTAATTAAGCAGATTACTCATCATGAATAAAACTAACATGACAAAAATTGTTACAATCTGTATAATGAATACACTCTTTAGAGCAACTTGAGTCATGAGTTTATCCTTAAACCCATTCAAATGTAACTAATCAAAAATGTTCATGATCATCCTAATACAAAAGGAGGATGCTATATCATATATCCAAGAGCTTAGAGTGATTTATACGATTACTATCTATCTTCATCTACCCTATTTGCTAACATAGAAGAAATACGCCTCATGATGTAGTAAATATCTTCAAGCGTGCAATATATTCATGAAGAGAAGGGTATAGTCCACTGTGACATAAAGCCTGAAAATATATTTAAATTAGCAAAAGATCACTTTGTACTTGCAGATTTTGGTCTAGCTCATTATGTCTTAAACACAAATCAATAATAGCAACTAGAAAAAATAAATAATAAAGAAGAGTTAAAATAAAAAAATATTTCACATATTTTGAATAATAATTTGACCTCAAGCTCAGAAAATTTAGATTAGACTTAAAGTTTAAAATAAAAACCAATTTTCTAAATTCAAAATAACTTATAACTATTTAGCGAAGATCAAGTAAAATAAGAAGAAGCTTCCGATTTTAAATAAGTTTAAATGAATATTTCAGCTAAATTAGAAGCGAATTAAATATTTGATAACTTCCAAGAAAATTGTGAATTTACTACAATTGAGTCCAACTCAAAAGAAAAGACAAAGCAAACAGTATCTGATTCACGTTCTTAGTCCTCCTCTTCTTCATGTTCTTCTGCTTCTTTTATCAACATAAGTAAAAATTGCTCTGAATCAAAAATAAAACCTTGTTTACATTGCTATCCGCATAATCTCCCTGATTATTTGTATGCTAATATTAACATCAAATAAGCTTAAAACTAAAGAATAGAAGAGAGTGAAGAAATAATTACTTAAGATTGCGACGAGGACTCTGAATTAAATGAGTAAAATAGCTTCTAAGAAGTGTATGAAAACGTGGAATCTAAAGAAGACATTGATTAAGATTCCTCTTAAATGCACCAAGATAAAGAAATTAATAAAAAGCACGAGAGTGACCTTTAACAAAAGAATTTCAAAGAAAACTAAACCAACTCAGATAATCCTACTGACAACCTATGTTGTATGCATCTATGTGATTAATTTAGCTATAAATCTAGATAAAGTGATTATTTCTCCCCTGAAATAATAAAATATCAAACTTTAGTTTAGAATGGTGCAAGCAAAAACGAATTATCTAAGGATGGGATAGATTAAATTGATGAAAAGAAAGCAGACATTTTTGCTTTAGGGATGACCCTGTTTGTTTGCTTATTTAAAACATATCCCTACTAATAAAAATGCTCTATGGATGATTCTCTCTTCAAATATTTTTATTATCCAGAAAAGAAAGTCAGAGAATAATTTTGGAGTAAGTTTTTTATAACTCTTGAGCATTATGCAAATTAGTTTGATGACTCTCGTGTTCATGAGCTAAAAGACCTCTTAGAAAAAATGCTCAATCCTAACCCTGACTAGCGCATATCTATTAACGAAGTTGTTTCTCATTAATGGCTATCTAAATCTCAATGAGAAACTTTATCAAGATAAAAAGCATTATTATTAAACTTTGCTTATTAATGAATAAATAATATTAATTAATAAACTCTTATTAACATTTAAAAAATAGATGACAAAAACGATTTTTTAATTAATTTCTATTTATCTATTATATTTGTTGAAGAATTAATATCTATACTGATTAAATTTTTCTACTTTAATGTTTTTTTAAACTGTCATCAATAAAATAGAAGAGCTTAAATAAATGCTACAAACTGAATATATACTGACATTAATTGATAATTTTTGCAAGTAAAAGTATTAATAAACTTTGCATATAAAGGTAATAAATAATAAATGAAAAGATAACTATAACCATTTGAATATGAATAAGATAGATACCTTTTGTATATATTCTTAAAAATAATAAATAAAATTATATCTTTCAATGCAATTAAATAATATAAAAAACTATCTCTAAAACAAATATTTTATATTATTATGATGAAGAAAGGATATATTTATAAATGTTACTTATTATATTGCAATAATTATTGTTTTGTAGTGCTATTGTTTTTGTTCTTATTATTAATTAGAAAGTGAATAAATTATCATTTCATTAACTTTATTTCATAATTATCTACTTACCAGATTTATCAGAAATATTTGAGTAAATAATTTTATATTTTTTTCTATTTTCTTTCACTAAAAATTTATAGTTAAATTTTATTTTTTTTAAAGCTTACTATTTACGCAATCAATTATTTTGACTCGACAAAGTAAATTTAATAATCTATGTATTTTAATTAGACCAATATCGCTTGCCCAATTTAGTCAGATACTAAGTGTATGGCGAACCAATAATTAAAAATACAAAGTATTATTAAATGCTATTAAACGAATAGAAATTTATCATTCACCTTCAGTTTTTATTTACTATCTTTTCCTTTCAGCTTATTTTATTCATCAATTTAGTTTCACTAATTTTCTAATTCTACTCAGAGAAATTCTTATTTGATCAAGCTCTTAAAGTTTATCACTAAGATTTCCAAAGCTCAGCCAAGCATTTTGTATGGTTGACATACTGAGTTAGCTATGAGCTCGTGCTTTTAGGTAATAATTACTTTTTCATTCTTGATAGTTATTTAACTATTTTTCTTTTCTATTTGTATCAGAATATGAGCAACTGCAGTAATAGACTTTTCGAAGACTTTCTCAGCCAAATTCTGTAAAAATCTTTCAGCAAATGTAAATATGAATAAGAAAAGTCTGTCAAATATAATGAATATCATTTTATTATTCAGTAGAAATTGATTTTAATTCAAAAATGTTTTGCTTTGTTATTTTTAGTGGATATATTTTTTTTGTATCAAGTTTTTATTTTTTAATTTATCTTTTTTGATTTATCTAAATGAATATTAAATGCATGTGTTGATTGATGGATATTTAAAAATAATTATAAAAAGCTTTTGTTGGGATCATTTCATTCTATTTTAAAAATCTTACATATTCTAAGTTAATTTCTTTTTAAAAAGAAAGTATCGTATCTTTCTACTTTCATTGATTGATTTTATTTATCAAAGCTTCTTATCAAAAAAATTTAATTTTTCTGTTAACATAAAACTTTAATATTCTTTAGAATTTTCTAGTATAGCATTATTCAAGGCTAGATTATCAGAATATCCAGAAATTTCCTGAAAAAAGATTTCAAAAGATGTTTCTTAATCAAAAACTAATTTAAAAAATACGAAATATCACATTTTATTTATCTTAAAAAAATGATTTGTTGGGATTATTTTTTGTTAAGAAGAAATGCTTAAATATTTTGGATATTAATCTAAAATTCATAAGTAAAAGTTCTATAAATTTTTCTTATTACTGACAATTACCATAATTATTAAGATTACATTTTGTTGTAGAACCAAATAATAAAATGCAAATAAAATTTAACAAAAATTCAAAAAGTATTTAGTAAGAAGAAAAATCAAAATAGTTCAGAGCTAAGTATTTAAATTTATAAATATATATATATAAAACATACATTTTTTCTGAATATTGAATACTTTTTTGCTAACTATTTATTACTTATTTATAATTTATTTTATTTTAAATTAAATGTTTTATCAATAAAATAAAATTAAATTTTTTCTAATAAACTTTTAATTACTTTTTTAGAATTTAATTATTAAATAATTACTTAGTTCTTAGCTAACAATTTTATTTTAATATGTTTTAACTTTTTATTATATTAATCTAATGTTTGCTTATCACAAAAATAAAACTTAGATTTTTTATATTCACTCTCTTTATTATTAAATCTTTTTTCAATTAACAAGATGCTATAAATAATTTATTATGAATATTTGCTAAATATAAAGTTAAATTTCTAATAAAGTTATCTATTTTAATAAATTTATTAAAAAATTTTACTATCTAAAAAAATAACATTCGATTTTGCTAAAATTTAGTTACGAAACACCAGAAGTAGAATATAAGTTTTGCATTTTTTTATTGATAATATTTTTTCAAATATTTTATCATCAAAATATATTTTTTTAAAGAAATTAATGTTTCCTTTATGATTTAAATTAATTTTGCAAAATATAAATAAATTTCTTAAGCAAATCAATTAATTTAATAAATTTATACTTTGATTAAAAAAACAAATAAAAATAATTTTATGATAATATTTTACTATTCAAATTGATATTGAGGATTTTGTAAAAATTAAGTTATGAATCAATTTTAAAATATAATTTTTGCTTTTTTTTGGATTCAATAATTTTTTTCATATTTTTTATTCTTTTAAAAGTTATTTTAAAAGAAATTAATATAAATATTTGCAAAAATTAATTTATTAAACAAACAAATCAATTTACAAAAAACAAATAAAAATTATTTGATTAAAAAGTATAACTTTTTATAATGATATTGGATTTTGTGAAAATTAAGTGGTGAATCAGCATCAGTATTTAATATTAAACTTTCTTTTTTTTGTTTGCTTAAATAATTTTTTTGAGATGCTTTATAGTAGAAAAATACTACGTGAAAACTAATTATTTTTATGTATAAAAGAAACAAATAAATTTTTTTTTTAATTTCAAAAGCCAAGCTCCCTTTTTTATTATTTTAGTTAATAGAATAATTCCATAAACAAACAATTCTTATCTGATCTATGAGCAAATTTCTTTAAAAAGTATAATAAGAAATGAACCAAAAAAACTTTTTTCAAAATATATAAATAAAAATGTAAATTTCAATCAATCTATTAATTTATTTTTAATATAATAGATCTTTTTTATGATAAAGGTAATGAAAAATATAAACGTATTAGTATTTTTTAAAAAATTGTAGATTTATTTTCATATTTATTCAATATACTTATTTATTTGATAATAGAGAAACAAAAAATACTTTATATTATATAAACGTTTTCAATTTTAAATCCCAATCAACATTCTAGTTAAGAGGTACGAATAGTAGAACCTTTAACGGCTATAGGTAATTTTTCTCCTTTTTTCAAGCAACTGGTTTCGTCTCTAATAAATCCATCAGGAGTATAGATGGCAACAACAAACCTCATAGGTTAGTTACAAATATTTTCACCGATAAGAGAATTACCTGATACAGATAAGTCTAAGCAAGGTGTGTCTGGATTAATTTCTCTTAAAAATAGCTTATCAGACTTGTTTAAAGTCAAAACAGTAGCTAAAGCTAGTAAAGAAAGGACGGATGCAATTATTAAAGTCTATTAAAGTTTCATGATTTTCGAAATAGTTTTTTGTATTTTTAATTAATAATTTAAAATTGTATCTGGAAGGCAGTTCTTTTTAAATATGTTTTAAGGAATAAAGTATTATAAAAGAAATCGAATTATAAAAGAATTAGATAAAGAATCAAATTTATTGATTATAATATACGATAAGTTTTCTAATCGCATTTTTGATGGAAATTTAGATTTTTAAATAATTTGCTTATTTATAATTTAATTTTACTTATTTGTTCTTTGTCTAAAAAACAAAAGGATAAATTGTAAATTGCTTTCAAAGACAATTATTTCTTTGGGCGATGCAAACATGATGAAAAAAAATAAGATAAAATTATAAATATAATTTAACAATTCTATCAAATAAAGTTTCCATAATTCTTTAAAGTATTAAGAAATAGATTAAAATAGTGAAATATTACTAATAAAATCTGCTGCTTTTTACACATGAATGTATAAAACTTTGGTATAAATTTAATTTATTTTATGTTACAACTTAAAAAATCTTTATTAAAATAATTGACTATTATTTTTTGGTATAAATTTAAATTCCTCGTTTGGAAAATTTAAAAAAAATTATATTTTGAAAATGAATTTAGTTTGTTTTTTGAATAAATTATAAAATGTTTTATTATGAGTAGAAATATTTAATTAAAATCCATCTTCCAAAAAATAAGATGAAAAAGATTTTTAAATTATGAACTGAATAACCTACATTATCATATAAGAATTAAACAAATTATTTAAAATAAAATTGAGTGCTTTCACTAAGAAATATTATTTACAAATATATTTTGATTGACCACAATAAATCTAAAATTTTAGGTCTTTTTTTATATATAACATAATATGAAATTATAAACACATTTTTATATTTATCTAACAAATTCAACAAATTTTGCATATAATAATTTTTTTTACTTTTATTTTTTAAATATGAGATATAAGATTATAATTTTAGCGATAGATTGAAGGCAATTTATGTGCTTAATATTTACTATATTTATAAAAAATTCAAAGCATTGAGAAATTTACTGTTAAAGAAAATAATATTGCTTTGTGCACATAATCTGTTTTAATGATATTTAAATACTCAATTATAATATGAAATATTGCTTAAATAACTTTAAAATAAATATGGATAATTAATAATATATTAATGTGATTTGTAATTAAATAGAATTTAAAAATAACTTTTTTCAAGAATTTTATGCATATTCATTTATTAATTATCATTATAATTATTAGTTTGTCTGTCTTAGTGACTTTATTTACAAAGAATCTTAAATTAATTTATTCATTAAATTTTTTTGTTTGATCAATCATTTTTTATTTTATAATAAATAATAAAACTTTAAATCCCCATATATAGTCAGTCAGTCAGTCACCCACTTAAATATTGACATATACAAATTTTTTGGAATAAATTTTTTTGTATTCCATTGCAAAACAATTATAATGGTTCTCTGAATATAAATTATCCTATATCTTTTAGCTAGATTTAAGTACTTATAGTTATAAAAATTGATAATTTTCCTTAATAAAAAAATTAAGTGATCTTTTTGATTAATTTTCATGACGATGAAATTTAGTTAAGATATATATTATTGAAATAATAAATTTTTATATTAGAATTTGAGATAATATTAAAATAATTAAATAGCTTCATTTACTCTCAATTCATCAATTATTGAAAAAAGTTTTAAATTTAAATTAAAAATAATTCTTCAATTTTGTCATTTTCTTGTTGCTTGATTGAATCTAAAGTACATTTTTATATATTTTAACATCAAAAATTTTGATAATATTAACTGTTTTTTTTATTGCTTTAGCACTTTCTAAATGATTTAATAGTATCTTTTGTGCTGTAAAATGAGTTTTATTAAATTTTTCTAGTTTTACATTGAAAACTGATTCTATTTACTTAATTTAATTTGGGTAAGAGTATTATTTAAAAATATAGCTTACTATTGATGTTTTTTTACAGCTTATCAAGTATAGAAATATTCTTAATTCCTCACATAGACTTTCTTCAAATATCCTGAGCTATTATAATTTGATTAATAGGATAAAAATGTATTTAGATAAAACTAAAGTTGTAATTTGGTATATTTTTTGAAGAAAATTCGAAAATTTTTAAATATCCTTTGAATGTAATTATCTTCAATTTTTTTTTGCTAATTTTATTAATTTTTAAGAGTATTTTTGCAATGAAAATAATTTATAAAATTTAAAAAAACAAACCAGTTTTTAAATAAAAAGTTTATTTCTTGATTCAATCGATGATAATAATTTTAATTGTTATTTTATAATTCTTAAAAAATTTATTCTATTTGTAAAAAAACTATTTAAATTTCAGATAAGCAAATTTTTACATCTTATAATACCATAGTCACAATATATTTGCTTCTTTTTTTTTTAGTATTTTTAATTCAATATATTTAAGCTGTTATAATTTAATTTTTCTGATTTAATAAATTTTTTTGTGAAATTTGAGAAATATCTATTCATAAAATTAGCAATTTTATTTTGCTCTAAATTTTATTTTCTTATATAATTTTACTCTATTATTAGAATTCTTTTGAAATCACTAAAATAAAAATAAATTAAATTGATATTATTATTTCAGTCTTTTTTTTTAAAAAATATTATCTTATTCTAAATTGTTAAATTAAATAAATTATTAAATATTTTTTTACAAAATATTTATCAACTTAAATTAATTACCTAAAATCTAAAAATTATTATTAAAATACATTTAAAAATAAAGATATTAATTTAACATTAGAAAATTAAATTCAATAAAAACGATGTAATGCTTATATATGAGTTAGGTTATTATTTACTTAAAAAGTATCAATAAAACTTTGAGTTTTGGTTAATTATTTTTCAATAAATAAATTTTAAGAAATTAAGTTTATTTGTTTTTATGAAAGTAAAATATTTTTAAAATAATTTTAAAAGAAAAATTAATTTTTATAAATAAAAAAAGGAATCAAACAATTTCTTATTTATTTTTTATTTTACTAATTATGCGAAAGAATTTAATATAAAAAAACGAAAATACTAAAATTTTAGAAAAAAGATTTTGATATAATTCCTTCTTGATTAAATTAATTATTAATATTAAATTTTTCATGTAATTATTAATTAATTCAATAAATTTGTTTGAAAAATATTAACTATTTATTTGATCAATCTGATTTTAATTTCAATATATATTTCACTAAATAATTTGGGGAAAATTCAAAATAATTTACAGCAACAAAAAAAACATAAAATTTCTTTGATATGATTTTGTGTTTATTAAACAAGTTGTTATTTTTTTTAGCATATTATAAATATTTTTGTTGTAACATTTGATTTTTGATAATAAATTTTTATATAATTAATGAATAATCTCATAATTATTTTTTAATTTTGAAATAATAAAAAATTTTTTGAGATAATATCTAATTATTATTAAAGAGTTTTTACTTCAGATAAAAATAGGTATTAAAGTAAAGTATATAAAATATTAAAATAAATGAATTTTTTCTAGGATAAATTAGTTGGATTAAGATATTTAGATAAGAAGCTAGTTATTTTTATTGGAATAGTTACTTTTATTCTAATATTTTTCTAAAATCTATTTATGTAAATTGCTAAAAAGAAAATGGCTTATCCTATAAAAGAAATGCTGTTGTTTCAATGTTTCAACATTTATTTTATAAAAAGTTAAAAAGGAGCAAACAAATAATATGAAAATAAATATATTATTTTGATAAAACTGAATAATAACTGTAATTTATATCATTCAATGTCATAGCGCCATTCTAATTAATAATTTATAACTATGTTATTTATTTTGCTTTCAGAAAATGATTATTTTTTCTAAATCTGAGTTTGATTAGTTTTTTAAATTAAAATTAAGTAATTTGAATTCAACATGCTTGATTGTTTTATCTAAGAAAATAGCAATAGTTCGTTATATTTAAAGTTTTTAATTTGAGGCTAATTTTTGTACTGGTCTATAGTTTTCATAACCTTTTTTAAAGACACACAAATTTTTTCCATTTTATTTAAACGGAAAATTTTACTCTAAGCGCAAAGTATTTTATTGAGAATATTTGCACATATTCTTATGAGCTCATTTATCGTAGCTATAAAAATACTAAATTTAATAATAATTTTTAAAATATCATATGCTTTTTATGATTTGTATCATTTATTGTATCATATATAATGGCAAATAAAAAACAATTTTATAGGCCTATATAAATACTATTGCTATGTAAATCTTTATTAGAGGTTCAATGCATGTATAAATACTTGCTACACTTATTTCTAAATTAGTTTATTTTATTTTAAAGGGTTTGTGCTTTAATCATGTTTTTTCTTCTCCATATTTTTAAAAATTTAGCATTATTTCAGTTTTCTACTTTTAACTAATTAACTTTTAAAAGAGAAGCGTCTAAATAAATTACAATAAATTATGGTAAAGTCATCCAGCTGTTTGTTGGAAACTAGTCATTTTAAAGGATAGATATATACGCAAGGCTTCGTGCTAAAGACGATAAGTTTTCATTAAATTTAAACAAAGATGAAAATAAAAAATTAAAAATTCTTATACTTCTTAGTGTTGTTACGCAAAATTTTAATTATATGGCGAAGGATGAACTAAAAGATACAAATAAATGCTTGAAAGTTATTTATTTAAGAACTGGTACACTAATTTTATATTTATGTCTTAATTATAGTGAAAGCCAGTAATACATTGAAATTATTTTTAGAGATTTGACTGGTATAGATTCATTTAAATGAAAAGCTTCAAGAAAACTTAATTACATTAAATTCTTACAAGAATAATGTAAGAAAAGTTGAGCATTTGCAATTAATAGTAAACTAAAAAAATTAATGTTAATTAAATTTGCAAAACAAACAAGCAAATAAGTAAAAATGCATCAATTTTATTTAAAAAATATTAAAATTCGCATAATAATTTTTTGTATTACTTAATATCTGTTTACTCTCATCACCATTTTAATCAGCATCTGCTATTTTTTTTTTATTTTTCATTAAAGTTTAAAAGAGATATATGTATCTGAAATCTCTTTCTGAAGAGGTTACAAAAATCTAATCTGTCTATCTAACAATTATTTAAAGAATTTTGATAAAAATTAAAAAAATTCAAGCCTGATTTTTTATTTTTTTAAATAATTAGATGTCTATTTAAATGAATGGAATTTATACAAAAAAATGTATCATGTTTGTTTTTATGGATTAGCAAAATATTTTTGAAACTAATTTTATTGAAGTTAAAGATTTTGTTTTCAAATATTTCAAAATAATTTTCAATTTAGAATTTATTTTATTTTTGTGAGATAATATTTTCATTTTATTGCTTTCTTTTTAGTAATAAACAATCTTCAAAGGATTTTTCAAAGTGTAAATAAGAGTTCTTTTAACAAAAGTTGTGATTATTTTGTTAGTTAGTTAGTTTGTTAATTAATTCTTCCAAAAGTTTTTTTGTGATTTTTTAATTTATGATAAGAAAAACATCAATCTTAATAATTTATTTATCAATTAAAGCTAAAATAAGGTTTTATGAGTAGTAATTATTAAGAATGATTAGCCATCCAATATGTCTCATATAGATATGCATTTGTAAACTGAACAAAATTGATTAAACTGTTCAATATTAATTTGTCGCAGATGAGTACTTGAATTAACCTTTTTATTTTTAATGCTTGAAAATATGTATGAAAAGATTAACTAGTTTCGCTGGTTTATTTTCTATTTTAAACAATTAATAATGAGTTAATTTATTTTTCAACATAAATTAACATTTAGTAAGATTTAAAATAATGCATTGAGTACAAAGTAATACAAAATTTGATAAAATTAAAAATATAAATTAATCTTTTATTTCAAATGACAGCTATTATAAGTATAGTGTATTAATAAATTTGTAATTTGTATTGTACAATTTTTTAAGGTAGATTTTAATCTTTAGATTAATTAATTAATTTATTTATTTATTTACTTATCAATTTATGTTTGTGTTATATAAATATTAAATGTGTGTATTTGAAAAGAATGTTTCTACTAATTGGGGATGAATTTGTATGTTTTCTACACTGAATGTATAGAACTTATTTGAGAAGGAAAGTTAAAATTTAAAAATTAGTGATCAATTAATACAAATATACATAAATATATAGACGGAAAGATAAATAAATAGATGGTGCTTAGAAATTATAAAATTAAAAATAATAAAAAGGTGAAATTGTCTAAGTATCTGAATAAACAAATAAATAAAAATAAACTCTTAATTAATTAAGTTTGATAAACAAGAAAAGAAACAGTGTTTTTTAGAGGATATTAATATTAGTAAACATCGATAAACACAAGTTAAAAGAATTAATTAATCATTTAAAATATTAGCATTTATTGGCATATATATAATCAATCACTCAATCACTTGTTCTTTCTCTAAATCAATCGATAATTTAATTATAATTTCATATTCTATTAAGCATCATCGCTGTATTAATCATTCTACCGATTAATTTAGAAACAACAAAACAAAAAAAATTATTAATTAATACAAATAATTAAATTAGTAAGATTAATATTTGATAAATTGGAACAATGAATTTTTAGGAAAATAACGAAGACTATGAGGAAGCAACCTAACCTGTTTTTCAAAACGTTATCAATATCTTGGAGTAACAAGGTTTAATTGCTAAAATGCTTAACCCATAGTATAAAGAGCATGATTAATAAGCTACAAAAGCAGCGCACAATGACTGGGCTTAATGGGTGCATAATGATTTATCAAATAATGATTCTGTACCTTAAATTACCATATAAGAGGAAAGAAAATTTCTTTATGATGAAAAACACCACCATATGTGGTATAAAAACATAAACCTACCAACAATTACTATATCAGTTCAACAAGAAGTGTTTGGTAGTGGGAAATACAATGTGCTCTTGGATTGTTTTGGTGTCTAAGTCTAGGAAGACTTATTGCAACAAAACGTTTCTTCTAAAGATTCATTTACACCTTCATCTTTGGGCGGATACAAGAGGTTTTCTTTAGAAGGTGAGGGAATCTAGCAAGCTATCCTTAATTAAAAGTAATTGCTGACTTTTCAAAGAATTAAGTGCAAAGAAACATCTTACAATAATAAGGTAAAACTTGAATTAAACAGAATTTAATTGATTAGTTTTATCTTATTTTTTTATTACTGAATCTCTCCAACTCTATTTATTTATTAGCTTTACTGATTAATCTATCTTCTTAGAGTTTCATTTCTAACCTTCAACATTACTAATGTAGGCTTATTTATCTGACTGTCTTACACACTATAAATATCATTTATCAAGTTAAATAGAATATATCAGCTCACTAATTATTTATTTTTTAATGAAAAGCTTCCTCAATATAACAAAAAATTACAAAACACATTTTGCTTTCTGATTTAGAAAAGCTTATAATATAGATAAGAAGTGATTGATATTTATAATTTAAATAGATACATTTTTAGTGCATATATTTTAATTAATTTATTTATTAATTAATTATGATTATGCATTATCAATTAATATTATTTGGATGTTTGCTTTTTTTAGGAATATTAAAATTTTTGGGAATTTAAAAAACAAAAATAAATTAGAAGCTAGATAATTAATTGTTCGCATTTGCATTAAAATAATATAGAAAATAGTGATTCTATAAATATTCTCATAATACCAAAAAATAGCATTACTGAAAATTTAATATTTTATATAAAACTCCCTCTTAATCTAAAGCGATTTAAGAGTATAAAACTACATCATTTAAGGATTAAATTTTTATAGAGAGTGATAAAACAGAATAACAGATTCTAGCATTTATAGAAATAAATCAGACTTATTAAAGAAATAATCAAATAGATTATTAATTTTTGAATAACAAAGAATAGATGATTAATTATATTTATTTATATTAATAAAATAGGGTATCAGATTTTTCATAGTACTTTATATTTATGAAATATCCACCTTGAAGCCTGTTTTGATCAGACTATCTCCGTCTCTTTACATAGAATCTAGAAAAAAATCATTTTAAGAAACAGTAATATTTTCAATAATATATCAAAATCAAATTAATTACACTATTTAGTAAAAATCTTAAAAGCAATTTCTCAGAACAGAACAAAAGCAAAACAAAGCAAAAAAAATTTTTTTGTTCAATAATTTGATAAATAAATGAATGAATAAATTAATAATATTCATCAAGGATTAATTTACTTTAAGCTTTAAATTTATTAAATTTTCAAAAACTCAATATTAAAAACATAGAAATTTACATAATACTGAGTTTTATAACCTGAAATAGTGAATCGTGTTGTAAAATTAAGAAGTAAATTAATGAATTTGGGAAAAAAGTTTAATTAACTTAATTAAGTGAATATTTTTTACATAATGCACATCTTTACTTCAAATATTATACTACTGAATAATTTACGCACAATTTTAGTCAATCTTTCCTCACATTTGAAAATATTTTACAAAAAATGGATTATGAAAAAGATTAAAGAAGATTTTGTTTGTGGTAAATCATCACACAAGACACTGTCTTATTTTTAAAATATAATAAGTTAACTTCCTGTTATAAAATTTTATTTTTTAATAAAAATCAGCAAACATTGCTTGGTTTTTCTCACCCTTTCCAACCTGAATCATTTACAAAAATTTATGCGAAGTGTTCCCAACAGATGACACTGGATAACATTGATAGCTTCAATGAGTACTACAGCTCATGCAATATAAGACACAAGGTAATTTATTAAGAATCTTGAGTGTAAAGCTCAAAAAATAATCTTTTTTTATTAAATACAGATCCTGCATCCTCTATTCTTGTTTTTGAAGTTTTCAAAGGGCATAAAGTTATTTTATAACAAGCATTTAATTGACGAAAACATAGAAAATAAAGTAAATTGATTCCTTCATTTCCATTAAAAAAAGTTAGATTGAATTTAAATAGTATTGACATTAATCAATTTTTTTGTTATTACTAAATTAAAAAATCAAAGAAATTGCTTGATAAGTCATTTCAAATTAAATTTAACTATATTATTCACATATATACTCATTTGCCTTACTTATTAATTATTATTAGGGTTACGCTAGCTTATTTTTGGAAATTTAAGCATAAATTTATAACTAAATTTAACAAGATTTAAACAATTCTTGTGTGGATGACATTAAAAATTAAAAAAATAAATCGGTTAAATAATCTACATATTCCCTTCTTGGCATTATGGTTAATTACGATAGCATGCCTCCTCACGATAAAAAATAAGAGAAAAAAATTTACTAAAAGGTATAAAGTTATACATACATACATTAATTAATTTTTTGACTTATTATCTTTTTACTAATAAAAATAATAATAAATTAAAAAGGTACACCGCTTTGTGAAGCCGCTTATCGGAAATATTCTGCAGGTGTATTTTGATCGCAAAGATATTCCTTCGTATATGAAAGAACTTATCTATGAGGTACATTCATACATACATACATTTGCTAATTTTATTATTTTAATGAATTTTTAATAAAAATTAATTCACCCTAATTCATGAACTTACATTCAAATTTATAACTTTGCTTATTTGCTTTCATGAATTAAATTAATAAATAAACAAATAATCATTAATTTTTAATAAACGAACGGCGCAGGATTAAATGAAAGAGGACTACAAACAAATTTATCAATAATTATCAGATTTGAAATTAAACAGATCCATGAAATTAGGACCATCCAACACTTAATATTGGAACCCAGATTAGCAAAATTTATAATAGCCAAAAAATTCACGTGCTTCAAATATTGAAAGTTCTTAAGAGGAAAGTAACTCACAGTAAAATCCTAATAGTTCTGGTAAATAAAAAAGTTAACAAGTTTAATTCAAACAGAGTGATTAAAAGCTAAAAAAAAGACCATTTAGCTCTCTAAATAGCAATAGCAGTAATAATAATAGCTAGATATATGCAGTTGCAAACAAAGAAGCAGATGCAAACCACAGTAACTTGGTTGAAGAAGAGAAAATTTAAAAATAAGGGAAGAATGAAATAATTAATTATCAATCAAGCTCACAAAATCTCAAGAATAAATAGCAAAATAAAAAGCAAGAAATTTTACAAAAATTCAAAAAAACATCTGAAACAACTAACAACACTAGAAATTCCTTTTATTCTGGTGAAAATAGTCTAGAAGATAATTACGAATTCGAAGAAGGAACCCGTCCTAAAAAAACATAATCAATCAGTTAACATAGAAAAGAAACTCTATCAAGAATTCCTGAGATATCTCATTAACACAACTAAAAAGAAACCTTAACGAATACACTATAAACTCCTCAAACATCTATTCCTGAAAATTTTTCATAGACAACTATTTATCCAGATTTAAATCACTAGCATGCCAATCAAGTAGCATACACTAATCCAATTTATCAGTCTCCAGAAGGAATGATATTACCTATGCAACATTAAATATCTTAGCCTATGCTAATTCCTATGAATAGCTATATGCAAATGCCTCATATGATTTAGCCAACAGTTCCCTAATCTCTACCTATTCAAGCAGCTATGGTACCCTAGCCTGTTTAAGTAGTAATAAACCCATACTAGATATAAAATATGTATTACCCATATCACAACACTGGCTATGGTATGCCTATGTAAGTCATGCATACTACCTAACCAGCCCCACCTACTTTTATTTAAACCAATATGATGAACTACCCTCAATAATAGCCTATTTCTGTCTAGAATAATTACTAATATATTTAATAGTCTAAATTATAATGCCTTTAATAGCAGTAGTAATAATAATGAACGACAATATCTTGATAAAGAGTTAGTTTCTAACTTCCAACAAGATTCTATTTATTAATTTAAACAAAAACTTCAATAAAAAAAATCAAATCAAGAATCTTTCATTTCAAACATAATAATAAAATTACTAATAATCATAACCCTTAATATTCAATTTTTTCTTAATAAATTTTTTAGTCTTTTGAGACTATACCAATATATACATACATACATAGATACTTTATGCATACAATTAATTGATTTATTTGATTTCAAAATACATAAAAATTTTCTATTTCCATACAAAATAGAAAAAATGTGAATCGAATGACAAAAAACAAAATTAATTAATTCATAAATGATGTTTCATCTAAATTTATTTATATTTATTCTTATCAATGATTACAAAATTAATACAAAATTAAAAAATCATTATATGTTATATAAAGATTCATTATCTCAGTATTATAAAATACAATTGATGTTGCTCTATTTGTATATATTTTAGTTCATTAAAAAATATTTCACAATATCTTTAACTAATTGAAATTTAGCGAGTTATCGTAATACATTCTAAGAGTATCTTTAAAAAATGACAAAAGTTGTTTTATGTTTTTTAAACTAAAATTTATTTAAAATATATTAATGCTTCTACATCTTTTAAATATTTATTATCCAAAAAAAAATAGATAAGGCTTTGTGATTTCCATAAATAATATATTCAACTAATAAAGTAAATAAATAAATGAAAATTAGAATTCTCCAAAAGATTAACTGACATTTTAAAAAAGTAAATATAAAATATTAGTAAAACAAGCTAATACATTTAACATTTATAAATATTATAGAAAGTAAAAATAATGTAAAAAGGAAAGTTCCTGTTTATCTTAAATTTTATTAATAACTGGTTTTAGCCAAGAATCGAGACAGTAAAACAAGTTTTATAAAATGTTTATATTATAAAGCTGTAAGCTAATTCTTAAGTCATAAAATTAAAAAAAAAGTAATATCTAATTTTATACAGAATTTGTTTTAGCTATTTTTTGTTAAATAATTAAAAATAGATTTAATATTTCAAATTTATTTAAGAAAAAAATATTTTAAAAAATTGTAAGAAGATCATTTTTAAAATGAGGGTTTTTAGTTAAAAAAGTTATTTAAATAATCAAAATATGCGATGAGAATTTGGAAAATTTTAAATAATAAAGTAAAACGAAATATAGAAAAAATTACATATTTGATCTTCTGTTATATTTTCATGTTAGAGAAAATTTAAATGATTATTTATACTAGGGCGACTAAATTTGACTTTAGAATAGATAATCTTTCAAAATCTAATTTAATAATAATAATTTATGTTTTCAAGAAAAAAACTTTTGTAAATTCATGCTTGAAGCAAAAGACAGTTGGTAAGTAAGTAATCATTTATGATGGGAATTTATTTTATATTTGCAATTTTACAATAAATATTTTAAGATTTGAATGAATTTTGACTTTATTATCAGTTTGATAAAAATAAAAGTCATTAACTAACTTTCCTTGAAATTTGTAATTTTAAAATAAAAAATTCAAATGATTTATTAACAGCTTTAAACATTTAATATTCCTCATAAGTTTTCTAAATACATTGAAGATATTCTATTAATAGTTTTATAAGGTTCCTTAAGTTTTATTAAAAATATCTATTTTACTATAAAAATGGGTATAGACAGCTAAGTAGCTTACATACCAACATACTTTATTTATATAAAAAATAAATAATCTGACATTTAGTTTTACTTTTTTTTCTCTCTAAAAATCAGGTAAAAATTTATTATAGAAAGTGAATAAATAAATATTAATTATAGTATATAAAACACTTGTATACCTCATTTTTTGATTATGAATACAAAAATCTTGCTCATTTTATGATGGATTAACCTAATTTTAAATAAATTTTGGTGTAGTATAAAAATATTTTATTGTGAGATATTTAAATTGCTAATTTTTAGAGTGAGATAAACTTGAACTTCCAACCCTTTGATTAGTTAATATATAAGTAAATCATAATTAACGCTTAATTAATTTATTTATAAAGAAGAGAAAATATTTAAATTGATTTGAACATTTATTTATTTACTTTTATTGTAAGCTATTTTTTTGCATTTAGACTTATAGATTTCTAAAAATCACTCAATATAATTTTAAGATTCTCAAAATAAATTTTTTTGGTATATTTGCTTTAAATTTTGCTGCATAGCAAGTAAATAAATAAACTGAATTATGAGTGTAATTTAAATGGGAATCATAAGAAGAAAAAAAAATAGTTAAATTTTGATTTGTGTAATTCCTGATATTGAATGTTTTGTTGATAATAAAAACTAATTAACTTACAAAAAAATTCATAAAAGTTAAATAAATTACAGATGCTTTAAGTTATAAAAATAATCTTTATTTACAATATGTAATTTACTGAATTATTTAATAAAGATAAGGCTGTATGAAATTCTGTTTTTGCCTTTAAATTAACTAACTCTAATCTAACTTAAGTTAAAGGTGTTTTTATAAATAAAATAAGACAGAATTTAAAAAATAAAAAATATTTACAAACTGATTAATTAGAATATTTTTTGTGATAAAAACATTTTAAATTTGTTTAAAAAAACACATTCCTCACATAGTAAATAAGGACAGTTATACTTACAATGATTAAATAGCTATATTTCACTTTAAATATAAAATTGAATTCTATCAAATCTTAAATTAAAATAAATTTATGCAAACCAGTTTTTATTGGAGATAATAAAAATTATTAATAAGAATCATTATAAATTTATTTTACTCAATGCATCAAATCATCTTATTTAACATAAAACTATTCCATTTCAATTATAAATTTTAAGCATAAATTTAGATTTAATATTGATTAATTTCGCATAATATATTCTAAATCAAAGAAGGATTTTTTATGAGTATTTGATTTGTTGCAAGCCTATAAAAAAACAAAATTTGTTTGATATAGATTAATAATTATATTCTTTCTGAAAGAAATGATAAAAACAGATGACTATTATTTTTATACAAATAAAAACTCTTAATTTAGTCAAATATTGAAGGATATATTTATTTTATTTTTTATAAATGACGACATATCTATGAGATATTTATCAAAATTAATTTAAAATAGAAAGAAAAATAAAATATTGTCTTAAATTCTCCTGTAATTTTTATTTCAACTAAGACACACAAATCTTTATTATCTTATAACTCAATTCAAATCTCTATGTGAATCTAAGAATAAATATCAAATCTATAATGAAAAAACAATACCACCATCAAAATTTATTAAAATTGAATTGCTAGTAAAAATGTCTTAAAATAAATACTTACTAATAATATGATTGTTGCTATTAATTGCTCAACTTTTTTCAAAAAATAAGACTGTATTGATTTTTTTGGTATAGATTTATTAGTAAAACAAAGGATATTAATTTAAAAAAATGGTAATCAAATAAAAATGACTAAAAAAGTAAAATTTTTTATATAAAAATCATATTAAAATAATATTTATTGTTATAATCCACTGAGAGTGAGTCTGTGAATAAGTGAGTGACTGAATGACTCTCTAATAAAATAGGTAAAAAAATTATATTTATAAGAGAAAATTAATCTGTAAATAATCATGCTAAGATAATTTAAAAATACTAACATAAAATGAAAAATATCTATATGTATGTATGCATGTATGTAAGTATGGATTGATTGATCATAAAACCTGTTTAAATAAATTTAAATTTTTTAATAAAATATAAATAATTTTAATATTTATTGTTTTAATTGATATTTACAAATAGCTTTAAATAATTTTAAACTCAAAATAATCATTTATTATGTTATTAAAATGTAGTAACTATTTAACTAATATTTTTCATTTTTATAAGCCCTTTCTTTCTTTCATTTATATATTATTTATTTATTTATTATTTGATCATATTGTATCATGTTGTATGTATCGCATTTAGCAAATCATCAAGGTTTTATGAATATTAAGTATTCTTCTTCAACTCTACCTACAAACAAACAAACACTTACTCATTCATTCATACTTTAATTAAATCAGTCAATGAAAGAACCAAAAACATTTTCATGAGGCTAAAATATATCTTAACTGTTCAATATATCAGCTGAAGGCTTCACAAACAAATAATATAGATAGTCATCAGATATTTCGTATGCAATTTATTTGAGAGGATTGTATAATTTATTGTTATTTTAATTGATAATTAATTATTATTCAGTCAGATATTCAAAAGTATATCCTTCCGGCTAATTGCTAATATCTCTTTCATATTAATTGATATAATTAAACATTTCATCAATAAGTTGCATTAAAAATACCTAGATCTAATCATTTTACATGAAATAAAAATAAAATTAGTAAAAAGGACGATTGGCTATTATAATTTGCTTCACATTTTATATTATCTATTAATATTCATCTTGCTAAACTTGTTTTTATTCTAATATTTGAGTTAGTGAATAAATAATTGGATAAAAATATGAATTGTGTCTCAGTATGTGAATAAATTTGAGAAAGTTATTGATTATGCTATTAAAGTAATTTGCATTTTCCATAAATTCCTCTATTAGTGATAAGTTGATACTGACAGTTTAGAAAAAAACTAATGTATTAGGCTTTAATTGCATTTAATCGAATAATTATATTGGTAATGGAATAGGATTTTATTATACATTTTATTATTATGGTTATTAATTAGGGATTTATTATTGCATACTTTAGATTTAATCAATATTTCTAACTTGTTTATTAATGCGTAAGCAATTATTTTCCTTGGTTAAAAATGGTAGATACTTCCTTGAATTATCAAATAGCCCTAATAATATATCTCTTTTATATTTTTTTATATTCTAATTCAAAATTATATTAAATTCACTTCTTTATTGAAATCTTTTTATATTTTATTCACCTAGAAATCAATGTTTTCTATTACCAAGATAGCTTGAATTCTTAATATAATCTTCTTTTAAATTAATTAATTACTAAGAGTTTTCTTTATCCCAATAAAAATAAATACAATATTCTATTTACATTAAGAAAGATCGAACAAAATATAAATAAATGCAAGTATGCATACAACACATTAAATACATATATACACTCTCAAGTATTTATTTTAAAAATGTATTTTTGGTTAACATATTTTATTAAATAAATAAATGATTAAATTTCATAAAAAACTATCAGAATTTTTGTAAAAAGAATCAATAAAATTATTTAATTTCAAAAATGATTCCAAATTAATTGGATGTTAAAAAGCTTAACCTTTCTATTTTAATATCAATTATTACAATTATGAAATCAAAATTTAAAAAAAAAAATAAAATCTTTTTATTTATTTATTTATTTTTAATAAATGTATTGATTGATGATGTTATTAAATCTATTAAATTTTTGTTTTTAAAATAAATAATCTAGTTTTTATTAATTTTTAGTTTATTTATTTTCAATAAACAAATATCTTTCTTTTTGAGTGAGTTTTAAGTGTATCTTGCCTGCTTGCTTACTTGCTTGCTTTCTTTCTTCTTTTGAATATTTATTCAAAAAAGAAAAATTGAATTTTTTTTATATTATTAATTCGAACAAATTTTTATATCAAAAATTAAAAAAAAGCTAAAAGTTAAAACATTAAACAATGGCTGATACTGAAGTCACAATTTTCGATAAGATAGTTAGCAAGCAAATCCCTGCTAAGATTGTCTATGAAGACGACCTTGTAAAATTTATTTTTATAACTAAATTTAGCAAAGAATATCTTTTTGTTATACTATTACATACTTATTAATTTATAATTATTAATAAATTAAGTGCTTAGCTTTTAAGGATATCAACCCCTAAGCTCCTGTCCACTTTGTCCTCATCCCTAAAAATAGAGATGGTTTGACTTAATTAAGCAAGGTAATTACATTAAATAACTATATTAATTAATTCTAATATATTTCAATAATTATTTAAAATCCTATTATTAGGCTGAAGATAGACATAAAAATTTATTAGGTCATTTAATGGTTGCTGTAAGCAAAATTGCAGCCTAAGAACCTTTATTAAAAGATGGTTTCAGAATAGTTGTAAACGATGGTCTTCATGGAGGTAAACTAACTATTCTTTTCTATTGTCAAAATCAAACATTATTCATCTATGAAATTAATTATTAGGATAAAGTGTTTACCATATTCATATTCATATTTTTGGTGGTGCTCAATTAACCTGGCCTCCTGGTACTCCTGGTCCCGGTGGTGAAATCCCTTAACCTCCTCCCAAACATTGAAATAGAACTAAAATAATAATAATACCAATTATACTTAGTTGTATTATATGTTTGTTAGATAGTAAATAATTAGAATAAGTAAAGATTAATTAATATACAGCAAAAAGCGTTTTTATACTATAATATTAAGTATTTTAATATCAGGAAATAAATAAATCTTCACAAAAAACAAACACTCACAAATTAATTAATTCATTAAATATAAAAGATAAAAAGATTAGAATAAACAGAAAATTTAAAATAACATAAATAAATTTACAAATTCTTATTATAATTTAAATACTTTTAATTATATTTTTATAACTTAATTTAGTTTTTTGTTTGTTTGTTTAATTGATTGATTGATTGTTTGTTAGTTTTTTTGTTTGTTTGTTTTGAAATCACATTTCTATTTTTTAAATAAAATATATTTTAATTTCAGTTGCAAATTAAATTGACCAACTTAATTAATAAATAATTCAAGTTTTCCTTTATCGCCCTAAAAATTTTTTTATTCATTTTAAAAGAGGGTAAGTTAGAAAATGTTCTAATTATTCAATTATTTATTTTCTTCCTTCTTTATGCTGTAGCAGTAATTTTTCTGTTACTCGTTCTCCATAATTATCAGATGTAATTTCTTCTACTTTGAAGTTCTCTTCCTCCAAACTACTTTTTCTTACTTTGATTTTGATAGTAATGTCAAAATCCCTTTAAAAAAGTTTTATCAATTCAATTTTTGTTTAACTTATCAACTCTAAAACATTTCTTCCTTTATAACCTTGATTTTATATATTTGAAATTCTTAATATCTAATAATATATAAAGTTACAAATATTTATTTACCTGTTAATATTTTTTTTTAATGCTCAGTTTAAACGTCTAACTCAAAATGTAATTTAATTAGTCCATCATTTCTCTAACTGAATTCTATTTTATTAAATTAAGTTAATGTTTTTAAATTCTAGAAAATTTTATTTATTTTATGCTTTTGCATATAAAATGATAATTAATATTTTATGAAAAAATTAAGTAAATCCTTATTTGAAGTTAAAGGAAACCTTTCTAATTTAAAATATTTATAATTTATTGTTTACCTTTTAGAGATATACCTGTTTGATAAGGTACTTCTTCGAAATATCTACTAAAAATAGCAGATTTTACAATCTACTCTATAATATCTACTTTTGAAAGATCTGTTTTTATTTTAGGATGTCTTTTCCATTATGAAGGAATAGCTTCTGATTCTAAATATTCTAATAATTATGGGATTCCATATCCAGTTTCGCATGAAATAAAAAATTTATGGTCAAACTTAGAAAGATCCTCAATTTCTGAAACTATCCAATTTAACTTTTTTTTATTTGTACATAAATCCATTTTATTGACAACTAAAACTTTAGGAAAAGAAGAAGAACCATATGACTCATCAGTGATATCTGCTTTATTATGATCAGTACTTAATATGTGTTTCAGCTTTTCCTTATAAACAGGATCATCTTAATTTAATTATGTAATTTAATCTATTTTTTTATTAGCTTTTTCATTATATTTCAAACTGTTTAATCTTTTAAGAGCCTCTCTTATCTTATCATCCAAGGTTTTGACTCCGTCTATCATAAAAATAGCTTTGTTTACATCATTTAAAATATCCCAAGCTCTAGTAACATATGCTTTTGAGTATTTATATTATTTAGTGATACCAGGAGTATCATAGAATAAAATTTGAGTTTGCTTTTCCAGATTAGTATGTACACCTAATATGCTTTCGTATGTTGTATTTGCCTTATTTGAAACTGCACTAATTTAAGATTTTACTATATAATTCATTAAGCTAGATTTTCCCGCATTAGGAGGACCTAAAAGTGCAACATCTAAGGATTTAGGGTTGAGGGGTTACTCAAATTCTGCTAATTCTGTATTAGGATCACGATAAACTTCAATCGGAACCTCAAATCTAGGTGTGACATAATGAATTGGCTTATCATGAGTAATTATGCTTGAATCATGAGAATCTATCTTTCTAGGATGTTATATTGGATAATATTTAGGCACTTGCTTTTCTATTTTGGTAGGAGGCTTAAATCTTTTTAATCTATCATTTATTGAAAATCTAAATCTTATAATATTGCTTAACATATTTTAATGTAATGTATTGTTGATTATCTATATGTGCTTTTAAAGTTTAAAATCTTATTTAATTTTTAAATAATGGTCTTCTTCTACTTTGTCTCTATGGATATATAATTAAATTATTTGATTGTTAAAAATCTATAAAATTAGCCAGATATTTTGAATTGATAAAACATAATAATTTTTAACTAATTTTAATAGCTAATTCAAAGAATATTCTCTGAAAAAAAAATTTACTAAATCTTTTATCAGTTTCTGAAATCATTATAATTAAATTGTTTTTAAAATTTAATAAAAAATAAATTTCTTTTTTAACAAAAATGAAATCCTTAACCAAATAAATCCTCTAAAATAAATTAAAATCAAATCAATTTTGATAAAAAATAGAAACTTCAAATTTCATTTCATAGAATTGTTAAACTTTGGTACTCATTAATAGCTAAAAAACATAGAAAATTTCATAAAATAAAAAATATTTTAAGCTAATTAATTATATTGAGTATAAAAAAATCAAACAAAAACCTTTTTCTTTTAGTAAATTAAAAAATATTTTAATTACCATAATATTATTAATATTTTGCTAATAGAACTAACTAGCTACAAATGAAAAGTATTGTCTTTCTTATGATTTATGTATGATTTATAAAATTAAAAATGAATTTATCTGAATGAAATCTGAGCTCAGATAAATCATACAATATAAATAAATAAATAACTATTAAATTATTTTAAATAAACAATAGAAACTTCAAATTTAGCTTCATAGAATTATTAAACTTTAATAATTAATTATGGCTAAAAATTGTTAATTTATTTCATAATAAATGAATATATTTTTAAAGGCAAGAAAAAAGTAAGAAAATCATAAAATATTTTAAATATTTATTTCGATAATAAAAAAATTTAATAAAAATATTTGTTTAATTTATATGAATTAAAAATATATTTATGTGACCTAAATAAAATTGTATTAGTTTTAATTTTAGAAGTAAAGAGATAACTATTCTTATATATACTAAAATGAATTTATCTGAATTAATTCTTTTATATTTTTATAATAAACTATATAAATTTACTATGCAATAAAAAATGAAATCCTAACTCAAATAAATTCTCAAATATAAATTACTGTTAAATTAGTGTGGATAAAAAATAGAAACTTTATTTCATAGAATTGTTAAATTTTTATAATTAATTATATAGAAAAAAATAGAGAAAAATTAATGATAAACGAATATTTTATTTTTTTAAGCAAAAAAATAAATAAAAAAATATTTTTTCAAAATTATTTCTAAAATCTAAAATTTAATAAAATCATAATTTTAAAAAGACCAAAATAAAATTAAAAAAATTTTATCAATAGAATTCAAGGAATTATATTTATTTATAAAACTGAAAATCAATTTATTTATCTAATTTATGGCTTTTGATTTTTTTTTATAAATAAAATAATTTATTCTTATTATTAAAGAATGCCTAAAAAAAGCTTTTTACATTAAAAATAATTAAAAAATAAAATAATATTTATCATCATTTTATGTGAAGATAGATATCTATCTTTAAGGAATTAATCAATCATAAAAGCAAAGATTATTTATTAATTATTTTTAATAACTTATCTTGAAAAGAAAACTGTAAATTTTAATAAATAAAAATTTTCAAATTTTTGATATAAATTAATACAATTTGCGTATTGATATTTCACATTTAAAAAGTCATAAAGCACATTTAGGAAATAATTTTAAGAAATGGAATAAGAAAAAGCAGTAACTGATATGGACATCAACGAGCTTCGTAAGCTCATGATTGGTAAAGCTATCATAAATGTAAAAATATTTATTTTTTACAAGGAAAGAAAGTGATAGATTAAAAGAAGAAACTTTCAGATTGTTTATTTACATGATTGTCATATGTACTTTTATATTTAAAAAGAGTTCTGATATGTAAGGAGATCTTTTACAAGAAGCATAAGATGTTATATAATCTGGTATTGAAAATAACTCTGCACCCGTTTTAAATATTGAGGTAGATTTTTACTTTAGCTTTAAACCAACTATTTAACAATTTTGAATAATCTCTAATATATTATTTAAAATACATAAAGGCTGCATGCAAATATATTAAAGAAAATCTTGATAAAAAATTTGGTCCAACTTGGTAATGCATTATTGGTAAATTATTATTCTTAAATTTTATCATATTTTTTGTATAATATTTACATATTACAAAGCTTATTAAGTTATTTATTTATTTGCTCATTTCTTAGAAAGGAAAACATAAATATTTATTTATTTACTTATAAAAATAGGAGAAGGATATGCTTATGATGTTACAGTGTAAAATAATACTTTACTATTTATGTTTTACAACGGAAATTTGGCTGTTTTGATTTTTAAGAGTTGAGCACAAGATAAAATAAATTTAGAATTTAGTTTAATTTTTGTGAGGGATATATATAAGAAATATTTCATGATAAATTTAAAAATAAAAAATCTTTAACAACAAAAATTATTTATTAATAAAGTTAAAATATTTTTTATATTTGTTTTTTATTGATTTTGAAAGATAGTTTTCAAAAATTATTCAATTTTTTTCATATTTATTTTTTATTAGTTAAAAAATTGATATTTCAATTATATATTTTGTAAGTAAAAAATAAAGAAAATTAAATATAAAATTAGCAATAAAATAATCAATTTATCCTTTCATCAATTTATTTTGATTATATTTTAAATCATTTTACTTAAAATTATCTTTCAAATAATAAATAAATAAATAATATTAATTATATCAATCATAAAAGTTAATTATTCAAAGATAGTTAATATTTAAGTCTAGAAGAAAATTGGAATTCGATTAGATTTTGCAAAAGCATAATTATTAATGAAATTAAATTTCATTTAATTTATATAAAAGGTAAAATTAACTTGAGAAAATTGAATAGATTTTCTGTAGACCTATTCATATTTTTTAATTTAAAAGCTAATTCACTTAATGTTAAAAATAAAAAAACTATTTTATTACATTCATAATTTTAGCTAAATTATTCTTTCAAACAATATAATATAATAAAATTAAAAAATATGATATTTGTATTGATTTTTATTAGATATATTATTTTATTTTCAAATTTACTTTAAATAGATTATTTGCAGCTAATTTTCGATAAAGTTTTTAAATTTTTTTCCCTTAAATTAATTAATACATCATATATTCTAATATATCATATTATAAATAAAGCATATTATAAATATAAATTTATTTTAAGCGATATTTGTAATTTTAGTTAAATTTTAAATAATTTAATTTTAATTTGAGTTTCCTCTAGTTGAATTGATAATACTTTCAACCACTTAGTTTAAATAAAAATAACTAGATTAATTATGGTTTTTGTATTTATATTTATTTGACATATATATTCTTCATTTTTAAAGTTAAAAATAAAAGAAATTAATAACTTTTTTTAATTTAAATAATATTTGTAATTATTAATTTTTTTAATCTTATTTTAATTTGGTTTAGATCAAGTTTATTAAGTTAAACTTTAAAACAAAACAAAAAAAAATTAAAATAAACATGGCATTTGTTTTAATATTTTTCGCATATTTCCTATAATTAGAGCAAATAAAATAGATTATTTTTATATGTAAGCATATTTAATTAGGTTTTATTCTATCTTAATCTATAATATTTTAATCAAATAAAAATAGCATTTTTACTGATTATTTATTGAGATATTCTTATATTTTTATTTAATTTTTTAAATTTAATTAATTGTTAAAATTCTCTTTTTAGTATTTGAGTAAATATAAAATATTAGATGATCAAATATATTAAAATTTAAATAAATTTGTATACTATCTTCCATTTGCTTTTGCAGTGGCTTCATAAGTTTTATTTCTAAACATTAAAATAAAATAAAAGGTAAAAAAAAACATGATAAATTTTTTTGATTTTTGCTGCAAATGCCTATTTAATCAAACACAGATATCTATTAAATAACCAAATAGAGAGTTATAATTATAAACATATCTACAACTATATCATCGTAATTTTATTATTAGATAGTAGATAGTAAGTAATTGCTTTGAAGCAAGATACATAAAAACAAATAAATTTATATAATAAGTGAGTTTTTGAGGATTTGAGATATCAAGATTGTTAATTTGTTTTAATATTGTTTAAATAATACAAATAGTTTTTTAGTGCAATTTACAATAAAAAATTTAAGATTTTTATGTATTAGTTTTTTATATATATATTAAGTCGTTAATAAATAATACACATAATCTCAAACACCAGCAGCAGCAGCCTTCATAGCCATCTTTTCCTTTTGACCACCTCTAACGAGACCAGTTCTTCTGGCAGCTCTGAGACCGACCTGAATTATTAAAAAAAGATTAGGAAATGTTAATTAGAAAAAATACTAAAATTGAATTAATTATAGAGAATAAGCAAATTACCTTTTGACCAGCAGAAGCCCACTTGGAAACAGTAGCGGGGTGACCGATGTGTTAATGGTTACCACCACCGTGAGGATGGTCGACGGGGTTCATAGCAACACCTCTAACTCTGGGCCATGACTTTCTCTTTCTAGCGTATTTGTGGAATTGGTTACCGGCCTTGAGGATGGGCTTATCAGTTCTACCACCACCAGCGACGATACCAACAGTAGCTCTGCAAGAACCAGGAATGGTCTTTCTGGCACCAGAGGGTAATCTGATTCTGGTCTTGTCACCATCTTCGGAGTGACCAATAATGGTGGCATAACAACCGGAGGCTCTAGAGAAAGTACCTCTGTCACCAACCTTTTCTTCGACGTTGCAAACAACAGTACCTTCGGGGATTCTGTTGATGGGAAGAACGTTACCGACGGCGATTTGAGCCTTCAAACCGCAGTAAACGTATTAACCGGAATATTAACCTTCAGCGGCGATGAAGTGTTCTTTGTTAGTCTTGTATCTGTAGGGATCTCTGAAAGCAACTTCAGCTAAGGGAGCACCTCTACCAGGTTCGTGGACGATGTCTCTGATGCAACCTCTGATGTAACTATTTTTTATAAATTCAACAAAAGGTTAAAAATATTTAATAAATAAATAATGAGTTTTTATATCAAAGTATGTATGTAAACAGATAACAAATTTCTCATCATTCCTCTCTAAAATTAATTTCTTTATTTATTTATTTATTTGCAAAATTTTCTATACAAACACTCTTAACCACCTTCATTGATTATTTATTATTCATAATAATTGTTTGATAAATTCTACTTGTTGATTTTACTTTAAATTCATTTTTTCATTATATCTAAATAAATTTAAGCTTGCTCATAATCTCTTGTAAGAAAGAAATAAGCCTCAAAATATTTATCTAAATAAAAACTTATTTGCTTAATGAATTTGTTTGTTTGTTCAATTGAGGAGCTTATTCCCTTATTGACTTATTAGTTTATCTTTGCTGCTAAATATACTTTTTTTGCTCATTCTGTTGTTTTCTAAATTTTTTCTTGAGATGATTAATAAAAAAAAATTCTTCTACTGATTAATTCTAAATATAATTCTTTAACTCTCTCTCTCTTTCTATCATTCTTTCTTTCTAACTTAGTTGATTTCTTAGCGAAAGGCTTTTATATCTTTCAGTGTGAAAATAGCTCATATATTTACTTGTACAATACATTTATATATGTTATGGTACGCAAATCCCACTAAATGAACAATGACGAAATAATTTAAATGTTTTATCTCTTTATTTCCTTTTTTATCAGACAGAACCTAAAAGCTAAATAAAATTATTCTTGTACCATATTTGTGATTTTGACTTCAAATAAAACCTAACTTCATTTATTCATTCATTAAATGCATTATAACTTTTCTTTTGAAACCTTAAACCTCTTTTATCTTATTACATCTTACTTAAACGGGGTTTAGAAATAATTTAAAGGCTATCTTTTCTAAATTTAATTGTTGATTGATTTATTGTGGGATTTATTTTCTACTTTCACTTTGTGTAGAAGAGAGAGTTTAGCTATTTTTAATGAATTGCTAATAAACATTTCTAATTTCCTTTTTATTACTCCTTGCTTGTGAAGACAAACTTGCAAGAATTCCTATTGCAGTTGTTTGTTAATCGAATGGGAGTATTGAGAAGAAAATATGTTAGATTAGGTTTTTGACAAAGGATTGTTTGTATTATGAGAGTGAGAAAATATATTATTTGTTTGTACATTATCAAAGTTATGTTAATTACCCTTATCTTTCAGCGAAGTCGTAAACTCTGTATTGAGCGGGGGCGATTCTACCACTCTTGTGAGATTTGTAGACACCATTAGCACGACCCTTTCTTTGAGCTATATTATTTTAAATAAGAGAATTGTTTAGATAGGAATGATTATAAATATGAGAAATGAGAGAGCAAGAAGTTTGAAGAGAAAGATGTTTGACTGATTGATAATTAACAAAAGAAAAGTATTATTTATTTCTAATGATTTTAGTGATTGATGGATGGCATTTTTTTGCATTTAAACCAATTAAATTAAATTGAATTAGCCAAATCATTAGTCATTTGCTTTCAGCTTGCTATCCTTCTTGCTCCCTCATTAAAATTGACAATCGTTGTCTTTAAGTTTATAGTACCTCTGATAACTCTACCCATTTCTTATTATTTCTTTGGTTTCTTTTATTTATCTTTGTTTTTTAGCCTTTTTTTATTTTAAAAATTCCTTTGATATTAAAACCTTCTTATCAAATATCTTTTTTCCCCCCAAAGCAATTGCCCTTAATTTCACCCTAATTCTTTCATCTCCCAGTATAAATATATTTCACTATTCCTTTTTTGCTCTTATCATTTTTTTCATTTCTCCATATAAGCCTCACTAAATGTTATTCATTTTATAATATTTCTTTTAACTGATAAGCCATTTATTACTGCTTAGTAAATTCATTCATTCATTATTTCTTTACTTATTCTATTCATTTTTACTGCATTTTCATAGTCTTCCCTTCATTTAATTAATAGCTATCTCAAAATGAGTTTTTATAAACATTTGCTTTGCGAAAAATAATTTGCGAGACTCTATAATATATCCTACTATCATTTTTATCTCAATAGCATAAAAAAAAGAAAAATTTTACTTAGGTGTTTATAAGTTAATATAAAATATTAATAAATTATTTATATAATTAATTCTTTTGAATCATCTCAATGTAAGAATATAATCAATCTTTTATCTTTAAAATTTATTTTATTTTTCTATTTTATAATCAATCAATAAATAAATAAATCAATCAATCAATCAATCAATCAATCAATCAATTTTAATTTTTAGATATTGAGAATTAATTTGATATTCACTATCAAATATTTTTATATGGCATTAATTAATTAGATACTTTTAAATTTAAATTAAAAACTATTAAATAATTTTATTTTTTTTAAATAAAATAACAAAAACAATTTTTGGTAGAAAGAATTAAATTTGAAGCATTATTTTAATAAATTTTCTTAATAATTTTTCATAAATATTAAATACATTTTTATTTAAATAAATCACTTAATAAAATTATATTTTAAAAGTTTAATTTTATTTTGCTTTATTTTTATATAATGTAAAAATAATTTATTTAAAATTATTACAGACAATTTTATTGCAGCTAAAATATTTTTAATATAAGTAAAATAAATATAAAAAAGTAAATCATAAATAATTTAAAATTAGAAGAATTAAAGTTACTTGTTATGAATTCTTTTTAACTTTATTTTATATTTTTAAATAATTTAAATTATTAGTTTAAAACTTTTTAATTATTTTAAAAATATTTTAAAATTATATGCAAAAAAAATTTACAACCAGAAAGAAATGAAGAGTGCTAATAAATATTAGAGTAGTAAAAGCTAATTAAGTAATATTAATGATAGTATCTGCAAAGAAAATATTAGGAAATTATTCAATTTTTGCTATTTAATATATGGCTTTTGGTTATTTTTGATAATATGGATTAATCTTTTTACAAATGAAAAATAATCAAAAAATTTTATGTAAGTAAGTGGCTTGAGTTAAAAATCATTAATTTAATTGAAGGGTGATTTTTCAGTAAAATTTAGATATTGATTGATTCGCTATCATAGTCTATAAGAAAGTAGGTAGGGAGTAATTTTCAAAAACTAAAAAGTCTTAGACTACCATAATTGATATCTACTTATTTAATAGCATAGTATTTTTGGTGAAATATTTTATTCAAATAGTATTCACTCACGTCTTTTCTTCATTTTTTTGAATCGTGATTATCAGCTGCTCTTACTTGCTTGTTCAATTTTGAGATAGTGATTTTGTCTTTTGTTTAACTGAAAAAAAAAATTCTAATTAATACTGTAAAAAATGTTAGATGAACCTCTTCCTATAATGGATAAACAGCGAGTTATAGATATTTAAGAAAAACCTAGACTAAAATATGTAAAAAATGAACAAGAATTTCTCTTGCATCATAAGACTGCGCATGATAAATTTATGAGAGGGAACTAAAACAATAATAGGAATTTATCTTTAATGAATTTTACAATTGAAAATACTTCTTCTGTTATACCAAATTCTAAAAGTTAGAATTAAAATTAAAGGGGAATCCAATAAAATTATTTACAAAGACAAGCAAAAAGACAATCAAGAACTGGGAAATCACTAGCTGGGAGAACTCAAAATAGCTCTATTTAAAATTAACCCTAATAAGAAACCAAGAAGAAAGAAAAAAATATTTTAGTGGACAGCAGCTCAAATTTGGAGGAGTTATAATGGGGAGAATAAGATTATTAAAAAAATCATGATTGCCAGCTAGACTCTGAAACAAATAGATGCAAAATTTGTGGTAGTGTTATGAAATATTTTTATCATAGTGGGGATTAATTGCTGTAAAAACCTTTTTCCATATATTATGTTGATTATCATAAGACTTTCTCAAGAAAATTAGAATGCCATACTCTTCCAAAGTTTAAATAGAAATAATTTCTAATTATCAATTATCTTCCGTATATGAAAGAATGGGCTTACTATGTTTTAGACAGGCAAAAATATTACGGATTAGAAGAATATATTTATGAATAAAAGTTTAGCATCTTAGATTCTTCCTCCACTACTTTTTCAATTAAAAATCAGCAACCAGTTGATTAAAGCGAAGGTTAAAATATAAATAAGTCAATTCAGCATTCTTAGTCTGCAGCCCAATTCATGAGTAAGTTTATTATGTCATAGAGAATCCCATTCTCTTTAAAATAGTAGCTGCCCTAATTCAAATTTGAATGCATAAAATCAAAGAATCAGAGATCTTTATCTCTACACAATTCTTAGGTGTTAACTAATTAAACAGATTTTAGAGAGATTCAGTAATACAATGAAAGTACAAATTAAAGTAATCAAGAAATTACCTTTGGCTTTGATACTTTTACTGTGCTTGGTAATTTTGAAAGTTCAAATATAAATTTCTGCACAGTTGATAAGAAGGAGTCTAAATGTTAAATTTTATTGAGAAGTGATACAAATACTAAAGGCTGCTTGCATTGGTTTATGTTTACTGTTAAAATAAATAATTTATTCAAAACAAAAAAACAAACAGAATAAATAGATAACAAAGAAAGTATAACCATAGAATAGGAAGAAAAAAACTAAACTATAAACTAAGATGTTGTTAATTAAAATGATTAGAGCTTTGACAAGAAATGGATAGTAATTGAAGATGATGATTAGGATGTAGAAGATAAAAAAGAAATAGAAGAAAATTAATCAAAGACAATTACTTTTAGTATTTTAAATAATAAAAGAAATGGATATTTATATAAAGAGGGGATGTAAATAGCTATATTTGATTCTTCTAAACCAGATAAAGGCTGGCACAGAGGAGGAGAAAATATTTTTTACTATAGAAGCAATGTAGATCACTAATTTTTCTAAGCTAATAACGAAAGTAAAAATCAATAAAGGAATTCTATTTTAGGAAATAATAATATAAATGGAAATACAGCAAACTTAAATCAAAATATATAAAATGGTAGTTATAATAATAGTAATTAAACTGATGCATTAAATAGTAATACTAATCTATATTCTAATTTAAATTAATAGCTCCAGTCAACTTTGATTTAGCCTCAAATTTAACCAAACAGCAAAAGAGGATTCTAAACTATGGATTTTAGCTTTACCTTTACAGAGAATGGATAAAGAGTCACCTTTGCTTACTGCTATCCCTACACTTTATCTGATTTAATGTCCTACTTAGAATAGTAAGAGCAAAAGCTCATATATTCCTTTTTAGAATATTAGAACTTAGATTAATAAAAGAAGCAGTTAATAATTAAAACAAGCAAAGTATTGTATAAAAAAAGAACCATTGCTACTTCAAGGATAGGCCTACCTATAATTCTTCTCAAAATAACTTCAAGCAAAAACCCTAAGTTAACGAAAAATAAAAAGAAGAAAAAAGTTATTTTTATAATAGCTCGCTAGCATCCAGGAGAGACTCCATCTAGCTTTGTCTGTGAAGGATTTATTTCTTATCTGTTGACTGACACTATACAAGCTAAATATCTTTTAGATAATTATATATTTAAAGTAAATTTATATTAAAATATTTACTTTTATGTTTATACTATTAAAAATATAACTATTAATAAATAAATAAAAAATTAATAGATAGTTCCGATGATGAATCCTGATGGAGTTGTTGTAGGAAATAGTAGGTGCAATTTATCAGGATCAGATTTGAATAGAAAATGGGATAATCCTGATCCTGTCCTTCATCCTGAAGTATTTGAAGTAAAAAAGGAGATAAAAAAATCGCATCTGAAAAGAGAAGTTGCTATTTTCTGTGACCTCCATGGACATTCAATGAAGAAGCATGCTTTTTTTTATGGATGCAACAAAACTAGTGATGGAGGTGCTAGCACTTGGACTCAAGTAAGGCTAATACCTAGAATACTTTCTAAAAAAAACCACTTATTTAGTATTAAGGATTGCAAATTTAGAGTAACTGATGACAAAAAGAATACAGCTAGAGTCATTTGCTGGAACGAATTAAAGATTTCTAATTCTTTTACATTAGAAACTTCATTTTTTGGGTAAAATTCTTTTAAAATTTTATTTTTTATTCATTAATGTCTAATTATTTATGTGAATATAATTTAAGCTATGATGACTTGCAAAACGATGGCAAACCAACTCATTTTACTACATAAGACCTTTCTAATCTTGGAAAAAGTCTTTGTGAAAGTATAGTAGAATACACTCTTGTTATGGACATTCTGATGGCTGAGTTAGTAGAGACAAGAGGCTGGCTCAAACCTTTTAGGTTGTTTCAGCTCACAGGAGAGAGTGCTTAAAATAAAATACTTCGAAATATGAAAGAGCAAAAGAAAATTGAAAAGCAAAAAAGAATTGAAAATAATTTGCTAAACATTCAGCAGGAAAAAGAAAAGAATCTAAATAATTTATAGCAATAGATAAAGCAAAAAGAAAAAAGATGTCTTACACCTTCACTGATAAATGGGAACACAAAAAAGGATACTAACTTTTTGAATTCTCCAGACTGTGCAGGTAAAAATAATGCAATTAGAATAATTTTTATTTTATAATAAAAAAAAATAAGATGAATTACTGAAAAGCAACGACTTAGATAGTAAGCAAGAATTGCTCCTTCAGTTATGTCCTGATATGAAAGTAGACTGGAGAGATTATTTTGGAAAAGATGAGCTAGAAAAGGCTTTTAAAAAAATAGATAAGGGAGAAGATCCTAATGACTAAGAGAGTGCAAGTGGTTCAGATAGCGAAGCAGAGGTTGACATATTCAAAGATAAAGAGCTTCAACTATCAAATGAAGCTAAAAATAGAAAAAAATCTAAGAAGAAAAAGCAACAGACTATTAAAGAAAAAGAAAAAAATGGTAATAATCTTGTAGAAGTCAAGATCAATAATCAAGGTGATAACAATACTAATAACTCCAACTAGGATTAGAATAACAAAAAGAAACCCTTAACAGTATATTCTTAAAGTTAGGAAAGAAATAGATGGAACCCTTCTCCTATCATATAAAATTATAAGCAGCAACTGGAAATGAAAAAACAGTAATTAAAAAAATAATCTTATCCTATAGCAAAAGTTGGATAAAATTTTGCATCTGCCTACTAAACTTAAAACTAAACAAACCAAGAAATTCAAAATTCTGCAAATAATCAACCCTCACAAGCAACAAGTTAATAAAGTTCACCACAACAAACATATAAAAATTAGTACCCACCTGCTGCACAGGCATTCAACCAGTATCCAACTAATGCATATGCCAAAAATTCTGTTAATGGAACTTACTTAGAAAAAAAACTGATTGAACTTTAATAAGTTTAGCTAAATTAGTCATACTAATATAATTAAAGTAGAAATTCTTAATCTACAATATACTAAAATTTAGCATAATATAAATAAAGAAATAGTGTTATGGTTCCTTTTGAAGATAACAGATAAAATACAAACACAAGAGGAATATCCTCATCTAATAGTGAAGCCAATCCTGCATTCAGATTGAATACATCTGATATTTAATCTAGATTATATGAAAATTAAAATATTCCTATTAGCAATAACTCTAGTAGGAATTATGGCAAATAATCTACTTCTAATAGCACTAATTCTTCTAATTTAGCCTAATAAAATACATTTGCAGTCAGAAGATCAAGTTAATTTCAATAGAAATAAAATTAAGAAGATAATCAGCAATTTGAAGAAAATTAAGAAAAACAAAGTTTAATAATAAAAAGCCAAGGAAGCACTAAAAATGGCATTTTAGAAAGAAAACACAAATTAACTAACCAAAATATTACAGAAAGTAGTTAAAAAGCATTTATTGTAGACGATGATGATGAGTAAGATGAAGAGCAATCTTAATTTGAAACCAAATTTAAGAATAGCATAGATTACATGGGAAAAGCTTAAAGAACTCCAAAAAATGTACATAGTTAAATTAAAAGCTTTGAATAATTACCACCAGATACAGCTATCTTTGAAGATAAAAAAAATTAAATTATGGTTCAATCTCGTTTAAAGTTGGAAAAGATATAAGCATGCTCAGTTGGTGTGTAAGATGAATAAGAAATAAATTAAATAGAAGTCTAAATATTAAACTAAAAGAATAATATGATTAATTAAGAGAATATGTTACAAACAAGTAACTTACTTAATAAAAATTTTAATGACAGTATATCTAATTTTAAGTAGAAAAACGCTTAAAGTGACAATAGAAGTAATAATAACTTTCTTGAAATACCACACAACTTTGTAAGTTTTTCAAGTAGTAAAAAAGGGATTTAACAATTTTATGCTGATGAATAAGCTTAATCTAGTGGTTCAAATTCAAATAGCAATAATATTTAATACAATTAAACAAATAATTACAATTAAAGTAGCTCAAACTCAGATATAATTAATATTACAGATGATTTATAATTAACCAATAAGGAATAAACTACTAAATAAATTGCTAAAAATGCTTCTAACTTTGATAGAAAGATAAGAGCATAAGCTCCTTTAAGACAATTTTTAAATACTGACAATATTAGCTAGATAAGTAGTTTTAATTCTAACCAGCAAAGTGATAAACATGCCAGCAACAATATGTTTGGTTAATAAATTTTAAATAACAAGTATTTAAATCAAGAGAGGTTAGCTGCCATTTCATTAAATAACACAACTAGAAATTTTAATAGCACAAACTACTCTCTCGCTTAGAATAAACATAAAATCAAAAAGCACAGAGCTAGGTCAATCCAAGAAACAAAAGCATAACTATAAATTTAATAACAATTGATAAATAACAATTTTAATACATAAACTTCTTAATAAGAAAAATTAAATTTTTCAACAGATGAACAAAAGCTGTAAATGTATCAATTTGATAATGGAAATAATTTTGTAGCATTTAAAAATTTTTCCAACCAATAATATTAGCCTTTTGCATAAAACAATATAAGAATAAGAAAACTAAATTTTATTTGAAAAAATTAATTTTATTTTTTTTCAACTATTTGTTCAATTAACAAATAATAAAAATAAGAATACTAGTATCAAATTATTTTCAACCAAATTTATCAAAAATTATATTCTACCTATCTAAGTAAGTATGTAAAACCTGTAAATATATATTTATTTCTTATTTAGTTATCAAATATTGCATCACTTTTCTCAATTTAATCTACTATTTTTCTATTTAAAAATAATTTAAATTTTGTGATTTTAACAAAATAAATTTCCTCAAATTAGCTTAATTTATATTTTAATTATATTTTAAATTATTTAATTAGTGTAAAATATAAAGAGTACAAAATTTACATAAATTTTTTTCAATTATAAAAACTTTTTTTGTTTTAAAGTTTAAAAAACTTTTGAATTAAAACATAATAAATTATAAATTCTCAAAAATAGAATTATTTTAGATTTAGGATTTCTTTTTCAAAAAAATAAAAAAATATTCAATTAAGAATAAATTCATTTTACTTACCTTTAATTTGAACCCTGAAGTGAATAATTTTTTTTTTAATCGAAAATCTGTTTGATAATTTGTAAAATATATTTTATCTATCAAAAATAGATAATGGGAAAGTAAATAAGAAATTATTTTATTTTTGAGTTTTTAGATTAGTTAAAATAACTTCATTTAACATTTTAACTTTAAATTTTTGATGTAGATTTTTGATAAAAATATAAATGATTTCCAATCAGCTTACTTAGTCCATCACTTAAATAATTTAAAAATATTTTTAATGATTAATAACATGAAATATAAGGAAATAAATATTTCAAAATAATTTTTAAATCACACAAAAAAAATATTTAATTTATTAATAATAATTTTAATATAAAAAAGAATTTTGAATGAATTTTAATTTAAGATATTTAATAAAATTTGAATAAAAAATAAAACTACATGAAATAATTTTTATTTCTTTACTATATTTTAATCAAATAACTTTAGGGTAGATTTCATTTTATGGCTGAGCTTAGCTAAATTTTAGATTATAAAGAAATTGTGATAAAAATAAACAAACATAAGATGATTTTTCTGAATACTAGAATAAAACATTTTTTTATATTAAATTTATTATTTTGTTTTTTCATTAATTAGGGAATTATTATGATATACTAGGATGACGCTATCTGTCCTCTGGTCTAAACCTGAATTTCTTTGAATACTTAGTAGGAAGTGTAAAAGGCAAAAATTGAGTTAGGTACTTCACTTTGTGATCAGATTCTTTATAAAGGAATTTCATAGAAGTAGATAATGAAGGTTAAAGAGTACTTTCATTATCTTCAAACAAATACATGACGACTGCCCAACATATCATTGCTAAATGAGGGTAAAAACTCCAATTAGGTAGTAACCCTTTTTTAATTAGTAATTCAGCGCTACCTTGTATGACACGAGAAAATAAATATAAAACTATTTAGGTATTAACTCCGCTCTTTTCTCCAAAAATCAGTCCTCCGCAAATAGCACCTGCAATTAGAGAATGAAAAGGAGATTATACTCCTCTTAATCTATTAAGTAAACATACAAGAGACTTGTATGAAAAGACGTATGTACCCAAGTTTCTAGCATGCTCTAAAGTAAGTGTAACAATATGTGTAATTTTACTTTTAAGTGATCCTTTTTTAAATAGTATTGTCATAACCAAAGCATGCATAAAGCGAATTTTAGCTCCATAGTATAAGCCATTTCTCAAACCTCTTACAGAAGATACAACACAAGACTGGTGGTTACAAGGAGCTTTAGAGACAAATGTTTCCATAACAAATTTTTAAATAAAAAATTGGTTTTCTTAATTTGCTTTCATTTTGTTAGAAGTAGAGTCGTTTTAGTATAATATTATCAATGAGCTATAATACCGAATTATTTTGATGCCTTTATTTGATTTAATATTAGGATAATCAATGAATAAATAGAATCTTAAGATTGCTTAATCTCAATATTATCAACATAAAAAAACATTAGAGTGAATCAAAAATTATATGTATAATTAAACATTTTTAAGAAAATATACAGAAAAAGTAAGAATTTTAAAAATTGCATTTTGAAAAGCAAGTTCAAAATGGATTTATTTAGAATCTAAAATGTATTTTCTGAATATTATTTCATTTTTAGAAGTTAATTATCTTCATAATCTTTCTTATAAATAACTTTTAATTAATCAAATTTTGTATTAAACAAAGAAAACAAAATATTTTATAAAAAAGTTAATTAAAATTAAATTGGATTTTGTCTATCATTTTTAAATCTCTCATTCAAATTAAAATTATAAATAATGTTTAAAAAAATTAAGAATATGTTAAAAAAATCTAAAATTATTTTAACAAACTGAAATCAAACATTTGCATATAAAATAATAATAAGTTTAATTTAATAAAGAAACTAAAACGTTATTAATTAAAATGATAACAATTTAATGAATTAGATGTAGTCTTAAAATTTATTTTGAGCCTAAGGTATTTAATTTATCAATAAGCCTACAATAGCTTGTTAAGCTAAGAAGAAATATTTTCTTTCATGATAAAAAATGAATAATCATTTGATAGCTTACCAAATTTTTCAAGCCTTTTATTCAAATTAAAATAACTAATAAAATCTTTTAAATATTGATAGAAATGAATCTAAAATTGTTTTTAAAAATTCAGATATAAATATTAAAATGATTCTTTAAAAATTGATAAGTATACTTAAGTTCAAATATTTAAAATTTCTTATAGATTAAAAATAATCAAGCAAATGTTTTTATATGTATTTAAATTAAATAAAGAAGTAAAATAATAATAATTTCATTATGAAAATGTAGTCTTAACAATCGTTCAATTTAAATCGTAAATTATATTTATTTCCTATCAAAAAGTTTATTGAATACTTTAACAAAAATATTTGTTCATTTTAAAAATCAAATTGTTAAAAAAATGTTAATAAGCCTATATCATTAATTAATTAAAGTTAATAAAATCAAAACATTCATTAAAAAATAAAAATTATATTATAAATACATATAAGTAAAATAAATATTTTAATTTAATAAAATTAAAAACTTGTAATATTTATTAAATTATTTAATAAATTTAAATTATCAATTTAAGGACATAGCTTTAGAAGATATTATTAAAATTTTATTTTATTAGTTTGATATTATCTTCAAGTTTTATTTATATTAAATTTTTTTTACTAAGATAATATTAATTCTTTAGATGTTAAAATCATAATAATAAAAATAATCAAATTTAAACTTTAATAACAAAATGTTTTATGTTAATTGCTTTAACTTTTATTTATTAAGCCTATTTTAGTGGAAAGCTTTTTTTTAAAATCAAAATTTTATATTAAAGATTGAAAAAGGGTTTTTGAAATGTTTTAGATTTAACTTTAAAATTTAATTTAGGGTGTTAAAATTATCATTAATAAGTAAAATTTAGTTTGAGATTAACTATTCAGATAATAAATAAATAATTGGAATGATTGATTGATTTAAATGCACACTTTAATTGATTTTTGAATGAAGAATCTTGAATATTTTTATAAAAGATACAAATAAATTAGGCATTATTGTTTAATTTAAGTTAAAAAGATTGATAAATAAAAGAAGTATTAAGAATGTCTCAATTTTTAGCAAAAGCCGTTCGTAGTGATTTAACCTAATTGTGTTCTTAAACACTTAGATGGAATAAGAAAGGTAAGGTTAATGAAGCTACCGTTCAAGCAAGAAAAGAAAAAAAAAGATTGAAAGAAACCAACCAATTTACAGGTGATTACACTGGTGAAAGACCACCTCATCCTTGGTTGAGTGCAAAGAGACTTAGATCAATTATGACTTAGTATTAGGTTTTCGCAAATAAAAACAGACTTAACATTAAAGTTGATAAAAAAGATGCTGTCGAGATGAAAAAATAGTTTGAAGAAATCGGAGCACACGAAGTAAGCCATTTAGCAATTAGTTTATTTAAGACATCATCATTTATTGTTTTTAAATTGCGAAAATATAATGATAAATTTAATTCATTTTGCAAAGATTAGTTTTCAGAAAAATATGTGATAAATTGAAAGAAAATTGCTTCTAAAAAATAAAAAATAACATAAAAAAATTGATGAAGGAACTCTTTTATTAAATTAAAATATTTTAAATAAAAAAGTATTACAGAATGAGAACCGAATAAATCATTAATGAAAAGAATAATCAAGTAATTGATTAAATTAATAAAGAAATAGAAACTCTTCCCTTTAATATCTATGAAGAAATAACTAAAATGCCTAAAGATAAGATATATAATTTCAACACTGATTCTAATAGTCCTTATATTTTGTAATATTATTTATTTATTATTTTCTTATTTAAATTTATTCTTAAATAAATGAATCATATTTTTCTAATTATTTTTTGTAACATCTACAAGGTACTTTGAACAAATCGCTAGAATGTTCGATGAAGAACACTTAACTAAGCTTAAGGTATCTCAAAGATTGCAAAAATTGGCTGAAGATAAGTTAGGTGAAAACGATTGAAACAATTAAATTTTATTTAAACACTTCTAAATATTTGGAAAAGCTGAATTATGCATTCATATATCTACTATACTTATAAGTATATTTGTCGTCATTATCATTTATCAAATCTTCTACTTTGTTGCTGTTTTCTCCTTTCTTCTTTACTTATTTAAAAATAAAACTATTTCTTCTTAACTGAATTAAATACATTTATTGAGATTTTGTTTTGATTTGAATTAATTTGTTGTTTACTGCAATAAAGAGATAAAGAATAACTAGCTTTACAAATATAAAATTGCAGCAGTAATTCATTCATTATTTGAATGAAGTTTTAATTTTCATAACAAATTCTATAAAATGATATTTAGATTTTTTTATGATTAAAGTAGAATTCTTAAATAAGACAGTTAATTTTTCAGCATTTCTTCAAATTTTTTCAAGCTTAGAATTAAAATATATTTTTCTGTATGAGTTTTTTTAATAGTAATGAACTACCAAATATTATTGAAGCAATTCTTGTTATTAATTATTTTGCTTTTATGAAAATATGTTTACTTAATATAAATATGATAATTACTTACAAGATTATTTCGAAATAAGAAATAACCATATATTTTTTTTTTATTAATACTATGAAGTAAAAAATTATGATCGATCTTGTTAACTAAGATAAAGTAGTATCAAATCATAAATTTAATTTCTCATTGTTGCATAAGATTTAATTATACTCTATATAAACAATCAAGATCCTTTAGAAAAATTTAGGTAATCAGTGTAAGTGGATCTACAAAAATCAAAGGAATTACATTTTTAAATTAGATTATAATTTCAAAGAATGCTATAAAAAGTGCTAAGTGATGTAATCATTCAATTTTAGCATTTTAATGAATAACCTACCATATTTATATTTAGGAAGTAATATAGATTTTACAACTGCAACCAGAGTTGCGCACTCCTGATCATTTATAAATATTAAAATCTTTTTGTCATAGCTTATCCTATTTTGAAAATTTTTATTAAGAAAGCTAAGAAGAATAAGAAGCTTGCCTAATGGCTCTGAAATATATGAAAGTCTAGCAAAATAAAAAAAATGAACATTTGTTTGATATTTGTAACTTACTATCAAATTATTTAATATCTATTTATTTTTTAATGCATTTAAAATAAGATGCTAAGCCTCAAAAGTATTTTATATTGGTTGAAGGAAGGATAAATGTTTATCAAAAACTGTAATTGCCAGTTAATTTAGAAGAACAATAGAGCGATGAAAATAATAAACTTTCTAACTTGAAAGAAGATCTTCTTTATAATGGTTTAAAACTCAGTTTACTACAGACAAAAGCAAGAGGTGACAGTTTAGGTATGATTGATCTCATTTATAAGCGAAACTACCAATCAACGGCTATATGCTAGACTGAGTGTGTGTTATTTACGTTGTCTCAAAGCGATTTTTAAAAGTATCTAAAGAATTATGAGCACAAAAATATGATGAAAACGATTTAATTTCTCTCTTCGATACCTCACTTTTCTAACTAATCTTTTGGTTACTTAAGAGATATAGCTGTTAATTCTAATCTTTTAATAAATTTGAGAGGTGACACAATATATAATGAAGGACAAAGTTCTGATAGCGTCTACTTTATAAAATAAGGAGAATATGCTGTTGGTTGTTTATTCTTAGATTTATAAACATCTTTGATTTTTTTCAAACTAATTTCAAATAGATTCTAAAAAAGTATGATAGAAATTAAGCCATTACTTCTCCTATTGAAAGGATCATTTAAGACAACATTTAGCAATAGGGAGGACCTCTTTTTTTGGGATCACCAAAAGGAAAAAAGGATCTAAAAGTAAAATTAAAATATATTATTTAGCATTCTAGTTTAATCTGAATTCTAATTTAAAAGCTGAAAATTATGACTCAATTTGAAACTTTTGGAGAAGAAGATATCATTAAAGGAATAGAAACAAGGTTAAGAATAAAATATCCAAGGATTAAGTTTTCAACTTTACGTTTTAATAAATAGGAATCATACTGTCATATGTGAAAGCAGGAAAGGTGAATGCTTATAAATTAGTGCCAATTTGTTTATATAAAAGGTTATTGATTTATAAAGCACTAGAACAACTTTTGCTCAATTATAAAACCAAAAAGAAATATCTAATGTGCAGCAAGATTAAGGAAATAAAGTATCTATAAAAAATTATAAAAGCTTTTATTTCGAAGAAAAGAAATTTCAAGATCTTTCTCCTTCTAGGATGCAACAAGATAATCTGGTAAAATAGTTTTTGATTTACAAATTTGATATTTAGGTATATTTAAAATAATAAAAAAATAAATAGAAATAGCAATCAATAGACTTTCCTATGCTACAGTAACCCCACAGAAAATCAGTAAAATTTCATTTAAAATATTCAACTTATTTAAATATTTTTATACTTTGTAGCCAGTAAATGAAAGCTTTGAAAAGAGTCCAATTGCAAAAGAAAAAAAAGAAATGAGCTTTTCTTTAATAATGAATGACGATTAAAAAAAAAATTTTGAAAAATTCCCTAAAATTAGCGTTGCCCCTTCCAATACAAGCATGACCTAATTTTACAACAAAGCTAATATATAGCCTTAATCTAGTTAAATGGGTTCAATTAATGATATTCATGAAGAATCAAACAAAAAATAAGATTATTTTCTTAGCCCTTAAATAAGTGTTTAAGAAATTAATTATAAAATCAAACAAAATGAAGATGTATAGAGCTAATATGATGAAAATGAATTGTAATTTATGGAAACAAATGGCATAAAAAAACATTTGCTAAAAAAAATGTAATTAAAGCTTCATTTCAGAAGATATTCTAACTAAAACAGATCTTCTTCTTTTTCAACAGAAAATCAAATTGATGAAATAAATCACAGTAAAAAGAAGTCTGTACCTAATAACCATACCAAAAAGGTTCGCTTAGAAAACGATGCCTCATTTGGTGTTGACAATATATAAGATTTGTAAAAAATTATAACATCAAGCCATGTTAAAAATGAAATATAAACCTGCCAACCTAAAGATTTAAATAATTTTGGGAGACTAAACTTATAAAAAAATTATGAAAGGTAATTAAAAGATAAGCCTAAAGAGATTAAACAAGTTTATACATTTGAGCTTGACGAAAAATAAAGATAAAAGGTAATAGTTAGAAAACAAAAGTATAAAAACTACATCCATGATTGGAAGAAGAGCCCATCTCCTATTTAAAGTTCAAGAACTGATTACTAAGAGATTTCTTAAAAAAAAGAATTTATTTCAAGCAAATAAGTTAAGGCAATTAAAGAAGCTGCTTTTTTGTAGGACATCGAAGATAATAAGTTGAAAATTGATGAGTTAAATTAAAATGGTTTATTGTCCTCTTTTTATCACGTCTAAAGCGCTTAAAATACTTATAGACAAAACCATTAAAACACGAAGATGAATAACATTGAAAGTCCTCACCTGTAAAGTCAATCAGTTAATTCAAGCATTAACCATAAAGATGTATCAGAGAGTGCATTGAACCAATCTTGTTTAGAAACAGAGTAAAACATGATACTTTAATAACTTTCATATCCTAGAACTAAATCTCCTCTAGCCATGCTTTTAATAAATTAGTAAAATAAAGAGAATAAAAACAATCAAAAACAAACTCCATTGATATAAGATTATGTATGCACTTAAATAATTAATCCTACCAAGGAAAACAAGGAAAAGCAACAAAATTTAAATTTGAAAAGTAAGTTTTATTAAATTTTTAACAAAGAATTTTATTTTTTCTTTCAAAATTAGACTTGAATAAGATAATAAACAAAAAAACAAAAGAATAAGAAGAACTATTTAAAGAATAGAACAGCTATAGAGGCAGTGCAGCAAAAAATAAAGTATAAAATTTATGGAAATAAAAGTTACAAATTAATACAGAGAGAAGAAGAAATGCTCAATCTTAAAGAGAATATAGTCTATCTCCTTCAAAAATTAATTAAAACAAAAATGAAAATTTAAATTTTATGATACAATCACAGTCTTCTATTTAATACATTACTGATGATTAAAAAGAAATAAAATCTAAATAAAATACACTTATTAATCAAATTTCAGTAACTCCAACGCCCACACAACTGAAGTAAACAGCTGAATAAACAATACACTAATATGATAAAAGAGTTGCATAATAAAATTAATCTAATTAAAGCGAATACAGACTCACAAGTATTTTAACTACTCAATCAAGAGGAAAAAGGAAAAAAATAGCAAATAGTTTAGATATAAGAAATAAGTAGACATATGTGTCTAATATCTAATCTACTATCAGTCCTTCAATTTCTAATGATAATTCTAAAATTAATATAATTTCATATACTTCTGTCTTTAAGAAATAAAATGCAACATTAAATGACAACTTCAAAGACAATCCTTTAAAAAATAGCATCGAAGGAATCGATGGTTAGTAAATTTATCATTTAAAACCTCTTTATAAGTAGTGAAATTCTATCCATATTTACAATGCTTTTTTGTTTTAAATTTCCATTATTTTTGCTATTAAAATTTCTTTATTTCTTAAATAATATTAATTTTTAAAAACTTTGCTTTCTAACAAACATTAACGAATCTCTTTAAAAATTTTTAATTCTTTAAATTTTTATTTTAAAGTTTTATTACTAAATAAAAAATAATTGTATTTTATTTTCTGTAATCTACAATGAAAATTGTAATTATCTGAATAATCTTTTTCATTAAAGAAAATAAAATTTTAACACAATATTTTTTCGATATTTCTGTTAAAATTTATAAAAATAAAATATTGTTACATCTCAAATACTAGCTAGTAGTAGTCTTTCAATAAATGAATTATAAATTTAAAAATACTAATTTCAATTAAAATGCTTCAAATCAACATTAAAATTTACAAATTATTAATAAATTTTTGACTTAAATAAATGTGAAAAGAGAATATAATTTCGTTAATTTTTTAGTGTGTGTTTAATAGATAATAAAAAAGAATAACTATTTAAAATGATTGAATAAGAATAATAAAAAAATAATGAAGAAACAGCTGAAAATATTGCTACAAAAGATAAAAATTTTTCAAAAGAATACAAAAGCTAAAATGTTTCATTCAAGATTTATTCAGATTTCATTTCTCAAGGCTCTTTATTCATTTAAATTATTCTTTTTTGGTACCTAGTTCACATGAACTCTAAAGAATCTATCTTGATCCAAAAAATAGAAACTAATCTTACATTTCTAAAATATTTACCATTTGATATTAATGTTTTTTTGTGGTCAATTAATATTATAGGCTTTGTCCTCACACTTCTTCTTGTAAAAAACCACTCAACGAAGATATTTTTCCTACATTTCTTTCCTTTTATTAGTGTTGTCTTTTTTATTGTTAGCGCTTTCTACTTTCACATCATAGTGTTAAGAAAAATTAAAAATATTTTAATAAATCCTCTTTCCTATATAATAATTGGAGGTCTAACTGTAGCGTGCTTGGAACTTTTAAAAAATAAATTAGATTCGTAACTGTTTTTGACAGGGACTTTATTATTTTTGCAAAGTAATCTACTTTCTTGGCTTTTTGAATGGGTTTTAATAAATCTAAAAAATTAATCATCTGATTTAAACTCGTAATAAAGCTCTTTTTGTAAAGGTTATTTTAAAAAAATATTGGTAGAAGTTCTTTAATTAATTTTATAAATATGCTTGTTAATATTAACAATTTGGATTTCTTATAAACTAGATTACAAAATAAACTTGATTCCTATTTTGACTATTGGATGTCTTTAGCAAATTAATTATATTTTATTTAGATTTTCTTATTCTTAAATGATATAGCTAAACCTTCAAGAATTAAACATGGTTTAATAGAACGGTGAAATAAAATAGGAAAACAAATTGATTTCTCATTATGTTTTCATTTATTATATTAATCTGGTTTTCTTCTTTTCTTTGCTTTTTTGTATAACTTACTACCTGCCATAGCTTCTTCATTAATAAAAAGTATCTCATCCCTTTCCTGCAAAGCCAAATAGTACTTCTCCATTACCCCAGCCAATACCAAAGAATAATAATACTACTCCTGATCATAAGCCTAAGAATGACACAAAACCTACACCAATACCTCCAAAAAATGATAATTCCACTCATCCTAATGAAAAAAATAAAACAGATTTAAAAAATAACACTTACTACCTACCTAAGAACAATACTAAAATAGAAATATAAAACAAAAAAGATACTAAATAAAAGAATTATACAATAACAATAAAATCAAACATTACTACATAATTTCCTAAAGTAAAAACAGATGACAATATAAATGATAAAAATAAAACAGTTAATTAGGATAACCATTTATCTAATAATAATACATAATATTTATTTACAGAATTACTTTAAAAGCTTTTCTATTTAGAAGGCTACTACTTGGATATATAAAAGAAAGGAGTTAATGATTAGAACTAATCTCACACTTAAAACCACAAATAGAATGTGACAAAACAATAACCTATTTTACAAAAATAAACATAAGAATTGTATAAAAATATGAATTTCTTAGATACGACATAAAAGTAAAATGAAATAATTTTACATAAGCATTCATAAATAAATGAATAAAATAAATAAGTGAATAACCAAATTAGGTTTAAAAAGAAAAACTTTTTAGATAACAAGAGTTGAATTTGATTTAAATAAATGAAATTATTTTAATAAAAAAAATAATTTTTATGATATTTATTTATTTATAAAACATGTTATTTATATAGAAATAAATTAAATTATCAATCAGTATTTATGAGCTTTGAAATACTTTATAAATTTAAAAGATATTTTTTAAATTATTAATTATTAAATTTTTGAACTTAAACTTTAAATGATTGAAACAGGCGAAAAAGCTATTATTGGAAGCTTAAAAAGAGCTCGCAGGACAGGATAATTAACATTAATAGGTTTGGAACTCAAAGAGTTTCCTAAATAAATAGCATAGTATCAGGATTTGTAGCTGGATGATAACTGGTGGGAAATAGCTCCTTTAACAAAGCTTGATCTGTCGAATAATGAAATTAAGTAGATTCCTGAAGATTTTACTCATGAGAAGGAAATTCAATTAGTAAGAATGCTAAATAATAAACTTTTTACGCTTCCAAATTCTCTTTTTTAACTCACCTAGCTTAAATCGATAGATTTTAGTAAGAATTAAATTAAATAGCTCCCTTATTCATTAGTTTAATGCCCTAGCTTAGTTGAAATCAATTTGAGCGAAAATAAAATAGAAGAACTTCCTATGAATATGCACTACCTTTAAAACTTAGAAATACTTAATCTTTCATAAAATAACTTAAGAGCAGTACCTATATTTTTAGAGAAAACTCCTTTGAAAAAAGTGGATTTAAGCGAGAATAAAATATCTCACATTCCTTAGCCTGCTTTTTCTGGATGCCTACTTCTAGAAAACCTCATTCTTTCTAAAAATTTAATTTAACAAATTGATGAGGGAGCATTCTAAAATTTGAAGTCTTTAGTCAATCTCTATTTAGATTAAAATAGGCTAGTTGAATTTTAAGAAGTTCCATAAAGTGAAAAACTAGATTAGCTTGTGCTATCGTATAACAGGATAGAAAGTTTTACTTAATTTGAAAATATTCCTAATCTCTCAGCGCTTGTAATTAACAATAATAAACTAAAAAATTTAGATAAGAGTATCCTTATCTGCAAGAATATCAAGACTTTGGACCTAACTAATAACGATTTACCTGATATTCCCTCAGAAATAGGGTTATTACCTAAATTAGTTCGTTTTACAGTTGAAGGAAATCCTCTTAAATGCATAAGAAATACAATTAAGAATGCTGGAGCAGAAGCAATAAAAAAATATCTGCGTGATAGAATTTAAGGAGATTACACATAAGTAGAAAGCGCTATGGATCCAAAGATGAATTTTATATAAAAAAAACTGGATCCTATTGAAGTTTTATTGAGAGAATTCTATAGAAACAATGAGTTTATTGTTTCAAATTAAAATTTAACTAAGTTTGATGATGAGCGTCTTTATAACTTGAAGGGATTAACCCATTTGGATATTTCTAATAACAAAATTTAAATTATACCTGAATAGTTAGTCAATTATGAAAAATCATTGAGTAAATTACATGCCAATAATAACAATTTAATAGCTCTTCCTTAATCTATTCTTCAGCTGAGATAACTTTAAAGCTTAGAGTTTAAACAAAATAACATAGAATACTTTTTTGATAATAATTCTTAATTAAAGTAATGTTGGCAAGTATTTCCCAATCTATAACACTTGGATTTAAGTATTAATAAGTTAAAGAGTATTAGTGGCTTAATTATAAGCTTTATGCCTAGCTTAAGAGTTTTGAATTTAGCATACAATTAAATATCTGATCTTTCACCTCTGTTTTCTACATCAGCAAAATTGAATAAATTAGAAGTCATTGATGTCTCCAATAATTCACTACAAGAATTGAGTGAATAAATTGCATATACTCTACCAATGCTTCAAAATCTTAACCTAGAAAATAATAACTTATAAAAAATACCAACAGAATTAGGTTTTATGAAACTAAAAACATTAAAAATTGATGGAAATCCTTTAAAACTAATAAAGAGAGCTGTAATTGAAAAGGGTACAGTATCTATTTTAGATTATTTAAGGACTCGCCATGTTGGTAATCCGCCAACTGATTTAGCTTGCATGAGACCAGTTGTAGAGGAAATAGAAGAACAACCAGAGCAACCTCAGGCAAATATTTTAAGAAATAATGATTATCAGTATAGAAGACAAAATCATTAATATGGTTAACTTTAATAGCAGCCTGTTCAATAATAGTAGCCCAACTATGGGTTCGGTAGAGGGAATTTGTTTAAGTAAAATTAAAATGATTTGCTATTCTAATAATAGTAATCATATAATTAAGAAAGAGGAGGGTTTTAAAAGGTTGGAAATATGGAAGTTGAAAACTATTCAATGTAATACACTTCTTAGTAAAATCAAGTAAACCAACAAAGAAGCTTTGATTAAGTAAATCAAGGATATAATAATTAGCAATAATTTAATAGAAATATGTAAGTCGAAGACTTAGCCTACAACAATAATCCTAACGCAGGTTAAATTAAAAGAGCAAATAAAGCTGAAATTGAGAAGCAGATTTATTTAATAAATGGATCTATATCGAAATTAGAGAATGAACTTGCTGAAAACTTCTCGCTAAATAAATTTTAAATTAATGAAAAAAGAAAAGAACTTTAAGCTCTTAAATTGTAAAGAAGCAAGCTCTAATAAGATTTGTAATGAAATTAAAAATTAATATCCATGAAATTTAATAAATTAAATAATAATCAGATGAAAAATAAAATTGTTACTTTACAAATACTTTGCAAAATACAATTTTTTATATTATTTTATGTGTGTAAAGTTTTAAAATTAAAAAATTTTATTATTTTTTATATATAAATATGCAATTTTAGATATGTAAGCACCACCTATTTAATGGTTAGTTGCAAATTTTTAATAAAATATTATTTAAAAATGAAATCTTTTGGTAATATTTAGTTGTTTAAATATCTAATAAAATAGCATATCCTATTCAAAATAATGAAAATATTGAAGATTCTATTTTAAATCAGCTGAAATGTTGAATTTATAATTTAACTCTAACAAATATTTCCTTAAGATTAAATTACTATTAATTACTAATAATTTATTGTTAAAATAGATTTTATTTCAAATTTCTAAACTAAGTCTGTCATATAAAATATATTAATCAAAAAGTTTATTTTATTTACTTAAATGAATTTTAGGAAATGCAGATTTAATTTTAGCGTATTTGATAAAAGAAATAACATTAAATTTTTTATGATATTAATTGAATGTAGAGATTGATTGATAAAGGTTTTTAGATTACTTAATAAAAAATTTTTTTATTTAAGTTATTAATTTTTTTAGAGTTATTTTTAATTTTAGATGTTTTTTAATGAAATAGAAAATAAATTATATCTTAATTTATTTTTTTTATTTCTATTGTTATTTTTTTCATATTTTTATATAAAACAATAGAAATTAATAATTTATTTTTAAAAATAAAAAAATAATAATAAATTTTTAACATTTATTTTATTAAAATTTCTCTAAATAATTATTTTTGGAAATTATTTTTATAAAAGAAAGAATATTGTTAAAATTCCACAAAAACTTAAGGGCTAATTACTTTTTGAAGAAAACCTCCAAAAAAATTCAAAAATTTGTACTGATTAAAATCAAAAAATTTAAAATATGTTTGTTATAAAATCTGATAGAAATTTTAAGCACTTGAAAGAGAAGCTATAATGTGAAAAGAAATAAATGAATAGGAAAACTTTGAAAATTAAATATTTTGAAATTGAAAAAGTATCTTTAAATTTGCAATAATAAAAATAGCAATCTGAGAGTAGAGACGAATAATTAATTAATTAATTTGTTTATCTATATTTTATCATTAAAATTGAATAGAAGAAATTCAATTAAAAAAATTGAATTAAGATATACAATTTGATACATTAATACTCATTAATAGTTAGTAAAATTTTTGAAAACAAAATTCAAGATAATTTAATTTCAATTATTTAAATATACAGCAGCCTTATTTTCAAATCCCTACAAACACTTTACAATTATTATATATTTAGGGTTAGTTATGGGAATAGCACAGTCTTACTAAACAAGTCAGCCAATCTTTCCTTTAGGAATGGTAAAATAAATAAGTTATTTAATTCAAAAGTGAAAAATAGGCAATAAATATATCATAAAAAATATGAAAAACATTTATTACTTTCATTCAATGTTGGCTAAGAATAAAATTAGGACTTAAATTTAACAAAAGACTTCAATTGCAAACTAAGGATTTATTAAATATATTCAAATAATTAATAGAATTACAATATTGAACAGACAGTGACTTATATTTTATAAAACAGCTTTCTTAATGATGAATGTAAACAATTATTTACTTTTTAAAACATAATAATTAGTAATATTTAAATTTATGTAAAATGCTCAAAATTGTTGTTTGGCTAATGAATTAATGAAATTTTTCTTTATTAAAATAGATTTGATATTTTTTAATCTAATTTTTTATTTTATAAACTAGATATTAAACTTACATTGAATGGAGATTGCTATGAAGCACGCAAGAGTGATTTAAAGGATAAAATAATTTTTAATAATTGCGCAAATGTAAAGAATCTTCTACCTATATTAAGACTAAGTAATCCTGTACTCACAAGCACTATTTAGGCAACTGTCCCTGAAAAATTGCTATTTACTTTCTTATAGACAGAAGAAGGTAGAATTTTTAAAAGATAAAGCGATTTCTTAACATCAGGAAACACTCTGAAAAATGTTTCATCTACAAACTATATACAGCCTTAAACTTCATAACCCTATACTTTAGCTCGTAGTAATTCTAATTATATTGGGTGCTATACAAACAGCAATGACAATGCTACTTAAGCTTAGCCAAATATATTAAACGAAATTACAAATAGCTAAAACAATCAAAGTGGAATGAAAACCTTAACAAGAAATAACTCAGTTTCAAATGCTAAGTCAGTTGCTTAAATTCCTGTTTCCATTTTGAAAAACAAAGGTTAAACCCTTAATCACCCAGTTATTTCATCTTCTCCAATGATCAAAATTACTCCTCTTGGCACAACAACAAACCCAACTAATTATTTAGGAGGAACAACAACTATTACAACTATACATTAGATAAATAATTCTAATAGATCAGTGACTCCTACTCGTGCTCCTCAGCCTACTTATCTTTCTGAGTAATAATACACACCATCTAATCGTTAAACAGTATCGAAAACTCCCTACATTAACTTTTAAGCCTAACATGATAATAATTAACCTTCAACTCCTATTGGTAAGAGTATGTTTGATTTACCTAAAGAAGATTAATAAAACTAATACCAGGTACCTAAAACGCCTACATAAACTCAAACAGGAATTTTAAATTCAATTATTGGGGGAAGTAATATACTGTCAAATAATAATCGCTTAAGTATGACTCCTGTCAACTAAGTCAATTGCTCTAATATATCAGGTACATCTGCAATTAAACCATCACTAGTTTCTCAAACTCTTACAAATAATTAAAATTTAAATAGTGTTATAGGACAGTATAATCCATCAAATACTGTTGAAAGAGTAAGATCGATGACTCCTTTACCTTATTCAAGTAGTTAGTAAAACAACAATAATATACTAATATCTACCAATTCAAATAATGTATTATAGATTCAACCTACAACTCCTTCCAATTACTCTTAAAATGTCTTTGATTAAAATACACAAAATTAAAATAACTTTAGTACTCCCAACAGCAATTCTAGCAAGACTAACTTCTTTAACTTTAACAACACAGCTACAATTAACTAGCTAATGCATTAAGGTTAAAGTAATTAGCAAAATAACAGCCTCACTAGATCAAATAGCAGTTATAATGTGAATGGTTTAGGTAATACTCCTAATTAGAGCAGTAGTTTAGCTATGCTCGGTAATACACCTAACTAGAATAATAATTAAGCTCATTTAAACACTAACTATAATTTTACATCTGCTGTGTCAAATGCATCTGGAATTTAAACCCTTCCTCAAAATTTAAAAAATACAGGATCTAATATAAATATAGGATAGCTTTTAAGTCAAAGATCAGTAACACCTCCTCCAGTATTAAGGAGTAATTCATCTATTTAATAAATAGTATCAGGTGTTAATTCTATTTAAGCTCCTAAACCTTATTTAGAGACTACTAATCAAAAAGAAATTTAAGAAAGCATTAACCAAAGTGTTAATAAAACAAATACTCCATCCAACTAAACTCAAATATCTCTAAGCAATAATTAACTTATAAACAGTAATAACTAAAATAATTCATAAGCTCATTTTAGTTCTTTAATTGTTCAAAATAATCCAAGTTGTAGCAGCTTAGCATTAGGCAGTATCCTCTAAAGTACTTCCACAAACATAGTTGCAAATAAAAATTCAATCAATGGATCTATAATTTAACCTTAGATTCATACAAATTAAAACCTGCTATAACCCTCTTATTAAATTCCTTAAAATGAAGCCCAAAGCTCTATCCCATATGAGTCTGTACGTAATAAATTCTAGTAGTTAAGAAAAATGACAGGAGTAAGAAAGACTAATGAACTATCCCATTCACCTTTAAATTAAAAAACCAATGAATAAGAAACTAACTCTTAGTCAAATTTTAACTTCAGCCAATAATTAGCAAATAGCTAAAAAAAATTTAGTGCTTAAAAATCAAAGAGCATAAGCAATTTGCATTTGAACAACCTTTATGGATAAGAAGCTTAAAATTAAGATGTTTAAAGAAATATTTCAGAAATACCTTATTAATTCTTGAATCCTGACAATAGAGAAAAAAGCAAAGATAATTATTCAAAGAATATCTTAGATTCTTCTGGTAAGAAGACTCTCACTAAAAACTATAGCTGCAATAACATATATAGTTAGTAAAAGGATTCATCTTAAAATGATTAATAATAGTAAAAACCTACTTAAATTCCCTATTATTTAGGTAGAACGTTAGTTCATTCTAATAAAGGTTAAAAAGACTTAAGCAATCTACCTTCTCTCAGTAATATTAGCTAAATTTTATACACTTAGGAGGATCAAAGTAGATCCAACATTAATGGTGGAGGAAACCCAGCTTTTAAAATTTAAAATGCATTTTTACCAGGATTATCACCAATTTAAAAATCAAACTAAGGGGTAGATAACTCTCGTTCATTTGCATGTGAGGCTCTACCTTTAGTAGGAAACAATAACTTATTTAACAATCAAATGATTTCCTAAGGAGAACAGTAAGAAAAAACACCAAAAGTATTTAAATTCAACAATTCTAATGCATGTACTACTCCAATTAATGAAATTGAGCTTTATTAAAAGCAAGAATAAGAAATAAAAGAAAAAGCAAAAGAATAAGTGAATGAAATAATACAAAGAACAGTTGTTAGAGAATTTGAAAATTTAAAATAAATTACTGAAATAGTAACTTAAAACACATTATAAGAAAAGTAAAGAATTTATTAGGAATTTGTTTAAAAAGATGACTAAAATTAGTTATTATAATCCATTAAAAACTCTGAACTTGTCAATTAAACTATTAATGAAATACAAAATTGTATTCGTTAAAACACACTTGAGTCGGTAAGAAGTTAAAACAATAATTAGACTCCAATTTATTAACAAAGTGTGCAATTAAATAGCTAAGAAAGAATCTCAACTCTCCCTTCAAGACAACCAGCAGTTGTTTACAAAAATAATGTTATGAATTCATTTTAGACACAATAATCTGTCAATAACATTTTCACTTAAAATGGATAAGAAATTGTTTCTACTAATCTAAACATGCCCACTTACAACTCAAACAGTAACAAATTATATTTTATTCAAATAAATTAATAAAAATAAACATTTTTTATTATTTTTCCTAAATTTTTTTTTTCTTTTTACAAATATTTTTATTTTTTAAAAAAAAGGAAGTAACAGATTTAATAATTCTCAGTAGGAAGAAGATGATAATGGAATTAAAAAAACATGCTCAATAAACTTTGGATATAACCCATAAAATGTAAATGAAAGTATTGCAGATAATAAGAATACTTAAGCAAGAAATTCTTAAGATTCAAATGAGTCTCCATGCTCTTCTTCTCTTAAAATTAGTGAAATTAACAAACCAGCTGGACAAGAATAAATTAATTATGGAATTAAAATCTTCTAAGCCGGAGGAAGCATTGCTAGTACTTTCAATGACTTAAATAGCTTTGCTTACAAAAATTTAGAGAGCTAAAGATAAAATCTTGTTATGACAAATTCAAGTTTATAAGATAATTTTATTTATTCTGCTCGTTAGAACGGTAATAATAGCAACCAAATGAAAATCATAAATGGAATAAAGTAAGGATTAAATACATAAATTCAGAGCACTTAAGCTAGTAATATTGAGAATTCTACCCCAAAGAATTAAAACCAACTAGATTCTTATCAACTAAATACATTAAGCTATAGTGGTAAATATTTTTTTATTTTTATATATTTTTAATTATTTGTATTGCTTAGGTACAAATGGAGATATAACTATTAAAAAATAGAATAACAATAATAATTAAAGTATTTAAACTGATATATAATAAAAGAGTTATAGTTATTAGTATCCTAATAACTTTAACTAGGAAGCAGAGAAAGTTTAAAGCTCTTAATCTCATTTCCCAATCTAAAAGATTCACTTTAACAAAAATTCAATTAGCAGCTAAAGAAATGCTACTCCTAATAGTAAAAGAGAATCTATTTATTCTAATGGTGAGATGCAATAATAATAATAATAGCAATAACAATAAGTTGAATATCAAGTTACTCCCACTAACAAGTAAAGTTATAATCATTCATACAAATAATCTAATAGCTTCAAAGAATTATTTGAAAATAACAACAATTAAATGAATATATAAAACGAATATTAATATGTTGCTAGCACTGATGATAACTAACAAATTGAGTAAAGAAAGAGAAACTCCAGTTGCTATAATTCTTCATAAAATGAAATCTATCAATCAAAAGGATATTCACTAAACCCTAATGAAAAATAAAGACAAATAAGCATTATGAGTGAGCTTTCAGTCACTAATTCTACTCCTCAAAAACTAATTAATACAGCCACAAAGCAAAAAATGATGGACGAAATTGAGCGTCAAAAGAATAATAGATAAGGAAGCATTTAAGCTGTCTCATAGAAAGAAATAGAAAACATACGTAGCAACATGACAGAATATTGGAATAATACATGCAATTAATTAACTAACTAAACATAAGATAAAAGAGGAGGAAATAATCAAAGCAGTTATGCGTTTGAAGCTCAATAGCAGTATTCTTATGTTCAAACACCTACTTCTTAAAACTTAAAATTAGACGCATTTGCAGGTGAACCTATTCCGACTGATTCTACTCCTTAAAATAAATTTTATGAAACAGCTCCCTCAATTTATTAAAATCAAATAAAGATCTAAAATTCTTACTAAAATCCTTTTAAAATGTCATAGCAATCTATGAATAACTTTGAAATAAAATCAAATATTCATTTTTTATAAACACCTGATCCTAATGCATAACATTTAACAAAGCATTTCAATTAAAGTTAGGAAAACAACGCAGCCTTTTCTAAGCCTCCTCTTCAAAATTCAGGCTTATTGAAATCACAAAGACAAAATATTTAAAAATAATCTATTTAAAAGCAAGGATCTATACAATTTACTGACTAATCTCCACCAATTAACAATGTTGAACCATATAAAAATAGATAGCTATATTATCAAAGCAGCAATAATAGCTCGTTAAGTTAAGTAGGCTCAAGTTAAAATAGGTTATCTCCTTAAATAGAGTAGTAGTTGATAAATAGTTCTTAGGAATATAGATTAAATTTGAAAAATTCCAGACCTAATAACTAAAACACACCAGGATAATCCTATTAATCAATGAAGATGCAACAACAAAAGCTGTTGTCTTCTCTCAATCCTTAGTAGTTAAAGTCTTATTAAAATTCTATTGAAAATTATAATTATGCTATCAACGGTAAATAGTTATTCAGTGAGTAGATTCCATAACAAAACTCTCATAGAAAATCATTTGACATGTAATAGTAGTACAATCAAAATTAAGAAGATGAAATGAATAGGTATATTACTTTAGAAGATAGAGAATTAACTGAAGGAATATAAGAAGAAGATGAAAATGAAATGTAAAACGAGTAAAATATCTATGTATAGCAAAGCGGAGCTAAACAATAATAATACATGACTCAAGAGCAGCTCATGATTTTAGAATAGCACTAAATCTAACAATAACAATAATAGTAGTAGTAGCAATAGGAAGAATACTACGATGATTTAGACAGCGATAATTTAGAGGAGGAGGATGAAGAAAACCCTGACGAAATATCTTATTAGTAATAAAATCAAATCTAAAATGATGGTTTAGATGAATATGGAGAATAAAACTGTGAAAATATGGAAGAGTAGTTAACACAATAAGATGAACAATATTATGAAAACAACATGTAAGGAGATGGATATGGATAATAGTATTAAAATAATTTATAATACTAAGATTAAATATAAGATTAAAATTAAGAGGATTATGAGCTAAACGAACAAATGTATGTCCAACAATAACAGTAAAATTTGTAGCTCTAACAATAATAAAATTATAACATGTAGGATCCTGCTTTATTTAACCCTGATTAGTATTAGATATAATAATACAATATCTCTGAATAGTATGGAAATTCAGTACGTGAAAGCATGCAAAATAATAGCTTACGCTCTTCAAAACAGAGTATCGGCATACCAGCAAGGAGATTTGAGGAGAATTTGAGTTCTGTGAAAAAGAAAAAAAGTGGATTATATAATTAAAAGATTAATTTTGAAGGTGACAACAATTTCAAGTTAACAGATCAACCATTGTCTGTAGATAATATGTACTAAAGTGATGGATTCTAATAAATAAGGTAGAAACAACAATATCCTATCTAACAGTACTAGTCTCTTTAAATAAATGATCAAGCTAGAATCAAGTCCTAATTATAAGCTTAATATTAAAACAAATTACCCTAAAATCTCAATAACTAATTTGATTAGAATAACTAAAATCCTTACTTTTAAGAATAATACAAATATTTCCTTCAATAAGGAAATGAATTGGTTGATGAAGTAGCTGATGACCAATCTAGCTTGAGTTAGATTAGTTAGAGTCCTTTAAGACCTTCTTAGCTCCAATTAGAAAATCAAGAGTAATAGCAAGTGTATGAAGAAGGTGATTAAAATAATATTTATCAACAGGATGAAAATATTTATCAAAATAATTTATACCAATATAATAATGAAGAATAGTAAATGCTTTCTCATAGATCTTGTGATAATAACAATAATTACTAAATAAATATTTATGCAAATCAAAATGAAGGAGGAGATCAAATTATCTAAAATAAAAACTATGTTTATAATAACAACTATAACATCCCTTAAACTGAAAATATTTCTGTGAATGCCTTGCTCCAAATGAATAAACGCAGTGCAATAATTGAAGACCACGCTTCTCAAAGAGCTGAAGCTGGTTAAGTAAATTTATTCAAATAACCTTCATATCAAAACTAGCAAAATGCAGAGCAATAGTTGGAATTATATTCTCAACCTACAAACAAAAATGAATTTTAAAACTTCAACGATTAACAAGAGCAAATTTACGCATAATGTAATTAATTATTTTATTTATTTATATTTATTATTTCTTAAAAAATATAAATAATTTTATCTAATTATAGAATTCAAAGGACAGACATAAATGACTTAAGAAGAAAGCTTTTATGAAAACAGGATATTAGCAGATATAAATTTAGAATCAGGTAGAAAAGAAAATCATCAACTATCAAACGGGAAAAGAGGAACAGATTACGAAATGAATTCATAAGAAAATTTAAGCTACAGAGAAGGATCTCAAAGATAAAACAGCAGCAGATATGTAGCATCTGCAGAAAATGTTAAAAAGAAGAATATTTCAAGAAGAATCTTCAACAAATCAGCAAGATATTACAATGAGGGAAATCATGGTGACTAAAAGAAGAACTTGTAAGAATTTGAGGCTGACTAAAAGAAGAAGAAAGTAAGAACTAGTTTGTAAAATTTTGTTGAGGAGCTAAACGAAATATCTGGTAGAAGTGCTAGAGGATTATTAGATCTTAGCCATCGTATACAATAAAGCAATAGCTTTATCTTAGATCGCTCAAATTTGAATGAAAAAAGCTTTTATTAAAATGAAAAGAGCTTCTAATAAAATGAAAAAATTTTTAGTAACAACAATATTCAGAATTAAAGTGACGGAGATGAGAACTCAATCATGCAAAATACAATGCTTACTGGTGGACCTAACTCAAATAGAAAAGAATATACAAATGCCAGAGATTATGAATAACGTTTGAGTGAATACGTAATTTGTCATAAAGATTAGAATGAAGACGAAGTATTAGAAGAAAAGAAAAACGAAAATTTATTAAAATCGCCCCAAGTTGATTAAAATGATTACTAATCAAATACTGTATTCAATACAAATAATCAAAGCAATAGTTCATACGCACCCTAAACTTCTGTATTCTAAACAGGAATTCAATAATAATCCTCTGCCAGACTAAGCCATGTTTAAAATAATAATGATAAAAATTAATATCAATCTCTTAGTAACGATTCTCCTTTTGTCATAACCACTAATGAAAGAAGGAGAAGTAATGAATAAGTAGATGAAATTTCAATTAGATTCAATGAATAGCCTGCTTTCTCTCATGCATCATTTAACTAAGAATAGATGTAGTAAATTTAATAATAAAAATAGGAGTTAGAGTTGAAACAATCATTATAGATTGAAAAAAGCAACAGTAGTAATAATTAATAGTTGGATTAGCAATCTGAAAAAAAAAATTAAGAAACTAAAAATGAAGAATAATCTTCCAAAAAGCTTTAAGATTCACCTTTTATTGAGGATAGAAGAAAGTCTGAAAAACAATCTTCTTAATATGATCATGTACAATTAGCCTCATTTGCACATTCTGATAATTTCATTTCTATTTAGCAAGTCCCATCTTCTTCTATAAGCAACCTTTCTAGCTAGCCTATTTCCAATTAGTAGCCTGTATAAACTTTGATACCTAATTAAAATTAATTTAATTCTGAAACAGATATGAAATAAGTTCAATAAAATGAAAATTAAGACTCCAATTCACCATTAAAAAAGCCACAATAAGATTAAAATAATCAAAATAGCTTTGAGTAAAATAAATCTACAGAATCTATAGATAGTCAAAAAGATGACTTATAAGCTTCTAAAAGTGAAAACTAAACTGATTTAACTGCTTCCAAAAAAAGCTAAGGAGTTTCAAGACAAAGACCTATTTCAGAAATTCCAACTGAATCCAAATTTGTAAAGTAAAGATAGCCTCATTTTGAAAACACACAAAATAAGGATACACACGCACGCAGCTAATCAAACCATATCAAGAAGAAAAAACATTTTGAGCTTAGTATTGATGCATGCAATGAAGTTCAAAGTAAAACTTATAATTCAATTAAATATATTTATTAATAATTTGTTTATAATCAAACATAGAGTCACATAACCAAGAAAATAAAGAAACTCCACAATTCTCAGAGCATGGAATAAGTTCTAAAAGTTCTAGCTTATTTAAATCTTCAAAGCCAGTCATACCAAATAAAAGATAACAAATTATAAGTAATTTTATTGCATTTTATTTTAAAATTTAAACTAAAACTAATTAATTTAAAAGGCTTTCTTGATTACTAAAAAACTATGAAGAAAAGTTAAGATTGAGTAAAAAAGTTTAGCTAAACCAACGATAAATAATATAATAATTAGATATCAAGCTTTCCAAAATAGTAGATATAGTATATAATTCATTAATAAAATAAACATGAAATAATACTTATAATTAATTTCTTTATATTAAAAAAATAATTTTAATAATATTTTTATTTATTATATATTTATTAACTGTATTAGAATATCCAATATTTATAATAATTTAATTCATTTAAAAATTTCTAATGAGTTTTTATCTATCTTCAAATATTTATAATTATTCATTTAAAATTATTATATTTTACTTATATCATATATATTACCTTATTTTCATAAAAATTCCTTCAAAATATAAAGCAAAAATAAGAAAATTTATTAAAAAAGACAATCTTTATTTACATTATTTTAATATTTTTATAATGGGAAAAAAAGTGAAGCACTGCATTTTATTTATTTGGATAATAATTATATTTTTATTCCTTATCTAACTATACTGATTAATTTATATTTTTTAAGTAAATAAAGTAATATTTTTAAATTTTCCTCAGCTTCAATTGTACATTTTTTGCGAATGAAATCACTAAACTTATATCTTTTTTTGTCAAAAGGATTTTTAACTCTTAACTTTTTTTTAATTTAGTGTGATAAAAGAAGAAAATATTCAGATAATAATTAGATTTAGCCTGTTATTCATTAAACAATTACTATTTTAAAAAATAAATGGATTATTAAGAAATTATAATATAAAACTAATTATCACTTGGGTTTCTAATAAGTAAAGAGGTTATTTTATAGTTACATTAAAACTTATCAAAAGTTATTTAGTTATTAAATCTGGAATATTTTGAAAGCAAAGATTTCTCATTGACTTTGAGAGGAATAAATGGTTTAAATAATGAAGAGCTAGCTATAAGAATTAATTATACAGACTAATAAGGTTACTTAAACATTTTAATTTATTAATTTTATAAAATATAATAATTTATTATAATTATGTGTTTGTATTTAACACATAAAGATAAAATTAAATTCTAGTTTCAAAATTAATAAATTGTTAAAAACTTAAAAATAAATTAGAATCACAAAAAATTACTATTATGAATCAAGAATCTGATAAAAATTGTCTTTATTAATTTCATTTTAAGAATGCTACAGTTAGAATATTCAATTTGTATGATTGTAAAAATAATTAAATTAAAACATTAATTTTAATGGTACTCTATAAAAAAATAGACATTTATGCTGATTAAGAGATAAATGAAACACAAGTAAATATTATCCTATTTTCTTTGTTTCAATTTTTTTAAAAAGTTAATAAATTTGATGGAATGCAATCTAAAATACGTTAGAAGCTTAAGTCTTTCATACATCCCCTAAGAATCAATAGAAAAAATATAGTTAGGTTAATATATTTCGCATTGTTACAACTTAGAAAAATTAAAGTTAAAATTATAGTAGTTAATTAAATAAAATAAATCTTTAAAAATGTGCATAAAATTTTAAAAAATTAATAAAAGAGTTTCTACAATATTTAATGAAAACAGTCAATTAATAAAAATGATAAAAAATATCTCTAACTTTCCAAAATTGAATGATTTAATGTTAGATATGTAAATTAATTTTTAAATAAATTCTTTATTTTTATTTAAAATTAAAAAGATAAGATTTTTAAGTAGATTTTTCGTTCTTTTACACTCATTTGAGCAAGCTTAAAAACCTAAAAAAAGTTTAACTAAGCTTCTAGTAAACTTAGAATATATTTGGAAAGACCATTAAATAATTTTATCAAACAAAGTTGTAGAGGGAATTAAGTAGAAGGAATACTGAATTTACTCAGTTGTCAGAGCAGACTCTTTAATCTTGTTTTGAATTTTAAGTAAAGATTATTTATAAAAATTTTTATTTTTATTTTTTTAAAAATATAAGAGGGATCATATAAATTGAATAAGCTAAATAAATAGGACATGTTTTGTCAAAATTAGAGGAGCTTTAAAGCCTTAATTTGAATTTAGAGTAATTTAATAAGTATAAAGTAATTAAATAATTTGAAACTTGAATATCAATAGAAATACTAAAGTACCTTATGAAATATATGAAAATATTATTAACAGTCTTGGTTGCTGTACAAAACTTAATGATTTAACTCTCAATTTCTAGTAATAATATGCATTATTAATTTGTTTAGTTTTTTTTCTAAATATAGCGGAAATGGATTCCCACCAAATCACCAAGTGAACAGAAGTAGAGAAAAAAATAAATTAATGTTTTCTGAAATTTAATAACTTACTTTAGATATTGGGTATAATAAATAATATTTTATATATATTGGTTTAAAATTAGCTTTTAAATAAAAGACTAAATAAAATCAATAAATTGGGAGTTGAAGATTTAGCAGATAATATTTCTAAATGCAAAAAATTAAAAAGTTTAAAATTAAATTTATAAAGAGTTGTGTAAATTATTATTTCATTTATTTAAGCATTAAAATTTAATTTTAAAAAAGAGTAGGTGATTGCTTAACTTTTGAAGCAGGATTTTAATTAGCTTAAATAATAGGTTAGAGTATTTAGAAATGTTCGTTATTAGAAAATTTAAATCTTAATTTGCTGTATGTTATTTTTCTTAAAATATTTTGTGTAAATTCAATTTAAATTTAGTTATAACGGTATTCGATCTGAAGGAATTAAACTCTTATCAAGAGGTCTAAAAGATTGTCAAAATCTAAAGGTGTTAATACTTATTTTAGGGTAATTTTATTTGTAAATGATTCTTTCTCTTATTTAATAAACATTTTTCAAAAGGAATAATAACATAGATGATAATGAGGGTTTATAAGAATTCAGTTAAAATATTTCTAAATTAATAAATATAGAAAAATTGGTTTTAGATTTCAAGTATATTTATTAAATAAAAAATACTAATTAATAAAATTAAACATAATTGAAAAGTGGAAACAAATTTAATCACATTAAGACGACTCATTTAAGCGAAGGTCTTTCTTTTTTGTATTAAATAAAAGAGCTTTCTTTAAAATTCAAGTAAATATTTTACTAAAAAGCAATATTAAATGAATATTATAATATATATAGCCATAGTTGTATTGGTGTAGAAGGTGCATAGTCAATAGGAAAAAGTTTAGGATTGCTGCAGAATCTCTAATTCTTAAATCTTTAAATTTAGTAAATTAATAATAATATTAAATTTTTAAATTTTATTATTATGCAGAAAAAATAAGGTAACTGATAGCGGTTTAATTTCTCTCGGTTAAGGCTTAAAATAAACAAAAAACTTAAAAATTCTCAACATTTACTTACTGTAAAAAATTCAATTATTTATAATTTTATTATTCATGAAATTTTTACACAAAAAGAGATAACTAAATTTCGGAGTTTGGATTAGAAAGTTTTTTTAGCAACTTGTCATCTCTAAAACATCTATATTACCTTAGTCTCAACTTAATGTAAATTTTTACAACTTTTATTTTAAAATTATTAAATCTTTAAAAGTTAAAACTAGTATAAAAGCGAGCTTTTATTTAATAGAAGGGAAAGTAGTCTATTTAAATTACTCTACATTAGACAACTATTTATATTTATTAAGTAAACATTTTTTAAAAATTTTATTTAGCTTACTTTTAATAAAAAAAGTTTTCACAAAGATATTGAAATATTTAGAATAAGCTTAAAGAAGCTTCCTCGTTTAATTTTGGGATAACTCTATTACTGATTGTTTACTATATTGTACTTTCTGAATAATAAATACATAATTATTCATGTGTGTTAAAAAAAATTATTTTGGTATTATAATTAAATTATTATATGATTAAGAATTATTAGATTTTAAATTTTATTATTCATAAATATATTCTACCATTAATTAATAACTTAAAATACTCAGATAAAATGAAATATATTTTAGATTCAAAAATATTTTTATTTGAAAAGTATAAAATTTTTATAAAGAAAAAAGTAAGTATTTTATTTGGTTAAATAAGTTTGGGTGGGATGGCTGAATTTTGGTAGAGTGCAAACCAAACACAACTTTGTTGGGACTAGGGCTAGCCACTAGTTTATCCAACCCCACAGAGAAATTAATGTGAAAATGTCTCTTGTGGATGAGACACTATCAGTTTTCACACTGATAAGAACAGATACTACAATCGATCTCAGCTTTTACGCCGAGAAGGACAAAGTTCTTCGTTTGCAAATTAGTCCTTTCCTTATATTTTATTTAATTGATTATAACTTTATGGGTTTGAAGAAATTCTAATTAAAATTAGATTACTTTAACCTTATGATTAGTCTATTTCAATAATAGTCTTTGAAACTAAATATGTTTGTTTACTTAAGATATGATAAATTGTCTATATTAAAATATATTAAAAGAACAAATTATTTAGTTTTTTAAAAAAAATAGACGAATATTTAAATTTCAGCAAAACTAAAATAGTCTTTTATAAAAAATAAATGAATTTTTGTTTTTGAAGTATTATAATTGTAATTTAAATTATTCAATAGTCAAACAAACAATTTTTACTTGAATATATGATAATTAATATGTTGAAATTAAGATTTTTCAATAAATTAAACATTCAAAAAACTTAAATTTAAGTAGCTTTTAAGTTATGATTGATTACCACATAATTGATAATACTTATTCCTTAAATATTTTTTGATTCTATTTTTAGTTTATTATATTTTTAATGATTAAAACTATACATCATATCTCTTTTTATTAGTCTTTTTGTAAATAATTTAATATTTTTAGAAAGAAAATGGAGAGAATAAAAAACTATTTTGTTTGATTAAATGAGAATGAATGGGATAGCTGAATTTTGGTAGAGTGCAAACCAAACACAACTTTGTTGGGACTAGGGCTAGCCACTAGTTTATCCAACCCCACAGAGAAATTAATGTGAAAATGTCTCTTGTGGATGAGACACTATCAGTTTTCACACTGATAAGAACAGATACTACAATCGATCTCAGCTTTTACGCCGAGAAGGACAAAGTTCTTCGTTTGCAAATTAGTCCTTTCCTTATATTTTATTTAATTGCTTATAATTTTATGGGTTTTAAGGAATAATAATTAAAATTCAATTACTTAGATCTTTTGTTTATTCAGTCTATTTCAATAATAAATAGTCTTTGAAACTAAATGTGTTTGTTTACTTTAGATTATATAAATTGTCTGTCTATATTATTTCGTTTCTTTAAAAAAAATAGTCAAAAATTTAAATTTCAGCAAAACTAAAATGTCTTTTTTAAAAATAAATGAATTTTGATTATTGAAGTATAGTAATTGTAATTTAAACAATTACTTAGTGGAACAAAAAATTTTTATTTGAATTTATTATAATTAATATGTTGAAATTAAGATATTTAAATAGATTAAACATTCAAAAAACTTAAATGTGAGAAGCTTTTAAGGTATGATTGATAACCACATAAAATAAGTTAATTGATAATATTTTGGAATATTTTTTATTGTTTTTATGGACTAAAGTAAAATTTGAACTGATTTATTTATTTATTTTACAATAAAATGAAAAAAGTGATTAATTTTAATTATACTTTTTTTTATTCCTTAATGTTTTTTTGCTTCTATCTTTAGTTTATTATATTTTTAATGATTGAAACTATTAATCATATCTCTTTTTATTAGTCTTTTTGTAAATAATTTAATATTTTTAGAAAGAAAATGGAGAGAATAAAAAACTATTTTGTTTGATTAAATGAGAATGAATGGGATAGCTGAATTTTGGTAGAGTGCAAACCAAACACAACTTTGTTGGGACTAGGGCTAGCCACTAGTTTATCCAACCCCACAGAGAAATTAATGTGAAAATGTCTCTTGTGGATGAGACACTATCAGTTTTCACACTGATAAGAACAGATACTACAATCGATCTCAGCTTTTACGCCGAGAAGGACAAAGTTCTTCGTTTGCAAATTAGTCCTTTCCTTATATTTTATTTAATTGCTTATAATTTTATGGGTTTTAAGAAATTTTAATTAAAATTAGATTACTTTAACCATTATTTAATCTATTTCAATTTTATTTTAATATTCAAGTTCTATCTTAGATTGTTATAAGCGATAAATCATCTAATTTAAATGAATAAGATATTTAGCTTTTGTTTGAAATATAGTATTTTCTAATATTTAATATTTCATTTTACTTTATAAACTACTTATAAAAAGAAATAAATTTTAATTTTTATAGCTTTAAAACGCTGAATGAAATATTTAATAATTGAAAAAATAATTTTAGTTTTGATATTAACCTCTTTGCATATTTAAATTAAATTTTTTTTAATTAATAAAGCATGTCAATCTATTTTCATCTGTAGTCTTGAAGATTTGATTTGATTATTATTCACATAGTACAATTAGATAATTTTAAAGTATTTATATATTTAAACGAGGATTTGATATTACTTCTTTGATTTTTATTTATTTTTGAGTATAACTTTTAATCAGAAATTTAAAATTTATTAGTTTAAAAAAATTATTATTCAAGAAAATAAAAAAATAATAAATAAAATCCTAAAATTTTGGATGATAAAACACTATAATTACCTCTTTTAAAATTAATAAATTTATTAATTAAAAATATAAGTGCATAGAAGTATTATTTATTATTTTATTTAATTATAATATTTTTAAATAATAATAATTTATCTATCCTTCTTATTTTCTTTTTTATTTTATTAAAAATTTAATTATTTTGAGAAGAAAAAAATATTATTTTGTTTGATTAGATGAGAATGAATGGGATAGCTGAATTTTGGTAGAGTGCAAACCAAACACAACTTTGTTGGGACTAGGGCTAGCCACTAGTTTATCCAACCCCATAGAGAAATTAATGTGAAAATGTCTCTTGTGGATGAGACACTATCAGTTTTCACACTGATAAGAACAGATACTACAATCGATCTCAGCTTTTACGCCGAGAAGGACAAAGTTCTTCGTTTGCAATTAATCCAATCCTTAAATTTTATTTGATTTTAGAAAATTTTATGGGTTTTAAGGAATTCTAATTAAAATTAGATTAGTATAACCTTATGATTAGTCTATTTCAATTAAAATTTTTAGATTAAAACAAAATTTATTTCCCGACTTTAGATTATTATAAATGATAAATTGTCTATTTTATTTGAAGAAAATGTTTAGTTTTTTTTTAAATTAATGTCAAATATTTAGATTATAGCTTTAGTGTAAAATTATTCTTTAAAAACAAATAAATTTTGATACAAGAACGATTGAAGGAGCAATTTAAATAATTTCATAGTAAAAAAAGAATTTTTATTTGAATAATAAATATATATTTTATTAATTAATTTAATATTTAAAATTACTTAAATGTGAATTTTAAAGATATGAAAGGTAAAGCATTAAAAGGTATATTAAATATATATGATAGTTAATTATAGCTATTGTTTTTTCTTTATCTTTTTGGGAATTACTTTGGATGATAAAATAAATTTTATATGAAGAAGAAGTTAATTTTTTAGTTAATTAAAACCTTAAAGTTTTTAATATGAAATTCTAAAATACAACCCATTTTAAATGAAGGAACAAATTTACTAATTAAACATGGAAACTTAAATAAATATCGTTGCTTTTATTTTAGATTTTTTAAAAATTTTTTAAATGATTAAAAATATATTGATCATATTTTCATATTAAGTATTATTATTCATAAAGAGAAAAAAAATATTTTTTTTTGATTAGATAAGAATGAATGGATGGGATAGTTGAATTTTGGTAGAGTGCAAACCAAACACAACTTTGTTGGGACTAGGGCTAGCCACTAGTTTATCCAACCCCACAGAGAAATTAATGTGAAAATGTCTCTTGTGGATGAGACACTATCAGTTTTCACACTGATAAGAACAGATACTACAATCGATCTCAGCTTTTACGCCGAGAAGGACAAAGTTCTTCGTTTAGCAAAAGAGGACTTCATTAAATTTTTTTTAGTCATTACAAATTTTATGGGTTTACTAAATAAATTTTTTGAAATTTTATGATTTGGATTATCTATTTCATAATTATTTTATTTAATTTAATTCCTCTATTTTATAAAAATTTTTACTTATTTAATAATTTATTTTAAACTTAAACATTAACATTAAAAAATATTTAAATAACTCATAATTTATTCTTTAAATTTAATTTATTTTTATTCTAATAGAATTTACTTTTAGGATATCAAATATAATTTGTGAATAGATATAATTAAATTTGATAAGTTTTTAAATTAATTTTGATATAAATCCAAAAACGATCTGACCTTTTTCAAAATGGATCTAAAAGCTATTGAAATATACAATCATCTAACATATTGGTGTTAAATTAGCAAAGAATATGTTAAAAACTTTATTACTAACTTATAAGCATCTCATCCTGAAATTTAGTAGTTAGAATATTTAGAAAATAGCGATTTCTCACTAACACTGAAAGGATTTGATTCTTAAAATAGTTAAAATTTAGCTATAAAACTTTACTTATTAGATTAAACAAATTCCAAATTTTCAAATGGTAACATCAAACTTATTGAATTTTTCTTAAATTGATAAAATTTATATTTTGATTTAACTACTTTCATGGATTACTAATTGTAAAAATTGTTTTAATTAACATTTATGAACATATATTAATTTGTAGAATTATTGAAAAGTAATTATGTATAACACAAACTTTAAAAAATTGTTATTTCTAATGAAATGATAATTCATTTTATTTATACCAAATTAAATTATTTTATCATGTCATAATAGATTTTGAGAAAGCAGAGATTTAAAACGAAGAGTAAACCAAAGAATTATTACATCAAATTGATTTTGATTAAGCTTGTATAAGGATTTATAATTTTTATGACTGTAATTAGATTTTACTTTTTTTTTCAGTTTTGATGATTTTATTCATAAAAAACAGACACGTATTCAGAAAAGCTTATTGGTACTAATGAAGTAAAATTAAAAATATTCATTTTTATTTAGAATGATAATTTTTCAATAAAAAGCTGCTTAGACTTTCGGAATAAGAATTAAAATATGTTAGAAATTTATAGCTAGTTTTATGTTACAATGATAATTTATAATTTGCTGAAATAAATTAAAAACTTAAATAAATTTCGAGGATACAAAACTTAAAGTTAATTATATTGTAATAAACTATGAAATTTAACTATTGATTAATGTACTAATAAAATAAGTGATTATCTTTTTTTAATCATAGTGATAAAATCGGGTATGAATTTGAAGAAATAGCAAAAATTATATGTAACTTTAAAAATATTGTAGCTTTATCTGTAAAATGGTAAATTATTAAAAAATAACAATTGATAGAATATTATATTTTTAAAATAAAAGTTCTGAAAGATAAGACACTGGTTAAGCTTACAATAATTTGAGTTAAATCAAATCTTTAAAAAGACTTAGCATATCCGACTTGTATTTTTTTAAAATTAATTTGTATCAAACCTACTTTCTCCTTCATAAATACATCTTTGAAAATTAAAAATAAATTAAAAAATTTAATTTAAGAATTAACTTAAAAATTTTTAATTTTTAATAAATTAGGGGTAATGATGAATAATTATAAGGTATCTTATCTTTAGTACAGAATTAGTAAAATCTAAAATAGGTTAAATTATCTTTTCAGTAAATTAAAATTTATTTTGAAAAGATCACTTTAACTTGAATAATTATTAAATTTATAAAATAAAGAAAAAAATTGAACAATTAGTTGATAATTAAATTAGCATAAATATTTATGTCACTTAAAGATATTGAATCCATCGATTTAATCCTAGAGTAAAATAATAAATAGGATTTCATTTTTCAAAAATATATTTTTATGTCAATAGAAAAACTGAATTATAGTACTCAACATATGAGAATATTATGGAGTGCCTTTCAAAGTGCTCCAAGCTTAAGTGCTTAAATTTAAATTTTTAGTAATAAAATATTTTTTTTAAAAACTAATTAATGCATTTTTTAACTATAGTGAAAACAATTTCAAAATCAATAACACAGAAAATAAATAAAAGGGCAAAAGCGAATTAGATTTTTTAAGTTTCTAAGAATTGTGTTTTAGTTTAGGGTATATTTTACTTTAAGGCTTTCTATTTATTTATTTTATTATATTATCTAGTTTTAACAAAATTTCCTAGCAAGGTTTTAAAGACTTAGAATTTTACATATCAAGTTGCTTAAATTTAAAAAATCTCACTTTGAATCTGTAAAGGATTGTGTAAATATCTTATAATTTATATTTAATTAATTTAATCAATTATTTATTTACTATATTATCTAGAAATGATGCTTAAGGAGGAATTTTGTTGGCTCAGACAATAGCAGATTCAATTCAGAATTGTTAAAAAATTGAAAATTTAAGTCTTAATTTACTGTATTTATTTCTAATTCAAAAAAAAATAATAATAATAAAACAATAACTAATATAAAGAAATAATAAACTAAGTTCAAAAGGATTAGTTCAGCTTTCAAAAGGGTTACAGAATTTATCTAGTCTTTCTTCTTTGATACTAATTTTAGCGTAATATTTAATCTGAGTTTGCTATTTACTCATAAATTGTATTTAAAAAGTAATAATGATTTAAATGATAATCAAAATATTGAATCTTTTGGAGTCTGTATTTCTAAGTTGTCAAAATTGAATAAATTAATGATAGATTTTAAGTATAAAATATATATTTTATTTTAATTGCTTATTAATTCTCTTTTTAACTAGTGGAAATATCTTGACTTCAATAGGAGCAAACTATTTAAGCAATGGTTTATCAAACTGTAAACAAATCAAAGAACTCATGTTGAAATTTGAGTAAGCTTAAAATATTAAAATTTAATTTGATTAATAATAAAATGATAATTTTTTCATAAATTATTTTTTTAAAATTAACTTATTATTCTATTTTATAATTAGTTAAAGTAATTTAAGCCCATAAGGAGCAAAATCTCTTGGAAATTGTATTGCTTAACTACCAAATTTGGCCATATTATTTCTTAATGTTAGGTAAATAAATAAATAAGTATTTTTTATTATTAAAACTTACTTTTTAGAAAAAATGAGATACGTGATGAAGGGTTAATTTATATTAGTGAAGGAATATAACACTGCAGTTTCTTAAAAAGTTTAAATCTTCATTTGGTGTAAATTTCTTAATTAAAATATAAAAACATAAGACTTTATATTATGATATGAATAGTGAAAATTAAATTACTGAATCAGGAATGGAATAATTTTTTAAAAACTTATCTTTTACCAAAAAAAAGCAAGATTTGCGTTAGCAAAACTTGTTTAAGGCAGCTTTATATTTATTTAAAGTACTTATTTTTTAATTTAATAAAGTATTAAAATATTTTTTAATAACAAATAGCTATCATCATGACTTTAAAAAAAACGCAGTAAAGGTTAAAAAACTTACTCATTTAATAATTGGAAATGTTACATATTGAATAAAAATAATTCAATAAAAGCTTTAACAATATATAAATAAAGATATAACTCAGATTGTCATTTGGCTTATAGAAACTGATGAAAATATATCTTCTTTACAAAATTATTTTATATATATTAATAAAACTATTAGGGAATCAAGATAATTTCTTTATTATTTTTTTTGATACTGTATGCATTTAAAGCTAGAAAAATCTAAAATTTTCCATTTTAATTTGATAATTTTTTTGTTAGTACTTGTATGTATTTTATATGAAATTTAAAAAAAATATAATTATTTGTTTAATTCAATTATTTTTTTATTTATTTAAAAATTAAAAGGAATATTCCTAATTTAATCAAAACAAACTAAGAAAACCTTCAAAAAGTGTAAGCTTCAAAATAATATCTAAACAATATTATTTGCTGTCTATTTAGAATAATATTTATTTTATATTTTAAAGTATACTTTTTAAAGAGAGTGTTTTTTATATTTTTAATTAAGGATTTTATTTCTTTTTTTCAAATGAATTATAAATATTATTTTGTAGAAAATAATATAAGTTTAGTTTTAACGATACTTTAATTATTTATTTTTAAATATTTTTTGTATCAATTTGTTTATAAAAAAAAAGAAGGTATTTTGTTTGATTAATTAAGGGGAGGTGGTCAGGGGTAGCCGCTCCTTAGTAGCGTGCAGGCCAAGGGCAACCGCGTCGGGACTAGGGCAAGCCACTAGTAAATCCGACCCCTGTGAAAAATTAATGTGAAACCACATGTCCCTAGTAGGGACAGTATCAGTTTTCACACTGATAAGAACAGATACTACACTTGATCTTAGCCAAAAGGCCGAGAAGGTATGAAAGTTCCTCACTGAAAAGCAAACCTTTTATATAATAAAATCAAATTTTTTATTTTATGGTTTTCTTCAAATTAATTATTAAAAAAATAAGAAGAAAAATCAAATTTAATAAATATTAACAATTTGCTTAAAAATTAAAGTCTCACCACTAGCCACTAGAATGAATAAAATTAACAAAAATGCTTTAGAAAGACATGCCAGAAAATTACTTACTTTTGTAGAAGTTATAATATTTTATTATAGAGTCTTAAATATTTCAAAAAACTCATTTTATAATTAAAAGTTACATACAATACATACTGTTAATTATTCTTATATTATTTATGTTAAAAATGAATAAATTATGATATTTCAAAGTCATCAGTAAATTATACTCCAACAATAACTTTATATCAATTGAATAAAGCTTGAATTTAACAAAAATATTAGTATGTTTTATTTTATTGACAATTATATTTTATTTTTTTAAATATTTGAAAATATATTCTTTCCATATTTAAATTAATTAATATCATGCAAACTACTTTTCTTAAATTTTTAATTTGGAATTATATATTTATTTTATTGTATTTGCTTTTTGTATAAATATTTAACAATAAAATAAGCGTCTATTTGAATTTTCAATTTATTAATGTGTTTAGTAAATAAATACTTTTGATTTTTTAACTAATTAGATATGGATGTAATGAATATTTAATTTATTTAAAGAAAAAAAGAAGAATGTTTTGTTTGATTAATTAAGGGGAGGTGGTCAGGGGTAGCCGCTCCTTAGTAGCGTGCATGCCAAGGGCAACCGCGTCGGGACTAGGGCAAGCCACTAGTAAATCCGACCCCTGTGAAAAATTAATGTGAAACCACATGTCCCTAGTAGGGACAGTATCAGTTTTCACACTGATAAGAACAGATACTACACTTGATCTTAGCCAAAAGGCCGAGAAGGTATGAAAGTTCCTCGAAGAAAGATTTATGTTTTATATAGCAAAATTAATTATAAAATTTTATGGTTTTCCCCAAAAAGATTATAATTAATCAAAATGCATTATTTAATTAATTAATTATAAAAATTGTGAATTTAATTTGTAGAAAGATATTTTTTAATTATATTAAAATGTCTAATTCTATCACAAAATTTGATAACATTTTTTATATCAAAATTCATTTTTTTTAATTATAATGGATTTTTCTCTTCTTTTTAATTTTTTTAAATAAATTAAAATATCATAAAATAAAGCTATTATTTTATTTGAAAATTTTTTGATCAATTTATTTGTTAAGGTGTTAGTTATCTTAATTAATATAAAAGTTACTGATTTCAATTAAAAGGTAATAATATCAGTTTAAGATAAATGAGTGCAAAAAATAAGAGAAAGTATTCGTCTCATTTCACATAGTTGAAGGAAGATAAGCATTTAGATGACCAAATAGATGAATTTCTTTTATAGGAGAAAATAGATGAAGAGAGATCAAAAGACCTTAGGGATGAACTTAATGAATAAGAAGAATAATATTTGACATACTTAGAATAAAGGTTATAAGAAACAGAAAATAGGATTATAGAAACTCAGAATTTAGTTAATAATAGAAACATAAAAGACCAAACTGAATTAAAATAAATAAAAGAACTTAATACTAGGATTGAGAAACTTATTGAATAAAAAGAGCAAGAAAAGTCACGATTTCTTACTCAAGATTTGAATGAAAATGTTAAAGAATACATTTTCAAGTTATAGGAGGAAAATAAAAGATTAAATGAGGAAAGAAATCAATTCGAGATTAAATATCTTTTGAGAAATAAGCAAATATAAATCTTAATTAGAGAAATCAAACTCTACAAAAGAAACGATAAGTATTTCTAGGATGTTATTATGAACAAGGAAAAGCAAATTAAAGATAATGCAAAATAATTAAATAAATTTTAAGTAGAATCTAACGATGCTTTAAGACGCATAGAGTTCATTGAAAAAAATAGGCAAAAAAATGTAATTTAGCTTCCTAAAATGGAGAAATAAGTTGAACCTCACATTGAAAATGATCCATATAATTTCTGGAGATAAGACATTATTTCAGATGTTGTTTAAAATATATCTAAAAAGCATTAAAAAGTAAGCAGTCTAAAAGATATTATACCGCATGAAGATTTGTGGGTTTTAGAGTAAGAAAAAGGTAAAAAAAAAATAGATGGAATAGATGCTGAAAAAACATATGCAGAATCCCCACAAACTTTATATCAAATGCCTCATAGAATCCAATCTTCAAAAGGTAATTTAAATGATGCCTAAATGCAAGAGGTTACTAACGTGCTTCCTATGAAACCATAGACTTCTTAACCATACAGGAATATTTATTAAAATTCTCAAATTTCTTAAAATATGAATATATAAGATGAATATTATCACTAGAATTCATAAAATAATATTTTTTAAGCAAACCGCGAATCTTTAAACAACTTTCCTTCAAAAACCTCAATAAAGTCTAATTAGTACTATGAAGATCCTAACGACATTACAAATTAATACTAACAATATTAATACAATAACAAAAAGAGATGAAAATGTGTGTACCTAACTTCCATTTTCCAGTTTATTAAGCTTTGCTTACAAATAATTCTTAAAAAAGAGAGCTTAAAGGTATAATAAAATAATATAATAGAATTCTCTATATTTTATTATAGGCAAAATTAACAATTTTTACTATTTAATAAAGTCAAATTAATTAATCTTGGTCATTTTTTATCACAAAAAATAATAAAATAATTTGGTAAAGTTGACATAAATTTTAGGATAAATTATATTTACTTTTTATGAGGTGCAAGGCATCAAAATATATTAAAGTTAAATAATAAAAAATGTATATATTAATTAAACCATTTAAGTATTTATATGTTTCGTTTTAAATTCAAGTCGTTCATTATTTTACTATTTGTAAATTAAATTATTTATAAAAAAATATAAAGTCATTTATTAATCAAAAATCTAAATAAAGTGAATATATTTTCTTTGAAAGTATTAAAAAATGTGTTTTTAAATTAATAAATAATAAAAAACTTCTTTTGCGAAATAAATTTTTTAAGAATTAAAAAAATCAATAAAAAGAAATAAAATAATTTAACATTAATAAATTCATATTTTAATATGGTTAGAGCATAGATTTTTATTTTTTTTGTTAATAAAGTAAATTTTTTTGTTTTTTAGTTTATTTATTTGATAATTAATAATGTAGGCTAAAATTAATATACTTTGATCTACTTTAAAAAAACGGTTTAAAATAATTTGTAATTTAAGTATATTATCTGATTAATAAACATTTTAAATCATTGAGCATTAAAGCAGTTGAAAAAAATAAGCTATTTTTATAAAATTAATTTTAAGTAGGTAAAAAAGCCATAAAAATGATATATAAGCAAAAAGATGATAAATATAAAAGCTTTTTGATGTCTATATTATAACTAATTAATTTAATTAATTTCCATTCAAATATATTAATTTATCTATTTTTTTTTCTAGTAAAAATGATGAAAATTAAAATATAAAGAAGAAGAGATAATTTAAAATAATAATCTATTAAAAATTTTTTTAAATTTTGAGATTAATTTTTGAAGTTAAACAAATAATAAGTGTTTTTTAATTTGAGAAATTTATAATTTTCAAAAAATAATTTAAATTATTATCATTCTAATGGTACTGAATAAAATTTAAATTGATTTTAAATGTTATGCTCAAGAGATATGATTCTAAATTATATCTTCAAAATATTAGTTTCTTTTTTTAAAAATAAATATTAAATACTTCAATACATACTTTGAAATAAAGACTAGGTCTAAAAATAAAAATTTTATAAATTAGACAGTAAAAATTTTGATTTTGAATTTATTACTTTTAATTAGGTAACTATCTTAAGTGTAAAAAGAATTTATTAAATTTTTTGATCGCAAATACTATTAGATTAAATTATTTTGCTTTGATAATGTAAGATTACTTTTTTGAAAATTTAATTTTAATGATTTCAAATCTACAAAATTTAGTTTGATCTTAAATTTTTATAAAAATATCCTCTTTATTTTTTTTATTTTTTTTTCAAATCTTAATAAGAGGGAAAAGTAGAAAAAACAATTAAGAATTTAAAAATATTTAAATCAAAATGAGTCTATGTAATTTTCTATTATTTTTTTAAAAGATAGATTTAATTATTTTAGCCTATTTTTCCTCAATCTACTTAATTCGAGTTTAAAAAAAAAGTAGCGCTTAAAAATTTTCAAAAGAGAAAAAAAGAAATTAAAAAATTGAGTTTTTAAAATAATATTTGTACTCACATAAGTTGAGGTGATGCTCAGTAATCTAATTTACTATAATAAGCTTTATTTTTCAATTTAAACAGAAATTAAGGACATATATATGAAGGTGAGCATTTAAAAGGTCTCAGAAATCTTTATCGATATCAATTAGATATGACAAATTATACGTACTACTCTCAAATAAATAGCATATCTAATTAATTAATAAATATTTTAAGCAAATAAAGAGTAAGCAAATTTAATTATATTTTTAATTTAAAATACTAAATTTCAAATTGTTTTGAAATAAGAAAAATATTTTATATAAGTCACATGAATGTTCATTTTAAGTGATTTTTATCAAAAATTATTAATTAAATTACAGATTTTCAATATAATAAATTCAAAAAAATGTAGAATTATTTCTAAAATAGCCATCATTTCATTTTTTTTCTTTTACATGATTCAAAAATACAAATATAAAACACATACAGCTCAATTTTCTTGCATGGTAAATGGTGGAGAATTAAATTTTTTGACTTGGAATTAACTCAAATTCAAATTATAAGTTTATTTCAGTTATTTAAGTTTTGCAATTTTTTAATGATACAAAAATGTTATTTTATATATTTTAACAAAAGTGAAAAGAGTTGGATCTCAGTGTGAATTCTTTTGGTGAAGTTTTAGAAAAGTGAATAAAGTATTTAGGGAAATTTTCAATATTTATGATGCAGTGATATTTTTTTATTCACTGAACTATTTTCACTATAAAAAGATACTTTCAAAAAATGAGTAGAAGTTTTGAAAAAAAAATTACAGAAAATAGAAGGAAATTTGTTAAAATATTTATTAATATTAATAATAAAAAGTTGTTTACAAATAAAAAAATGAATGAATTATTTGATTTGATTTGATTTTTTTAATTTCCCCTAAGCAAAAAAGTTGTTAAGTATTTTAAAAAATATTTATTTGCTCTTCTTTGCGAGGTAGTAATTCTTATGTTTTAATTAAAGTTAAGATGCTTAAATGTTTATTTTACTTTTTTGATAGCATACTCGCACAAATTTCAGTAAATGTAAAAGGTGAAACCCATTCAAATGAGTCTACTAATCAAAAAAAACTTTTACTGAATTGATACCCAAAAGATTTATGAGTTAATCAAATGTGTTTTTTTTGTTTGCAGAGGATTAATTTTGGTCTATGTATTCGATCAAGAATTCTTTGGATATCTGTCTTGATAAGCTCTAATTTTTCAGATTTAGAAGTCTCATAAAGACATTGACTTTGATTAAAATTTGTTTCGGAATTGATCAAAGCTCAAATTAACTCGAATGGCTATTAAGATATTTTCTGATAGAATTTGAAAACAGCCTAATAAAAATAAAGAAAGACTCTTAAATCAATAATTATAAATAAAGTACTCAAGCAGAAGCCAAAAAATAAGCTGATAATAAGTAAGCACTATAAATCCTTTACTTAGTTTTGTTTTGAATCTATGAAATACTTCAAAAAACAACTACAAAATACCTTAATTTTGTTGAAAAAAAAAATTTGTTTTTACAAAAATGTTTACAGGAAATGAAGCATCTAAATTTTTGGAAAACAAAAAATAAAAAGTAATGCAGGAAGGAAGGATGGAAGGAAAGAGTGAGATAAATTTAACTGCTTTACTAATTTTATTGTTTCGAATAAGCATCTAATTAATAATTTTTAAAGGAGGGATTTACATGTCTAGGGAGTTCAATTAAAGTCAACTGCTTGTTTAATTTAGGTATCATAATTACCTACATGACAAATATTATATACTTTTAAAGGACAACACACACCTTTCGTAAAGTGATTACATTAAAAATTTATCAATCTCATAAGTTTTATAATTTATTAAAGATGAGTAACGAGATCACTGAATTTATCATATTATAAATAAATGCTTAATGAAAAACATTTTCTTTTTGAGAAGTTTTCTATTTAAATTAAAGCAATAGACACTAAAAATCCAAATATTTTTGTAGGATAGTAATTCAATAAGTATGAAACCTGATTTAATTTATATTTGTTAGAGCTCATGAAGGGTGAGAAAAGAGCAAGCAAGCTGAATTTGATTTTCTGTTTAAACAAATTAATTTTTGCTATAAAAGAAAGAAAGAAGTGAAGTGATGCATAATTTTATTTAGGGGGCAATTAAGTGCTAATAGGTTAAAAGGGAAAAAAAAGGCAGCTAACAAAATAATTTAATTAAATGGAAAAAAAATAATACGTTGGATATTCATTTAAGTCATAGATAATAATACGCACTATCAGATTTTTGAAAGAAAGACAAAAGTCTTAGTCTTCCCCATGACTTTTGAGATAAATAATTAAACACTTCAAACAAAATTAAAATACAAAATCACTGCAAAAAAGAAATCTCTTAAAAAGAAAGAAAGATTAGCCTTTTGTCTCAAAAAAAGAGACTCTTTCCCTCTCTCATCCTTTTACTAAAATTCATTTATTAATATATCTCGATTTAAATAACAAGTTAACAAACATTAAATCTTTTCCCTTAAGCGCTAAAGACTTTTTTGTGCCATACTAACAACCCAACAACATCAATAGCCTATAATTGCTCATTTTCTATCCCTGTAGCCATTTTACTCTATTTAGGAATAGAATTAAAATTTTCATTTTTATCTGTAAATAACCTGAATTTAATTTAGAATATACTTTTAATACCGCTAATTCTCAAACATGTTTAGAGATACTCAAGAAGACTACCTCAGATACCTTCTCTTTGATGATTAGGATGATGATTTTAACTTTTTCAACAGCGGCATGAGCCAAAACCAGCCTAACAATAATAATATGGACTAAAACATGCTATATAATCAAAATGATTAGATTTTGGAAACCGAAAATGTAAGCCATTTATAATTTTTTTATTTTTTGTCGCTTTTTTAAATTTATACACTTATTAATTTTAATAGTGCATTTATTAACCAATTAAAATCAATCAATCCTATTATTTTTTTCTTTCTTCTTTGTTTCAAATTCTTATTATTTGAAATTTATCTTCCTTTTTTCATCAAAATTTTGACTGAAAGTCAACCAAAAAAAGATGACATATTTTTATAGGTTGAGTCAATTACTGTGAAAGTCATTTATAAGATAAAATAGAACTCAATTTCAATTTTTTTAAAAATTATTTGACTTAATAGTTTCTATTCCATAAAAAATTTTACATACACCTAACAAACAAATAAACAATCAAACATATAAACAAACATACATATATGTTTACTTACTTTGTTTACAACTTACTTACTTATTTTCATATATTATCAAAATTAAATACTACTTTTATCTCTAGGGAAATGTATTCTGATAATTTTTTATTTTATTATTAATTAAGAATCCTTTTTCAACGAATAGTGTGTACAACAATCACAAAATCAATGAGTATGAGAAGCAATAAGAAGAAATCAATTAACATTTGACTGAAATGACATTAAATAGCAACAATATCAATGATCCTAGATTTTAAAATACCAATATACCTGTTGGTGACAATTATCGTAATGGTTATCCTCTTAACAACAACAACAGCAACTAAAGTAATATTGAAAATGCTGCTGCCAAATATAATGGTTTGAGTTATGATATTAGAGATGGTCAAGAAAACTCTAGATATATTGATTATGGAAATTAAGTTAACAATGGGGTTGATTACTATCCTAAATAAGCTGAAAACGGAATTAGTGAAAATAATAATAATCCATTAAACTAGTCTTTATATATGCAATAAACCCATTTAAATGGTAATTAGTACAACAACTATCCAGCAGATATCAATATCAACAAAGGATAAGGCTTAAGTTATGATAATCGTATTGGGTCTCCTGTTCCTTAATAAAGTAACCCTTATTACTAATAGTCTCCTCAGTAAACTTTGTAACAACCAAACCAGCAATATGATATAATTTCTTCACCAAGCTAATAGCCTGCAAATCCTTATAATGAAGAATATCAAAACAGCAATTACTACCCAAACGAATAGATACCAAGAGAAAATAGAAATTATTTTAATTTGACAAATCAAGAACAAAATAACAACCGCTACTATGGAAAACATGAACAAGTTGCAGCTGCTGATTCTAATCAATATGAATAGGGATTATATAATTAAAATAACAATTATTAATAATAGGGTAATTATACTAACTAGAATAATATAAACATGAATGGTGCTCAAGAATATTACTCTAATTAAAATAGACAATATTCTTAGAATTAAGATTTGAATAAGTAATAAACTGAATAGTTTTACGCACCTTAACAGAATTAAAATATGTACAGAAATTCATACAATGAATAAATTTCTAATGGTTAACCAATATATAATAATCAGTTATAACAACCATACTACGATAATTACAAAGTCCAAGATATCTCAGTTTAATAATAACAGAGTTAGGCAACAGTTATTGGCCAAGTCCCTATCCTTAAAGAAATGAGAATGAGCAAGCGCAAAAGCACATCTAAGTAATCAAATGGAAGCTAGTTATCAAAGAAATCCTCAGTAAAAGAAGCTCAACAGTAAAAATATGAAAAAAAATATCAAAAAGCTTAATAATCCTAGAAGCTTTAGCAATAAATTATTAATTCTATAAATTAAAAAAATTAATTGTCATCTTCTGCTACAACTCTTCAATATAATGGATAAGGAGCTAATGTAGATAGTATTAACGCTTCTCAATATAGCAGTACTGATAATAATGTGCCAACTGAAGCAGTAAGTAGCAACAGCACAGCTTATACAACGGTTTAGTTTAATAATAGCAATTCAAACCAAATTAACAATGTTTTAACCAATCAGAATTCTTATTAATCTGCTTACTACAACGAAGCTTATAATGAGCAATCTCATCCCCATCACCATCATTGCTGCCATGAAGAAGACGATAGCGATAGTGAAGACAGCATTTAAAACGAAGAAATGGATTAACATGAGCATAACCATTTATTACACAGTGGAATCTAAAACTCATCTTAGCTTAATGATAGCAATAGCAATGATGAAGGTAAAAATAAATGCGATTTATCTTGCGATCAAGAAGGCGATTCTGAAAAGAATTCCAAGGCTGATGAAATTGCAATTCTAGCTGAGTCTATTAAGCATTGCAACAAAAAGAATGTTGTCAAAAATATAATGAGTGCATTCTTGACATTTATGAATGACCGTAAAAATAAGATTTACACCAAATAAGAATAAGAAACTATACCTACTCTGTATTACTCTCAAGGAAAAGAAGAGGGTTCAACAGAAGATGAAGACTAAATAGAAGAAATTCGCAAAAAATTCAAGCGTTACATAAGCTAGAAAAGCTTAAACCATTACACTGTCCGCTTGCTCATCCTACATCCTAACTATGGACCAATATTCAAACACTACTTAACAAACCCAATTAAAAAGTGGATCAATAACTCTAAAGTAGCTGATCTTGGTGCTCACATTAAAATGATTGGTTTCTTCCTTGCATGCTTCTAAGATAATCGTGTGCTTGAAGAATTGAAAAGACACGAAAAGAAGAGAGCTCACTTCTCATGAGAAATATAAAATTTAAAATCTCAAAGAAAAACTACAACAAATAAATAATTTAAATAATAATTTTATCCATCTAATTATAAATCAACAAAACAAACAAAAGAACCTCCCCTTTCATCTTTTTTTTTCTTTAATAAAAAATCTTGTAAAAATAGCTTAAAACGAGAAATAAAAATCGATTATAACAATGATAACTCAGAGCCTCTCCTCCTATTTCAATAAATCTTTTCATTCCATCTTTCTCTATCTATCTATATAAAAATAAAAATAAACAGTAATCTAATTAGCTATAGCAATTGCAATTACTAAAACCCATCATTTTTTGTATTTATCTTCTCATTTCCGCCTAGTTATAGAATATATTAATTTAAACTCACTAACATCATCATCATAATTATAATCCAATCATATTAATTATATATTTCCTTCCTTTATTTTCCATACCCTTGATGTATATGAAAATCAAAACCAGCTAATAACTGAACAATGAAATCACACTAAAAAACAAACAATCTAAAAAATTGTAGTGATAATTTTAATACAGCCCTTTTTCACCTATCGATTTGTTTGTTAAAATTATACTAAAAAAAATAATAAATTTTGTTTTCATAAGGATAATAAGACATAATAAGTTTGTACTAGTTATCTATTGATTAAATTAAACACCTTAAAAAGTTAATAAGATTTCATGTGAAATAAAAAGTAAAAATGTAAATGAATGATTATAAGAACCAAGATATATTTTAGAAATAAAATTCTTTGAATAAATATACTGCCCTGCAATTAATAATTTGGAAAACAAACTATAAAAAACTCACACATAATTGACTTAATTTATTATTTTAATGTAAAAAAAAATCCCTCTCATTTTATAATTAATCTTATTTATATATATATTTGTAAATTTATACTTGAATATAAAGTTGTTTATTTCTAATTACAAAACTATATCTTATAAAAAGATCCTAAAATATGTTAAGATTAATTAAATTCTATACTTATTCTTTCTTTTTTTAAAGTATTTTGATTTACAAATAAATGACAAAATATTTGAAATAATTCGTAATAATCAAAAAAAAAAAGTGTAAATCACATCTAAGAAAAATTTAAAAAAATCTAATTTTTAAATAATATCTTTATGATTTTATTGTAACAAAAATGTTTCTGTGGGTATTTCCAATAAATTATTTAGTAATTATTTCCGATTATTTCTTATTTTGAATTTTATTTGTTTTTCTGAATATCATTTCGACGTCAAATTATACTTATCAGTATAAGAACATTAAAAGTTTCGATTTATTATTTATTGAAGTTATTTTACACGTGGCAATGAAATATATACTAAGTTTTAAATAATATTGCATTAGATTTTAAAACTAACTAAAATTAAATAATTGCTATCATTTGTAACCAAAGATGTGGCCCTATTAACTTACATTGGCAAACTCATAAATGAAAAAATATCTTTAATTAGTTAAGCATACGAAGTTAAAATATAATTAAATATCAAAATTACAAACTTTATTGTTAATGATATTTTATTACTTGTTTTGTTATTTTAACAAATCTTTAACTAAAATTTTACATATAAGATACCGGTAAATGTTATTTCAATAAGTGTTCTAAATAAAATAAATGAAGTTAAATTTAAATATTATTCAGTTATTTTGCTAGACAGATATGAATTAAATGATCTAAATTTAGAAAATTGTTAATTCTTAAAAATATAAATATGATTAAAAATTAGCATTAAAAATAAATTCTTATCTAAACAAAAATATTTCAGCTTTTTATTTATTTTATGATAATAAATTAAATTTATTTAATAGCATTTAATTTTTATTGAATAAAGACAAATTAAATTCTAAAATTAAAAATATATTAAATAATCCAAATTATTTAAAACTGATTCTAAAGTTTATTTAATTTGAAGGTAACTCTTTTATTCTAAATTTAGTAATAAGAAAAAGCTATTAAGAAATCTAAATATTTAAATAAAAACTCAAATAAATATTAATGTAAGAATTTTTTATTTTAAAATATCTTTTTCAAATAAAAATATTTAAAAGTATTTGAATAAATTAAAAAAAAAGATATTAATTTAATGAATTAAAAGTAATTTTAATATTTTTATTAATTTATAATTTTAATTCAAAAATTTTTAATTATTCAAAAAAAAATTTAGCACAAAAAAATCATTTAAAAAAAATTTTATACAAATATCTATTTTGAAATTTAATCATTTAATTTACTTACTCGTTTTATTTATTTTAATTTAAATTTTACTGTAATTTTTGAAACAAAAAAAAAGTTTTTAAAACTAAAAATTCACATTATTTTGAAATAATTATTTAAAACATAAATTAAAATCAAAAGAGCATATTATTAATACTAATTTAATTGATGATTAATTTTCCTACATATTTGACAATCATTTCTTTTTAATAAAAATATTTTTATTGATATAATCTTCTTTTAATGAAGTTGAAGTTAGTTTTTTACAGGAAATACCGAATAAGAATAAATTTAAAATATTTAAAAAGATTAAAATATTCAATATTAATTCTAAGAGCAAATTGTTAAAACAAAGATACTTAAATCCGTAAAGTAATAAAAATTTTTATAATATGAATCTTTTTAAAATGTATCAAGTTTATCTCAATTAAAAACTAGTTTAAAAAATGAAATGAAAAAATATTAAACGAATTAAACAAAAATTATTTTTTAATTTTTAACAAATTATTCATTGACTAAAAATTATGCAATCTATTTTCAGATAAGTAGCTTGCATTTAAATTTATTAATAAATCATTTAGTCATTCAATACCTTTATTTACTTATTTTCCAATTTATTTTTATGAATTATATTCACAACGAATATAATATTAATATATTTATGATAAATTAAATTTCTGTTAGAATTTATAGGAGTGACTCATTAATAGCTAAAGATTTGCCTGATTATTTCTTAGATAATAATATTTATTTGATATAATTTAATAATTTTAAAGTGAAAGATGTTTGAAGAAGAATAAGAGTAAGATAGAGAACTTGTTCATTAGATTTTATGTGAAGTTCTAGGCGAAAATTACATGAATGAGCCCTATGATGATGGCGATGATTCTTCTATGAAATCTTCAGTTGATATTGTATAAAAATATTAATTTTATATTTTTTAAAATTCTCAAATGGCTATATTTAAAAATATTGCTTTTTAAAAACAGCAAGCTTTAATCGAAGAACAAAGTATTTCTAGTAATAGTCTTCTAAGTGGAAGAGAAGGAAAGGTAGGTGGTATTTAAAGTAATAAGAATGGGTTTGAATAGGGAGAAGTTGAAAACATTTTAAGAGTTATTGATAAGAATGAGAAGAATAAATTAAATAGTTAAGAATTAGCTTGGGAAAGTGATTAAGATGAAGATAATTCATCGCAAGCATTAGATAATTCACAGATATTGAAAGATTAAACAAACGACGATATGTTTGATGAAGTTGGAAGATAAGAATTAAATGATTTGATTATTTCAGCACAAGATGTGTAGAAGGCAGACAGAAAATATCCTCAAATTTTCACATAAATTTAGGAATAGAATTTTGTTTAAGGCGATAACATTAGCTTTTATTTGCACAATCTTGTTTTTAAATTTTCATAAAAACATCCCCAGTTTTTGTTTACTTGCTTTTAAGTAAATATTTATTGATATACAATTTACTCTTTTACATTTATGTGTTTTTACTTTTATTAGTTTTTTTAGACATGTAGAAAAATAAAAAACACTATTAACATTTTAAATTATTGTTAAAAATAAAAAGATATACTAAGAAAATAATTGCTTAGAAAGACTATTATTAGGATGTTAAGATGGATCGTTTGTAGTACTTGATGCAAATCCTAATTCAGGATAAGAAAACTATACCTTTTTTAAGTTGAATCAGCAAGTACATGGAGCTATTTCTTGTATAGATGTTTCATATAATGGGAATTTTGTTGCAACAGGTTTTGTTGATGGTACTTTAGGATATTGGGATATTTCTAAAAAGCAATGTGTAAAAATAATATCAAACCTTTTTGATAGTACAATTTTATAAGTTAAATTCTTAAATGCAGAATAGTTAATAGCAAGTGATAATAGCGGCAATATTATGATAACTAAAATAAAAAAAAACCTATTTGCTTACAATAATGAAAATAAAGTATTGATTTAGAATTCTTCGTCACCTTTTTATCAAATAAAGTTAAGAAGAGCCATATTTAACTAGCAAGGATAGTAAAAAGCTTGTTTACTTGCAGCTTTAGTTTCAGTTGAGTTTATATTAATTGTGATGATAGAACCATAAGTGGTGAATATAACAAGAATAGATAATGAATAAAATAATAAAATGATTTATTTCTCATGGACTCCAATTATTCAAAACACTCCTCCTCAATTTGCTATTTCTTGTGATACTTTGATTAAATTTTACTAAATTGACAGCATTAAAGAAGATACATCACAAAAAATCATTAAAAAAATATCTTTTTAGAGTTACTTTTACAGTGAAAAAGAAATACTTTTTATGGAATTCTTAAATGAAAATTTGATATTTTATTTAGACCCTAACAATTTAATAAGCATCATTGCTGTAAATAAATTTAGAACATCAGACACCTTTTAAGTTATTCCACAAAACACCCTTGTTGATAAGTAACTTTATTATTACATATTTTCATTTTATTTTATTTTATTTAAAACAGTAGGTATATTTTAAAGCATGAAGAAATTAAAGAAGCTATAGTATATAGAGATTTTCTGAAGTCTGAAGTTTATTATCATATGTTTGTAAAGGCTAACAATGAGTTAATCAGAAGCTGCTATGCTAATTCTGTTAATGTTTATAACTAAACTATTTACATTCTAGGTATTTTTATTTTATCTATTTAATTGAAATTTGTTAGAATTAAAAAATCTTTTCATTTTATTTTGTTTGCATTATTAATTAAAAATTTTTATAAATATATAGATAGTAGAAATATTGTCAACGCATAGCTGCAATTCTGGGAATCTTATATTAATAAGCTCATAGAAAAGAGTGATTGGATATAGGCACTCTTTAAGCTTATTCAAATTTTTGAAGGTAAAGACCTCTTATACTCTCATCTTTCATCCTAAAAATTACAGAGACAAAAATAAATACAACGTTTTGTTGAGTCTATGTAACAATTTTTATAATTAGATAAATGTTTTTTTTACTTTAGTTTTTTTAAAAGATCAAGAAGATACATTGAAGAAGTAGCTTCTATTTTAAGCGAATAAAACAGTGAAGAACTTTGGATTATGAGAATTTCAACTTTAACTGAGTTCTTGTTGCATTTAGAGTTTTATGATTTTATTTTTGAAGACCTTTTGATTATGTTTGAAAATATAGCAGCTGATTAATATTTCATGAAGATTTTAGAACCATTTATTTTAAGGGGATAAGTAAGCTCAATTTAATTTTTATAAATATATTTTTACTTAAATTTTCTTTATTTTTTAGATAAAAGCTGTTCCTGCTTTGGCTTTTAGAAAAATTTTAAATTACTTTTTCACCTAAGCGAAGGACAAGATTCATTTAGTTAAAAAGCTTATCGTTAATTTAGACCTAGAAAAAATGGACATAGATAATATGATAAGAATATGTAATGAAAAAAAGCTATTTTCAATGCTAGCTTATCTTTATCCTAAGAATAATTTAGATTTTAAAACACCTGCTTTAGTATGCTATGCAAATTATTTATAAGGATAAAAATTAGATACTAAAACTGCTTACTTTTGTTTATGGTACTTGCGATATACACTCCAAGGATACTAATTTCCAAATGATTTCTTAGATTTTAAATCACAGACAGCAGTATGATTAATTTATTTTTTGGTTAAAATATTTACAAATCTTCATTTAATTTACTAATTATTATTAAAATTATTATCTAATTGAAAAAAAAAACTTATATTATTAGGCAGTTATATAATTGGTATAGTGGATATTTGTGAAAGAAACTCTTTAAGAACTCATAAAAATTGATTGCTTCTTTATGTTTGAAATTATCCTTTTATTTTTTGAAAAACCCTGTAGTACTATAATTGAATAAAATAATAATGAACTGTATAAATTGCTGGAAATAGATAATAAAATAAAAACTCGTAAATAAATAAATGAAAAAGAGATAGATTTGTTGGAAGCTACTCCACCAGTCCATTCATTGATGATTTAATTAGTTTAGGAATGTGTTTAATAAAATAATGTAGATGAAATTTAGTGCTTTCATCATTTAATTCTTGAAGTTTCTTATCGAGACTTTGAAGTATCACATACTATGGCTATTGAATGTGCTAAATTCTTTTTTGAGAGTCCTGATTCTAGTTTTTATAGAAGCAAGAAGCATATGAGCATAGACTATAAGAGTGAGAGATTAATAAAATTACTGTCTACTTATGAAAGCTAAATAAACACTAAAGGAAAAATAGAAAAATTAATACAAAAAGCACGATATTCTCCTTTTATAGAAGTTTGTGCTTTCTTGTGTTTTATAAACTAAGATTACTAAGAGTGCATAGATTTATATTTACTCTCTCCTAAAAAACATATTAACTTGAAAATATTTCCTTTCTTAGAAACTCTATTTGAAGAACTCAATAAAAATAAAGATAATTAAAAAATAAAAGTACTGCTATAGTATATTTTTACTTCAAAGCTTAAAGATCTTGTTAGACTAGATTCTGAAAAGACTAAAGAATTCATTGAGAAATTTACTACAGCAGGAGAAGCTGATCAGGCAATAGAATAGCTATCATAATTCCCTGAGTTATAATTTAAGCTTCTAGATAAAATCATTTAAAGTAAAAGAAACAAATAATAAGATATTCCAGAACATTTACTAGTCCTTTAGCTAGAATTAGTAGCCAAGTTAAATCCTGCTAGAGTAAATTAATTATAATAACTTTAATTTCTTATAGATTTTAATATTAAAAGGTTCTTTTCGAGTTAAAAAGCTTCGATTATCCTCTTGATGAAAGTCTAAAAATTAGTTTAAAATACGGCATTTTAGATGCAACTGCTTACCTATATGAAAGAAGTGGAGATATAACTAAATCCATCAATTTATACTTTGAAGTAAGCTAAATAAATATTAATTTTATATAACTAATGATTTCATTAATTATCGTTTAATAGGTTTTTAAAGGAAAATTAAATTAATTAATAACTTATCCTGATGTAAATGAAAACAAACTAACTCACCTCACTTAATTTATAAAACCATGTTTAGAGATATGTATTTCCCATAATAAGAAAGGAGATAAAGAATCTGAGGTAAATAAATTAATAGTTAATTTTTATTTAATTTAAACATTGTTTTTTTTGATATTAGGAAAACTGGTTTTTAGTAGTAGACAATATTATAAATATTCAAAAGAAAACTGTTGCAGAATTTTAGTTTGATAAAAGAATAATTATCAATTTCTTCAGTAATGTGATCAATGAAGTGGTTGAAAAAATGGTTAACTTTGTTAAATTTAATTCTTTCATAGAAAATCTTTTACTTATCCTTTAAATTTACACTTTGAAAGACATGAAATCAACATTTTAGAGATTGCTCCATGATTTTTCTTTTGAATTTAGTGTATTAAATAGCTCAATTAGCATACTCAAGTTGAATTGTAACAAATAACAGCAATAAATACTCCAGTTCTATGTAAATTAATTTTTTTAATATATCAAAGAAATAATTTTTAATTGATTTAATTTAGTCTTAAGGTTACAGTATTTAAAAGTAGTGTTGTTCATGCTAAGAAATTATTGGTCCATAAGATGTTTATATTTTATTTAATTGCAAACATACTTCTCATTAGAAATGTTCCTTTAATTAAACATATTGTCCCGTTTGTGTTGAAAATCCTGAGTTTTTATGTAAAATTTTTAACAATTAAAATCATAAATAATAAATAACATTTTAAAATAGGGATATAAAATATTTTTAAGCTTAAAGTATACAAAGGGTCTTCAAAGGAATAAATATTATAGTAGGAAAGAGTATCAACTGGTAAATAGGAAAATCTAGCTGTACTTAAGAAAAAAAATATTTTCAAACAACTAAACGAGTTAGATTAAAAGAAGAAGGACTTACAAGAAACAGTAAATTTTTATATCTAATTTAAATATCTATAAATTAACTATTATTTATAGTAATACAAAAGCATATTTGAAGAGGTTACTGATTTGTATTGAGCAAACTAAAAGTATTAACAAGAAATAATAAAATAAAATATTATGTTAAGCTAAAATAAATTTTATTTATAAAAGAAGAAGTTAATATTTATTATTTCATTCAGTATATTAATAGTTTGTTTTTTTGTTTAAAAATGCCAATTTAAAATTATTTTTTATTATCTAAAAGAGCAATTAACAATATATAAACCCGTTTATGCTTATATTTAATAGTGATATTAATTAAATATATATTTAAAAGCAGTTTAGTTGGTCTTAAATATATCTCATAATGCAAAATCTAAATGCATTGATTTAAACTTTTGAATGTATTTTTAGATATTATTAAATCTTATATTTTTATTAATATTTATTTTTAAAAAATAAATAATAAATATTTTTATTGAGTTAGTCAAATTTAAATTTAAAAAACATAAATAATTATGATGAAATAACTTTTTAAGTTACTTAACAATTATATACAAAAATAATTAATTATTAAATAACACCATAAATGTTAAGGAAAAGTGTGTAATACTAACATAATAAAAATGTATTTCGGTAGAACATTATAATTTATTCAGTAAATTAAATTAGAAGTACTTTGATTCTTTAGTGGCTTTGAAGCATAATGGAATTAACTATTTTTTTAATTAATTAAATATAAATTATTTGTTTAAATTAATTTTAAAGTGAAAAGAAGAAGAAAAAAATTTTATTTACTCTTGACCTACTGGGTCCTTGGATTTGTAGGTTTGTACTTAAAATAAGTCACTTTTACCAGCAGCAAAGGATTTAGCACTAGGGTTTAGATATGAGGAAGTAACATTCTTTACCCTTGGAGCACTTTCGACGGTATAATAGTTATCTTTAGTCTTCTCATACTTAAATTTGACTTCGTATGGAATTTAATCTCCTGTTTCATGAATTTCTTTTCTCATATTAAGGATAGATCCTCCATCATAGTTTTTAAAGTATTTATCAACTTATTTCCCATAAAGATCAGTTTTGTTATACAGTCTCTTTTCTTAAACATAGTTTCCAATTACGTTATAATCTTGCTATTTATTATTCCAAGGTACTTTTGTCAGCTCGACTTTAGGAGCAGGAGTTATGCTTTTTTGCAATTGCTCGATAGGCGATTAGTTAAATTTAGCTATATTAATACAAGTTAAAATGAATTTTAAAATGCATGATTAATATATTAATTACTTGTGTATTCAGAAGAGTTATCAACTTTGGGAACAACTGTGTAAGGTTTTAAGTAACTTAGTTTGTCTTTTTGTGGACCAGCTGATTATGGCTTTTAAAATATATTTCTTTCAATCAAACTGTGCTTCGGAGAAATCTAAGATTACAAGCTTTAGTATTGAGATTGCTTGTTTTCCTAATTTTGTTAATTGGTCTTGGGACGTGATTAAGCAGTAGGAATTTTCCTAAGGATATCACCTTATTAATATTATCCTGCTTATTGTGACTATATTAATGGCTAAGGTTTAATCAGCTAACCATAATTATTATCTTAACTTTAATAAACTTACTGGGTTGGAGTGGGTTAATATCCAAAGTTATTTTTAATTAAATTTGGTGTAGAAGAAGTACTAATAAATTAATTTTTAGTCATGGCACTTTTAGACATATTATATCTCTCCATTTTTTCTCTATTAATTTTTAGCTTAGGCTATTAATAGCTGAAAATATTATCTTTATTCATTTAATACTGAACCTACATTTTTAATAATATTTTATTTTAAAAATATTAGAAGACTTAAGGAATTTATTTTAGATATTTACCATCTTGTCAGGAATATCGTAATGCTTAGGAGAAACAATTCTGCTTTCAATATTATGTTTGAATTCTTAATATTTTTGGTTGCTGTCATAATGATTTGGTCTTATCAAAGCTGTGTGCTTGAAATCTTCAACTACATCATCCTTAGCAATATTTGTATTACTTGGTGGTCTAATGCTTTGCTAAAACTTTTATTATTAGTAATCTAATTGCTTCAAATTATTTTGCATGCTGCTGCTATATCCACGGTTATTTGTGTTTGGAGCTCCATTGGCATTTTGATTATTTTAATATGCATATGTTGGACTTTAAAGTTATTGACTCTTCTAAATGTTTTAAGTAGGTATATTGGGATTTGAGGCAGGTCTGTTAAGGTATGATTAGGGAATATTTCCATTTACTTGGTAAGGTTATGGGCTTTTTGGAATTACATTTTATTAAGGATAAACACCTCTAATCTAGTCTGATTTCATTTGTTAATATGTAGGCGATGACAGCAATTAGTCTTTTTAAATATATGAAGGTGGTTAATTGTGAGGTTTGTGAATTCTATCTGCTATAGGTCCATTATAATATGAGCTTTTTTCGACATCGAATCCCTAAATTCCTTAATAAGGTTATTTCTAAGAATATGAAGATTGACTTGCTTGATTGAACTATTAAGAGGACATAGGTGCAGGAACAGAAGCCCTTAAATTATTATTTTAGACAGAGGAATTGAATTGTCTGTCTTAAATGCTCTATGATAAAATTGGGTCTTGCCTATTAGACTATGCTCTTTAGTTTTAGTAATTTCCTACATTTATATCTGGAGTCCTACTAAAGTTAGTATTTTCAAAACCTTATATTCTATAAACAATTTTAAGCTTCAAAATATTTATCGGTTATATTAATTACCTCTAAGAAGGATCATAATTAGGGTAGTTTAATGGCCTAATTGATATTTTTGGTTATGCACCTGTTTATTATATTAAAATGTATCTAAATAAGCTTAATTCTGTAACAACTAATGCTAATTTTAATTGAATGAAAATTTTTAAATCAGAAATTTTGATCATACCTTTAATGTCATTTGTAAAAAGAGATCTATTTTCAAATACCTCCTATTTTATCCATGGCTTATTAGGATATGCACCTACAATTTATTAAAAGTAAATGAAGTTAATTAATATTAATTAACTATTAATCCAAATTATATTTTGGTTTTTATTTTATTTTAAATTCAATTATCTTTACCTCTTATGTCCATCGTTTTAAGAGATCTGTCATAGAATTAAGGAGATGGTAGGGTTACCTCAGGATTTTATTAATTGAGCATTACTAATTTGCAAAAATAATTTTTTTTTTAGTTTTTAGGTATCAGGATCAGAACTTTAGTTTTATTTAGTTTGATTAACTTTTGAAGTTATAACAAATATATTAATTAATGTAAGATTTGAGTATATATATCATTTATAATTAATAACTTAATCTGTTCTTTTGTATATTAAAACTTCAACAATAATAAATACAATTTATATATCTATTTATCTATATATCAATATTTATATTTTTTCCTTTGCTAAATCTTTGCAATTTAAATGTCTTTCTCAATTACACTATCAACCCTAAATATTCTATTTAAATAAAAACGTATTCACAAATTAATTGAAACTCATAATTTTATAACAGCTTTTTAAATTATAAAAAATCCAAATAATTCTAATTTATTTTTTACAACAATTAATCAAAATGTTTTAAATTATAAAATAAATTAAAGGAATAAAAAATTCTTCTAATTATTTCTAATTAAAAATGAGTAATTGAAATTATAGTTTATATAAAAGTAATAAATTTAATTTATAATTCAAATTGATGAGCAATCATAAATGAATCAATTCCTCTAAGTTATTTAAAAATGTATTTACTAATTACTTCAAATTAATTTAAAAAATTAAAAGTCAAAAAAGCAAACATAAAATGATACAAGTAATACAAATAATTACTAATATAATTTTGTTGATTAAATTTATTTAAGTTTAAAAAAATTAAAATGCTAAAATAAATTTTGCAATAATAATACTAAAAAGTTGAAAAAGATTGATAATATAATTTTAATAGATTTTTGAAATGAAGAAAATAAATTGAAGGTATTTGATATATTTTATATTTAATACTGATAGGCATAAATAAATATAGACTACATATTAATAATTACCTAAGAGTTTAATTTGAATAAATTATTATATTTAAGTATGTAAATAGGAAAGTGTTATACGCATGAGATCAAAGTTATCCAATTTAGTTAATTTCTACTACATAGCACTAGATTAAATTGAATTAAAAAGTTGGAATAAGGTTTTCTTTAATTATATACTTTATTAATTAATTTGGTATGAAAAAAGTAGAAAAACTTGACTACGTTTCTTCCGATTTTATAAAGTGTTTGTTTAATAATTGCATCTTTAAATTATCTAGAATCGATTTACAAATTAACACTCAGCTTTATTAGAAGCTGTGTAATCATTGTTAAGTTTGAGGAACTTCTTTACGAGCTTTGAATTGTTGGATTAATTCAGCTAAAGGAGCTAATTCTTTATCATCTACAAGATCAAACTCATCTATGAAGTAAATAAAATGCTTGAAACATGTATTTAAATGATACTCTAAACCAAGACTCATTATATGCTAGAAGTGACTATGATATATATGGGCATAGACTCTGAAAAGTCTTTTGAAAATTACTTTAATGACACTTAAAAAATTTTTAGGGAAAGGCACACCTATTTATTATATTATACAAAAAATTAAGAAAAACTAATAAGTATTTATTTGTTTATTCATTTATTTCAGTTGAATGAATCGCAATTAAAGTGTTTGAAATATTAATTTGAAAATCAAAAAATAGCAATAAATACCTATTTAGCATGGGAATAAGCTTTCATTATTAATCTATGTTTCAACCCAAGTCATTAAATAATCAATATATTCGCTTGCAGAAACTTTTAAGGGAGTTCTTACATTTTATCCGTCAGCCCATAAATATTCATACCTATAAATTAATTCAAATTAAAAACAATTTATATTTATAATAGAGGACTTGCTAAAATGAACAATTTATTATGTATATAATTATTAATTACTTTGGACCAGCGCTCATTATTGGACATGCCTCTGGTGTGCAAAACTTTAAATATTTTAAATAAAAATTATTGGTTTTTTTTAATTAATATCGATTTGCCATACCTCCATAAGAGTACCGTATAGGATGGAGATTTCATTGTAAAATTCAATAGTATTAACTGCTAGCCATTCATTTTTTTCTTCTCCTTAAGGTAATTCAACTGCTAAACTCATATTTCCTGATCCTAAAGTCATTTAAGCTATGTGTTTTAAACCCCAACCACGGCTACCTTTTTCAATCTACTTAGGCTTATATGTCTTCTAACTCATTTTTAACTTTTTTCTTTCAATACAATTTTTTATTATTTTTTTAGAATTGATAATCTTTATTTATTTTTCCTTTTTAGAGTTTTAAATTAATGCAATTCAAAAAAACAAAAATGAATAGGAAAAAATATTGAAATTAACATATTATTTTTTAATTGTTATTTAATATTGTTTGATATGATTGACCCTAAAAAATATGAAAAAGTTTAACAAATTAACTTATTTTTCTATGTTGCATACTTTTTTATATTTAACCATAACCTTGTGTTTTTATTTAACAATTAATTCAGTAAAAATCATTGATTGTCTTATAATTGAATATATTTTTTAATTTATTTACATAAAATAGATTCTAATTTATTTAAAACTTTATTAAAAAATGTTAAATTAAAATTTTAATTACATAAAATAAAAACTATTTGTAAAGATATTTTAAGTTAACATAAAAAAAATAAAAACCATGAAAAACTGATTATATCAATTTTATATGTAAAATTCTAAATTAAAATACTTTTTATTGACAGATTTAAAATGCTAAAACTTGATAATAAACCTAATACTGGTAAAAATCTTAATTAAAATATTTTTTATTGAATTGTTAATATAGATTTAAGAAAATAATCATAAATTTACAAAAATATTAAAATTTTATACATAAATAATAGTTTTCTTTATGAACTAAAAGTAATTTGAATGAACATTTTAAATTAAAATAAAAAATTAAAATTTATGAATTTAAAATTTTTTCACAAATATAAGTAAAAATTTAAATTAAAAAAAGTTTTATTTTTCTATATTTACAAATTTAAGATAATAAACTTACTTTAAATACTCATTAATTAAGGCTAATTTTTAAGGGAAATAGTTTAAATATGTTTTAATTATTTTATTTAAATATGAATACAAATTTAACATAATAAGCATATTTTAAATCCAATAATTAAGGTTTATTTTTATTTTCAGTATTTAAAATTAAGATCAATATTAATTTAGTTGTATTTAAAAATATATTCAAACTTGATACATATTAATTACTATAAATAATATTTTAATTTTTATGAAATCAAAACATTATGAGCTATTAAAATTAATATAATATCAGCAATATTTTATCAAATAAATTTATTTTTAATTTAGAAAGAAGAAATATTTTTATTTTAGTAAAAGTTAAATTGAGCTAATATAGGTAAAAATATAAATTAATATATTTTTAATTGATATTAATACTGATTTAAGAAAATAAATATTTATTTACATTAATACATAATAATTACAATAATTAATATTTTTTGAGAAAAAAAAATATTTGCTTGATATCAAAATAGATGCATAAAAAAAAAAGATTCTTGTTCATTATATAGAAGAATCTGAATTTTTACTATTTTTATTTGATAAAAAATTATATTTTTTTATTTTGGGTTTTTCATAGTTTAATTTAGTGCTGAATATTTAGGCCTAAGTTTATTTTTCACTTCTTTAAGAAATTTCTATTTCTGTATCTATTTATAATTAAATAAATATTAATAAAAATAATTATTTTTTTTTTGATCGAACTATACCTCCAAAAGTATTTTATCTAATGCTTGTAGGAGGAGAATTCAGTAGATTTCTTTATGTAAATGAAATTAATTTTGCTGGTTTTTAATAAGAAATAAGCCTTGGTACATCACCTATTTTAATTTATATGATCAGTTATTTAATATAAAAATTGAATAAGTTTACTTAAAGAAGATGTTTCACTGTTTATTTGAAAACTATTTCTCTTAGATTATATATAATTTAGTTTTAACTTTTATTAGGTATTATCTTGATCAAAATTTTGTAGTTATTTATTATTTCTATCTGCTTTTGATAATTTAGTAAGTTATTTTAACGATCTCTAAATTTTTTTCCAATTATTAAATACTTTCAAATTACTTTTTTCTTTGTAAATGTTAAACACAGCAAAATAATTAGATAAACGAGCTAAGAAAGTAAATTTTTTAGATAGAATAGGGTAATATAATTTAAGTAAAGCCTAAATAAATTTCAAAGCTATTAGCATTAAAAACGAATAGGCCGCAATAGCTATAAATATTTGGGATAGCTAATTAAATTAAGAAATCTCATCGCCTTATTAAAGAATTTAAAGCTGTAAGCATATTATAATGATAATGTGTAATAGTAAATCGATTCTGTTAAATTCTATAGACAAAAATGGTTTTTTAATGTGTGCTAAAATGAGATAAAAGAATATTATCAAAGAGCAAAGGGTAGACTTAATTTAAGTGTATTCTCTAAAATATGTTGCAACAAAAATTATGGTTACTCTGAGCAAAATTTTAATGAATTCCCAGTAATAACAATAATCTTTATATTCTTAATAAAGAAATCCAAATCTAATCCTTGTTGAGAGATAATTTAATTTGTTTTTAGATTTAAAGAGGATAACGATAATAATCAATGGAATTAGAATATTCCATAAAATAAATAAAGGTATAACTAAAAACGTTATGAAGGTTATGTGCTAATAAGTATTGCATTCTAAAGTTATGTCTGCTAAAACATATGACCCATTACCAATTGACCTGCAAGACATGACAGAAATCAATCCAGAAGTGATGTTAGGCTGTAGAAATAGGTATATAAATACCAAAGCACTCCACTTGTAATATGAATTACGATTTAAATTTTTAGTAAAAACTAAAACATAATATATTATACCTAGAATTACAACATATAAACCTGCTATTATTTATGACCAAATGATTCTTCCGTAAACAACAGGAATTTCACTTGTAGATAAAACACTTTTGCAGTCTTATGAGTATTTTACAGCATCGATGGGAGTACCAATACTAACAGTAAAAATATCAATGCTGGTAGGAAATTCTAATTTAAATGAAATAGAACTCATTTGCAAAAAGTGCATCAAAAATTTTATTAAGACAGCTGATTTGTCAAATGAGTCACTTGTTCCAATACTAGCTATATTCATCATACGGATATAATACGAGTACACTTTTTTCATTGAACCCTTTATTACCTACCTTATACCATATATTAGATATATTATACTAATTAATACAACAAATCCATAAGTTAAAATAAGTCCTTGTTGACCTTTACATGGCACACAATTGAATTAGCCATCATTCATATATTTTTCATCCCAGTATTATCCCTTAATATCGCACTCTTCACAAAGAGGACCTATGTATCCTTCCTTACAATAATTCTTAAAAGTGCTATCATATGAGTCTTAATCAGAAACTAACCCACCTAAGCAGTTTTAAGGCTTATTATAACATTGTAAAATGTCATCTGATAAAAAAGATTATTTCCAATATCCTTACTTCAGTGTTATCAAACTGCCTTTACATGACTCTGCAGACGAAGGACACAGACTACAAGCTTGATCCTGATTACTCCATAACTCTAGATTATTTGGATCTTTCAAAGAATACTTTTAAGTAGGACAAGGTAAGCAGTACGAGGGAGAATCGGATGTTCTAATATAAAATAAGTAAATATGTAAATTAAGCAATCAAAAAATAAAATAAAATATTTATTTACTTTTTTACAATAATCTCTCCAAGTTTGCAAGATCTAAACTAAATAAAAATTTCAATATTAGCTAATAGTAGAATGAATTAGGTATTCTATTTGGGATTTGGGATATTTAAAATATTATTCTAAAGCACAAAACTACTATTTGTATTAGGCTCAGATTTGATAATTAATTGATTAAATTGAAACATTTACAGAGTAGAATTATAATACTAAGTATTAATTTATCCACTGAGTGAAATTATTGAACTGTTTTAAGATTAGCAGTAAAAGTAATACTGGCTAATTTCATTTATCAAATCACCAGATAAATTATCTAGATTAGAATAAAAAGCATTTAGATTTAGATGATTTTACTCTTCGTCATATAATTAAATACTAAACTAAAGTGTATCACCACTCATAAAATTATTGATGTAGTATCTTGTAATACCTAATTTTTTATTTAAAATTATTTCATAAATGAAATAATAAATATGTTCAATTTTTTTAAAATAAATTAAGAATTTATTTTAAACAATTCGAAATGTTAAATTTACTTTCAGATATTTATTATTGAGAATCGAAATTGATATTGATAGGATATAAAGCTATTTTTCTTGGATATGAAGCAACATTGTTTCCGAAAATCTTTCCTTTATTTGAGGCAATAAAATTAGAAGAGCCTGGAAAGTTTATGAATTTTGGAATATATTCAATATACCTTATTCCACCACCTATATAAGCATTATTTTATGTAATATTAACTAGATGCAAGTCTAGATCACAGTTATTTAAAAATATAGCTCCACCTTGCTCAGAAGTGTTTGAATCAAACTCACATTTCTGAATTTAGCATGTATTTTTACTATTTTCTGCATATATTGCTCCACCAAGCAGTGCTTGATTATTATAAAATTAGCTGTTTGAAATATTAAAAAAGCTCTAGTAAATATAAAATGCAGATCCTGATGAAGCTTGAGAATTTATGTTTTTGAAAGATGAGCCGCTTATTTAAAGATTATCTGATTAGATCTAAAATATACTTGAAGATGTTGTCACATTTTCAATATTTACATTTTAAATTAAAACAGTATCGTTAAATACTTAGAATAAACCCACTTAAGGGTTATCGAATATCTAAGATATATTAGCAATAATTATATTGTTAATAGTATTAGCAATAACCTGATTAATATTGACTAATTTGTTATATTATAAATTAAATACCGAAAATAGTTATTAGCTATTGATGTTGGTTATAGTGTAGTTACTTAAAATAACATTTGAAGATTAAACGATGCTTATTAATAAATTTTGTTGCTAATTCTATTACAAAATTTAAGAATTATTAATATCAAAATAATTAAAAGATTATAAAATTCTACTTTAAGAATTAAAAGTCACATTAGTGATGATAATGTCTCTAATTATAATTTTATTACAGTTCTGTGCTGATATTAAAACATAGTTGTTAAGATTTACATTAGAAATGATTAATTTTTCAATATAAACACTTTAAATATTAGTAAGTTGAAGGAAAGCTTAAGTTTATACTTATCCTGTAGAATTGAATAAAGTGTTTGTGATATTAAGCTATGAAATAAATAAAGAATTTAAATTTTTCAAATTGATAGTACTATTGTTGATACTCATCGAATCTATTATAGAATTTATTAATGTTACTTACTATGTTAAATTGTTGAAGTTAACTTAAAAGTTATCTAAAACCTACCATTGAAAATCTTCTAATTAAAAGGAACTTTTATCAAAATCTGAGTGGTCTACAAATTTATAACTTATTTTAGAAGTAGGATTTTCTTCAGCTGCAAGATAAACATATTTTTTTTAAACATTTGGAGAATATAGAGAGAGTTATGAATCTGACACATATAAAAGAGTAGCTTATTAGCCTAGATATACATCATATATAACTTGAGAAATTTATTGTTGAAAACCTAAAAGCGAATCTTCTTGGAGTTATAGTGCTTGCTTAAATTCAAAATATGAACTTGTTTACGAAAACTATTAATAACATACAGATTACTATTAAGTATTTGATGAAGAAGGTTTCGCTGATGAAAGTAGAGTAAAAGTGTAGTTAAATGAATTATCTAAGTTTAATCCTTTTAATGTTATTATTTGGTTAGATTTGTATTCATAGTTAAGCAATAGAGGATATTTCATTGCAAAAGATTTTAAAATAGTTGTTGCATTTAAATCTATTGAAAATAAAATGAGTTAAGTTGTAGCTTAAACAAGAATGACATTGCTGCTCATGAATTAAATATTCTATATATCGTTTACGGTAGAAGGTAAACGTAAGGAATTGAGGAATAAATAATCTTATTGTCTATAAAGATTAATTTAAAATGGGCAAAATACAGCTACTTCTTAGTATAAAGGTGATATTTTTAATTAAATGAATCTCATTCCAGGACTCATTAAAGTTTATTTTAATGAAAAAGAATTAGTTATATCTAAATAAAATAGTAGCTACTAGTTATCTAGGAAGTAAATCAATTCCTTTCTTGTACTATCAATTTAAATCCAAACCACAGGGACTTAATTTTATATTACCTACAAAGGATTAGCTACCTTGCCATCATAGTTATAAATGTTAATGTTGCCATCCTCAGAACAGGTTACTAACCTTTTTTTAAATAAATTTAAATAAAAAATAAAAATGTATTTAATTAGCTTACATATTTGAGCTTTAATCAACTATAACATCTCTTATCAGCTAAGTATGAATTTAACCAGAAAATACTTTTTATAGTGTTACAAAGTTGTATATACCAATATTTCCTGAAATATCATACGCAATAATGTTTTAATAAGGCAAGAATAGTTTTAAATTCTTTATTCTAGAATTAAAGTCTCCTTTAAAAACCATCATTGGTTGCAGGGTACAAGTTTTGTTATCAATATAAAACTAAATAATAGAATTATCAATAATAATACCAAATATGTACGGAATGCTATTATCTGTGTACAAGTCGATAGGATAAACTTACAGAGACGATATTTGTTAAAATGTTGAATTAAAGCTATAAATATTCATTCCACTTGTAGTAATAATGCAATTTTAATTTAAAACTGCCTTTAGAGGAGTATGATTGAGTTAAGAAGCATATTATTACTTATTATTTTGCACAAGCCATAGATTTCTCTCTAAATCCGAGTAAATTATTTAATCTTTTATTTTAAATTTATTATTATTTAATTAATAATTATTGGAAGATAATAAAAGTTTTATAAATTAGTTGATTGTATTATGTTTTATTGGTACAATTATTTTTAACTCACAATAATATGATATTATAAACATGAATCAATCAACAGATAAATTTTTTTGATTCTAAAATAATAACTTTGATAAATAAGAAAAGAACTTTAAATAATTGTTAAAAAAATTGAGGAAATATAATATATAAAATAAAAGAATAAAGAAATCTAATCAGAGTTAAAACCAGAAAATAATTAAATAAATACCTTATTGCTGATTATAGACAGATACGATTCTTGAATCAGAAGGGAGGATAAAAGTGTCTCCTTGGTTACCTAAGTAAGTATAATAGTTCCAAACAAATATATCATTACTATTATAAGCAAAAAGTAAGTTAGCAATTTTATCAAAAAGAATACTCTACAGTGCAGAGAGTTATTGATAAGAAGGATTAATTAAGAAATCTTTTTGTTTAGATACTTAAGGAGAAAATGGAAGATAAGTAAATATCTGATTTAAATTGTTGATTGTTAATAGAATTTGAGAGTCTTCATCAACAGTTATATATCTTTAAGGTGAAGGATATATGGTGTTAACTATATTTGTCATCATAACTCCTGTAGTATAATCCCAGATTTCTATGGTGTTATCAATTTAATTACCTATCATTGCAGCTAAATTGTTTATTAAAGTCAATTGGAATATTTTCAATTGATATTTTCCAGTAAAAAGAGGTTGTAGAGTGCTTCTTGATATCGAAATTATATTCTAATTACTATATGCAATTGCATATGTATTTTTAAAGATAACAGCTTAAACATATCCGTCAAATCCTAAGATATCAGTTTATTTGTTTAATCTACTTGCGCTGTAAACAGCAATATTAGTTCCATATAGGTAAATATTTTCATTTACATAATCAATAACAAAGTTGTTCATATTTGGTACTTATATTACATTGAATATTGTTCCATCTAAGTAGTTTGTAGAGTAAAGATTACCAGCTGAGTCATATGATATCAAATAGTTATTGTATTTATTGAAAAACTAGGCATTTAATATCTAATTATTTTAGTGCTATGTAATTTATCTAATTTGATTGTTGGTTGGATATTTCCACACTATTATTATTCCATTATTATCATAAGAGATTAAAATGTTAGAAGAACTCAATAGCAACACTTTTGATATGCTAGAACTGTGTCCAGATAATTCTATTGTTTAATCTGTGTCATACCTCCAAATTTACAAGTTTTTAGATACATCTAAATTATAACTTATAATTTAATAGTTCTAGCTATCAAGAAGACAATCCTAAACAGCTCTCTAATGATACTTATTTTACCTGAAATATTTTAAAATTCAAATTAATTTAGTCAAACATTCTTATTAAGTGAAGTTTAATTAATTTAAAGTATTACTTATAGACCTTAGAAAGTGAATAATCGTATAAAACTATAATATCACTAAGAATGACCATTTTTGTTTGAGATGAAATTATATAAACATTGTTGATTGTTGAGTTCTCACTTCTATTAATTTTGAAATTAGTTACAGGATTGAAGTGGCTTACCAATATGTCTCCTTCATTATTTGGTATGAATACTCTCAATTTGTTATCATCAACTGTTATGTCTACTATTGGGCTTGGAGAAAAGAATTATTAATCTCCTATTAGATTCTATAGATCTGCAACAATAACTGCTCCTCCAAAAGTTCCATAATTTATTGCAAACATAGCTTTTTAATATTTGTAAACTGTTTAAACTTACATTAAAGGATAAGGAAGCAAAGGTTAAGCTATATAACTATCATTATAAATACCATAGTATATTATTTTTCCAGATTAGGTAATGCAAATTGCATAAATAGGCATTACAAGTCCGCACTATTAATTTAAAAGAGTTAATTAATTTTTTATTAATAGATAAAAATAAATTTACATTGTTGACTTAATCGCTAATTGTTAGGCTTTTAACAAGATTAAAATTCTAATCATATATTATAGTCAAGCCATTTGTGTAAAATGAGATAATGAATGCTAGATCTTGCCCATATCCAAATCCAACAAGACTTCCTTATGGAATTTAATTATTTAGTCCGTTATCATTTCCTTGTGCTAAAATAGTTAGCTGAGGGTAGCTCCATTTAATAATGACACCATTTTTTCCTGCACTAATAAGATTTGGCAAAGGATAGTATTTACTATAGTAAAAAGCTCCATTTTATGTGACAGAAACTACAAGATTACCGTTTACCATGTTGTAAATAAAAGCTTGATCCAATGTTGTAACTAAAATATAGAGATTTGGATTATCTTCGTACAGGTTGATTATTTTACTAGAAAAAGAGTATTAATACTTAGGTTAAGATGTTACACCATTGTAGCAAATTAAACTCTAATCTGCATAGGCAACGCATACTGTAGCATCTCTTAAAATAATACTAATTAGTCCTTAGGGCTAAAGTCCTCTTCCAAAAGGGGGATATTTTGGATGAGTCATCATACTTACTAGCTTACCGCTTTGGTAGTCATATACCATAGTTAAACCATCTAATGAAGTGCTAACAATTAGGCTTACATTTACATTAAATTCAATTTTTTGAACTTATTATTAGTTTTTAATAAATGGAGTAATAAGATTATTAATCACATAATTTACTGAAGCCTTGTTCAAATTAATTTTATGTATTTAATCTCCATAAATGTAAATCTGCATTTCTTGCAAATTAAAGCTTAATCCATTAATAGTAGGCCTACTAAGAGATATCATTTGCTCTACTGGACTCAAATTTATTATTTTTTAATTTTACTATTGTTAAGATAGTAAATAGCTCCCCATAATAAGATTTCCAGATGATGAAGTTATTGCTAAAAGTGAATAAGAAAGATATACTCCTTTTATAGATATTCCATAAGGCAATAAGTTGCTTGGAGTAATTTGATCTATAACAGTGAATATATATTTAGAATTATTCTATGATGGAAAATATGACCAAACAAATATTTCTTGACTTGAATAGGTGATAAATCTATGTGTTATGAGATCACTTACAATATTCAATATAGAATACTAATGTTATACCAAACTAGATATTTGCTAGCATTAAGGATTCTTATTTAATAATTTTTAATAAAATAAAATTTGAATATAATTGATTTTATTTTATAAGTTATTAATTAATATACTGAAGCTGTTAAATCTGTGAAGTGAATAGATAAAGAATCAACTCCTGAACTATCGAGGGATAACAGAATGTCTACTGATATATTTGCGCTCAAGCTATCTTAGAGTAAATATATTGCTAAAGGTGGAGTTTTATGTGAACAAATTTTTTAAAATTTAGCTTGATTTTAGTCCCACAACAAAATATTTTTATCTTGTGATGAAGTTAAGATCTTATCACTTTAATAGAAAATAGCATAGTCGACAATATTAGAATGTCCTATATACTTCTTTCCTATCAACGATGTGTAATTGAACAAAAAAAACTCACCTTAAAATCCAAATGAAGTAACAAGTGTACGCTCTGAATCAAAGGCGCTGGTAGGTTTTAGAGCTCCTTAAGGGATAACTACTACAGATATTATTTTTCCCTTTGTAATATCCCAAGTTATTATTTCTCCGTTGCTTGCCATACTTAAAAGCTACTACTTAATTTCATTGAAATATATAGTAATAACTGGAGATGTATGTCCTTTAAAAGAAGTCTTAAACACTCCAGTTTATGCGTCCCATAATCTGATAAGGTTGTCATTGTTACTGTATGATACGATTAACAAATCTTGTTAAGTATTAGGATTTTTTATTATTACAACTCCATTTACAGCGTTAGGATGGTATGATTTTCCTTAAGTAGAAAGAGTTGGGCACAAGCTAATTTAGGAACAAACTCTCAAATTAGAGTCAGGTACTTCATTATAGGCACATTAAGGAACACATGTTTTGGATTCAAATGAATAAAAGTGAACTAAATCGCAAGAAGATACACAGTAGTACTAACTTATGCTAGTTTACTATAACTATTGATCCAAGGCTGCGTTTTGAACTCTCTAAAATCCTACCTAACAAACATCGCAACTTAACTAGTCTGAAGAAAGCTAGTCACAGTATTAGATCTATTATAAAGATGAAGTGACAAAAGAAAATAATAAAATTTTTTTAAAAATATTTGATAATAATGTTTATTTCATTTTTGTTTAAATTGCTTTTTGATTATTTTTTAGTTTTTTGTTTATTTTAAGGCTGATATTTATTTATACTTTTTTTAACAAAATTAAAATCTCTTAATTATCTTCTTAATTTATGATCTTATTAAATAAGCTAAGTTGTTGTTTAATCGAATCTGAAATCCTGATTTTCTCAAAGCATATTTTCTGCATAATCCATCTTAAATTAGTTCAGTAAATAATAGGGTGAATAATGATTATCTCTTCTTATTAACTAATCTGAGAAAAAAAACTTATTTTAATTAAATTTGGTATTATAAAACATGTTTCTAATTAGCGATTAGTAATCTGTATGTCATTCAAAAGAAATTTATTCTGATCATTAACCTTAATTACATTTAAAATAAAGAAAATAATTGAATATTTTCAAACGTAGTTAATTTGTATTTTAAATAAGCGAAACAAGTATATTAGTCAAATTTGATATTAGATGTAGTTTGCAGTATATTCATTATAATTCTGTTAGTGATTAAAAATAGCAAAATTTTATAAACATAATTATAGAAAATCAAATGAAAAAGCAAATATTAGATTTTAATGTTTTTTAAATTTATTGATTTGAAAAAATGAAAATTATTTTTATTTTTATTTTTCAATTTTGTTTAATCAATTATATTTTTATAGAAATACTTAACTTTCTTGAAAAATGGAAAGAACCTTTAAGTAATTCAAATTTGTTAATAACTAATAAATTAAATATGTTATTACAATATTCTAAATATCATAATACTGAAGTAGTCATGATAAAAACTAATATCTAAATCAGCCATTGTTCTTTATTTATGAGTATTAAAATATCTATCCTGAAATTATTTTTATTATAATTAAGTATTCCTTTATTTAAATTTTGATTACATTTAATTATAAATTGTCTTGATAAATAAAAAATTTTTAAAGTTTTTTGAGGGATTACTCTTTTTTTTATATAAAAAGATTAATTTGTAATTATTTATTTATTTTTGTTATTATACTTTTTGATATGTTGTAATGCAAATTGTTAAAAAAAGGTTAGTCTTCTATTCTTTAATTTAATTAAAAAACTTATTTTCATGAATATGAAAAATATAATTGCTTCCCTAAAGGTTTCGGATTTTAAACAAACTAAACTTCTAAGATTAATTGATTCATATATTTATTTATTTTTAAAATATCTGTTTTTTTATGAAAATAATTTCGTATTTACTATTTTATTTAGTAAGTATATTATGATTAATTCTTATTAATTGCGTTTCGAAAAATTAACTGGGCGAAATATATAAATTAGGTAAAAAAATAGTCAATTGGTATTAGTGATCATTTATTTTTTATTCACTGGGTAACATTTAAACTATGACTAAAAATAAGGTCTAAAGAGTGCCCAATTAATATAGTTTTACTATTAGTAAAAAGTTGTAAGCAGTCTTAATAAATAATAAAAATACAATACTAGTAAATTTATCAAAAATATTTATTTTAAGCTATCAATTTATATTTTTTTCAAAAACGCTTTGATCTTACAGCTAAATGCAATCATTTTATAAATTAAAAATATTAGTAAAAATATCTAAAATAAAACCTATTTTTTTCTCTTTGTTACTTATTATTGCAAAAGCAAAATATGTATGAATAAATTAAAATGCCATTAAGTATTATATAAAAAATAAATTAATAATACCTTTCTTCTAAACTGACTTCTTAAACAATTTAGTATCTAAATTTTTTAAAAATTTGTAAAAAATTATTTTAAAATATAAAATAATCACAAATCAAATATTTGGATAGATATTATTACTGATAAATTAAATACTTAGTATAAAAACTGTATTTATAAAAATAGCACAATTTACTTTATATTTTTTGAAAGAAAATACTTATTATGTTCAATTAGTTTTTAAAATCTTTAAGATCTTAATGAACTAATTATTTATTTATTTTCTGTTAGCTTTGCTTAAGTTTTTTACAGAAAATAAAATTTATTATTAACTTGAATTGCGATGAGTGTAAATATAGATAGATATTATTACTGATAAATTAAATAATTAGTATAAAAAATGTTTTTATAAAAATAGCACAATTTACTTTATATTTTTTGAAAGTAAATACTTATTATATTCAATTAGTTTTTAAAATCTTTAAGATCTTAATGAACTAATTATTTATCTATTTTATCAGCTGTTAGCTTTGCTTAAGCTTTTTACAGAAAATAAAATTTATTATAAACTTGAATTGTGATATGTGTAAATAGATTCTAACTGGGAATAATAATAGCTTAAACTAGATAAATAATTAATATTATGAAGTTAAATCTTAATAATCAATCCAATACATTCATGAAGATTTTTAATAATCTGATACTGATACAGTATGCGTAAAATTTTCATATTAATTATTTTATTGTTTTGGTTAAGAGCTGCTTGCATCACTTTAAATGTCCGACATAATACTTATGCTTCTTATTTTCATCTAGGAGCCTATCTAATTTTGGCTCATAATAGTTTATAATTTAGAAATCTTTTATATTTATTGCTCTAAAAGCTAGTTTTTTTCTTTGAGCATTCCATTAGCAGCTTTCAGTAACTTTTTTAATTCCTGTGGTTGCTCTGAAATATCTGAAAGCTTTTGTTCTAGTATCTTGTTCATGTTTAAAAGATCATCTGTTTTATCTTAATTAACTTATATTTAACCAATAAGACGAGCCTCTAGTTAATCATAGAGCTGAATTTGAATTTGGGATTTATTGATTGACTCTCTTTCTTTTTCGATTTCAATTTACTTTTGTTTTATCTTTAATTTTAATTCTTGACCATATTTTTCTTTTTGCTTTGTTTATGTCCTTATATTTTCCCAAAGTTATAATTTTTCATCACACTGATTTTTTAAGAACTCCAATTATTTTGCGCATCTTTCTAGTTCAACCTCAAAATTTGTAAAATTGTCAAATTTTTCATTAAAATCATGCTTTGCCTTTTCTAAATATTCCTTAGCCTACTGTATTTCTTAATCATATAGCTCCTATTATGTATTATTATTCTCAATTTGACTTCTTAAATCAGATATTTCTGAAGTAAATTTTGTTACATTTGTATCTTTGAGTATACTAAACTCTTTAGCTTTATGAATTCTCTGTTCGCTTAAATCAGCTATCTCATTTTATAACTAATCGACTTTTAATTACTCTTTGATGCACAATAAATGCAGATTTTTTTATTTTTTTTATAAAAGTAATATCTATTGCTTCAAGTTAGGGTCATTTTTAAATAATTTGGAATTCTTATCAACTAAAACTTATCCTATTTTATTAATAACCTGTTCAATAGAATTAGATGTTTCGAAATGCTCCATTTTTATGTAATGAATTGCTTAACAGTAATTTAATTTAAACCTCCTTTAAGAATTTATGTTTAAAATCTTACTATCTAAATATATAGTTTACTTAAGCAAATGCAATCAATATTAAATGACTCTCAATTCAAGTAAAAAATAACTAAATTCAAATAATAAAATTCAAATCTATTTGTAATTCTTTGAATATCAATAAAAATTATATTTGGGCATAGTAGAATTATTTCACTCAAAATCTTTTTTTAGTGATGTAAAATTTAAAAAATTTATTTTTCAATAAAATAAGAGAAAAGATATTATTTTATTTTTAAAAATATAAAATATTCTTTATGTTTTTATGAACTTGGATTTATTTATAAATAATAATAACTTAAATTAAATTTATCTACTGACTAAGCTGATTTTAAAATAAAAATTAATTACTCTTTCTTGTTTAAAGGAGCAATTTATTTTAGTAGTGTAAATAAAAAAAATATTTAAAACTAATTTATATTTTATAAATTTTAAAAAAATAAATTAATTTTAATAAATTAAAATTTTTATACTTTTTATTTTTTAGTGATACTATTTAATCAGGCATATAGGGATACATTTCTATCTAAATAGCTTTATTGGTATAAAATAAAAATATAAATGAATTGTTTTTATTGTGTTAAAAAAATTTTTAATACTTAAAATTAAATAAAAAAAATCAACAATTAATTAATTAAATAAAAAAATAGTCTAAACTAATTTTTTTTAATTTGACTAAATTTTATAAAACTATTAAATACTATAAACTTTCATAAATTTAAATAATTACTACTATAAAAATTAAAAAATATTTGTTAAGGTCTTATTTAAATAAAATAAATTGATTTTTATAAAGATAAAATCTAATCAATAATACATAGATTTTTATCATAAATAAATAAATAGCTTTATATAAATAGATTATTTATTTTAGAATTATCTGATAAGATAACAATAAGAAATATATATAACTTGAATTCCCAGATGTTGGCTAAAGAAAATCGTACTTTGACTGAAAAAAAAAATATTATTTTTGATAAAAGAAAAAAAATGAATTATTAAATATATATTAAATATTATTATTATGTAACATATATGCCTTCTGTTTTAAGTTTATAATTATAAAATTATTTAATCATAATTTAACATTAAATTGTATATTAAGCCAATTTAATACTTGTTTATATTTTTAAGATTTATTGAAATAGTTTATTATGAAAGTAAATAAATTAATTTTTTTTTATCATTTATATTTAAAGCTTTTATTTTGTTAGACTTTCTGAATATTTTCATCTTCTTCTGTTAAATCTATGTACATTCTATCATCATATATGACATCTATTTTTGGAATTGATTTTATCAAAAATTTAACTCCATCTTTTGTAACTGAAGTATCATTTAAATATAACTTATTTAGGCATTTAAGATTCTTCACTGAGCCTTAAACAATAGAATCTATGGCTTTATCAGTTATGCCAACATTTTAACTTAGTCTTAAAAATTACAAATTCATGAAATTATATGATCTGGATAAGTAATTAATGCCATATGATGTAACTTTCAATCCACGGAGATTCAGCTTTTGTAATTCTGAAATAAATGTGGTATCAGATAAATATTCCAAACTTTTATCAGTAATTTTATTCAAATTAAAATCTTTGCTATCGTTGCTTATATCTAACTCTTTTAATTTAGAAAAGTTGCTACTTTTACATAATGCCTCAATACCTTCATCAGTAATCATACAATTAGCCAAAAGCAAGTGCTCTATCTTTTAATAATATTATAAATTTTTTAACCAATTTTAAATATTTAAAATTTTTACAGATTTTATTCTTTTGCTTAAACTCAGACAAACTATAGTTTCATCTGTAATCGCCTCTATATTCATTGATAAATTTAAGATTCTTAAATTTTATAAGTTTTAACTTTCACAAAATTCCTATTTATATTAGATATTTTATTTATTATCTAAAGAATTAATGATAGTTTATTTAAATTAATATATGTGCTAAAAATTCTACTTTAAAGCCTGTATCACTGATGTATGTAGATCTTAAATCAAGTACTTATAGATTTCTACATTCCTTTGAAAGAGCGATGCTTCGCAAAGAATCTGAGCCTACCTGCACATTACCATACAAAATTAGTGTTTCTAATTATTTTGAATTTTTACTTTATACAAAAGTTGATAATCCTTCATCTGTTATAAAGCTATCACTTAAATCAAGATATTTTAAATTAGTAAGATAAGGGCTATATGCTAGAATCTACAATGAATTATCAGTTATTGAAGAAAAGTTATTTTAAAGCTCTAATTATTCAATCTATTCACAAACTGGATTTGAGCATAATAATTCAAGAGAGCGATCTGTAATCTAAGTATTTTTCATTTAAACTTTGTGCACATTCTTCCATTTACCTTATTTTATATTTTCTTCTTTCAAGAAGTGAGCCATTGCAAAGTCATCCAAGACTTCAATTTTTTCTTTTTATGTACCCTATAACTTTTGATCTACATTTGGTAATGTAAACATTTTGATATTCAGATATAATTAATTATTTTGTAAGTATTTTTAAATTCAATATTTTTTTAATGTTTCTTTTTTTCAAAAATTTGATTAAAATTAAACAATAGAATATTATAATAGATAAAGAGAATCTTTATTCAATTTGATAAATATGTCCGATTTAAATTATGAAAATAAATAAATATTTTGCCTTATTTTTATCAAATTATTGAATAAAGAATTAAAAGGTTAAATATTTTAAATCCATTTTGTTTTAAAATCATAAAAAATATTTAAAAAGAAACAAATAATTTAAATTTAAGGTTATTTTTATGGATTTTTTTGGTATTTTTTAATTAGTTTAATATAAATATTATTACATGCAATGCTTCTCAATGATTTTAATCTAAATTATTAAAATATATTAAAAAAAACTTTTTATATATTATGTAATTTATCATAAATTTTTAATATGTACCAAATGGTCTAATAATTTTAAATAATAATATAAATTGATTAAGAATCTAATTATTTTTTTATATTTTTAATTTGAATAAATCATGATATTATCATATGAACTTATAAAATTTATAAAGTATCCTGTTTATTACCCAAAAAGAAATAAACAGCTATAATTTTAAGATTTTTAATATTTGTATACTAACTTTAGAAGAAAATAACATCAATAAAATAATAATTTTTGAATAGTAATAATTTGCTTAATTGAAATTAACTTTTTAAGAAATTTATTTACTTAATTTTTCAATATATTTATTTTGTACATTTATTTATCAAAAATAGTAATCTGAAAATTGGATGAAAAAACATAAGTTGATTCAAGAATTTAAAGTTTTTATTTGATATTTTTAAATTTTTAATTCGTAAAAATTAATATATGGATTAATTAAATTTTATTAAATGAAACATAAATATCCTTAATTCTATCGATGAAAAATAAAAACTAGCAAAAATTTTATTAGTTTATTGGGTATGTTTGAATTTGGGTTAAAGATTTGGTTATGTTTAAAAAAGGATATAATTTATTTGTATTGTTAGACATTTTCACTTTTATAAAATGACACATGTTTTTACATTTTAATTACGATTTATGTTTACAAATTTATCTTTCGATATGCTGTAATACCTGTTAAGAATACTAAAATACTCACATGGAATCATAACTCACATCATTATAATAAAATATTTATGCTAGTTAGGATTTATTTAAGATTTTATTGTTTCAAATTGTGGTTATTAAAAACTAGGCTTTTTGATTTCTTCATCAGAAATGTAAGACATTTGCCAGGTTTATTTAGAAATTTACTTTAATTTAGATTTTCTGGAAGAAATCTTTAGATACTGCAAATCTTTTGGTTTTCAAATATTACTTTAATAAACATTAATTTATATAATTCATAGTTTTAAAACTAAAATTTTATAAATAATATTCTAAAAGTAAAGATAGTAAAAGATGATATCATCACTACTTAAATTTTTGGCTCCTTAAAAAGTAAAACTAAACAAATATTAGCTATTTTTAAATTCATTTTATTAATTAGAAGGCTAAAAAGACACATGTATCAAAGGAAGAAGCTCTAGTAATATATTTATTTATTGAACATTAAGAAAAATGAAAAGAGTTTAGATTGCAATTTGATAATTAATGAAATTATGTTAATAGGAAAGAAGAAAGAAATTTGAATAGTTTGTTCTCGACTTGTAAAACCATTTTGTTTAAACTCTTTAGAAATATGAAAGTAATTCTACTTTTTGTTTTTGCTTCTCAAAATTTACTATTTTAAATCTAAATCTAATAAAGCAAAAGCCGTCTTTTTGAGAGATGAATGGTAACGTAAAGACGGACATGGTGGTGGAGTCACTTGTGTTCTATAGGTACTTACATTAATTTAACTCAGATTTTATAACCATATGAGTTTCATTTTAAATTTTCTTTTTTATTTATAAGGATGGTAACTTTTTTGAAAAAGCTGGTGTTAATACTTCTAAGATAAGTTTCCCATTCAATCATGGTATTGCAGCAAGCATGAAAGAAAGAGGTAAATATTCAACTGTTAATTTTTATGACAAGATCAACAAAGCAAATGATTTATGATTAAATTTTAAATTTTACTTTATTATATAGGAAAAGTTTTTACTGATGATGAAATTAAGAGATATAATATATATGCAAACGGTATCTCCCTAGTTATTCACCCTATAAATCCTTTTGCTCCTACCGTTCATGCAAATTATAGATGGATGGAACTTTATGATAGAGAAACCAGTAAATATTACAACCTTTTTATTTTATTTTAATTAGAATGAATGAATAAAAAATAAAATAAAATTTTATTAAATTTTAATTAAATATTTTGATTATAATAATTTTGATAATTTATTTTTTTTAATTAGACTAAACTGTTGATTGCTGGTTTGGAGGCGGTGGTGATTTGACACCTCACTATCTTTTCGAAGAAGATTGTAAAGAATTCCATCAAGGATTCAAGAATGCTTGTGATCCTTATGGATAAGACCTCTATAAAAAGCTTAAAAAAGAATGTGATGATTACTTTTTCATTAAATTTAGAAATGAGAGAAGAGGTATTGGAGGTATTTTTTATGATGATTTTTTGATTGAAGATTCTTGGGACAAAACATTTGAGTTTGCTTAAAAAGCTGGTTGGGCAACTTTGAATAGTTATAACACTATCTTAGAAAGAAGAAAAGATACTCAATATAATGAAAAGAATATGGAATGGAAGCAAATACGTAGAGGCAGATACGTTGAATTCAATCTTGTCTATGACAGAGGTACTAAATTTGGTCTTTTCACACCTGATGCTAGAATTGAATCCATTTTAATGAGTTTACCTCACGTTGCTAAGTGGGAATATATGTACAAAATAGAAGAAGGTTCAGAAGAAGAAAAAATGCAAAAAGTACTTATAAATCCTGTTGACTGGATATGACAAAATTTTAAAAATGAAAAGAAAATTGTCAATATTTTCAATGTTTTTTACATATTTGTTTAGTTTATTCAAATATTTTGAAAAAATATAATTCAAACTTTATGATGTATTTTTAATAAGTAAATTAAGATAAATAAATGCAAACGAAATATTTAAACCATTTTTGTATTTCTCAACTTCTGTTTGCTTTTTTGTTTATTTTTATTATAATGTAAAAATATTTATAAAAGAATTAATTTGAATATTAATTATCCTTTGTTAAGTAAAATAAGCTAAATAAATAAATATCTAACAAAATATATTAAACAAATTTTATTAAAGATAAATCATAGGTTGAGTGTAAGACTTATTTTAATTAAAGAGAGATATAAATTTAAAGCAATCTTATATTTATCAAAACCACAAATTTATAATAAATAAATCCATTAGAACCATTCTAAAGTAATTTGAAAATAATTTTGGATAATTCAGTTTAATTCGCAAAATGAATTCTCTTATTTTTAGGTTTTTCAAAAATATTTTAAGTTCAACATGACACATGATATGACGCTTATGACATAAATTTGATTATTTCGAAATTTTTCTACTATTTTTGACAATTTTTGAAGTCAAGTTAAGTAGAAAAATGTATGCTTTATGCGAGAAAGAAAATAATAAACCTAATTTCAATTTATCTGCAGCCATAAAATAAATCCAAGCAATACAACTTTAAAAACCACTAAAAGGTAAATTTTATCTAATTTATATATTTTTTTTGTGTTTTTACAAATGATTGCTCTGATACTTATTACTTATTAAGATTGAAATCAGAAAGTGATATAAATTAATACAAATTATAAAAATTAGCTTCTAAAAAAAAAGTAAAACAATCATATTAAATGAATCCTAAATAGGCTGTTAACTCAATTGCAGGAATTATCTGCTTTGCTGTCTTACTCTTGCTTTTCTGGTGGAGCCATCATCATCGTCCTCATGACAAGGACTATCACCCTCCCACTGCTGATAAAAGATGGACTGTTTACAACCACGAAGTTTGCAGAAATGCTTGCCCCGTTGCTGAATGCACTACTGATGATTGCGTTGCTGCTTTCAACGCTTTTGACAAGTACTCTCAAGATGACTCTAACTGCTAAGGTTTCTGGAGCTGGTTCGAAACTGCTCAAGCTGATGATCTTCTTCCTGACTCCTTCTACTATTGTGGTCACGGTAAGAAAAACGAATGGTAAAAGAATGCCCAATCTAACTCATAATATCTCCAAATTTGGTAATGCAACTGGGGTCCTAACTGCTCTGAACAATAATGATTAACCTAATAAAATAAAATAAATATATAAATAAATACATTAATGCACTTAAATTTGGCATAGTATGAAAGTTTATATTGATTTTTATACACTAAAATAAAATAACAAAGCTTGCAATACAAATCACATAAAATATATATTCCTTTCCTTTCTCAATCAAAACATGCATTAAGAAATACTTATATAAATCTTTAATACATTTGAAATCTTATTATTTCAATATTGAAAATCTTTTATCTAATTTCAATTCGTCTTTATGAAAATAAATAAATATACTTCCAATCCTAATTAATATCTATATGGTAATAATGATAGCAAAATTATTATTTTTTGATGACACCAAAAGCATAAACTAAGATAAAAAATTCTATTTTTATAAATCTAGATATAGCATGAAAACATTACTCCAATTATCATCCAAAATTTTTTATCAATAAAGTTAAGCTTCATTTTATTATTTTTATTATATTGTAAGATTTTCGATGATCAAATAAGAGTAATTAAAATATAATGAGAGTAAAGATATTATTTTGAATGAAATACAATAAATTTTGAATTTATTATTTTTTTTAAAAAAATTCAAATAAATATTCTAAATCATATATTTTTTATGAACAATTTGATTTAAAATTAATTTTTTTCATTTATTTTTATTTTTTTGTATTAAGAATAATTTATAGAAATAGTTTTAATTTTAATAGTCCTAAAATAAATAATATGTAAATTCTCATTAAACATAATCCAAAAAGTTTGTATTAAAAATTTAGCGATAATAGATAATTAAGGCCTATTCTGAGAGAAAAATTTTTTGGTAGGTTTTAATAAATGAGAATATATGGTATAAAATTATTATTTTATTGCTTTTGAAATCAAAGCTTATTAATTAAAAAAAAGATATTATAAAGTCTTACAGAATAAGATGCATTTTCTCTTTTTGTGTACTTTTATTTAAAATTCAAACATTTGTTAAAGCAAAAACTTTATTTTGATTAAAAAAATTATTAATAAATATTTTAAATTAATTTTAAACAAATAAAAATGTTTTTAAATATTTATTTTTTTATATTTAGATTTGAAGGTTTTAATAGCAATTAATAATTTAACTTGATATTTATCCAAAATAAGGTTATTTGATTTATTAAATTTTAAAATTATATGAAAAATTTATTAACTAAAATTAGATCTAAAATATTTAAATTTTGTTCATCTAAAAATGATTAAGAAATATAAAATCAACATTTATTTTTAGAATTGAATGATTATAAAGCTAATTTAAATTTATTTAATACAGAAAGCACATATCCTTTCATAAAAAATATATATAACTAAATATTATTTGTATTATCTGAAAACTTACTTTAAAATTCTTTTAAACAAATTATAAATTATTTATAAATTTCTTTACTTTAAACATTTTATTTTTTATTCATTCTTGATTATGCTTTTTCTGAATATTAAGGAAACTTTTCAAGATTTTTCTTTGCTTATTTTTAATTAGACATTTTTGTTACAATTTTTAATTTTTTCAATTATTTTTATGAAAGCTTACTTGCTTAGAAAATCATAAAATGTTCTATGTAAACAAATCAATTTATTTTTGTTGCATTTAATTTGATGTTACTAGAAATATTAAATTTATTTATCTACAAAATAGATGGATAAAGTTAAATTGAATTTGGATGCAATTTTCTTGAAACTATTTTTGTTTAATTTAAAGCTCAAAAATCTATCGCTTTAAATGAATTTTTCTTATAAAACCAACTAAAATAAAAAATATTAAAAGAATTTAGCTGAAAATTTAATAAAAATTTCTGATAATTTATGTTGAATCATTATTTTGTATTTTTTAGCATAAAAGTTTATTGAATGTAGAATGAATTATGGATAATATGAATAGCCCATTAGATAGAAAATTAATCTTTTTAAATATGCAGCACACGTTTTATAGTTTTTTTACACTATGATATACTTGCTTTGTTTAAATGCCACTAGAATGTAAATGAATTTATAAAATTCTTTTTAGAACTTTTCTGATAATTGTTTATAAAAACAAAAATCTCTGTTTTGTAATTTAATTTATCTTACATTAAAAATATAATTGAAATTAGCCATTTTAATTATGATTTTCAAATAATATTTGCTATTAAATACCTAATAAACTGAAAGATAATTATACTTTACTTATTATGAAGAAATATTTGTTGTTGGAAGCATGAAAAAAAATTAGGTAATTTTTATAAACTTTTCTTGGCATATTTTTCCTTATTTATCTTACTTATGGGATTTATTTGCTAAAATTACAAAAATAGAAAAATTTATTTAAAAATGCTACTAATTTAGTTTTCACAAATAATATACAATGATATTATCATTAAAGCTGTGTTTGCTTTTAATTTTGCTATATTTTTTAATCATTTTTGGCTATTTTTTCAGAAATAAATTTATAGAAGAGAGAAATGTCTAAACAATTTTTTAATGAATCAATTAAATGATGAGTACTAAATTTTATTTAAATTTCAAAATTTTAGTGATTTAAATTATCAAATTTTAATGGAAATTTTCATGAACAGTTGAGTAATTAAATTAATAAAGCAAATAGATATTTATTTTATCAACTAATTAAAAAATAAGTTGATTGAAATAAAGCAGACAAAAATATTTAAATCATTAACATAATTTTTTAATCGTTGAATAAAATATGCAGATTATACTCAATATTTCATATTTTAAACCATACTAGACTCAAATAAACATTTTTTGTTAAGATGGATATTATGATTGATTACAATCAAAAAAACGAAAAGAAGTTTAGTAAAAATTGAAAATTAAGGGGAAAATTGTTTTAAAGTAAATCTAACTTGTCAAAATTAAGGCAAAAAAAAATTTAAATAGATTGAAATTTAGGAAGTCTGGAATAAATTTGGTTTTCAAATTTCTTAGTTCGATTCTTCTACGAATTGAAATTATAATGAAATTACATTTAATTCAAATTTGTTTATAATGTAAAGATGCTTATAATATAAATAGTAGAAGATAATCACAGTAAGAGACTAAAAATATTAAATTGGTGATGTTAGTTTTTACATTTAAAGATTATATTCTTCTAAGTAATTTAATAATTAAATTACATTAGATTATTCAGCGAATATCAAAAAAATTAATTTCTATTTGTTGTAGTAATCTCATGGATTTAATCTTACATTGAAAATGAATTAAAAATGAGTTTAAATAATCTTTATATTTGTACGTGTTTAAAAATATCATTAAGATAGATATTTATGAGATGGTGGGGGTATTCATGATTTTAAGGTTTATTTAAAAACATAAAAATTGTGATAATTTAAATTTTAAAAATACATTAATTAGCTTTCCTTTTTTATTTCTTGAGTGATCAAATAAATTATTTTGATATATATGGTAAGACTAAAAGCAGATAAGTGTTATATTTTGATGTGATATACATTTTTTTGATGAAAGTATTTGCAAAGATAAAATAAAGATATTAGATTAAATCAGATATATGTGAGGAGTTGAAGCAATTAAGTTTAGTATTTCCTATTAATAAATTGATTCGAGCTTATTAAAAGTGTATATTTATAATTGTAATTTTGAATCTATAAAATTTAGTTATTTTTCAGATTTTGATAAATCTTTTTAGCCACAATCAACTCATCGAAATACCTACACCAATGAATTTTAATTTTTGTTTGTTTGCAAATTCTTAGATTGTGATAGAATGCCTTTTAAGAAATCGATTTAGAAAAAATAGCTTTCTTTGTTTTTTTGCTTGTACTACCTAAAAACAATCAAATCTGAAATAAATAAAAAAAAGAAAGAAAAAAGAAAAGTCAACTCTAAAAAAAGTAAAAGAAAGTAATTTGTAATTAAATACCTTTTTAGAGTGAATTATTTGAGAAACAGTAATTCAATATTTTTTGAACAATCTCACTAATTCAAAAAAGGATTTTCACGCAAAGGGAAATAGAGAGAGAGAGCAAGCTTTGTTATTGTGCATTTAAACATTTGTCAATATTGCTGAATAAAATATTTATTTATTTATTTCTCTCCATCATTCTGTAGATTGATTAATTATCGTCTGTCTGTTATTAATAGATTCGTATAAATAATAAATAGCTAAGTGAATCCCTTAATAAGGATCTAATTAAATTATTAAGAAATTCAATTATTGAATTAAATATATTTTTGATTTTGATTACAAGAAAGAGTTAGAAAGAAAGATCCTTCTTAAATAATTTGGCCTTTGATTTGTAATACTTAAAAAAATATATGGGAAATTCTAAAGCAAAAAATCGTAGCAAAAGTAAAACTAATGATATTATTAATATACAAGAGAATTAACCTTTTAATGTAAAGAGACATATATCTATATAACTGGATCCAAAAACAGGGTAATATATTGGGATGCCATAAGAATGGACTTAGTATAACTTGAAAATTAACTATGATCGCAAGAAAACTATAGTCACTAAAAACTTCCCTAAATCTGTGCGGGCAAGCAAATTGCCTAAAGAAATTATAGACCTGATTACAGGCGTTTCTTTGACTCCCGAAACAAACTATAGCCCTTTATACTCTTCCTAATACACTGCAGAGAAGATTACATAGGAATGGGATGAGATAGTGAGGGAAAATGAGTAATCCAAAGCTATCTAATAACCTAGCTTTCAAGATTACAAAGATTTAGTTGAGTATATTATATAGAATGATTAGCCAAACAAGGAAAGACTTAGTGAATATGAATTCAATAAGCGAGCTGAAAATGTAAAAAATATTATTTTTTATACTCAAAAACCTATTTAATATATTCAGTTTTTTATTCACGCAAACTAAATTTTACTTTTTGACAACATGAAAAAGTTGAATCACATTAAAGAAGATTAATATTCATTAAAGATTATTATAATTTTGCGGATTACTTTACATTTGATTAATGATGATTCAAAAGAAAAAATGATACAAATATTTATGCCATAAAAGTATAATTAAATGATTCAAAAGAGTGAAAAAAGAAAGATATATAGATAGATTAATTGATATAATTTAATTGAGAAAATGATTAAAAAAGTATGCGAGAAAAAAAAGTTTGAGAGAATATTTGATAAAAGAGATAAAAGAATTTGGATTGATGAATTATCAAAATAGACTACTTAAAGAATAAATCCACTATATTTGAATGCTAAATTTAAATAATTTAGCTAAATTAATAATTTACTACTACTAATGTGATTTTAATTTAATGTTAAATTTTTAAGTAGAAATTTATAAGTTAATAATTGGTCTACAAAAATCGATTGAAATGAGTGCGAATCAATGCTAATAAAAAAGATCATAAAATGCATACTTATTAATTTCTTTTTTAATTGTAAATTAAAAGTTAATTTTTACAGATAGCTTTTACTAAATGTGTAAACTGAAAAAAAATAATAATAAATTAATAAATTATTGATCAAATTTATATTTTTTTTTAATATTATTATAACTTTTTTATGTATAAAAAATTAAGATATAAATAGAAGAAAACGACCCTTCGAATCATTACGACTTCTTATCTTAAATTGGAAAAGGGGCCACTTGCAAGGTAAACAATTAAATAAATAAATCTAAATGAAAGTTTAAATGAAATACACATCACAAAAATCAGATTTAATTTCATTTGTTCTTTGGATACAGAATAAATACTATTTAGCTTACTTACTAACAAATCAGCTAGTACATTTTATTAATTTTCTATTATTTTCTTAAAAAGGTTTACAGATGTAAAAACAAACAAACAGGTTAAGAATGTGCTATGAGAGTCATTCGAATGCTCAATCCTGACTAAATCGAGAAGACTAAAATGGAAATTCTGCTCATGAATGAAAGCAAAAATAATAATATTGTATAATACTACAAATCTTACATTTATATGGATGTTATTTTTATGGCTATTGAATATATGAACGCTGGTTCTCTCACTGAGCTAATTTATGGTAATTTTAGTTTCCTCTCTGAGCAGATGGCTTCATATATTTGCGAATAAATACTGTTTGGACTCTTTTTTATTCATAGAACTAACTAAATACACAGAGATTTAAAATCAGACAACATTCTTCTCAATTAGAATGGAGATGTCAAAATTGCCGATTTCGGTTTCGCAACTTAGCTTACAAGAGAACACTTTTCCAAAAAATCTTAAGTCGGAACCCCTGCTTGGATGGCACCAGAATTAATTTTGAGAAAAGATTATTCGTAAAAAGTGGATATATGGTAATTATTTTAATTTAATTTTGTTTTCTTCAATTTGTTCTATTAATTACGAAAACGAATTTTCTTACCAAATTTTATAAAGATATTTTAATTGTAAGCACAAATTTTTAATTTAGGAGCCTAGGTGTAATTTGCATTGAAATTCTCGAAGGAGAGCCACCATACATAAGAGATAAACCAGCTAAAGCAATGTATTATATCACCAAGAAGAAGCCTCATAAACTAGACGCCACTAAATTTTCTTAAGAAGCTTGTGATTTCGTTAGCACATGTCTCAACATAGACCCACAAGAAAGGCCCACTGCATAATAATTAATAAGCCACCCTTTTATTTAAAAGCACTGTAAATCAAGAGATCAGTCGAAAATTCTCCTTGCTGATCTGCTACTATAAAAGAAAAATATTAAATAGAGTCTGATTGATTTTGATTAAGAGGCAAACCCTATTGATTCTAATTGAAAATATAAAAATTTAGTCTCTCTATGTAAAAAGTTACCAACCTAAAGTTAAGTAAGGCAAATACCACTAATTTAACAAAATTGGAGTCTTATAAAAAAAAATAAAACTGCAGCTAATAAATATATACTTAGTTAATGAAAATACTCTTAAAACTAATTCTAATTCTATTCACTTGAGTAAAAAAAACATCATTTTAAAAACAATAATAATCTTCAAACAAAATAACAAATAAATAAACAAACAAACAAACATCCCAAATCAAATTCGCTTGATTAAATTAACAAATTTAATATATAAATTAATGGTAATAATATATAAATTTTCTCACTATTTCAATATCTAATCTAATTTATATCATATATAGCACAACTAATTATTTATAACTCTCTTACATACAGATAATCAATCAACACTATTCTATATTTAGGCAACAAATAAATTTAAATTTTAATCAAGCAAGCTAAGAAAAAAGAAAGAAATCAATTTTTCAAAAAAAAAAAAAACGAAATAGAATTTGTCTTTGCATTTAGATATTAATGCTTGCCACTGTTTGGAAAAAAATAATAAAAGAGTATAGAAAATTAAGCAAAATTAATATAATGTATATATATAGATATTTCTTATCAAATCAACTTATAATTTGTCTATCTATTTATCTATTTTTTACTATTATATTAGAATTATGCCTTAAATCTATTGTACTGTATTGTATTATATTTAGATCATGTAAAGTTCTTTTCACTTCTATTAATACACTAAAATAATTCTCCTATACAAATTTTATTTAAAAATAATTAAAGTTCATTTATTTTTGCTATTAAAAGAACTAAAATAAATCTTCTATTTTCGATTCCATCAATTCAGCTAAACAAAAGCTTGAAATAAGTGAAATTTAGTAATATGAATTTTCTGATCTTATATTCAGCTTGGTTATCTCAATAAATATTTAATTTTTACCTAATTTTTATAAATTTGAAATTCTTAATTATTTTCGGCTGGCTATACAATTTTATGAAAAGAACATAGTTTTTAACCACGAATTACAATCTAGTACTATAGTCAACATTTGGTTAATTAAACTAATTACAATATCCCAAATATATTTTTATCTGATTCATTAAAATTTTGTGAATAGATTCTTTCATACCAATCTTACATTTTGCAGATATATCAAAAAAAAAAAAAAAATAGAAAATAATTAATAAATAAATAAGTAAGTATTATTTTTTAATAGATCTTTAATTATCCAAGTAAATTAAAATGCAGGAAATGTTAAGCATTAAAACACAGATAGTATTTTTGATGATAAAAATAATTTAAAGTATAAAAATATCTAAGTTTAAATAGAGTTGAATGAGTAATCATAATAAATTTAACTTACTAATTTAATAACTAGAGCAGTTATTTTTAAATTAATGTAAAAATGATCGTTTAATAAAAAGATATTGGGTTAATGTCAAGCTATTAATATTTTAATTCATCAAAATTTTTCTATTAAAAATTATTAAAATAAATTGTCATCCATAAACATGCGAAAATTTAAATCAAATTATTTTGATAAGAATGTAAGCAAACAAATTAAAAAAATAAACAAATAAATATTTATGATTTTCCCATAGCAGGTCAAATTTATCATTGTAACTCGATTAAGATTCCTTCTATGGAAAAAAAAAATTAATTATTAAAAATTAGATTATCTTTATTGAATTAAAAGGAATTGAAAAAAACTTTTTTATTTACACATTTCTTTTCAGAAATAAAGAATAAACAAACATTTTTAAAAGTAAATGACAACCAGTTTTTCTTAATCAATACATAATATTATATGTAAACTAGGATGAGTAATTATATAGAAATTTTTTTATGATTGCTCGAAACCTAAATGTTAAAAACTTTATATTATTTAAAAGTATTTTGCTAAAAGGAAGTAGTTAATTAAATTCTAGAAAATTTTAATAAGAAAATTGTAATTATTCGAGTTTTTTCTCTTAAAGTTGTAATCATTTTTAATAAAATAGATTTTCCAAGTAAAATTTTAATTCCTATTCTAATTTCAATCTTAAAATTAAATCTAGGTTAAAGATTATAATTATTGCATTTTATAAAATTAAATTAACTGTTCAAAAAATAAATAACAATTTCTTCTTTTAAATACTTCTCAACAAGCGATTGAATACTTTGAAAAAATGAATTAAAATAAAATATGAAAAAATATAGATTCATTTAATGAAAACAGTTTTATATACATAATAATTTTAAATTTTATTATCCTCTATATATTTCTAAATAATAACAATTTTCAATCATATTCTTTTTAATTGAGAAACTATCTAATAAATTTATTCTTTTTCAACAAATTGAATTTGTTTTCATTCAATCAAAATTTCTGTTTTTTAATTTTAATAGAAAAATAATTACAAATAATTGATTTATTAAAGAAATTCTATTTTCAATTTTTTTGAATGATTTTAATATTTTTAGCACAAATTTATTAATATTTTATAAGCTTTTTCAGATTAATTTTATTAAATTTAATTATAAAAAAATATATTTTTTTGTATTTAAATTTCAATAAAAGTTTGAATTTTTAGTGATTTTCTTAAATTTTTCCAAATATTAATAAAATCTTTAGTTATTTATTTAGTTTTATTAATATTTAATCTCTATTTCACATTAATTCAATTTTAATTATATTAGATAATAAGTTTACAATGATTTTTATATCAAATTGTTGAAAATAAATTATTAAATTTTCATATCCCTTTTTCAAATACTAAAAAATAATTTAAAAAATTAAATTATTTTATTTTTAGGAATAAATGTTTCACATTATCTGTTGAAAAATATTAAAAGTTTAAATAATTTTTAAATATAGTTTGAGCATCTAATTAATATGTTGGTCAATTACTAATAGTAAGTAATTCAATTTTCAATTAAATTTGCAAATTGATTGATATATTTATATAAAATATAATAATTTATACATAATAAAAGTGCTAATTTTAATTAATTAGATTTCAATTATTATTTTAACTATCAAGATTATTTCTATTATGTTTATTTTATTTCCTAAAATCAGTTTTATTGGCCTTATTTTACTTTTTATTCTACTCCCCTAGTTACGATTTGGTTAATAATAACTTCTAAAGCAGCATTATCTAATGAACCAAAACCTGCAAGGACTTTTATTTAAAATATTAAGTTAATTTTTAATGCTTTTTTACTATATAAATAAATAAATTACTTTCTTCTTGGTAAGAAGAAGAGTAACCACCACCGTAGTTAGGAATGATAATATCAGCATACTTCTTTGACTAATTTGATTAATAAAATTATTTTTTAATAATTTTTCTTAAATATTAAATAATTTTGTGCTTACAGGAAGAGTGTATTTTTCGAAGCCAATCTTGGTGTATTTTAAATATCTTTGAACAACATTTTCAATATCTTTACCTCTAATGCAAACATCCTTATAAACTATTAATAAATAAAAAATCATTAATATCAGATATTTTCAAATGATTTCTTTTCTTTTTTGGTATTAAAATGCACTTTGTTTTAGCTTTAAAAACTTGTTTTATTTTTATGCTCAAGTAAATTTTATATAACTAAATATTTACTTCTTCTGCTTAATCTAACATCTTCATCAGTGTCGAGGAAAAGCTTGAGGTTAAATAATTCTCTGATAGGTTCTTGTGAGAAGATAAGAGTACCTTCAACAATAATGACATCTGCAGTTCTATAATTTTAAGTTTCCTTAGAATACTATTCTAATTTCATATCATAAACAGGAGCATTAAAAGGTTTCTTATCGATCAAAGTAGTAAGAGCTTCCTTGAAATGAACCCAGTCAATAGCATCAGGTTCATCATAGTTGTAGTTCTTTTTTTGTTCATCTTTATTTTAATTTTAATCATTTTAAGGAATCTGTTTATAGAAGCTGCTTTGGATGAGATTTGCAACACTAAGATTATGAGTCTTTAAGGAGTTGTAAATTAAGTTTGTAATAATACTTTTACCAGCAGAAACACCTCCACAAATCTATTAGTAGAATTAATAGTAAAAATTGTTATAAATTTGTAATTTTTATCGAAAAAAAGAGAAATTTTTATTGATTGATTCATCAAATTTTAACAATCACTCAAAAATGAGTTTGATTTTGCTAATTTCAAACCTTGTTTCAATTAAAACATGTTTTTTTCTAAAAATTTGGAATCTCAATTGTGCTAATAAATAATCTTTTCAAATGAGTTTGCTAACTTTTGAGTGTTGTAGGAAATTTCGAATTTAAAGTGATATTTATTTGCTCCCATTTCAAAACTACTATCGTATTAAAAAGAATTAAAAATATAATTACACCAATGACAAATGCTTTGCTGTTATCTTGTAAAGTCATAGGCTTAATAGAAGCAAGACTATTCAAAATAGTGTTGTTAAAGGCTGGTGATTAGAAGTAGTTAATTTGGACTTCCTTTTTATTTTAATTAGTCAATTTAGACTTATTGCTGAGGTTGCTTTTTTCGTCATTTTGTTAGACCTAGGCTTGGGTTTGAGATTCTTCCTTCTCAGTTTCTGATTGCTAAGAGTTAACTTGTTCTTTTAAGTTTTTTAAGAGATCCATTTTTATTTGTAAATTGCTTGTTTTTTATTTATCTTTTTGTTTTATTTAATTGTTTATTATTTTAAGACAATATCAAATTTTATATTTGCAAGATATTATATTTATACACTTCCCAAGATTTTTATACTAAAAACAAATAAATTAATAAACTAATAAGTTAAAGAGAGACCGATTGAGTGAGTGAGTGTCTTTACATCCAAGCATGGTGGGGGTACTTTCTAAAATGCTAATAATTAATTAGCTCATTATATTTTTTTATAAATAATTAATTAATGCTTTGATCAGATAAGATAGATATATGATGCAAAGAGTTAGTGAAATATATAGATACTACTCCTTTATTCTATAGCTTATCTTTTAATCTAGCTGAACTATTACAAGATAAAATAAAGTCATTACTACTTACCCTAACCACAACCAATTTCATTATTTGCCTAGCTCTAAACTGCTTAGCCTTAAGTCAAGCACCCATTTCTCAAAATTAATAAAATTCATAAAGAGGGGTTTTTACTAGTAACTACTTAGGTCTAACTACAGTAGATTTGTTTTCAAATTAGAGTAAGCAAATTTATAAAGAAACCAACACTAATTTTTAGAAAATTCAATTTGTTTTCTGTTTGGTGAAAAAATTTAAATTAATTTAAAGAATTTTTGATTATTTTAATAAAAATCGAAGCAGAGCAAGATACAAAATTGAAGATGATAATAAATTTTACAAAAAATAGTCCTTTTTTAACAAAATTTTTTAAGTAATTTATTAATAGATCAATAATTTATTTGATGTTTAAAATAATTAAAATCTCACAATATACTAAAAAATTAAACAATCATTTTAATTTCTAATTAAATTATTGTTGAATTGATTTAAATTTTATGACAATTTTGAACATAAATATTAAACTAAATATATTAAAAATATAACTTCACTATTAATTAGTTGTTGTTGCTGATACTGCTTATTATTGGCTAGACAAGAAGGAAGGATTGAGTTTATTTATTTAATTTATAACTTAATTGTATTTTTCTGTTTGTTAATTTTTAGAGTAGATTTAAGATTGCAAATATAGTGCCTAGAGGTTATTTTTATCCTTGTCAAGAACTTGTTTGACGTATTTTTAAGATAGATCAGTTTAGTGGTCTAAAAGGAGCTTAGCAGCAATTATTTGGTCTGGAATCTGTTTTAGTTAACTTGGAGGGAACTTTTTGACAAAGGAAATTAGATAATCAATTTCTTTCTTATCTAAGAATTTTTCTTTGTTTAACAAATCGTCAATACGTTCAGCCATCAGAGTAAAATTATTAGTAAGTTCATAATTCTTAATTTGCTAGACAGCAGCTCTGTAATATTAAGAAGGATTTAAGGCTAAGTAATAGTTCAAACATTTATCAGCCTCTTCAAATCTGTTATCTAAACTGTATTTTGTACAAGCGTTGTAAAACTCATCAAAATAGAAAGGTTTATCCTTTCCATAGCGCTCACAATTTAAAGCCATCTAACGGATTAAGACATCATCAACGTATTTGCGATCTATTGCCAAAGTGTTTTTCAAGTAAAATGCATACTTTTCATATTCACATACTTAACTTGCAAACATTTGTATTTCACGTTCATTAGGATATTTCTCACATAATTCAACTGCGATTTTTCTAATTTCTCCTGTAATCTATTCATTTAAAGATAATGTTACATTTTCTACAAGGAACTCATCAAGGTTTTTCTTAATCTCCTCTAAAGTAAACTTTGAACTATCACTTTAGTATGCCTTTTTGAATTCTAATAGTTTCATAAGTATCTTGAATTCATATCTATTATCGTATTCTAACTTTTTCATATATGCAAACCCTAATAAGCCATTTAAAATTAAAAAACCAAGGAATATCCTTAAAGGTTTTTTTTGGAACTTAACTTCTTCAGGTTTTTGCTATTAAATTATTTGCTCAGTCTCAGTAGAAAATCTCTTAAAGCTTTGGTTCATCAAGCTTTTTAACTGGCTATGTTGAAACTTTTGCAATTAACCATACTTCTTGGAGGAAAAGCCAGTTATAAATTTAGTTGTTAGCCTAAACATTTTATCAAAATATCCTTAACAAAATAAACAAAATACAGATTTTTTAGTTATTAAAAATTTTAAAGGATCAAAGGATACGAATTAATTTCTTAAAGATTCTAATATCTTCATCAAAATTAAATATCAAAAGTAGAAAGTTCTTTTTTCATTCATTCATTTTCATCTAATTAGCTGATTTAAAATTTTTTATTATGTATAAATACACTTTATTTCAAAAAATATAAAATATTTCTTCAATTAAAATAAAATAAATTACTGAAAAGGATTTCAAATTTATATTTTTAAATTTAGAAATGCTATTTTTAGAATAAAATAAATTATTTTTGTTTAAATCTAATAATAAAAAGTAGATAGATATTTCATCAACAGAATTAATATTAAAGAAAAATTATTTAAAGTAATAATTTAATCCAACAAATTAATTAAAAATATATTACTTCAAAAACTCAACTTGATAAAAATTAAAACTTTTTATCACAATTACAAATTTATCAACTTAATATTTACATGTATTTTTAGATATTAAATTTTAGTATAATGGTACTTATTAGGTATTGTATTAAATATTAGATTTTATAAAATCATCTTATATTTTTTATATTAGGTTTTATTCTAATTATTGAGAAATAGGTATTATTATTTAAGTTTGCACATTAGGTTGTGATCTTTAATTCGTTTGATAGGTATTACCTAATAGATAGAAGTAGATCCAAATATATGTAAAGTTGGAGTTTTTGTAATTTTTAATTTATATAAGGGGTCGAAATCCTTTTGATAAAAAATATGTTACTATATTTTTTCTGCCATGTCATGTGAAAGAAGATAGGCATTAGTTCTTTTACCATTTTCTTAGTAGCTTTAAGTTGTTTTTTCATAGATGAGCCAAAATTATTATTTTTATAAATAAACCAATTACTTTAAATGTATTATTTATTACATATATTTGCACTCACATATATATTTTATAATAAGCATAAGTGTTAAAAATATATCAATCAATATCAATATTATTTTGGATATAATTTTATAATATTATATACTATTATAATGTTTGGTTTTGAATTATATTAAAATTTTTTTTATATAAAAGTTAAAACAGAATGAAATTAAATTGAATTGATCTCAATTTAAGAACTTTTACTCAACCTTTAGATTGATTCTTCTTTTGATTTCTTTTGACTCTACTTTTTGTAATTTACTAATAGGAAGCTTAATTAGGGATAAATCAGGGGTAGACTTTATTTATCCAATAGGTTAACTTTCTAGTTATTTTTATTTTAAATAATTTGAGTTCTAATTTTATCTGCTAAAAATATTATCTTTCTAATAGCTTTATTCATAATTTCCTTTTATAAGTTAAGATAATTGAGAGTTATTCGCAACTAAATTATTTTGTTTGTTACCATAAAAGTTTCCATTAAAATTTAGATAAATATCTTATAAAGAATTTCTTAAATTGCCTTATTAGATTTATTTTTTATTCCTATCTCTTGCATTCAAACTTTCACTTCCATTTTGCTTATTTTAAAACTGAATTTATTATTAACTGTCACTAGAACCTATATGATTCGTTTATTGAATTAGTGACCTATTCATACCGCGAAATTTATTTGAAAAATTGTTTCTATCTAAATTTTACTCATCAATATAATATTTCTTTTTCACTGGTTTTTATTCGCTTTTAGTCATTTATTAATCATAATTTATATTTTATTAGTTTCCATGCTAAGTATCAAGTTAAATATTTCTTGGCGAGCTTCCTTCCTAAAAAGAGAGGCTCTCTGTGCTAGTTTCAAAATGCTTTTTCTCTACTTATATTCTGCTGTTATAACTTTTATTTTCTTTAAAGCTTTCATTATCTGCTTCAAACTTGTTCTTCTTTTTTGAACTTTATATTTATGAACCTTATAAGGTTAAATCTTAGCAAATTTAAGAATTTTAAATGCTCGGAAGTTATAACTTTTTATCTTTTAAAATAATATTGTTAATATTCTTATATCTTATATATTATTACCTAATGAAAGAGATTTATGTTATTGCAATAATGACTCATATTGGCTTCTATATTTAGCAAATATTGAAAAGAGTTAAAATGACTAATTATGTAAAGTTTAAATAAATAATACATTATTTTTTAGCACTTCTAAATATATTCTTCTTACAATTAAAGCTTTTTTTCAAATTCACTCTTTTCGTTTTTATTTAATATTATCTATTTATTTGCTTCGCTTAGCTGTTTTTGTAATTTTCTTTTTTTATAAATATCATTTATCATCTAAAAACAACAAATTTAAATGTGTCCAAAAAATTACATAATAAACAAGTCCTTCTCTTCTAATATTTTATGCATGTCAATCAAATCTTTTGAGTACTTGCCCTTTTTACTGAAATGATCAACCCTTTTTATAGGACTTAAATAATTTTCAGTTTCAATCATTCCTAAATTATTTCTAATCAAAAAGGTATTTATAGTTTAGTTTTTTAATAAGTATTTTAATCTAATAAGAATGTCTTAATAAATAATATTCCGCCAAATACAAAGTAGTTTTATAATTATTACTTTTTACAATCTATAATCATACAAATTGTAAGCGAAGATAATTTTTAATTATAACCATGAATCAATTTATATCTTATTTTTTCTCCAATATTTTGATATTGACTTAAATTTATTTAGAATACTTTTTGATTATTTCTTCATTTATTCTAACTCTATGCATTATTATCTAATCATAATTTAATAAGAATATTTAAAAAAACTATTTTAATAAATTAAAATTAATGAAAAAATACAATTAAAAATAAGAAAATAACCTTATTTTATTTAAAAATAATATTTATACTTTTAGTGTGTCTCTTATAATAAATATAATAATTTAAATATTTTAAAAAGTAAAAATTTAAATAAATATAAAGCAATAATAGTTTTATGAGCAATAAAACTTAACAGCAAAATAAAGTTCATGTAAAAAAAGGGGAACAGCCATCTGATACTGTAAGTTGCATTAAATGGCTTAATTCAACATTATTTTTTGTTAGTACTTGGGCTTCTGAGATAATCGGATATTAAGTAAGTTATTTAAAATAAGGTTAAATATTTTTTTAATTTTATGAATAAAAGGTAGAAGAAATGGAAGTAAATAGAGTTTATTATAAGAAGCTATAGCATTTAGCTATATTAAATATTGAAATAAAATAAACATAGAATAGTGTATTAATATGGTATGCAAATGAAATAGGAGAATTGTTTTAAATAAGCACAAACGAAGATGATCCAATCTCTTACTTAATGGCAGAATATCCAATTATATTTATTTAAAATATTCAAATGGGATTGCTCTCAGTTGACATGGCAGGATATATAAGAATAAACAAAACTATTATAAATGATTAAATAACAAAACCATCAAATACAAATTAAGCATAAAAAATCAAACTAACAAAGTATTGTGGACTTTAATTAAATTATGATAATTAAAACTAATCTTTAATAGGCTGTTCAGTTGACTTCCCATTTATTCTATTATATGGAATGAGTTAAAATATTTATTTAATTGATTTATAGTAAAATGTATTTGATCTGATAGAGCATCCATTCAAACAAGTTTATGTAAGCTGTGGTTAAGTAAAAAAAAACTCATTATTAAATGGAGAAATTATTTTAGGAACCTTCGATGGTTTAATTTGTAGGATTAAATTTGAAAAATTTGGAGATGACTTTTTCTTATGGGATAAAGACGATACTAAAAATAACTTGTTACACTTTACTAAAAGAGAAATTCAGATTTTAAAGAACTACAATCAGTAGAGCCAATCAGTTAGCAGTCAAAGATAAAATTTACCTAATTCATTGAATGTATATACATTTAGTGTAAACTCTATTTAGGTTTTACCTTAAAACAGTAAAGGAAAAAGAAACTTTATCAGTTGTGGAGGTGATGGAAAGGTTATTTTATCAAAAAAGCCTTATTCTTAATTCATAGAAAATTATATACTACAAAGTGTATCTTGCATTAGCTTAAACTCATAAGCCACTTTACTTGTGATAGCTGTAGGATATGATTGGCATCAAGGCAATAAACCACAAAATTATTGCCCATTTATTGAAATAATAAAATTAAACAACAATTTTAACAATTGATCTGTTTTTGTTTTGCAATTTAATTATTATTACCATTTGTGTTTTTTCAGTCAGTTAATGAATTTATGCAACTTCTTTTTCCATGATTATCACCAAAAATACATAAATTTGAAAGAAATAAAACCACTTTAAATTAAAAAAAATAAAATTCGTTCAAAATAAATTGACAAACAAATTTTTAAATTAAAAGAGTTAATTGTGAAATTTGAAAGATATTTTAAATAAAAAATTACCCTAAAGAAATAATTTCAATCTGCTTTTCTAAATTATTGTTTTATTTATTTCTGAATTCTTAAAACAGAAAAATAAAATGATTAAATTTTCTTTCTTTAATAATTTTGATAAAAGTTTTCAAATTTTATTTTTAGTTCAAAAAAAACCTTTAATGTTACCTTAATAAATTAAAATAATTAATAATTGTTTAGAGTAAGTAGAATATTTATTTTTCTGATTATTAAATGATCTAATTAATAAAATTACTCTTTCTTTCAAATAACTTCAAATCTATGAATATTGATAAGATTTTTTAATAGTTTATGAGAGAAAATAATAAAAAACTTACTTTTTAAAATGAATTGATAAATTTTTGAAAACATATTTAAAAGCTCATTAAAATTTTTTTTATTTATTGAATTTCTATTATCTAAAATCAAAAGAAAATTTTATTAAAATTTTAAAATAACTAATTTATTTATGAACAAACTACTTAGAATAAAAGTAAATTATGAAAAATATTTTTAATTAATTAATTAAAAAATTTGAATCCCAATTTTGTTTGGAAATTAAAAATTTGTTTGAATGAACTCAAGATTTAAGCTGGTCAAATATTTAGCATTCTAGAAATTAGATGTCGGTAAAGGTGTGAAGAGCTTTTTGCAAAATAATTTCGTCTTGTTAGACAGCATCTAAATCAATGAAAGATTAAAAGTATTCTTTGACAGATTTAATAATTTAATATAAACAATTATAATGAATTTATGATTTGCTTTTGTCGTCCAAATCGTTTTCAAACAGCTCTATTAAACTTGATAAGAGCTAATAATTCATCACGATGACTTCTAGACAATTTCTTTTATTTTAATTGCCTTTTTTCTTTTCAATTACTTTTTATGTTTCTTTATTAATATTCATAAAGTGGTCGAGAATTATTTCTTAGAAGAAATTGTAATCTTCTTTGTCAGAGCAATCTTTGAGGGACTTCATTTATGTATACATTTGATTTTTAAGTGAAAGCAGTCTCTTCTTTAGACTTTCTTCTAGCTTAGTTGTTTCTATATTTTCTGCCATACCTTTCATATCAAAAACGAATGATTCGTGAAGAGAATTCATTTAATTGTCAAAATTTTTTAATATTTCTAAAACCTCAGGTTTTTAAAAATGATCTGGAGTTTCTTTCATCAATGCTTCCATTTTATTTTCTAAATAATCTTGCAATTCTTCAATTTTCGTTTCTATAGGGGTTGTAGTGATTATTTTTGATATTTAAATTAAGACCTAGAAGTATTTTTCTGCATTATTTTGCAAAATATCCATATAGTCTTTTATGTGTTCAGGTGTGGAATCGAGAGTAATTTTGAATGAGTCTTCTGAGTCATCTAAGCGATTAAATTTCTTTATAGAACCTTCTTCTTCAGAAGTTTCAAATATGAAAACTATTTAATTTAACATGTATTTTAAAATCTACGAGTTCAAATCTGTGTAAATTTCTTTTAGGATTTATGTTAAATTTAAGGTTGGTGTTGAGAATTTTTTCATGGTATTTTTCAAATATCCGTAATTTATTGTTAATGAGTTTTGCTCTATCTTGGCGAAAGCAAAGAAACGTTTCTTCAACATTTTTGAGAGAGTTTCCAAGTATTTTAATATTTTTTCAAAGAAATCCTCAAAAAATGGAGTTTGTCTCACAATATCGTTTTTCAAAAAAATACCTGCCATTTCATTAGCTTCTAGATAATCTTTGATGTACAATAAAATATCGTCTTCACTTATAATTAAACAGTTTTCTTCATTTTTTTCCATTAATTCTACTTTTTCATCTAATCTCTTGATTGTTTCCACCAACTTTTTAAAAAGATCAAACGTTTAGCGTACACTTTACAATTCATTAAAAAGATATTGTATGTCGTTAGGATCTAGATCAATTACCTCATTCATTGCTTTTTATCTTAACATCTTCATCTAAACATCTGGTAAAAATGTATCAGGAACTGTTATTCTATCGTCTCCAATCATCTTATTAAATTTTTTGAAAACTTCATAATGCTCGTTCTTCATTATAGCTTCTCCAATATTGACTTCTTCTTTTTTTTTCTCTTTTTCTTTATCTTTATCTGATGCATCTTTATTTTCTTCATCTTTCTTTTCCTCTTCCTTCACCTTTTTCTTCTTTTCTTCTGCTTCTTTTTTCTTTTTCTTCTCCTCCTCTTCCAATGCTGTTAAGACACTCATATCACCTTAAGAAAAATCTAATTTTTCATCATTTTCTATCTCACTCTTTTCTTTATTTTCTTAAGTATTACTGGCATTGCTAATTAAACTTTGGTTTATGCTTTTTTCATCTTTAGTTGACTTATTTAAATTATCTTTATTTTCATTATTCGCTTTTTCTTCTTTATTTTTGTTATTTTCATTTGCTTTAGGCTAAGTGCTATCAAGATTAGATGAAGTTTTATTTTAAATGCTAGTATCTACAGGAGCTGCAGCAATATTTGTTGTTGCACCTGTTGGTTAGGTTGTATTAGTGTTTGTGGAAGTTAAAGTAGAAGAAGTAGCTCCTGCTGCAGCTGGATTAGCAGCTCGATTCTCTTCTTCTTTCTTTTTTTGCTCTTCTTCTTTTTTCTTTTTTGCTTTCTCTTCTTTTCTCTTTTATCTTTCCTCATCTTCTTTCTTTTTTCTTTCCATTTCCTCCTTTTTTTATTTCAATTCTTCACGCTTTTTCTTCTCCTAAATTCTTTTTGTATTTTCTAATCCCAACAAACTATCAAGTTAGATCTTTTGTCTCTCATTAGTTCTCAGCTGATTCTCAATTTTATGTCTAAAAGCATCAAACGAGAGATTGTTATCACATGTTTTCTGAAATTCAAAAACAAGCCTTTACATCCTACCTTAAATTGCTTAATATTGATTGATATTAATATTTTATTTTTGGAGTTTCTTCCTTTATGATTAAATATTTAAATCAACTAGTTTGCGAAATTAATTTGAAAATATATTATATAAATAATAACAATAACAATAATTAATTTATTATCTTCGTTTTTAACAATTAAATTACACGATTTACAATATTAGAAGCAATATTCAAAAAATCACTATTTCCTAAATGTTTATTATTTTTTATTCGTTCATTTTTAATTTAGAACACAGTAAGAACTTGTTGAATGTGTATAAAATATAGTATTTTATCAAAAATATATATATTAAAAGCTAATAATTGTGAGTTTGGATAAATTCTTATTTGAAAAAAAAAAAAACCTTTTTAAGCTTATTTATTTTGATCAAAATATGAAATGAAAATTTATTAATTGCTTTTGGCATTTTGGTTGATGAACAACATAATTTTGATAAAAAAACATAATTATAAAGTAATTATAAAAAGTAATAAATTAATAAAATTATCATTCATTGGCTATGGATTTATAATATCTAAACAGAATATTAATTTGTGATAAATATTAAATAAAAAAGTTAATTAAGTCCAATTTATATTTATTAAAATGTCTTATGCTAATCACCAATAGTAGCTGCTAACTCCTAACAGGAATGAGGAAAATCAATTTAAAAAATTTAGTGATAACGACTTAAGGGAGAATCTCCTTCGTTAGTATTAGCAACAATTAGGACATATTCCAAATGATATATCTAGACCAAAATCTATAGAGAATTTGAAGAACTAGTATAAAGAAAACGATAAAGCAAGAAATTACTAGATGAATTAAAATGAATTTTAAAAAAATGAATTACTTTAAAAATTAGTTGAAGATTATAGATAATTAAAAGACCAGTCTTTAACGATGTAAAGAGATTATGACATTAAAATAAAAGAATTAGTTGAAAAAATGTAATAACAGGATTTAATTATCTAAAAAATGTCAAATGAAAACAAAACTTTGCACACTTATTATCAAAGAGCAGAAAATCTTCTATCGCAGCAAAGAGATAAGATATAAGAGCTAGAAGAACATCTTAAATAGGCATAATAAGCTTCCATAAAAGATAAGCAATAAATATAGAATCTTAGTTTGATTAACTCTCCTAATAAGTTGTTTCAGGAATCAGAAACAAGAAATTATGTGAACTCTCTTTCAGATGATGAGCTTATTGAATTAATAAAATTAAAAAGAAAAATGGACTTTGAAAAGGTTCTCTAATAAAAGGAAAAAGCTGATCAATAGAACTAAGAAGTACTTCCATTAATTAATTAAAGCCAAAGCAATCCTATATCTGTAAGATAATTTGTAAGGCATTAAAGATCTTCGTCAACTTTTAAAAAAGGGTTAGACAATTATTAAGATTAATTACAATAGCAATAATCTGTGATTGTGAATTAATAAAAAGTTATTGATAAATTGCTTAATCATTCTCATTAAAACCAATAATTTTTATAAAAAGAGTTATAATAATCATCCTAGATTTAATCTACTTCTAAGCAACCTTAAATAGAGTTTGTAAAAGACTTCTCTACTGCTAAATTAAATTCCTCTAGACTTAGAAATAGATCACCAATTAAAAGTAATCGTGAATAACACATGGAATACTTGTAAAAATCTATTGAGTCAAAAGATAAACTATTACTAGATATCCATAATAGCAAAATAAAAAAAGATAAAGATGAGGCTTTAATAGATTTTTTTAATAAGTAATCTTCATACCTAGTTGATTCTGTGTATGATAAAAAAAAATGAATTAATTATTTATGTTTATGAAAATAAAATACATAAATTACAAATCTCAAAAATAAAATTATAATTACTGTAAAAAATTTATTTATTAAATAGTTTTATTGTGAAATAAAAATAGCTAAATAATTTCTAAACTATACTAAAATGAATTAAAAATTAATTAAAAATTTGTAAAATAAAATTTAAATATGTTATAATTTGAATTATTTTATATTTAACATATTTATTTATATTATTAAAATTGAATTTATGGAATATTTTATGTAGTTATTATATTCATATTAAATTATTATTTATTTATTTTGTTATTTACAATTATAAATAGATTAAAAGTAAGTTCAAAATTATTGTCAATTAGAAATCACATAAAATTGTAATCAAAATTTTTAAGATTGGGAAAGTATTGCTCCATAATCGCTAAAGTTTGCTTTATACACTAATCATAATTGCTTTTGTGAAGAATGGTAATGAGTTAGTCATATTTTAACTATTTTCCATTTAAAGTGTATAAGTTGTTGACAGAAAAAATTCTATTCCAAGAAGCACAAAGTGCTAATCTTAACATAATTGTCGCCTTTACATCTTTTTCTAATAATATAAATTTGGAAGCTGACATTTATTTTCCTAACTGTGGTGGAGGATTTAAATCTAATAAATCAAATTTATTGCTGGTATTTTTTAAATCTGTTTCACTTTACTAGGCTGTCTTTTTAATTTTTGTGTTGTTTAACTAACTTTTTGTCTTGGTATTTGTTTATTGATTTTGTTGAGCTTTATTGGTTGTAGTCAATTTTTTTTCTAGTTAATTGTCATACAAGATGGAGTGATAGAAAGTCTTTAGATTAGTCATAATTACTGCCCTAAAAGGTAGCTTTATGTCATCAGGCATTTTCTCATAATATTTTTCTGTATCATTTAAATTTTCATCAAAATACTATTTAATATTAGGGTACTTTTCTTACTTGAGCTGTTTTACTTATGAATATTAAGTTTCGAATTCGTTACTCCATATTTACTCATCCATTTTCAGTCTCTCTTCCATCTATCTGTACGTCTTAGAAAAGGTAAATTAAGCGAAATTAAAAGTAAGATTGAAAATATTTTCTTTATCACTTAATATTTTTTTGAGGTTCTTTATGTAGAAATATATTAACTTGCTCAGAAAGAATTTAAGCAAAAGAAAATTAGATTTGTTAACAGTGCCATTCATGAAGTTTATTTTTTAATTGAAATAAATATAATTATCAATAAGGAATCCATATAAATTTATAAGAGCAGTATAGTTTTTTGCTTATTCCTGTATAGAAGAGTCATTTTTTTACTAAACTAAGATCGATGTTATCATAGCATCTTCTCTTTCCAAACTATCTCTTCTTTTTAATTCTTCTTCATCATCTTCTTCATTTTAATTATCACTGTTTTTAATCATCGATTGCAGTACATCTAACTCATCATTTTTTTATTCAAATATTTCATAAAATTCTAAAGTGTCTTTGTAGTCTATAAGCTATTCTTATATGATGCTGTTCGAATAAAGTTCTTTAAATCCTATTCTTTTTTAATAGTCTATGACAAAAATTTCTTTAAATAGCTTTATCAATCCTATTGAAATATCTTGTGTCTTTTTTTTTGGAGCTTTCGAAATTTAAAATCCACTTTTTGCAATAAAAAATATATAATTAGTATCAGTGAATATCTAGTACTTTGAAAAAAATATACCCTTAACATAAATCTTGAATTTTCTTTAATAGCTTTGTATGTGAGCTACCTTCAAAAGGCAAGCAACCAAAAATAATTCTGTAAAGAATTACTCCTAAAGACCAAATATCAACCTAAATATACAAAAATATATATTAAATATTTTATTCTTGCAACTAAATTTGCATAAATATTTTACTTTATATCCATATTACTTGCCCTAAAGAACTTCAGGGGCAGCATAAGAAGGAGTGCATGAACTTGATTAAATCATTTGACTTGTCGTTGCTTTTCTTGCTAATCCAAAATCTGATATTTTTGGTAACCCATTTTGCATCAAAATATTTGAACCCTTTAAATCTCTATGAATAAAACCTGCTTCGTGAATAGCACGAATACCCTAAAGAATATATGCAAACATATTCAACGCTTTTTTTTCGTGTAACACTCCTCCTTCATAAAGTTTTAAATAAGAATCTAAAGTACCTTACTCACAATATTCCATAATAATAATTGGATATTCCTTATAAACAAAATTTTCGACATATTTCACAATATAAGGGCTTTTAATTGTCATTAAAGCCTTTAGTTCTTACTAAATGTATCTCTCTTTAACCTCTCTTATCTTTTTAAGGGCAAACTTATTCTAATTTTCATCCTCACATAGATAAACTGACGAAAAGCCTCCACTACCTAATTTTTAAATTAATGTATACTTTCCTATTTTAATTGAGTTTTCTTCTATTTTTTATTCTTTTTGTTGGGAATCCATGATGATTTTTCTAATTTTTATGATTTATTGTAATTATTATTAATCAGTAATAAGTAAGTTTGGTTTTTAATACTTTTGATAATAAAAGCATAAATTTATTGTATTTTTCTATAAATTTTCTATATAATCCATCAAAAAATATATGTTCAATTTGACACAAATACATACTGTTCAAAATTAATATAGAAAAGAATGACTCATTTTACAACAAAAGGTTCTATTTATTACTGATGTGTATCTTTCTTTAACATTCATTTATATTTTTATTATTAAGTTTATGTTAATCAGAAATTGAATTTCAATTTATATATTAATTATTTATCTAGAATAGTTTAAAAAACTCAAAAAATTCCAAATTTGAAAGTTATTACATACATATAAATATTTGTTTATAACTTTTTTAATTCTTAAATAAGAATCCATTAAATAAAAACCAATGTAGTAAGTAAATTTATAAATTTTTTAAGCAGCAAATTTATTTTGCATAAAAAACAAAATAAATTAAAATGGTATTGATTATGTTCGTTTTAAGACTAAATCTATGAAAAAAAAAAAACAAAAAATATATTTAAATACATTAAAACCTATTAATATGAATGAGCGCTTGTTAAAATTGGGTGAAAGCTTTTATCCCAAATTTTAATTTTAATTATAAAATCCATCTATAAAATGGCTACCTGCATAATATATGGTCTTTTTTGAGCCCAGTTTAGAAAATTTGAATTTATTTTTTTATAGTTAAAATCAGTTTTCAGTCATATAGTTTAATTACGTCTTCTATTTCAAAGTTGCAGAAAGAACACTTACCGAATTTCTTTTTTACTTCTAAAGCACAGGAATAGCAATATCTGTGACCACATTTATATGCAGAATCTTTTTCATGTTAATAACAAATCTAACAAAGTCTTGCATCTTCTTTGCTTAAAGTATGATTATGAGATGCATTCTTACTTGTTTTGTTTGGATTATCTGGATGATTTTATGAATTAATTTTTGCTATAGTATTTAAACCTTAGGTATCTTCTAAAAATTCCACACTCCTTTATTTTTAGAATCCTATATTAATATTATTATACTTTTTATTTAAGTTTTCCTCTCTTTACTACTTCTGTTCTTCATAAACAAGTAACTGTTAATTCTAATTACCTTAATTTTGTGAGTTTGACATTAAACTACTAGGTTGAACAGCACTAGTTACAGCAGTGGATTTCAAGTCATCTTAAACTTATTGAAATTGTTCATTTGCTTAATTGAATACTAAATCAGATTTTAATTCATTTTTTATAAACATTTAAAATAATTCGCTTTCCTCTTTTTTTTACAAATTATTAATTCCAGAATTTTTGTATACTTCATACTATTAGTGGAGAGTTTATGTTAATTTTTCGATTTGAGAATGAGATAAAATAAAAGGTTTATTATCCGCATAACTACTAGAATCGCCAAGCTCCATTGATAAGAACTATTAAAAACTAGACAAAGATTACTACAACTATTACTGGCCAGGTATTGATTAGTTTTATTGGATTTGATTGGAATTGGATAAATTACTCTATGATTTTTAGAATAAACTATCACCAATAATATGAGGTAAGGGAACTTAATTTAACTAGTTAAATCCAAATTATTAGTCTAATGCCCACTAAAAGAATTTAAGCTATTATGTAATATTTAAATGAGTGTTTTTCATTCCTTAATTGTTCTAATTATTAAATTATTAGTTATTATTTTATTTTTCATTTTATATTAAATTAGCTTGGTAAAAATTGTTTTAAATCATATTATTATTATTATTTGCAATATTATTCGCAGGAATAATCTAATTATTATTTACTTGCTAGTTTTATTTTTGTTATGGAATATAAACTGATTACCCTACATCAAATTATCCATTTATGATAGGCTCAATTGGTTAGGCCGTAAGTGCTTCTTATTAAATATTTTGGTTATACTAATTTAAATTTGGATTATCTAAATTTTGATTTTGGTTATTTAGATTTTAATTATTTAAATTAGGATTGTTTAATATATTTTGATTTAATAAAAATTATTATCCTCCTGCTACTCCTCCATTTATAGCTCTGTTATAAGGATAGTACAAATTATTTGCATTTTAATTTTAGAATTGGTTATTTTGATTATTTATTTAATTATAAGGAGGGATTATATTATTTCCTTAATACCCACCATAATTATGGAAAATTTAAGGATTAAAAGGTTAATCTATTGGGATATGTTAGACAGATTTTGATTACTAAATAATTTGAGTTTTATTCTTCTTCTCTATCATAAGCTATAGTTACTGCTATTATAAGAGCTTTAATTGTTTAATTTTTTCTTCTTTCTATACTTACTGACTATATAGTTGAGATTTATTATAGTAACTATCTTTTAAGTCATCTTACTGTTTAATTAACTTATTTGTAAGTAGATCATCCTATTAGGTAGGAGTTATTCCTTCATTATTATTGCTATTTTATTTATTAAGACCAACTGAACTGCCTGAAGATTGCGAATTTAGATCACTAATTTACTCGTTTAATAGTTTTTACACTTTGTCATTAACATTACTTTAAATATTAGGAGACTAAATAACCACTTCGTTGTTTTGAGAAGTTAATTCTATGTCTCCTCTCATTTTATAATTTTCTCCATCTTTTTCTCTTTCAGAAATATCTTATTTTAATAAATTTTTATTTTCTATGCTATTACCTGTTCTATATTACCTAACTTTATCGATTATTTTTTTAATATATTTGATAACTTGCTTCATACCTATAATTCCTAGTACAATGCTTAATAGAATAAAGATTGGTGGTTTATACCATTAGTTAGATTATTTCTTTTCTTTTTAAATATCTAAAAGTAGACACACTTATTAATTTATGCTATATCTGGACTAAAACATTAGATGAGAGCTGCAACTTAATTTTCTACAAGAAAATTCGTTAGCAAAATAACTACCTTTTTCGCTATCATTTTAGTTATTTTAAGAACTCATGCAATTTTAAATATATATATTATAAGTAGAGTTTGAAAATAATGACCTAGATATCGCAAACTGAGCAACCTATCCTTCATGAGTATAAGATAATTCTAAAAATCTAACATTATTTGAAAAGCCATCAAAGCTTTTATTCACAGTTTAATACTAAGTAGTTTAAGCAAAAGAATTATCATTTATAATTACCTCAATAAAATCATATTATGATTGAAATAAGATTTTTTTATTGTAGAATAGAATATCAACATTAAAATGGTCTTTTATGTTATATTGATACTAATTCATAAAACTATCCAATTTGTCAATTTTTGTAATCTTTTTTGCCATGATGTTATATATTACAATATAAAAAAACTGATTATCTGAGTAAATGAAAACAAATTATTGCGAAGCAATTTAACCCATCTTCCAAAAAGTAAAATTTTTAAATGCTTCATGATCATTTAAGATTGGTTCATTTTCAAATTTAAAATCGTCTATTAAGCTGTAATGGCTCATTCTTTCAGAATTGTGAAGTGTAATGATTTCAGATTTGTTAAAAAAAAATATATGATTTTAAGAATCAATTTTCTAAAAAAAATATTGCTCATTCAAATCAATCGCAAATTTATTTTGCTCAGAATTTAGGTAGGAAACCTCTTTACACTTAACTGAAAGGTCTTCTTTATCAAATTAATATGTTATTTAACAAAATGAATTTATTCTTTAGCTATTTTTGCTGTACTGCATAATAGATAGACTATTTCGTTAAACTATATCTTATTCTACTTAAGGATGACTTTCTAAAATATAGATATACTTTTTTTGATCTTCACTTTCTTAATCAGCAGTATTAGAGGTATTGTTTAAATTCAAATCCTTAAATTAAAATAATTTTAAAATGATATAAGGTTTTTTATTTTTTAAAAATGTTTAATAATAATGAATTAATTAATTACATAAATAATAGGATAAAGTAGAGGATAGATAATAGAATGTTTTTATTGTATTATTATTTAAGATGCTGTGAAGAATTTAAAATATTTGAACTCCTGAGATTCTGTTTAAATAACAATGTACAAGCTTTGCTAAGTTTCTACATTTAAATAGTTAACTTCTTTGATTTTTGAATCTGAATGAATACTAATCTAAGATAAATAATTTAATGTTTTCATATCATAAGCTGCTATAGAGCTTTCTGATATTAGAAGCACTGTATTAGCTTCGCTAATCAAAAGCGTACGGACATTTGGATTTGTTTGATCAGTTCTAATTTAAATTTCATCTAAAAGCTCATATCTTATTAAAGATTACTCATAACCTTAACCTACAACACTTCCTAGTAAAAAAGCTAGTGCTAATAAATAAATATTCATAGTCTTTTAAAGTTTTTGACTCTACTTTTTAATTTTTCTATTCAAAAGAAGATAAAGAAATAATAATATTAATAAATATATAATATATTATGTAATTTTTTCAATTTTTTTTTTTTTTTGTATATTCATAGTTAAATTAATTCCATTAAGATTCCATTTAAAATTTAGTACTTTTAACTTTCATCTAAAGCAAATTTTGATAGCAAGTATATTTCTCATTTAATGGTTTTGTAAACACAAAACAATTATGTGCAAGTTTTTATGTACTGTATTACACTAATATCAGGGAATTATAAAAATACTCTTTTTTAAATCACTTAACGCTACTAAGAAATGATTATTACATAATTTATATTTAAACAAAGTTAATTAAATTTAATATTCTTATGCATATTATATATGAATTTATAATCAATTAATAAAAAACATAGCTAATTTCTGGCTTTGATAATAAATTTCTTATTCAGAAAATTTCAATTTTTTTCTAGTAAACTAGTCTATTTTAATCATTTTTTTTGATATATTTTCAATTTACTTATTAATCTTTCAGTCTATTTTTTATCTTTTGTTTCAGTTTTTTTTGGAATTTTTAATGTTAAAATATTTAAATTGTATAAAATAATGTTCAAAAAATAAAATAATTTTTTGTCAAAAAACTTTATTCTTGTTTTAATTAATTTGAAAATTTATTATTTCATAAATTTTGTATGATAAAAATTTTCCTAAACTAGTTTAAAGCTGTTTGAGATGCTTTTTTTGCTTTTAAAGTAATCTTTTAGGATTTTATAAAATGCCATACTCTTAATTAAAATATTTTAATTTATTTATTGTGATTATATAAATTTAAACAGTTTATATAAGAAAGAAGAAATAAAAAAATAAAATAAACTCATATCAATAATTAAAACGATTTTGTAATTTATATATTTATTGCATAATATATGATCATTTGATAAAAAAAAACCAATACTAAGCTGCTTTTAAGTTTTCAATAATAATCTTTTAAGATGACTGACGAATTAATAATTGAAACATTACTTATTATTTAGTATTGCAAAACTAAAATGAAACTTTTATATCATTTGATAATTACTTAGAATATAATCAATCGTTTAACATTTTCAATATTTTTATTTTAAAAATAATAAAAATTATAGTTTTTGTGAACAACAAAAATTATCTCTCAAATTAAAATTTATTTTAATAATAGATAAAATATAAACGTTTTTTTATTGTTTGCTTGATTTTATTTTAAAGCAAGAGGTATTTCCAATTTAGTAATTATAAAAATTAGAATTATTTAAAATATTTAGAATAATAAAACATTAAAGCTTAATCTTAATTTATCAAGCTTGCTTATTATTCTTTTTGTTAATTTTATCTTATTGCATATTTTTGATATCGTCAATAGATTTCTTTAAAATACTAGGATCTGGTCTTTTATCAGGATCAGTCTCAAGCATTTTAGATACTAATTATATAATTAATGGATCAATATCTCCTTAACGATTCATCTTTAAACCTCTTATTCTGCTTATTTTTAAGCTTTCATTTTAATTTACTTGAGCAATATCAATTAAAGTTAGCATGTACAATAAAATAAGACCAAGACTAAAAATATCACTCTTGAATATATCAATTTCATCTTAAGTATGTTAATAATCTTTTATTTTTAAGTTTTTTAACTCTGGAGACATCCACTTTATTGTTCCAAATACTATATTTTCTTTTGTGCTTGCCTTATCTATTTATTAGGAAATACCAAAGTCTGATAAGTAGTAAATCCCTTTTTTAAAAAGAATGTTTTCAGGTTTTAAATCTCTATGAGCTATTTTTTCCTCTATATAAATATCTGCAATTGTATTAGCTATTTAATCTAAGAATTGCACTATGTCTTTTTCCAAGAATTTATCATAAAGCTAATTTATTAAAAAAATATAATCGAATGAATGAATTAATTTTAATTTGATTTTTTAATTTTTACATAATTTTCTTGCTTTTTTTAAATGATTGACTGCAAGTTGCTTTCTGCTAACTCAAGTGCTATAATTGCCTAATCTAAATCAAGGAAATAATTTTAAACTTTAATAACATTTTCATATTTTCCTAGTTTTTAGAGAATTTCTATTTCATTTCTAACTGAGCTTTTTTGCTCTTCAAAGCTAATTTCTTTGTTATAGATAATTCTTTTACACGCATACTTCTCATGCATTTATTAAAGTATAGCTTTATTTTTTACCATTTATATGTGCTTGTTTTTTGCTATATACACGTCTCCAAAGCCTCCTGAGCCTAAGGGATCATTTAAGTTGATATCATATTTTTAGAAAAATTCAATTTTACTAATTTCTTTCTAATTTTGGAAAACAATAGCTTCTATTTATTATTTTATATTTTTGCTTTTATTTTTTCTTCTTCGAATTAGAAGCAGATAAAAATTTGCAAATATTAGGAAAGCTATTGTATCCCAAAAAAATGGAGAAAAAATTTAATTATGAAATTAGTCAAGAAATCCTGTATAACTACCATTTAATTTAACTTAATATAAGATTGTGCTTCCGCTGTCATAATTGAAATTATAGACATAAAAATAATTATATAGATATCCTTGATTATATAAATAGAATGTGTAAATACTCTAACTATTAGAATCATTTGGTACTAAGTATGGTTAAATATCCTGTCTGTTTTTAGCTGCTCTTAATCGATAAAGATATTTAGTTTTCTGATAATTTTCCTGATCAGACAAACCTATCATATAATAATTATTTTCTAAATATACCCCAAAATTAAACTAATTTTCACTAATTATCTGTGACTGTTAGCTGATTTAATCCAAATTAATTAAAATTTCACTATTTTTGTCAATAAATATTAGTAAATATTAAACCTTAGGAGATATTTCCATCAACTTCTTTTAATAGAAAACAAAAACTTTTTTTTTTCCAAATATTAACAAATAGTTCATTTGCAGATACTAAATAGATTCTATTATATCATCTTCTAATTCAAGGCATAAGTATTAAGAGCTCTATACTTATTTATCTTTTAATTGTACTTAATATACACACATATCATTGCAAAAGTATAAATTTTTGTAAAAAACATTGCAATTTCGATTTATTTCTATAATATTTTAATCCAAGCTTTTTGACTATGTATTGAAGCATAAAATAGCAATTTTTGAATCATCTTTCTATAAATAAAATATGTAATTGTCTAGCGTGTCATAAAAAGTGTAGCTGTGCAAAATCTTTTTTGCTTTTTTATTATTTATAAATTTTAAAGAAAGATAAAAATAAGTAGTTGTACATTTCAAGTTAAAGTCTTACCTTAGACCATAGTTTCTTGAGTGTTTATCTAATAACTAGAAATAAAGCCACTAAAAATTCTAATGGTGATTATATCTCTTTCAGAATCTATGCTATAAATAGCAAAAGAAGCAATACCTTAAATTCCTTAATCATTATAAAATAAAGGATATTTCTGAGTAACTGTATTACTTATTTATTTATTATAAGAATCATAAAAGGTGTATTATTATTTGGTATTTAGAGATGGATATAATGTATAATAAAGAGTTTTATTTTCAAAATCATAATTACCCATAATATAAATTCTTTCAAAATATAAACAATAATCTGCCAATTCAGGTTTTTAACTAAAATCAATTTCTTTTGTTTAGCAGTAATACATCTTAATTACTACTAAAAATACCAAAATTTATATTTTCTACATTTTTAATTATTTTTGGTTAAGTTTTTAAAGGGTTTAATTCTTTATTATGATAAAATAGATTGTTTTTTTTATCAAAAATATTAATTAATAAAACCAAATTGTATATCTTTTTATCAAATACTTTAACAAAGCAAATAGAATCTCAAATATGAATTTTAGGAAAATCAAAATTAACATTTTGATTATTTTTACAATTAAGATTTCCTAAATAAATATACATATTCATAAAAATACCATCAAACAAAACATTTGGTAAAACTAAATTTATTTAATCAATCAGATATTCAATAGCTTATTTATTCTCAAAATGTAATTTATGAAAAATGTATTTTAAATAATTTTAAAACTCATTCAAGAGTCTCAAATAAAAAAAGAAAATATTTTAATATTTATCAAAAAAAGATAAATCAAATCAATAAATTTTTGTTTTAAATATTTATTCAAGTTTTATTTCATGGTTAATTTAAAATAAAAAAGATTTTAAACTATTTTTAAATTTGTGCTTTTTAAAATTAGAATAAATATTATTAAAAAAAAAAAATAATTTTTTATTCTATTTTAATTAATTTTGATAATATTTTAAAGAAAATAAAAAAATTGTTGTTAAGCCTTTATAGCTCAGTTGGGAGAGCGTAAGACTGAAGATCTTACGGTCCTCGGTTCGATCCCGAGTGAAGGCATTTTTATTTTTAAAAGTAAACTTGAGTATAATTTTTTTAAAATAAAAGAAGATATTTTTTTATATTGAATTATAAGAAATTTCTACAATATCATGTTGTGAAAAATATTATTTATTGTTAAGCCTTTATAGCTCAGCTGGGAGAGCGTAAGACTGAAGATCTTACGGTCCTCGGTTCGATCCCGAGTGAAGGCATTTTTTTTACCATATTGATTGACAAAATATAATGATTTGAATACACAAATAAATTTTAGTTTTTAAAATAGAAACAAAGGTCTATCATTAAAGTAATTAGGTAAGTTTAGGAAGGAAATTAGGTAGATGTTGGAGAAAGTAGGTAGGTAAGTAATTAAATTAGATAGGTAAGTGGTTATGTAAATGTTTAACAAATAAAATAAAGATCAACTATATATTTAATTTTATTCTGTATTTAATATTTCTAATTCATTAGCTAAATATTGTTTGATTTAATTTATTTCTTCATCAAGTTGATGAATTTCATTTTCAATATAATTTTTATTTGGTTTTTTATTTTTCTAATTATTTTAATAACTTAACACGCTGCTACTGTCTCCTTAATAATTTGAAGAGTATTCATTGCCAAGAGAATTGTTAACTTTAATATAAGGATCGTAATTATCCTTTTTAGCTCGTATGTTAATTTCACTTTTACCTCCTCCTGTTGTTTATTTACTTTAAGAAAATGAGTACAGTTCTCTGCTTTTATTATTCTATCTCTAAGAATTTAAAAATTTAGCATTTGAAATATCTTCAAATTTGTGTGAGGTTAGGGTATTATTATTACTTGTATGACCACTTTCAGCAAAAGTCATAAAATTCTAAATAGATTCTTTTGATTTAATTCTTTAAGCTTGTTTGTATTGATGGTTTATTTTTTCAGGAGTTTCGCTTTCTTCTGATGATAAAAGCGGATCTTACTAAAACTATTTTTAAGCTTTTCTTTCATCTTACTGATAAATGTAATTTTATTAATGCTTTCTTATATTTGGGTTCAAATTTTAGTCTTCATAAATTTACTCTTATTTTCTTTATAAATGCTCATCTAATTCCAAATATTCGTCTTCATCTGATTCTTCGAAGAATTTTTTACGGCGAGTTTTTTCTTAAACGCTAGGACTCTTACTTAAATAAAAGTCTAAATCGTCTTTTTCTTTTTTAGTATTGACAGGAGAATGTGAAGAAGATCTTTAACCTTACTGAGGAACTCGTTCATTAGCTAACTTTTATTGATCAATTTACTATTTGTTAATGACAGAGGTTATTTCTTATTTTAGATCTGCTATGATATGTTCTTGATCTTCAACCATTCCTTTATATTCCTCCAGCTTTTTTTTTAAAATTCCGTTTTCTTTTCTAAGATGGCCAACTTCTTTAACAAAAGAAGAAGACTCCTTTTATTCTTCATCGATTATTTTATTTAGTTTATTCAGTTCATTCTTTAATTGGTGTTTTTCAGACTCAGATTGTTAATAATTAAGCTATATTTTTCTTATCTTCTTTTCATACTCTTACTTATCTGATTCTTTAGAATCCTAAAGTTCTTTTATCTTATCTCTCATTAATTTGCTATTTTACTTAAGTTTTTCAAGACTTTCTCTATATCTAGGAAGAACCTCTTTCGTATGAGCTTATTCTTTATCTAAATCTTGCTACAACTGTTATAATCTTGCTTTTAGCTCACTATTTTCTTAGTCTTTATTCATAGCTATGTTCTTAATTTCTTACAATATATTTACCTCATCTATTTTTTATTTTCATATTGTTGTATTTAAATAAATCAAAGAAAAAATGAATTACCATCTTCAATCTCAAAGCCCTTTTCATCTATAACATTTTAAATATTTATAAAAACCTTTCTTAGTTATCTAATTTATTTTGATATGAAATTATTAATAGCATTTATAAAATGTATTTTACTGAAAGATTTCCTGATTAAAGTCAGGTTTTTTATTTTAATGCAGCCTGTCATTCTATCCAACGACTGCAAAGCATTTTTTTATTTAGCTGAGGACTTTTGTGTTTTTGTTAGTTACTTATTCTACAAATTCGTCATGCTTTTTTTTTAAAGTTTCAAAATTTCCTTTCATTCTTTCAGTTGTTTCAGAGTTGTCATTTCTTAATAAATCTAATTCTTTCTGAATTTATTTATTTAAGAAATTTAATTCATTAACTTTTAACTGTTCTGAAGAGAGTTTTTCAATCAATTCTTTGCATCTTTTCTAATTTGGTTACATTAAAATGAATAAAATAAATGCTTGCTAATTTTCAAATCTAAACAAATTACTTCTGCCTTCTATACTTACTATTCTAATATATCGTTTTAATGCTATAATTTCGAATTGCTATGAGTAAGTACATTAGCTCTTGCCTAAGCTTCTTTTAAATTCTTTTTTGTCCTAAATAATTCAGAATTAGCTAATATTAAATTACTTAAATTATACTTACAAAGATAACTCTTTTTGCAATAGCTTAATATCAAGGGTGGATGAATAATTCTCAGAGTCATCTTTCATAGTATTTATTTAATCTTCATCCATAGACGATCTCAGATAACCAGAACTCTTATTGTTGTAAGCTGTGTTTTAAAAAAAATTATCAGCTGCTTTGAAAGAGTTGCTCTTATTATCATGTGTTGGAGGTGAATGATTTAGAGCATATTTATTTGACTTTCCAACAGTCTTTTAATTGAAAGAAGAGTTGGATGCATCTAATTACTTAACACTTCCTGAAGAATGATCAAGAGACCTTTTCATTATATAACTAATAACTGCTAATATATTTATTATTTATTTCACTGAATATTTTTTTTAAAGATTTTAGCTCTTCTTTGAAAGCAAATAAATAAATTGAAGTTTTTTTGAAATTTAAGATTTGCTCTTTTGAAAATATTTATTTTATTGTTTGAACGAGCTATAACATATAATTTGAATGATAGAAATCATGTTTTTGTAAGATTTTGAATTTAGATAGAATTTATTTCAATACTTTAAAATATGAAATAAATTTAATTAAAACTTTGAAGCAAAGCAATAAAAATGATTTTAAATATTTCAATTCATACTAAAAATTTATTTCATAGAATATTTAAAAAAATTTCTCTAAAATTGTTGCCAAAAACAAACTATTCGTTATATAATTCTTAATTAAATTATTAAGCAATACCATCAAATTATAATTAATAAAATTTACTTTAATTTTTACAAATTAATTTACTTTATTTTTTAGAATAAAATTTAAATTGATTGAAATTTTATGATTTTTTTGTTAAACTTAAAATAAAATAAAAATTCAAATAAAATCAAGATAAATTTTAATTATTCTTTTGTTATTAACAATATATTTATTAAATTTTTTTCAACTTGTTATTTATTAAAAAAGAAATTATTCATCAAATTGTTTTTGATTTAAAAAATATTTTCGAAAGATCATTTTAAATCGATTATAATTCTTTATCATTTATAATAATAATAAAAATAAAATAAAAGTTTGAAAATTATCTTAAATTTACAATTCTTAGCTTTTAAATTAAGCATTAATTAATAAATTTTTTAATCTAAACATTAAATTAAATTTTTAATGTCTAAAAAAAAAATTAAGTCTTTATTAAAAATAAATTTAAATTTATTAGACTTTTATTAATTATCAAATAATTGATTAAATTTATTTTAATAAATAATAATTAATTTGTTAAAATTAAAGATAAAAAACAAAATTCTTTTTGATTGAAATGTATTATAATAAATTAAATATTTCCAATGGCTATAGACATATTAAATCAATTAGAAATTAAAAATTTAGAAATTATTTTAATTAAATTACATAAAAATATTTACAATAATTTTTAATTAATTTTGAATAAATTCATGCCTAAATGCTAGATTACATAGCATATTATTTACATTTTTCTTTATGATTTTAAAAGTGTTCTTTTTGGCAGGAAGCTGAACAATAATAAATTATTTTGCATCTAGAACACAAATTATTGGTAGGATTTTTGCAATTTCCACATAACTTATATGAAGCACTACTTTCCTTTTTAAATAAACATATAAATTCTATGAGACTGTCCTTTTCTGACCAATTTTTGGTACCAAATGTAAATTCTATTCCTAAATGTTCATATGCAATTGAAATAGAAGTCAACTTTCCTCCATTCCTTGTGCTTGGTTCTCCTAAAAATTTTACAACATCCCCATTCGTTAAGTCAAAATTTATCAAATACGGTAAAAATCCTTTGTATTACTTGAATTTCTTATCCCTTCCTCCATATATGTAGACACAATTCAAAATTTCAGACTCTAATTACAAACTTATTCCCAATTCTTCAGATTAAATATATAAAAATTTTCCATTTTAATATTCTTTCTACAAAAATTTTGAATCTAAATCATACTCTTTTAACTACTCAATCAATTTTTCCTTATTAATATTAGCCTTTTCAATTTAGCTTAGCCAGTTAATTTATAAGAATTAATTTAGTTTTATATTTTCGTTATCTTCCATTATTAAAATTGTTTGTATTTATTAATATTTCTACTTTTTTATAGTTTAGAAAATATATCTATCTATCTATCTTTATTTAATTAATTAATTAATTTAAAAAGTGAGTAAATATTTAAAAGTTCACATTTAAAAATAACTAAATTGAAAACCAAATATTTATCTTTTAAATCTTAAAATATAAGTAGCTAATTTTAAAATAATAAAAATGTAAGTTAAGTTTTAATGACTTATAGAGTAGAAAAGAATAGTCATTTTAGTAAATTATATTTGATAATAAATAAATATTAAATTATATTTATAACAATTTTTTTTACTTTTTGCTTAAATAATTTAATAATTCAAAATTTAAACTAAATAACCTACTACTCTTTGACATATATATCTTATGATTTATGACATAGAAAATTATTCATAATGATCAATGATAAATTTCATTTAAATTTATTTGCAGTAAATATGAAAATATAAAAAAGATACCATTCTAAAATATCCTAAATAAATAATGCAATCTTGTTTGAATAAAATTATTTTTTTTTTATTGTAAAAAATACCATCTAAAATATAAATGATGATATATGAATTAGAACAAAAATTCATAGTTTTGAGATATTAATTTTATTTAACTTACTCACAATAAAATATGTCATGATTTGAAGCAAATTGTTTATATGTAGCAGAAATGGTGTATTTTTGTTGGAAAAAGTAATATTTGAGAATAATTAATTCAGCAGCTTATATTTAAATTAAAATAATTTAAAAAAATTTATTTTTTGTTTTGTTTTGTTTTTTTCCACTTTGTCATGCAGTAATTTAATTTAGAATATGAAAATCATAAATAAAAAGTTATTTATTTTTAATCAAAAGAAATTTTTCAAGTTATTTGTTGGATGCAGTTTAAAGTTTTTTTTAAGAGCTACTCCGTATGAAATAAAAGAGGGTTTGTAGTTTAAATCATTATAACTTGTTCTATCTATCTAATGATTTGAAAACTCTGTATTACCTTTTTAAGTATGAAATAGTTGAGAGGTTTCTTTTTAATTTATTTTTTGCTTTTTGTAATTAATATTTTTTTATTTTTTCTATTTTTTTGATAGCTATTAGCAAATTCTAAAGCTTTAAATGACTTTGTTATAATTATTATGAGGAAAGAACACCTTAAAAATCTTCATATTCTCAAAAGAGAACTTATAGAAGTATTTAGAAAATGTTTATTTATCTAATTATTAAATGTTATTATTGTTTCTTTTACCCAATTAGTTTAAAAGTAAAATTTCTTTTAAATCTATTTAATTTTGATTCTGATAGGGCAGCATTAGTTGCTAACTATCTTCCATCTTAATCGTATTGAATCGATTTACTTAACTATCATCCATTTTATTTAAATTGAAATTTTTCATTTAACTATCTTCCATCTTAATAGTCGTATTTGAGTTACTCACTTTGTTTTCAATGTGCTAAAATGATTGTAATTATCCATTAAATAAAAATTTGCTTTATCGTCTATTGGAAAAGTCAATACTGCATCTCTTTTTATATTCTTACTTTTCTGTTGACTAAGGAAAAATACTAGCATTTACTTAAAGTATTTTTTATCTACTTTTATCAGCATTTATTTTAATCGATTTCTTTTTTTCACTAATATTTTTTTATGAATCTGTATTGTTATAAGCATTAAAATTTTTATTTTCCATTTTCTAAGCAATAAAAGCATACTGACTATACTAATTGTAACTCTGAGGAGGTTATGTAGCATATCTTTGTTTTTATTTTCTTATAAATGAATTAGACTAGTACTAATTCAAATCATTGTCAATACATACGTCTTGAAAATCTTGAAATTAGTTTATTTGATTTGTTGGACTGACAGTCAGCACTTTAGGAGAATGGATAGCATTTTCTTGAGATAAATTTGAATTTATCATATATTCACTATCTAATTTAAAAGAATCTCTTGAGTTAATATTTTTTTTATTTGAAATAAGCAAATCTGTCTTATTTTGATTATTCATTATTTATTTTTCAATACTCTTTTCACTTACATCAGAATTATTTTCAATTACTTCATTAATAGTGTTCTAAAATTTTACTAACAACTTTTCATTCTTTATTTAATCTTAAAATAGAATCTATTCATTTGCTTTGTTAATATCTTAAAACGATTAAAATGAAGGATTGCTTATCCTTTAAAATTTAAAGCTTTTTAGTTTATGTGTTTCCTTCTCATTATCATCTGATTGAGCTGATTGCTACTTTAAATTTAAAAATTAGCTCTTTCTTCTATCTGTTTTAGTATTTTAAAGTATTGCTTTATTTATCCCTTCAGCATGCTACAAAATTAAGAGTTAGCTAGACAAAGCATTATTTTATTCATTTGCAGTAATCTTTTCATTTTAACTATCTGATGTGATATCAGATTATGAATCTTATTCTTCATTAGTATCTGTATTAAAAAGCAATCTTATATTGCTTTCCATGTAAATCGAATTCTCTTTTAGCCTTTTCTGTAACTTTTTGTTAATCTCAATCAAAAGCCTAAATTTAATTCATAATAAAAAGTATTATTTATTCATCATAAGGATGGATACCAATCTCTGATTGATAAAATGACTTAAAATAATACCAATAAAAAAAGAAAATGAATTAATAATAATTAAAACCTTGGACAGTATCTTATTTTAACATTTCTATTTTCATTTTATTATCTCTGTTGAATTATCGAAAAGTTGTTTCTTAAATTTTTGAATTGTTTATCAAACTATAAATGAATCATAGGACATTCTGCTGCCATGTGACCTTAAGAGTTGCAAGAATAGCATTCTATGTTGATTTGTTTTAGATCTTGCATTACTATTATTTATTCTTTTATCATATTAAATCTTTCGAAGTCTTCCTAATTCTCTTTCACTATCTTTAAAAAATCATCTGCTGCTAACTTATACAGTGTGGTTAAGTTAACACTCTTAGCACCTGCTTTTCTTGGAAGGCCTGAGAAAAAAGAAAGTTCACCAAATATTTAATTTTATCCTAATCTTTTTATTACCCTTTAATTAGATTATTTATTCTTATCGCTATCATTCTATTAAAAAATATCTACATATCCACCTTGTATAAAGTAAATTGACATATCATCCTGATCACCCTCATTAAATATTATTTCATTAGGGGAAACCACGCATTCTTTCATAGCAAATATAATTTTGTTTATAGTGCTGCTTGAAAAATTTTTAGTGAAAATGCCACAACTATTAACAATTTTTCCATTTATCTCTTAAACGATTTCTCTTCTCAATTTATTAGATAATTTTTAAAATACCTTTTCTTCAGCCTCTTGATTTCTATCTTTTTGTTCTTTGTAAAGAAAGACTAAATAGCTTCGCACTCTGCTCTTTAGAGATATATTCACATTTTTTCTGTTCAAATATCTTGTAAAAAAAATTATATAAAATTATTTTAAATAATGACTGTACCTTTATATGTTGCTAATGCAATTATTGAGTTCTCTTTTATTTTTTTCTATTTCTGAAAGAATTAATCCTACATTGCTGATAGTGTATGCAAAATTACAGCTCATAAATATCATCGCCATACTCATGAATAAATATTCATACTAATTAGTAGGTACAATATCACCAAATCCAACTTTATATATGTTATTTAGTTAGTTATTTTATTAAATATTTTTGCTAAATTAAATTAAGATACTATAAATCCTCAAAAAAAAAATATTTTATTCTAAAACAAAAAATTGAAAATTTTTAAATATTGTATTAAAAGAGGAAATCAAAAAAAATTTTTTTTTTAGGATTAATTAATAAGGATTTACAGCATAATGAAAATGAGTAAATTTGTTTACCAGTGGTCATTGTTGTTATACACCAATAAAATGAATAAATATATTTTGTGATCCAACTTTCATTTTATATTTACTTTTGAGATAACCAAGTATCTTAAATTCCATTATTGTTTTCAATGATAACCATGATATTCCATCCGACTGCAACTAAAGTTGAGTTTTTTTTATAAAAAAAGTTAATTTGATTATTTTTAATACAATTTACATGAGTGAGCTATTAAAATAATTTATATTATAAGTTTGAGTAGTCTTAATTTGTGTTTTTAGCTTTCTTTTGATTGCATAATCTCATCAAATCTACTAGTCTTTTAGACTATAGACTTAAGTTTCAAGAAAACTAAACTGTTTATAAGATATAATACGAAGCTATCACCAGGATTATAGAAAAGAGGAAACTGTGAAAAATAAATTTTGGAAAAAAGTACAATAGTAGCTGTCATATCGGTAAAAAAATTTTATTTTAGGTATTTCTTTGCTATTAATTTTCTATCAATTACAATTGCATCTTAGGAGAAGTGAGCAAAGTTAAAATTGAGTATGACATCTATTATAAATATAAATAGCATGATTTTAAATACTTCAATGTAAGCCAGTTCATCTGGCTGATGCTATGCACAAAAAGTTAGAATAGAATAAATCATCAAAGTTGGTAGAGTGTATAAAACTAAGAAAATGTCCCAAACTATCGCAAAAATCTATGAAGGCATAATAACAGGTATGTTAAAAGAACATATTGAAAATAAAATTCTAAATTAGCTTTTAATTTTATTGAGTAGACCAGTTTAGACTTTTTCTTGGTAAAAGCTGCTTAAGTCACTCACTTACTCGAATTAATGTTCTTGTAGCAAATTTATTTAATGTTTACCAGAATATATGAGCAACAGCTTCACAAATCTATCAATAATTGATTATACTCTAGTAGCTTGATTAAATCTTGTGTTTTTAATCTGCTGTATTATTTTTAGAGCTTTTTCGATTTTACAGCTTTATTGTTAAGTATACATCTACATTTAGCTATTTTTAGATGCTAAACACAAGTCTTTTTTATTTTCCTTGCTTTATGCAAAACTAAAATGTTCATGAGCATGCTTTTTACTTATCAAATTATTTTAGGTCGCATGAGGTGATAAAATTGAAAATTTTTTGAGGGAAGTTAAACTTTCATTCATTTTTAAATTTTTTTATGATTATTTTAAAACATCTTTTTCATAGTTGGATTTTTTTTCCTTTGCACTTTTTGGCGTAGCAATATAACTTTAATAAGAAAACCTTTTTTAGGCTCTTCTAGCCTCAATCGACTTAATTGAACCTTAGCTATCTAATCGATTATGAACAAATTAATCTATATCAGAAACCTTTTTGTTTATTTTCAAAGGTTAAAGGTCTCTATATTAATCTTAATTCTATATAAATTACTCAAGCTACTATTAGAATTATGGAGACTCAAACTATGAATCATAATTATTCATCCTATCTTAGTTAAATTGTAAGCTTCTTGATATTTGTGTTTAATCTTAGCTGTCAAAATTAATTATTTTTTATGGAATGCTTTTTTCTAAACTTCTATTACTATTAACTCTATCATATTTTATAATTTCCTCATCTCCATCATGTCCTTATTTCAAGAAATCATTTTAGAATGAAGAAAAAAATGATCCTTAAAACTTTTGATCAAAGTTATTGCTTCTATCGTACTCTGCCTCACTCATTTTAAAGACAATTAATCAACTAGTAATTTATACTTATAAAAAACAATAAAATTTAAAACTACTTCTACTAAATTACTTATTTATTATTAACAATTAATTATTTTATTAATCCAATGTGTAATCAATGTTAATAATTTTAGATTATTTTTTTATATTTTAATTAAAACAGTCAATAAATTTGGTATCTTAAAAACCATTGGTTTTATTATAATAATAAATAGAAGAAAGTTAATCTCCTTAAATAAAGATAGCTATGTTAAAATTCTTCATTATTTTGAATTAAATATTTATGTCGTAGTTAAATAAAGTCATTAAAATTTTTTAGAAAATTTAAAATTTCAATTAATGTCATTTATATATTTTCTATAATATAAAAATTAATAATGAAAATTTTCAATAGTATTTTGATCAAGATCATTTTTATTTAACTTTTCTATGACATAAATAATTTATTATAATGAAATAGGAAGGAATGAAGGTCGATCAAAATATAAAAATTCTTTATCACTTAATCCAAACCAATAAAAACAAAAGCTAATATTCGTATGAAAATCAAATACTTACTTTCTATTATTCTATTCTTTAGTAATAAATTTTGTTTGTGGGTGTATATAATTGATAGAAGTTTAATTTTTTAAATTTATAAGTTAGGTAAATTTATAAAAAATATGAAATTTTCTTAATAAATATTTATTATTTAAATATGTTATTATAATTATTTAACATTTAAAATTGACTTTAATATTAGATTTTAATTTAAATAAACAAATATAAAGGGTGTGATTAGCAGTGTCGTATATCTGAAAAAATTAATATAACAAAAATTGAAATAAAATGAAAATCTAAAATTTGAAATAAAATAAAAATCTAAAATCAAATGTCTTCTATATCCTATTCGATTTTAATAAAGCTTTATGGTGATTGATTGTTTTTTTAATTCAATTGTTATTCATATTTTAAAAGCTAAAAATTTATTTTTGAAAGTTCTTATTTGGAAGAAGGAGTTGTGTCAGATGTTTAGATTTTTTCTCTATGAGAATAATTACTGAAGATTTGCCCCTTAACTAAGTTCAGAGGGATTAAATTTTTAGTAATAGAATTCAGATCTATGTTATTGGATGAGTTTGGTTAATTGAAATTATTACAAGTTTAAGGGTTAAGGATTTAGCTTTAATTATCAATATTACTATTTGTATATGTAGGAGAAATAATCTAATATTAAGATTGGGCTAAATTTTATTTTTTTAAGTAGTTCAGACTGAAATTTCTATCTTTATGAGATTTGTAATTAACTTTAGTAGGATATAATTTAGGTAGCAATTCATTTTGATTTGAATTAAATTGCTAATTAAGAGATCCTTCAAGTTCTTACTGTTATGACTTTGCTGAGTAATAATTTTATTCAAACTTTTCAAAGCTTGTATTTTACATTAGATTTTGTAGACTGAAAGGCTCTCCTCCTTATTGCTAATCATTAAAATTCTGATTTATACTATATTTTTTTTAAATATAGTTTTTTGGATTGCTTATAAGCTGTTGCTATTATTATTAATACAGTTAACTTTACTTGCTATTATAATCCTCGTGGAGAGAAAGCTAGTTTCTCTTTTTTATTTAGCCTTGGAGATAAAGCATTTGTTACCTTTTAGTTAATTGAGAAGTAGTAGTGCTTCTATTTTCCAATAACCTTTGATTTTATTAGTTTAGCTTAAAATTCTGATCAGAATCTATTATAAATAACTATGGAAATGCCTCACTTGAGGTATTTTTATAGCAATCACTTAACTTTTTACAGCTGTTAGCTTGAATGTTAATCTACCTTTATTACTATGTAGTGTCTTGGAATAAATTTTTCTTTATCTTTTCTAAGCTAAATTTATTAAAATCTTCACAAATTTTAGAATTTTAAACTGAATTAACTGGTTATTTTTCAATTGATTATGATTGATTCATATTGATCTGATTTTTTAGATCTTAAATAAAAATATTATTTGAGCTAGAATTATCTTGTTTTTCAGATTGATTGATGATCTATTTATTAAATATAAACTCATTAGTTAAAGTGATCATGTTTGCTAATTTATTGCAATCATTAATTTCATTAGAAGAATTAATTTATGTTTTTTCCTCTTAGTTTTATTCATTTTTTATATTTATTTTTCTTACCTTTTTCTGAATTAGGTTTTTTTATGGATCAGTTTTTTATAAATTTGTTGTTTAATTCGTATTTTTGTCTTTATTTTTGATAATTTATTCAGATTTAGCGACTCTACATTCTTCTTAATCGCACGAATAAGAAGATTTAGTTAATTAAATAATTTAATATTTGTTTACACTATTTTCACAGTTGCTGATTTCTTAATTATTATTAATGTCACTATTAGAGACTTTATTGTTTTAATTATTTGGAAAACTTTTCTATTTGCTATAGCTTAGATTCCCTTTATTAATTAATATATTGCTTAGCTAGTTGTTTTCTTAGTTAGTAAGTATTAAATTTTTGTTGTTCCTTTCTAGAGAAGTTTAACTATAAATCTATTTTAAAGCATCTTTGGTATCAAAAAACTAATTTTTATTACTTTAAATCTATTTTTTTGATTATTCAAATACATTTTTCAAATTTACTTGTTCTGTTTGAAAGGAAGTCTATAAAGCAATATCTTATTATTATTAATGCAACTAATTTCTAATAAAATTCCTTTGAACTCGTTTTGTTGAGGTGATTTTCCTTTAGCTTTTAACAGCAGTATTGAAATCTTATTCTATTCCTTCGTTTTAATTGCCAAAAACAAGCTTTTTTTCTACAAATTTTGGAGTTGTTATGTTTTAAATAATTGCTTATTCATTTAATTAATTGCATTATATTAACTTACTATCTTAACTATTTGCTAGTTAAATTTCCATACATTAATGACGAGCATTGGAAAAATTATTAGAATTTTTTTGAAGATTTAATAAATCTTAAGCTCTATAAGTAACTCCTTAATCATAGAGATTGTTAGTGTTTTTTGTATTTGAAATGTCTTATTCAAATTTATAGCTCTCATTTTGAAAAACTGTGCTTTTTATAATTCCATCTTGCTTTTAGCTTAAATTGATTATCATATTTTATTTCGTATTATTTGAAAATTTTTAGTTATTCTCCTTTCCTAGGAATTAAGTAGAATTGATTTCGTTGGAATCGATGATATTACTAAAGAAATCTTTTGGTATGGCAATATTGTTTGTATTAATTTTAACTTTATATCTACGAGAAGTCTATCTATTTATATTTGTTAAGAATATAATTTTTTGCTAAAAATTTAAACAATCTCAGTTAAATCATGCAAATAAGTTTAAATAATAGAAATTTTTACGAAAAAGCTCTGGATAACGGAATACCAACTGGAGATAATTACTAACCTTGTATATTTTTTAATGATATTATAAATATTAAACATAATATATATAACTATACTTCTTATTTAAGGAATGACTTTTTTACAATATTGTTACACATCTATATTTTAAGTAGACAATAAACTAGATTCTCTATTTTGAATAGCCACCTGATCTTAGTTAGCTAAAAATGTGTCTAAATTTTATTTGCTTGCATTCATTTTGGTAAGCTGAACCTACCCTTCTTTTTACATTCAATAAATAGGCTTAGTTGAAGAAGAGTAGTAGTATAAATTATTTTTTATGTTTAAAAACTATGATTTACTTAAATATTAATTGATACAGTTTGCCTATATTTATTTATATCTATCTTAATCATTCTTATTTTGTGATTTTTATGAAATAGTAAGAAAGTTATTATTAACTATTAATATTCACAAACATTAAATATGCAAACCAACATTATATTTACATAATTATAAACAATTTGTATACATATGTATAGAAATCACACAAATTAACTGATATTTTGATTAAAGCAAGGACGTATTATTAAAAAATTAATGATTTTTATTTTTTTTGGAATGTTAATATTGATTTTTGTAATACTTCATTTATTCTCAATTTCATTTTAATGGCCAATATTTATTTGTAAGTCCATATTACATATTGTGATACTTAATTAATTTTATTTCATCTTTATTATTTGTCAATATCCAAAATAGCTACAGATTAATTACTTTCTAAATACTCTTCTTTTTATCCATTTCTTTTTTTATGTATGAATTTAAAAATATTTTATCACAAAATTAAAATGCGTTTGGTATAATTATATAAACATAAAAAAATTTATTTGAACAAACTCAAGAAATGTTGTAGAAAAAGAAATTTATTTCCTTAAATCCATTTTATTTTGAAGAAAATTTATAAATTGTCACATTTTATTAATTTATATAATTAATTAAATTAAAATATCATAGCAAATATTTTTCTGTTTAAAATGAATAAAATATTATCATTTTTTTTATATAAATTTTTATTTCAAATGTTGATGAAGTAAATGAGTAAGTTAATAATTAATAGATTATTTGAAGTTTTTAATAAATAAAGGATAAAAATTAAAATATTCATATTAAACTAAATAACATAGAAAAGTTTCTATCTTGTGCAACTAATATGTAATTGCAAAATAATTAAAATCTATTAACTAAAAGTCAAATATATAATAATTAGAAAGAAAATTTAGTTTAAATAAAAGTAAAATAAGTTTTGTATCTCTCTTTGATAATATTGGGGAAATGTGAATATTTAAAACTCAAAATAATTTATAATTTTTTAAAATAAATATTTATTTAAGTTTTTATTGAGCTATTTTTTGTTAATGGTAAGAAAAAAAAAATATTCTCAAGTTATATTTTTAATTTTAAATATGTTTTATAAAATATTTTATAAATATATATATAAGATATTGTTCTTATAAAGTAATATAAGATAAATAATTATATTTTAATTATTTCAATATTTGTTTGAATCATTTGATTCACCATTTTACACAATAACCACTAGGGTTCCATGCGTTGGGGTCTTCGTATTAGCATTTCAAACCTTTACAACAAAAGCTTGAATGTCTGCAAAAATCACCTATTGGGCTGCATTCTTCATCTTCTGTTAACATAGAGACTTATTCTTAATGACTAGATTTAGAGACTAGATAAACAGATGAAGAGATAAGGATGACTCCAAATAGAATAAATGCGATTAATTTTTAGATATTCATTTTTTTTTTCTTGTTTGTTACTTTTTAATTTATTATTTTTTTTATTTTTAATTTATCTAATTCGTTTTAGACAAATTTATTACAATAAAATTGTTATTTTTCGTTTAGTAATCCAAATTTAATTTCATCATTTTATTCTTTTAATTTTCTATATTTTAAGTTTACAGTTAGTATAATTTTTCATTTATATCGTTTGAATCATCTACTTACCTATTCTAATATTTCAAATTGATTTTACAAATTACTCTAAAATAGAACAGTTTGTATAATTTTTCTTTTATATCTTTTGAATCATCTACTTATCTATTCTAATATTTCAAATTGATTTTACTAATTTCTTTAAATAGAGGACTAATTTGATTCAAATGAATAAAGTAGATAAGTTTATTAGATTTCATTTATTGACAAAATAAATAATAAATAAAAAATATTTCTTACCAAAATTTTATCAGGTATCTTTATTTTTATCATATTTATTTTAACTTTAAATTAAATATTACATTTAATTGATTTTAATAAAATAATTTCAAGCATTAAACATTTATAATTTTAAATATTTGCTTCTAAATATAGTTGAAATTAATAATAAAATTAAAATTTTAAATATTATTTGTTGTAATTTATTTTATGTTAATTCGAATTTCCATGTTTTTTCTTTGCTTGTTATCCATCCTAACTTTTCAACTTTTAAAAGTAGGGAGACAGACGAGTTAAAATTAGTGAAATTTAAATTTTATTGAAAAAAAGAATTTTTATTAGTTTTGTGGAATTTATCAATCATCACATAATTAAATGAAATCTATATAGAAAATTTAATTTTAAGATAAAGTTAATATGTATTTTTTTGAAATTAAGGATAATTTAGGGAAAATATATGTGAATATATATTCAAAGCTATCTAGAAATTGTTGTAATTTTAAAATAGTTTTAACTATTGATTTAAATATTTTTTATTTAAGGAACCAAAAAAATAAAATTATACTTTTAAATACATTATTTATATTTTTTTATAAAGATATTTAAGATATTATTTTTATTTAATTTATATAGGATAAATAATGAAATTTCAATTATTTCAATATTTAAGTCAATCCTTACTTCTTTTCTCTTTTACACAAAAGCCTTCAGGATTATAAACATGAGGATTATCTATTTAGCATACTAAACCTTTGCAGCAATCCCAATAACTCCTGCAAAGAGTACCTTCTACACGGCATTTAGAAGGTTCTCTTAACATAAAGCTTCTTTCTTATTAACTAGATTTAGAGTTGACAAAATTATTCATTTAAAGCATTTAGTTGATATGTTGATTCTATATATTTTGGCTTATAGATGTATAAAAAATTAATGGAAAAAATGAAAAAAAACCAAGAATGCTTATATACTTACATTTAAGAAGTTTTTTTTGAAAATATTAAGTAATAATATGAATGAATAATTTATTATTACTTTAATCTTTCTTAAACATATAACTCCAAATGTAAAGATTGATTTTAGTTACACATGAAACCTTTAAAATTTTATTAAAAATTAAATTTTTTATAGAAAGAAGACACTCACTTTAATATCCGATAATATTGATAGTATTGAAAAGATATATTTTTAAAATTAGATTTATTGAATATATAACATTAATATAAATAAACAAAGACTTAAAAATATAAAAAGTAAAAATTTCTTTTTGTAATAATTTAAATAAATTATAAATAGAATGTTTATTGAATCTCTATTTCATATCAAGTATTTTTTTTATTTATCAAAAATAAATTGAGAAAAATAAATTCAATAACTAACTTAATAATAAGATTTTTAAAAATTTAAAATTACAAAAATTATTAGCAGGATAGCATTAAAATCTTATTTTCATTTAAAATTAGATTACCATCAAAAAATTATTATACATCATCAAAATTCTATTAAAAATTTTTTTGATCACATACTCATAGGCAAATATTTTAAAACAAAAAAGCAAAATTCATATAAGAAAGCCGTAAATGCACTAAAACAAGTTAATTATCATAATAGCTTCTTTATTTAAAAACATAATTCTAACTTTTTATCCAAAAATATTCATTATTTTAAGTCTACAATTAACTCTCTTTTATTTTTCTTTTTATTTATTTTATAAAATTAATTAAATAATTCCTCAGATATTTTTAAAAACCAAAATACAGAATTTGGTCAAGCATGCATGCATACATACATATGTATTGATATACTTAAACAATTTTTTGAATACATTTAGTACAAACATGAATATTTGATTCGTAATTTAACCAATGTTAAAGATATTGATAAATATTGATTTAAACTACACATAAAACCTTAAAATTATGATAGGTCTATTTAAATCATCTATTTTAAAAATATTCATATTTTTAGATTTCTAAATTTTTCTGTATTTTCAATCAAAACTAAGTACACTTAAAAATTTATTCAATATTCAAGAATGAAAACTTTTATCTTTAAAAATTAAATTTATGATTTTAGATTAATAATTTATTGAATTGACAAATATTGACTATAATTTATTATTTATTTATTTATTTATTTATTTATTTATTTATTTATCCATCAACAACAAATTGAGAAAAATTCAAATTTAGTAAAATAAAATATTTTTAAAATAAATAAAATTAATAAAAAACAATTTTATAGTTTAAAATTACAAAAATTACTAGGTATTTAAAAACCAATATATTTTCATTTAAATTTTAATGATTATCAAAAAACTATTATACATCATCAAATTTCTATTAAAATTTTTTTGATCAAACTTCTTAGGGTTTGACTTGAATATTACCAAAAATTATTATTTTACTAAAATCAAATCATTATTTTTAAAACCTTAAATGCTTTTATTAATAATAAATTTATTGATTAAATTAATAAATAAACTAAAATAAAAATAATTTAAAAATAGTAAGTAAATTTTTACTTTAATTAATTCGCTATTAATAATTTTTTGTATTTGCATTTATTCTCAAAGTTTGATGTTTTATTTAATTTAATTTATTATTATTTTATAATAATTAAATTCTCAGACCAAAAAAAATACACTCAATTCTTTGTTTTATTCTAAAATTTATTTTTATTATTTTATATTTTTAATTATTTGGATTTAAGATAAAGTATATTTAATTGATTTAAATCTTATCTCTAGTATTTTATATTTATTTTAATTACTTTCCTTTAATGTATTCTATTTAATCTATCCAATTTATTTTCTAATTTATTCTAAATAGAGTATACTATTTGAAAGGATAAAGCACGATAAGTTTATTTGATATCCATACAAAATAATTTACAATTAATAAAAAATATTATAGTTTAGAAAATATTTTATTAGCTTGAAATTTTTTTTATTAGACAATTTTAAGATTTATAATAAATTAAATTTAAAATCGTAATAAATATTTCTTATTTATTTGCTTAGCGACAAAAAATATGAACAGCTCAATTAAAATAACCTTATTTTTAAGTATGGAGCATTAAATTAAAAAAATTTTTCTTTTATATTTATTAAAGTTAAATTTATTTAATTATTTTATATATTATAAATAGTATTTTATCTTTATTTTAATTAGTTTCTTTTAAAAAAAAGCTAATTATATATTCTAGCCTATTAAATTATTATTCTAATTTGTACCAAATAGAGTATTTGATTCCAATGAATTAGCAAGATCAAGCTCATTTGATATTAATATAAAAAGAATTTGCAATAAATTAAAAATTTTATCGCTTAACAAAGATTTGCTTTTAATGAATTTTTTAGTTAGATAAACTAAAAGGGCATAATAAAATAAATTTAAATTGGTAATAAGTATTATTATTTATAGAACAGTGGATGAATAATTCAATTTAATATCATTATTTTAAGCATAGAAAGTTTTATTTTAAAAACCTTTGCTTGCATTTAAATATTTTAGATTAAATAATAAAAGTTATTTAGTGGTTTTAAAAATTATCTTTAGTATGCTATTATCTTTTTAATTATTTTTTTGTAAATCATAATTACTTAAGTGCTCTAATCTATCAATTTTACTTTTTGAATATAGAAAAAATAAAGATAAAAATAATTTAAAATAAATTTAAATATTATTGTTTTAAAAAAATTATATTTATTTGACCACAAATATTAATTTAATAATCTAAAAATGCAATAAAATAAAGATAAAATAGTAAAAAATATTTTTTATTCTTAAGAAAGCATGATGAATAGTTCAATTCAATTTCACAATTTTTTAACATTGAAAATTTAATTTTTGAAATCTAAATGATATATACTATAAATAAATTCTATTTAGTTGTTTTAAATATTATTTGTTGTATTTTATCTACATTCTAATTATTTTCTTTTAAAACACTACTACCTTTATACTTTAATTAATCTATAAAATTAATTTTTTTAATTTGCATTTTATAGAGAATTATATAAAATTTAATAAAAGAAGGTTAGTTTATTCGATATCAAGTTAAAAGTAATTGGCAATTTATTAAAAATATTATTGTCTAAAAAGATTTTATTTACTCTACAATTATTTTAATTAAATAATCTAAAGATGTATACATGATAAAATAAATTTAAATTTATTGAATAGTGAATGAATAGCTGAATTTAATAACTTATTCTAAGAAAATACATTAAAAAATATATAAGCTAAATACTAGAATTGAAATTGCACATTTGCTAAACTAAACAAGTTATTTTCAATGCCTTTGATAGCTATCTATATTTTTTATTTGAAATATTCAAATAAATTTATTCAATCTCTAATTCTTAACTTTTTGAAGAAAGAGTTATCTTCGAATTCGGAAGTGAAGTCGTACTTATTAAGTTTTCTTTCCTTTCTCTTCCATACGAGACCATTATCAACAAATCCATTAAGTCTGTAGTAAGAATTATTAAATCCAAGAACCAATCCCCATAAAATAACACCACCATAAACAGAGCTGAATAAACCTCTTCTATAATTTAAAGAACTGAAAGTTAATCCTTTCAAAACCCATCTAGAGAGAGGGAAACCTATAGAATAACAAAATTCAAGTTAATTTATCGCTTTATTTGAAGTTTTTTTATAATAAAATTTGTAATTTTTCATTTTATGCTCACTTAATCTAATTTTTTCATAATGATTGAATAATATTTATAAACGTGTTTATGAAAGAGTTAAGCAAAATATTTGGTTTTTTTATTGATTTAAATGTTAAATAAACAGTTTCAATGCTGATTTGAGTAAAATCTACTATTATTTTTGATCAATAAGCTATTTTTTAATGAATTTTAATAAAATGATTTATATTTTTTACCGATTGCAGCACTGAATAAAACTAATCCAAAATCAGCCTTGTTGAAATTGCTAAGAACATCAACAAAGGAGCTGTTGGAGTTAATAATAGGATAGGGAGGACGCTCACCCTAATCTAAAACAAATCTTGGATCTCTTCTTTTGAATAAATTGAGACCTCCTAAGAAGCTATCATGAGCAAAGGTTTAACTCATTGATAATATCTATTGACTTTATATTTCTAAATTAATAAATCTTCTTTGAATTTTTTCTTCAAATCTTAATAAACTCTGAAATGCATGACCTACCTTCTTCTATTTAATAAAATTTCTTCAAATACAATATATTTAACTTTAGAGAAAAGATATATTGTTTTTATTATATATATTATCAAGTAGGTAGGCTTGCAAATGAAAATAAAATGAAAGATAAAAACACAGCCAATAGTTAAATAAAAATTTGATTTAACAATTTTTTATACAAAATTAAAAAACATTCCATAGTAAGCAAACATATGAATTTAAACCTTGTTAGAGATAGCTGACAAGCACGCTAACAATATAATCATATCAATTAAAGCATAAAATATATTGAAATTATGTTCCGAAAATTTAATACAATACCAAGATTCTTAATCCTTTATGCAAGGACATCTCTTTTAAAATGAACCTTAATTAAGTATTTGAACATATTTATGTGTTAAGATTTATTTTACTTTTGAGATCTTAAAAACTAAAAATATTTACTATTTAGTCTTAGAGTTAACTATTTTATCTTATCGCTATTAAAAATGAACAAACTCTACCGCATTTAAAACAATTTATACATTTAAAGGATCAAGATAAACAACATTATCCTCAGAAATAATAAAATTCTTACCAGTATATTTTAAATTATGTTTATGTCTTTTAAATGATAGCTTGAGGGATATTTTAATATTGAATTTTTTTTTTTACAGCTTCAGTCAGTAAAAAGCTTTGAAGCAGTTGAAAGTTCTTAATATAAAATGCATAATTGTATATAAACATTTAGCTTAAACTGTAATTAATACTTTTTAAAATACAAATTTTATTTTATTTTACAATCAATATTTAAGATTTGGGTGTAAAAATATGTTATTTCTTTACCTAAAATTTAGAAATATTTTTATTCTCTATAAAATAAATATTCTGCTATTAAACAAAAGCAATAAAAGCAACCTTTAATAAATATCATTTTAAATAAATATAAATTAGTTTAATATTTTTTTAAAAAGCAATTAAAAAAAGTAAAATAAATTAATAAAATTTGGATTTCTTTACATAGTTTAAAATTTTTTATTTTTATTTTATTTATTAATTTGTTAAAATAAATTTTTTTTGGGTTTAAATAACTTGTAATTAATGCTTATTATTACAATTTGATAAGCCATTGAATTTCTAGAAATATATTATTTTTATTGTTTATTTACTCGTCTACCCTACTTTTAGTTTAAAATGTATGGGTTAAAAAATATTAAATTTGCCAAATTATAAGTTTACAGTTCTATCAATATCTAAAAAAAGAAAATATGAAAGGATTAAGATTTCTAACGATACTCTAGTCAAAAAATGTACCTTTAAGATAATTATAAGCATATTAGATAAAATAGTAGTTTTACTGTTTGAGTACAAATATCTAACATTTTATTTAGAAAATTCAAGAAGTTTTTTTGTTAGATTTTAAGGAGTTTTAGAAAAATAGATTAAAGGATGTAATTAAATGAGTTGAATAAAATTGTAATATAGACAAGAAGAATATATTGAATTGAAAATGCTTCATCTATTTACTTAACTTTGATGTAAATACTTAATATTAAAAATCAACCTCCTTTAAAAAAAAATAAATAGTAATTTGACTTAAATACCAATATATGTCTTATGAAATATCATAAAAAAAATTTAATTAGAAATTAACATATTCTTACAAACTAGTAAAAAATAATTAAAAATAAGATATTTATTAAAGAGTTAGCGTAGGAAACAAATAAAAAAACAATCAATCAAGAAAATTAAATAACTAGCAAGCAATAAAAATGTCAAGCTTCTTCAAAAATTTATTTACTAAATATAATACATTTACTATGCAAAAACCATTCACAAGTATTTCATTGAGCACAGGAGTTATCCTTGGTCTCGGAGATGTGCTAGAGTAGTTTATTGAGAAAAAATCAACAAAGGTGCCCAAGCCATTCGAAATACGTAGAGTTCTCAACATGAGCGCCTATGGTTTAACGATTTATGGACCTTTTTGCAGTCTCTGGTATACTAAATGGCTGCCTACGTTAGCTCCTTTAACTCCTACTCCTGCATTAAAATAGTTATCTTTAAAAATACTTTATGATGAAACACTGCAAAGTGGATTTTTCTATATGAGCTTTTTATATACTTTAACGAGATTAGAAGGAGGTTCACATCAGTAAGGATAGGACAAAGTGAAGAGAGATTTCTTCAGATGCTACTTGGCTGATTTAGCTGTTTGGCCATGGATTTAATATTTAAATTTCAGATACGTTCCTCCTCACTTGTAAGCTATAGTTGTTTCTTCATTGACCGTATTTTGGGGTGCATATATAAGCTACGTATAGCACTCATGAGAAATCGGTAGATATAAATTTAATAACATTCTAGATTAAAAATAAATGAAATTCATAAAAAAACTAATACATTAAATTTCTTTTTAATATCAAAGATAAATAAAAAATAACTCAGTAATTATGACTATTGTAAGAAAATAAACATTTACTTAAATAATAACAATTAATTAAACTAGCACCAAAAGCTTAGAGATTAGATAACAATTAAAGAAATATGCCTCTTTCATATTTACTAATTTACAAATATAAAATAGCCTATAAATTAGTTGATGAATAATATTTTACATAGATCTAAAGGAGTAATTTGCATTCATAAAAATAAAAGAGTATGAATGTCAATCAATACGCACTGATATCTAAATTATCTTTTCTGCATCTTAATAAGCAAACAATCAAACAAATAAACATACAAACAAACAAATAAATAAATCAAATAATTTAAGTATGATTTTTATAATTGAATAAATAAAACATTTACCTACCATTCCTATAACTATTGCAATAATTTATTTTAGAAAAAACTTAATAAATAATTTAATAAATAAACTTCTTAATTTATCTTTGATAAATTACTATCCCCATTTTAAAAAGTCTTGTCATTGTTTATATTATTATATTTTTCTGTTATTTCCATTTTCATTTCTTTTATTTTCCCATCAATTTCAATATAAGCTTTAGTCTAAACTTTTTTTATCATTTAACTTGTAGATTTTCTTTCAAAGAATTAAAAGGAAAATTAACTAATAAAATATGTTTTATTTGGAAATTTTAATAACTCCAAAAATTATTCTCAAACAGAAAATGGCAATCAAATAAATTTATTTAATGTTTATAATTTATTTTTAGGAATAATTCAAAGACTTTTCAAGAAATTTCTTTGCTCCAAATTAGACGTGCCTTAAAAAAAGATATTTGTTCAATATTTTTAATTTGTAAACATAAATACAAAAACATCATCAATAGATAAATAAATATTCTTAATTTAATTAATTTTGTTAAATATTCAAACAATTTAAATCTAATTTCGGAATTTATTTATTTTTGAATAACCAGCCTCATTCAATAAAAAAATATCTAAATTAAGAAATATCTATTTTTCTTTAATATGCAAACTAAAAATAACACTTTAAATAAAATTAATAAGTCATCTTATCTAAATTATTTGTGAAATATATCTTATTATTAAAAATATGATCTATTTTATCAAACCAAAGAAAAACATAACACAAAATTTCATATTACCAAATTGTTCTCAATTATGTCTAAATCATCACCAATATTAATACATTGGTTTTACAATATTGATAACAGATATGGATTTTTTTGTTTTCAATTTATTTTGCTTTGGATATTTATTTTTTTTAAAGTGTCAATATTATCAACCTAAAGTTTATAAAGTCAGTTAAAATTCGATTGATGAAAGCAATATTTAGAGTTTTCTAGCAATATGAGGAAGGTATTAATAATTATTCAAAATAATTCAAGTTAAAATTTTATTGAAATTAAAAATAATATTTAATGGTTTTATGCTAAAAAATAATTTAACTTGAATACCCACATTGAAATGTAAAATAGATATTATTTAATGAATTATTTGCAATCATCTATAAAAAATTAAAACACCTCATTAAATAGATACTAATTAATTATAATTGATATATTTTTAGAATTAAAAAAGAAATGTAAGTAAATAAATTAAAAGCAAGAAAAGAAGAAAAGCGCATAGAATTTAAAGGAATATCTTTAATTGAGATAGATATTCATATAGAAAATTTGGTTGAAATTGAAAGTGCTAATTTTAGTTTATAACAAATTTTTAATAAGAAAATTTCTAAGAAAATAAGATAAAAAATAATAAAATATATTCAAATATTAAATGAAGAAATGAGAATAATAAAATAAATTTATAGATAAAATAATACAAATTTTAATTTCGCAATGTTGAAAATGTAAAATTTATAAAGAATAATTTAGCTTAATTCAATACACAATTATATATACACATATTAGAAAATGTTAATAATAAACCCTTACAAAAGCATATTACTTAATTTGTTTTAAATTTTAGTTAGTAATTGTAGTAATCTTTTAGCTTTTAAAGCTTGAAGAGTTATTGTCAGCTTATTTAGAAAATATTTAGAATATTTATTATGGTAATATAGTTAGTTAGTTAGTTCATTTATTTAATTTTATTTTTTTAATTGATTAGAATTTTTAAATTTATTAAAATTATAGAAAAGTAATTTTTATTTTATATAGTTTTTTAGTTAGTTAACTTACTTTTTCTATTTTGTATTTTTTTTGAATTTAAAATTTATTTATTATCATTTGAAAAAACAGTCATTCATTAATTCATCTTATTTTTAATTAGATTTTCCCCTTTCATTCATGATAAGTCACAGTATCGTATTAAAGTGATTTGCAGGAATCAATAGCAGAATAACTAATCATAGACGAGGAATTTATAGAATTTATTGATCCATTCTTTTTGATTATAAAAATTTTTCATTAAAAAATATCTTATTAAAGTAACAATTGATTTACAATAAATGCAACTTCATTTTTCGGGACCATAGCTTATTTTATATCTTGCTATGATATGACGACCTTTTCCTGCAGTTCTCTTTTTATAATAAGAAAATATATACATAAATAAAATAAATTAGAACAAGAATTCAATTTTTTACATTTCATCTCTCAAGAGACTGCTGTATCCATCATTAACCCATTCATCATCAATCAATTCACTTTAATCAAATTAATAATTAAAATGTTATTCTTTTTATATGTATTAAATATTGATAAATTTACTCTAAAGTAATTCTCTCTAAAGGATGACTATTCAGCATAGATTTTAAAATCAATTTTAAGCCAAAGGAAATGCTTCTTGTTTTGGGGAATTGAAGACTATTTTTAATTTGAAATTAAATTTATTGATAATAACCTTTAATGATAATTATACTCAGTAGTTGATATTTCATTGAACAGATCTTCTAAATTGGTGCTTTTATAAGGAGTAGTGTAAAATACAAAACAAAAGAATGTCACACCTAAAGACCAAATATCAGCTCTTTTGTAGAAGTCATTATTCTTTTCAACATTTTTTTCGTTGTCAATAAGCTCTGGCGCCATAAAACAGAGAGTTCCTTGATCTTGTTTGAGAACTTTCTGTTCACCCAATATTAAGGAAATACTGAAATCAGTAATTACTGCTGTTCCGTTTTAGGTGAATAAAATATTTTAAGGTTTCAAATCTCTATGAATAACATCATTGAAATGTACTATTTTAATAAAAAGGTTGATGTATATTATTGAATAAGAACTTAGAATAACGAAATGCATACAGTATCCCAGACCTTTTAAGCAATCTCTGAATATTTTACGTAAAAGATATTCTTCTATAAAGAAAACCTTTTCTTTTACCACTTACAAGATGGGTTCTTTAGTTTATTCTTCGCTGCTCATTATTGAACAATCACTATTCTTATATTCCGTTTATGATTAAGCAAAGTATTCTATTTCTCCTTCAATCGTTCCTTTATCTTAGTGTTTTTTTTCAAGTAAGAAGAGTTATTTTCTTTCGTCATATTCAATTAGTTGTCCTTTTTCAGCAAAATCTATCACTTTTTATCATTTATTAATTGGTTTAATAATTTTATTCGTATAAAAATTATTCATATACCTAAGTAGATTTTATCATTTTCTGTGTCATCAATTACTTCGTATAGCTTAACTATGTTCTCATGCTCAAGCTTTTTCATCACAGCTATTTCAGATTAAACAGTCTATATTCCAGTGAATATTTTAGTCCTGCCTTTTTCATCTTTATAAAATTACTTCATCTTTTTCAGTTATTATTTCTTAAAGTATTTTATGGCAAACTCTTAAAAGCTTCCATTTTCATCTTTTACCTTTGCATAGCGAACTTTTCCATACTAACCTTCTCCTAGGACACTACCTATCTCGTATTGATTCATTGTCTTCTAACCCTATATTTATTAAAATAAAAAGTATTATTGGCTGTACGTATATTCTATCAATAGGGCTTTCGAGTGAAATCAACTTTTTAATTTTATTTTAAAATTTAACCAGTTATTTTAGTTATTAAAAGCTGAATTCAATTATATAATCAATCAATTATAGAACAATAATCTTTAGTTGGCCTTAAAAATTAATAACATTAATAAACAGTTCGTTAATTGAAAGATTTCAATTCATTATTTTATCCTGCTGAGTTTAAAAGACAAGTTAATTTCATGAAAGTCATTGATACATTTTTTTGTTTTTAGAAAACACCAATTCCATTTGAAAAAACAGATTTTTTTTATGAAGTTGATAAAAATTAATTTAAATATTTTAAATAATTATTACATTTATCTTGCTTTTGTGGATTAATGTCGATTCCTTTACTATTCTTCTATTTGACTAATATGATTTTTTTTATAATTAATTAATTAATTATCATAAAATATTTCTTTAAATAAATAATTTTCAAGAAAAAAGTATGAAAAAAAAAAAAAAATTGATGGATTATTATTTAAAAGAATTAAGAAGAATTCATTAATTGATATTTGTACCAATGAACGAAAAGTTGTCCTTTTTTAATTTCCTCTCCTCTCACCAATGATTTCATGAGATTTATTTAGATTTTCATTCTCGTGAGCATTTCTTCTATCCATTTAGCATTCATGTTGATGTGACATTTTTTACTTTAATTAAATATTTTCCTTAATTTGGTTAAGCTAGTCTAATTCTGCAATTTCTAACTCAGTTCGCTGCATAGATTATAAAGAAAACTAAGTTTCATTATGGTCATCTACTAAGTCATCATAGCCATTTATTGGTGAACACTCAGGAGATAGTGAAGGCATGTTAAAGTTATTTATACTCATAATTTTCTGCTAGAAAATTTATTTTTATAGCGGAGAAACTTAACTTAGATTTCTAGACTTCATTGGCCTGGCTTCATGTTTTTAAATTATATTTTAAAGAGCATCTTAAAGAGAATTTCTCTATGGACTATATTTAGTTTTTTCTTAAGTTCCAGACATCATGGATTTTACACGCTAGTGATAGTTCGACTTTAGTTAGGAGGGTGGAGGCAAATTGTTAACTTTTGAATTGTTCAATTATTGTTCTTGGTCATTTGCATCTTCATCAGAAGAATCCTCTTCAGGTACCTCTAGATTTTAATCCTAGATAAATTATTAATGCGAGGGAACTGCAAAAACTGAGTGTTAATTCTTCTAAAAAGTATCTTCATCTAACTCTTAGATACTGCTTTATTTGGCAATTTCATAAAGAGTATATTTACTTACTTTCTCTTCAAAATTTTCTTCCTCATCATTGCTATCAAGGTCGCTTTAGGTCTTTAATTTCGTGAGGGTCTAATTCTTTTGGCCTAGAGCTTCTAATTTTGAATATATATTAAGTGATCCTCTTCTACCATTCTTAGAAGATAGCGGAGTATTTTGCTCCAGTATCTTCTCACGCTAACTTTTTTTAGCGTTAAGTATTTATAAAAGTTATTCTTAACTCTGCTCCGACGAGTATACTTAAGTTTTGCAAAATCTAGATTGTCTCACTGCTACTCCACTATTACTATTTCTACTAGGAGTTTAAATATTGATAGCACCTGATCTTTGAAACATCCTACGGTTTTATTAAATATAAGAAAGCTAGATTTCTTCCTAAGATGGGTTGGAGGAGTTATTTCTACTTGATTCAGAAATATCACCTACAATTAGTTCGTTTTCTTTCTACATTTTTTAATTTTTTTTATTTTAGAATGGGGCTTCGCTATAAAAATAGATGCGGCTGAGCCCTAAATAATTTACTTGTGATTTATTATAATAAATATTGTTTTAGTAAAAATTATAAAGCCTTAATCAATCTTATGTTATTATCCTCCAGATTCATTTAACTTTATATCCTAATTTATCATAAATAAAAAAAATCTTAAGAAAATCAGTAAAAAAATAATAAATCAAGCTCTTTATCTATGCATTAAGACTATTACTGTGCATCTTTAGCTCATTAATTAACTAAATATTGTGGATATTATTGAGGCTAATTTATCTTTTACTAGTAAAGATAATAATTGCAGAAATAATTAATTAGATCATATTTGAAATAATTGATACGCTGCACAAATTTTAAATCACTATTTAAATAAATAGGCTCATAATTAATTCAAAGCAAATTATCAATAATAAAGTTATTGTTTTTTATAGTTTTTTAATTTATTAAACATGTTTATATGTGTTGCTTAATTTTTTACATTTTTACTGAATAAGATACTAACTAAATCTGAGGCAAGTAAAATACAACTTAAAAGCTAAAATAATTTAATTTTAAATGCCAAAAAATATTTTTGGGAGTACACATTAAATTTATGTGCAAGTCTTTTCTTTATATAATTATTAAAAATTTTTGATTAGATTCAATTTCAAGTTTTAAGTTTATCCCATTAACGATGTATTTACTAGTTAACAAAAAATTAAAATCTTGACTCATAAACAATTTATAGAAAGTAAAACCGAGCAAGCTAACATAAAAAATAAGCCTAAATTTAGAAATTGAATCATAGAATTTATTAATTTCATTTCAATTGATTATTTTAGATATTTATCTTTTTGTAAATTGCTAAATCTATTAAGAACATATTTCTAAACTATCTCACAAAGAGACAATTTTACATTTTGAATGATCATAGAAAGTCGTATATTTTCAAATAGATTTAAAATTTTTATTTGATAAATTCCAGTTATAAATTTAAAAAAAATATTAGAATATATTTTACATCTGTGTATTTACTCCTATCGGTACATCCAAAAAGTTTTACTGATTTTTTCCATTCAAATAAATTAACCATAGTATGAATTCTATTAATTTTCAAAAAAATCGGTAAAACTTTTTGGAGGTACCTATATTATTAAATTTTAAATAAAAAAAAATACTTTTAATTGTTAAATAAACTTTAAAATTAAAAAACTTATAGATGTAATTCGTTTCATTTTATTTCTGTAAGATGATGAACTATTATTTAGAAAAAAATAAATTTTTGTTATAAATTATTCTGTGAAGAATTTATTTTTAGATAACACTCGAAAGTATTTAATAAAAATTCAATCATTCGAAATTTAGTCCAAAAGTTTTTACAAGAAATTAATAAATACTTTGTATTAATATATACATGAAATTTAAAATAAAGTATTAAGCTAATATTATTTAGTAGGATACTGAATTTTGACCAATTTATGTCAGTAATTATTTGAATAAACTATTTTTGATAAATTAAAGAAGTTTAATTATTGATTGAAGTATTTTTATTTAGTATGCTTGAAAGTTTTTAGGGATTTTATTTTTATTGAAATGTAAACAAATGATTTAAAATTGAAAAAAAAAAACATTAGAATTAAAATGCAAGTGTAATTATTTTAAGCTATTAAGCTGGATTTTAGATTATAGAAGCGCAGAATTTCGATGTTCAAACTTTCTATAATTAACTAACAAATAAAAATTGATATTGAAATAAATATTTTTTATAGCATAAATTAACAAAAAATATTATTAATGTTTAATTAAATACTCCATTATATTATTATAAATTGGATTAGAATAATTTATTTAATGTTTTTGGTGTTAAATATATGTTAAAATTAAATTAGAAATAAATAAATATCTCATTGTGATTGATTTTAGATATATTTTTTTTGTTGTTATTACAATTGTTGTTGTTGTTGTTGTTAAATTTGCTTTTGTTAAATCTGATATTGTTAAAACTTTTTTATTTTTTAAATAAAATTGAGTGGTGAAAATATTTCTTCATTGTTTAGTTTTATTGATAAATAACCTAGATTATCAGTAGGAGTCCAGAGAGAAATTTCTAACAAAAATTTGTTGTTTTAAGGATCAATTTATCTTAATCTTTATTTTGTTATACAAACTGCCTCACTATTTATTACTTCTTAAGTTAAGAAGCTATCTTACGATAACAATCTATATAATTGTTTCTATATTTTAAATGATTAAACAACTTGCTCTACATCTTCTTAGCATAGAATCGAATAGAAGTCAGCATTTTCTTTACAATTTAGCTATATTTCATCCTTTATATTGGGTAACTCTGTAAAGTATGCACAACAAGCATAGTTAACATTATTTTAAATATGAAATTCTAAAGATTTTTCAGCTTAGTTGTTTTGGCTATTTTCTATATCCATTTAGCTTTTAGGATTTTATTCATTCTCAAGTCTCAATTCAACCTAAATTTATAAATTTATTAGTGTTTGCAAACAATTAATATTGAGATCATCCAAAAACGGAGGAGCTATTTTAATATTTATCTTTGGCTCTAATAATTACTATTTTTAATATAAATTTTTAACTAGATCATCATTTGTTTTCATTTTTTAGTAAATAATAGCATTTTTGCATTTTATTTTGTTGATTTCAACAATTTAAAATTTCTATTTTATAAATGAGTTTATATTTTGGCAGAATTTTTTGTTTATAACTTTGTTATTAATCATTTAATTGAGTTTTTTCACTCCGAAATAGTCAAACTCTGGGTTGATTACGTTGGAAATATTTATATCACTTATATTTTTTCCCAAAATATCACTTCCACTATTGCATTCTTTGAGATTTTTTTAGTTTATTTTAGATTTAAACTCTTAATATTTTCTCTCTTCCATTATTGCTTCAGTAGAATCATCTTCATCATCATCAAACTAACTGAATACATTTATTGCTTATTTTGGATTATTAAATGAATTGTCTTGACTTTTACTTATGAAAGTGTTTTCTTTTCCTTCTTCATCTTCTTTCTTAGAGTCAAGATTGAAGTTAAAAGATAAAGTAACATTGTCAAATATATTAGAATTTAATTCATCGATTTCTTAATCATTCTATTTTTATTTACCTTCTTCTTCAATCTTTGTATCATTATTGTTATTTGTCATACTTTCTGAAGATGTATGTTCAGAAATTTTTCTCTTTTTTTTGAAGTATTAAAGAATTTCTACTTAATTATTATTTTCATCTTCAACAAAAGTCTCGCATATATCAAATAGTTAGTCGCTCTTTATTGGATTCTTGCTCTATAATTAATTTAGAATATTGCTATAATTTTAATATGCCAAAAAGTGTTGGATTTTTTGCAAATTAGAGGAGTGCTTTTCAAAGCTTTTGTTATACTCCAAGAAGAATGACAGTATTTCACTTTACTTTTATTACTAATCTTTATCTCCCATTCCATAAATTGCATCTTTTGAATCGTCATAACCTTAACCACCATTCATATATCCTCCTTACTAATCGTTATCATTACCTCCGTTATATTAGCTTCCGTCATCTTTGTTTTTTGATTTTTTAGACTTTTGAGTTGTCGCATCTGGCTGCTTTTGTTAAATGAAATAAATCGTAAAAAATTGTTAAAAATCAATTTAAAAATATTTTTGTTAAATTAGATAAAAATGATTCAAAAAATTTAAATGATAAGATGATTTGAAATTACTTCTTAGTATTTCTAGATATCTCTGCTAAGCATACGACGGAACAGCTTCATTTCTCTTTCTATTTCAAGTATTTCCTCTTGCAATTTTTTCAAAGGATGAGATTCATCTAAGATCTAGTTGTTACTGACTTAAGTATCTAATGAAGCGTTTTTAGGGTTATCTCTGATAGAGAGTGGAGTTTTGTATACAATAGCTCTAGAACCAATTCTGTATAGCTTTTCACTAATATTTTTCAGCTTGTCAATATAATCAGGCTTGAGATCTTTGTAGAAATCTCTGAGCCTGTATAAAAACATTTTTAAGAACAGCTGAATTTTACGAATATCGAGATTATCTTTAATTTTCTATCTTTCATTTAAGATATCTCTAAAATAATCTAAAGTTTCAGAACGAACATCTTTTTTCTACTTTGCCCACTCTCTTATCATCCAATTAGTTACTTTCTACATTTTTGTTAGATTAAGTTCCAGCAGTTTTTTATACTTTAACTGTTTTCTTTTTATCATGTTCTCATACTCTTTTTTAAGAGCCTTTCTATCTAAAACAAATTTAAAATCTACACGCTCACCTCCAACTGAAATTTAAGGAATAGGAAAATTTTAAATAGATGGGTTATTAGCAGGTGGCATTACTGGAGATCCTCCAACATTAATCTTTATTTTATTGAAATTCAAATTTTGACTATTTGATGTATTTGCATTCTACTCTTACTATATGCTTTATGTTTTCTTAGGTTTTGAAGGGATAATTTTATCATAAATTTATCTTGAGTTGTAGCCAATGTCAAGTTGGCTATTTGGTTAAGATTGAGTTGAGCTCATTTTTGCTAATGAGGCATCAAAAGGAATTTTTATTAAATTTGATCCTGTGGAGGCACCTTCTTCAGGTTTTAAACTCTAACTCTTCATAAGAATAATTTTTGGAGGTTCGCTGGTATTCACTGGCTTATCAGAAACTTCATTATTAGCAAGAGCGGCTGCAGCTGCTGCAGCAGCAGCTTCAGCTTATTTTTATTAATGAGCTTATAGCAGCATTTATTCTTTCTTTTTAAGACGATTTTATCTCTTTTTTAACTCTTCCAATCTCTTTTACTCTTCAGTTTTTTGCTTTTCTTCCATTTCTCTGTTTTTTTTCTCTTAACCCATTTAAATAATTTATGCAGCCTTAAGACTCTATGACTGCTTCAATTCAGGTGTAGGTAAAAAGTTTCCACCTGCTGCTTGTGGATTTGGGATAGTTATTTTGTTTACTTTTCTTTCTTCCCCATCTTTTTCTGCAGTTTTGAATGTTGAATCTTTTAGCTTTATTTTTATTTCGTCTTCTGGCCTTTTAATTTTATTTGCATTTAGATCTTACACACTTTTTTATATAGATTCTCCTCCTATCTTCACTTTTATAATACTATCGGAGGAAGGATTCTTTTTTTGCAAGACATTGCCACTCATTGTAGATTTTCCTTAAGAAAGAGCTGATTTAGTTGGAGTGTTGGCATTTAATTTTTTTTTAAGCTCCTAGGACTAAGGAGATAAATTGCTTTAGCTATTTGTTTAACCATTTAAATGACCGTTTGGTCTTACTTTTTAAGGATTATTTCCATTGCCTAATTATTTTGCCTATTAATTAGCAAGTTGCTTACCAGAGCTTCCACTTTTTTCAGGAGTGAAATCTTTTTTTGCTTAGCTTAAAATTTTTTCTGGTGTGACTCCTTCCTTTCGTAGAGAACTATTAAGATCTGTAGGCTTTTTAATTTAAATTTTATCTCCACTAGCAGAAGCATGCAATTTATGCTTTAAATGGGCAGAATTAGCAGTGCTGCTAGTAGGTTTGAGTCCATGTAGTTTAATAGAATTAGTTTATTATGGTGTAGCCAAAGAATCAGATGGAGTCTATTTAGAAGTATTTAGCGATTAAGGTACAAATTCTTCTTCACTCTCTTCACCGTCATTTGTATTACTTTAAAATTTAGATTCTGAAGCATTTAAATTGTTAGTTTTGCTACTCTATTTAATTTTTTCAGATGATAAATTGGAGCTGTTTAATAGTTATTATTTTGTTGGAGTTGAGAATGAATCATTATTTGATTTTTGGCCTATTTGAGACTATTTCAATGATATCTTCGAATCGTTTAGTTGCTAATTTTTAAGATATTTGTTATTTGAATGAATCAAACAAAAAGTATTATAGTATTATGTTGATTATTTATTTTTACTGTTGATGAGTTGGCCTCCTTGTTGAGTGTTTAAGAAGTAGGAATTTTTATCTTATTAGATCCTATCTAAGAAGTAGATTCATTTTACTTTAGAGATAGATCGTCAATAAAGTTACTTTTCTTTTTAATGATAATATCATTATCATCATCGTCATCATCATTATAGCGACCTTCTTGATCCTAACTTTTCTATATTTCTTTATTTTCTATTTCCATTTTTTTAGCTGTTTAATCATCAAGATTTCCATTATCTTCTCTTTTTTAAGGGGTTTTTAAGGACGTACCACTTGTAGCTGCATCATTTATGTCTTAAGCATTTATATGTTCACTCCCATTTAGATTACTTTGAGTTGAAAAATTATTCCTTTTGAATAAACAAATTATAATTAATAAATCATTATTGAAAGCCACTTTTTTAAAAGAAGCTTAAAATGAAATTAAAGTGTGTGGTGGTATTTTTTTATCATAAATGTATTTTTTTTACAATGTGCCTTCAGGATTAATTAAGGTATTTTCTTCTGTTTCAAATTGTTAAACAAGTTGATGGACTCCTCTTCTTTATTTTTTTGAAAGAATGTATACATTTTTACATAGGATTCTTTATTTTTCTACATCAGACTTTTTTTTTGTTTAAACTTCAAGCTCAAGCTTGAGTTAGGCAAGCAGAGTTTGCAGTTCTTATATTTTGGCTGAATAGTCTTTTTATTTCTTTACTTTTTAAGTATTGTCTCCAGTTATTCTAGGTTATTTCATCCCAACTTAATTATTAGTTGGAGTAGGTTATTCGCCAGTTATTGTGGAATTACTCAAATTCAAACTTAAGTTTGGTGCGTTTAAGGATATTTTCAAAGACGTTGGCTAGAACACAGGATCCTCTTGTTACAAAGGTTAGTTGAGAGGCAACATTTGTATATTTTTTCCTGCCTACATCATCTATAATTCTTAATTTGAGAGTTCGAAAAATTTTCTTTCATTTAATGAACCAGGGATAAGATTTAGTCTTTTGTCACCGCCAATTAGTATATTTTTTTCATCCAGTCCATCTAACTTAATCTTCCTTTTTTTTTCTTCTTTTGCCTTTAGATCATCTAAATCTATTTGTATTTAGTATCCATCTGTATCAACTCCTAATATTAAATTTTTATATTAGAAAACATGCTAGTAAGATTGTTCACATTAATTTTTTAATATCAAAAATGGTAGATGAATGTATGTATGTATTTATTCTTTTAGAGGCACAAAATAATTAAAGAAAGAAAATTAGATGTAAAGCAAAAGAAATTAATAATAATCAATTTATTTAGAAAGCAATCAATCAAACCTGATTCTGTTTATAGTAATAAGAATAATTTAGATTTTGGTGAATTAAAAAAAGATAGAGATTGGGTGGGGAGAATATTGAATGAAGAAGATCTATTTTTGCAATTAATTTAATTAATATTATGAAAACTCAGTAAGTAATCATCCTTTGAAATTAAAATCCTTAATTCAAATTAAGAGGGGGAGTTAGAAATTCTTATAATTAATTAAATTTGTTAAAAAATGAATTTTGTCAAAATCTCTAAAAATAAAAAAAAAAGAGGAAATCTGTAAAAGAGAAACAAACTCTCCTCGTGCATATCTAAATTAAGATGCTGATAGAGACAGAGAGTTGAGCATACAATTCTAATCATTTTAGATAAAAATTTTGCATAGGCTTCGCTAAAAACACATGTCAAAAAAGAATATATTTTTAGCCAAAGCTTTATTGCATGGAGAGTAATTGATGCAATTATTTGCTATATTGAAAAAGTTAAAAAAATCCATAAATAATATGCAAGAATAAGTGGGAATTAAAATAGAAAATTAGAAAGATGGATTAAATGAGAATATAATCATAATTTTTTATTTGTTTGTGCTAAAAAAGAATTAGCTTATTGAGTTTTATTTTATTCGGTGGGTGGGTGGGAGGTTGGATGATAATTTGTGTAAAATTTTAAATTAGTTTAATATTTTGTTTCCAATTTACATCAATTTTTTCTTTCTTTAAATGACAAACTTCTGACAAAAAAGCAGTAAAACAATAATAATTAAAAAGTATATTGAAAAGTTTTGTTTTATTTGATTATGTCTAACTAACTAACTTATTTGATGTCTTTTGTCTAAATTTCAAATCAAAAATTTCTTTGTGCACTTACTTCCTAAACTGAATAAATCATTGCATAAAATGAAAAAAAAAATAATATTCTTTCTTAAATACCTAGAGCCTTATAATCTTCTAATAACTTTTAAAAATTTTTATCTACACGGCTTTTCATTTGATCAGCTTTTTGGTTTATTGGGTGGTCTGGAATTCTATTATAAGCCTTGCAGTTATTCACGATTAAATCAAAATCTTCCCATACTTCTTTTATTGTCTTATAAACACCCTCCAAAAAATTATTCTAATGTAGAAATTTTTACAAATAAAAATATAAATAAATATATTGTTTTAAGATTTTTTCAAACTAATTCATGCGAAAGCTAGTTTGCAATCTAGCTGTCTAAAGAGCAACTAACCATCAACTATCAATCGTATCATGTTTTTATTTTATCAGAAATATTTTGAAAATATTCACATTGTTTGTTTATTTTGATTGATCGATCGATCTCCTTACTAAGTAAGCGAAATGGGGTTGGCTGCAATAATCAAAAATTTAAAATGAAATACAATATGAACTGCTTTTCATAATTACTCTTTTTGTATCAATCTAGTGATGGTTAGTCTACTAAAAAATATATTTGCTCAATAATGGGTTTAAATAATTTTTATGAATATATAAGGAGGATAAAAAAAGCACCGACTTTGAGAGTGGATATGTCCATTGGCTTTTTAACAATGTCATAATAATCGCTCAATCCTAATGCTTTTACATCGACAGGTTCTCTAAAATCTAACGAATACTAACGCTTGCTAATGTCATTTATAATATCTAAAATACTCTCTTCCAGAGGTTTTGATGTATTCTTAATTGCTGTGTTACTACCTCCTCCTTTCACTATTTTCTTTGACATCCTATCTAAATCTCAAGAATACTTTCCTTAAAGAAAACAATAATAATTAATAAACGATAGATCAATTTTAAGTCTTTTCCTTTCTTTTATTTCTCCAGACTTTTTGATATTAATTGTTTTCAATTTCTTTTAAATTATAAATTTTTTCTCCCAAAAATCTCCTCACTATTTAAAGCTCCCCAGCCTGCCCTTCCCTTTCAGCCTTGTTTAAAGCCCATTTCTTTATATAATCCATATTCTATCATAACATCTCCTATGCTTTCGACTCAAGAGACTTCATATCTGTGTTCAACAGTCGCTCTCTTGCATAATACTCATCATCATTATTTACATTTGATCTTAAATGTTTCAAAAATTTAACTTAGGCAATACAAAGCTTATAAAATTAATCACCCCGCTTTTGATTAGAGAGTCTATTTGTTTCAAATATATAATCACAAAATTGATACATTTGATTTACCTTTCTAATTAATGTTATTCAAATTATTAAAAACTATTTTTATATACATTTAGTGTCTCAAACTTCTCCCCACTTTCCTGATTCAAAAAAAAAAAAACAATTAAAATAATAAATATTATATATATTAACAATATTTGAAATTAACAGTCTTCACGCCATAAATTAAATTATTGTCTAATTTGAAAAACAAAGAGGTTAAAATAGGATTATAAAGCAAAAATAGAGAAATTTAATATCAATCAATACAAGATATTTTTCTAAAAAAGATATTATAATCAACCCCATAAAAAAAGTAATTCCAATTAAAAAATCATATTTTTCAAAAAATAAAAATTTGTAAATCAAATTTTGAATTTAATGAAATGATATTAAAATAGAACCTAACAAATTTAATAATCATTTTTAAATACATAGATTGGAATTTTTATTTAATTAGTACATTTATTTAAATTTTGATTTTTAAAAATAATAAACAAATAATATTTGTTATTATTTTAATATTTAAAAAAACTTTATATTAATTTTATTATAAAATTGGATAGATAGCTTTATCAAATTCTTATTGGCTACTATATTAGAATTAAAATTATTAATTAAAATAAATAATATAACTAAATTGTTGTTTATTAAAGTCCTTTTTACTACTTTTTTTTTATAAAGTTTATGGGTGTATTCCATGTTTATATTCTAACAAATTTAGTCTATCGTTTTAGGCTAATAAGATATTTAGATTTAATTAAAAGAATTATATTTATGTAAAATATTTAAAAATAAACAAACAAATAAGTAAGTAAGTAATATTAATTATCTTATTTTAATACTTTAAATAATTTTTTTTAAATATTTTATAATAGTTTTATGAATAACAAGATTAAATTTAATTATAAAAATAGTATAAAATCCTTTGATTTTAAATTAATAATATAATTTAATTCGTTTTTTTAAAGTCCTTCATTACTGCTTTCTTTTATAGTAATTTATAGGGTGTATTCTATGTTTATATTCTAATAAGTCTGGTCTATCTTTTTAGACACATTAAATACCACCATTTAAGACCACTAATCTTCTTACTCCTACCCTTAAAAACTAACTAACAGAATCGAGCATATCTTACTATTTTTCATAATTAAATACTATCACGATTAAGCTCATAAATTCATTAGATTAATTGTCTTCAATATTTTCAAAACTTGTCAATTTGTTTGACTTCTTTTCTAAGTACTACAAAACAACTTCATTTACTTTTCCATTTATAAAATGAGCATATAAGCTACCCTTAATGCAAACCGACTCGTACTCCTCCTTTGTTCTATTTTAATTTTTAAAGAAATTTAAATTAAATTAATTAAGATAATTCAAAAAATTACCTTATGTCAATATAGATAATATGTTTTTATTTGAGAAGATCAAATATTGATGCATAAAATATAGGTCTCTTTGATAAAATTGAATACATAGGAGGTATCTCCCAAGGACAATCTTTAAAGAACTCTTTTTGATAATCATTCCTCTCATTTTCATTTTATATATAACTTAATGTCAAAAATGTTTCCTGAAGAGTCTTCAGCAAATATTGTGCATACTTCCAACAATTTTTAGTATTTACAACTCCCTCTAGATTTCTGATACTTGACATCAATTCATTAGAATCTTTCATCATCAGATGGTCTTTTAATTCTATCATTAAACTAACAGCAAAGCATAAAGTGAAATTACAATCACAAATGATAAAGTCCCATATTTTCAAAACGGTGTTGATATCAAAAACCATTGTAAATAAATTCAAAAACCAAGATATAGTATAGATTTCTGGATAAAACTGTTTTTCTTCTAAATAGTCACTCAATTAAGGATCTTCTAACCTTAATAACCACTAAATTATAATAAATAAATTAATTTAAAATATTCTTTAAATCAACTTAAAATTACTTTATAAATAAGAATTTTCTCTTTCATGATATAATCTTCAGGAGATTACTGAGAAGATTGGTGCATAAGAAGGGATTTCTTTACTGTTTCCTGTAATATCAAAAGAGCCTATGAAGGAGAATTATTTGGAGCTATTTAGAGTGCTGCAAAAGTCATAGCATCCATCCCTTGTATATAGTAATAATTACTATTCAAATTTAAAAAGGCACAAAGAATTTCTTTTATTTGAGATTATCCTTTCTACGATGAGCAAAAGTCTGAGTATTAATGGCACCTTGGCAGATCATTTTCAATTTATTTGATATCGTTGTTTTTTTCATTATACATTAGAGGTACACTTACCAAAAACTTGTAAAGTTTATTCGCCTTTTAAGGTAAAACAATTACTTTTTTGTATAACTCTGACCTCAAAAATGAAGGCAATTCTACTTATATTAAATATTGAGGAATCTATTTTGGACTTAAAACCCTTCTGTCTTCATACAATAAATTCATGTAAAATAAGTATTCTTTTATTTTAGGTGATATTGAATTATTAGGAGCAATTAAATTTAAAGGGTAGGGTTGAAATTCTCCTTCGTTGTCTTATGAACTATTAGCAAACAAGTCATTGTTAATATTGTTTCCTCCTTATCCTTCATTCATAAAATTTAAACAATAGAATAAATAAATTAATTAATTAATAAAATATTTTCTATTTAAAATGATGTACTTCAAAAATTACATATTTCTAAAAAAAGTTAAAAATGCATTATTTATTTGAAAAAATTCATTTAAAAATATCTTAGTTTAATCACTAAGAAATTATTTTTTTAATCTTATGTATCGTTTATTAATTTCCACTAATTATTAAATTGTTATATAATTTTTTATTAAAATTTTAAGATTTCATTAAAAATTATTTAAAATTTAGTTTCCTAAATAATCGTTTGTTTAAACAAAAAAAATTTAATGATTACCTTGAATTTAATTCTAAGTGATACCAGATGAAGATGTTCCTCCTTACTTTTAGTTAATTTAATTGGATTACTGATTGGTATTTGAGTTTTAAATATTTTATTAACCTTAACTATTTTATTAGTTTTGGTTTTCATTTTTATTTGAACCCCAAAATTTACTAACTTTTTCGCTTATTCTCATTTTTTTAAAAAATCCAAAACTAATACTTGTAGAACTTTTATCTAAGTCTTACTATTACTGTAACTATTTTTATTATTCTGCTTATATTTCTTTTTACTTTGAGTTAGAATTGGATTGCAATTATTATTATTGTTATTGTAGTTATTTTTAGCTTATTGAAGGACTTGTCATTGGATTTTATGCTGCATCTTCAACAATAAAAGAAGAATCTGCATTTTATTATTTATTTTATTAATTATTTATTGGTGTTTAAGAGTTCTGTTTTGTTTATTTATTTTATTACATTTATTAGTTAGGAGCTGCTATGCACATAGAGAGATCAGGGTCATTTAAGATAGTGGATAGATTTAAGTTATTGTTTTAAAAATTATTATTGCCTCCATTCTGGTCATAGGCTTAAAAAATAGTTGACTCGTTTAGCATCAAAGTCTAATTTAAAAATTAGCTTTAGTCTAATTATATTGTATTATTAAAATTAATAGCATTTTTAGCTTGCTTGCTTTTTTCTTGATTAACTTTAAACGAATTAGAGTTTTGATTAAATTAGTTTATTCCCATGTACTCTGATAAAGTTTATAGCTCTTTTACACTTTTAAGCACATTTTGATAAAAATTTATTTCATCAATGATGTACTAATATATTGGCTTGCAATCAAACCTTAAATTGTATGAAGTATCACAATCATAAATAATACTTTGAAGAGATTTTTTTAACACAGAGGATTGAGTGTCTTTCATGAAATTGAAAGAAAAGGCATTGAAAATATTCTTTTTACTATATTTTTGAATAGTTGAATGAGATAAAATGTTTGGCTCAAGCTCATTGAAAATAATATCTATGATTATCTCTAATGGGAACAAATCTTCAATATATTCCATATTACCTTTTTTGACAACTTCATCATAAGCACGATTAAATGAAATTTTTTTTACTTTTTTCTCTTGCATGATTTATTTGTAAAGCAATTTGAAATTTTACTCTTCTGTGCTTTCTCCGCTGCTATTAATTAAAAAATTACTGTTTTATGTTATTTAATCTGCTTCATTCTCATCTATATCATTTTCATCATCACTTAAATCAAATGATTCATCATTTCTTTGTGTATCTTCTTTTACTTCTATATACTCCTAGCTCTTCTCAATAGTATTATTACAGCTTTTATAATTATTTAGTTGTGTTGTAGTGGATGCAGTATCGTTAAAGCTCATAATTTCCATTTATTTAAATACACTATGATTAATCAATTCTAAAGGAGTAGGCCTTAACTCAGGATTTACATATAAGCATTAGCTAATAAAATCTCTAAAAGAATGTGAAAAATTATTTGAAACTCCCTTGTAACCGTTAAGATATTCTTAGAATGGATTTAAATAAGGAAGATAGTAAGGAGTTTACAAAAAAATAGATTAATTAGTATATCTGTCATCTACTATAATTTGGAATATATCTTCTATGAGTTTACTTCTATCTATTTTATATTGCTACTATTGCTGAGGCTATTCATCTTACTCGTATTGTTCTTCTGTTTGTAAGATAATATTCTCCTCTAAATTATTACTGTTGTTAAGAAGATCTTTTTTTCTTTTAGAATCTATGCTCTCATTCTTAAAACTTTTGTTGTCAAGTGACTCTTCTAATTCTTTATTATTGGCGAGTATCTTATTCTAATTGCTATCTAGGTCCTAATTGTTTTAGTTTTGATTATCATTCTTCTTCTTTTATATTTCTAAATTTAAATTTAACTTAGAAGGTTTCTAAATAAAATATTTTGCCATTAAATCATCCTCTTTCGCAAAGTTTTCACAATCTGCCATACAATAACGTAGCAATAAACCTAGTGACCAAACTTCGCCTTTTCCACAACTAAATTCTCTATGCTTTACATTATCTTTTCCTAAAATATAATATTCTGGTGGCCTAAATATTAGATCTTCTAAATTTTCAGGCAATTTATTAAAAGCATCCAAGTAGAATTAACCAAAGTTATTTAATTTAAACTCCTTACTTTCACTACAATAAAAAACTTAATTTGGGCTAAAAAAACCTACTTCTATATTATGCTTTTACTATAAATATATAATGCCTTTGAGCAGACAGTATGCCATTTATAATAATTCCATTTCTGTAAAAGGGATACCATTTAAAGATCTCCTGAATGCTAAATCTTAGACACTACAATCGTATGCTTCTTGAAATATTAAATACCTGTTTTAAAGTTATTTTTGAGCTCTCATTTCAATGTATCTACATAAATTGCTATGATTTATTATTTTTAAATCTTAAATTTGTTCAAAGAGCTAAACATTTTTTCTTTTTTCACTATTTGATTATGCAATGTCGTGGGTATCATCTAAATTATTTAATATATGAATCTAATTAATCAATATTGATTTATGAGTTTTTTCTTCATCTAAATGATATAACTTGTTTTAATTCTTCATGATTTTACAAAATAACAACAATATCAAATTAAATTTTTTTATAATATTAAAAAATATTAATTAATTTTTTTTGCATATCTTTTAAAGTCTTAATAACTCAAATTTATTGACAGGCATCAAGCTCGGAATATATAAAAAATAGAGCATCAAAAATAGAATGAATGAATTAAAATCATCTTACAAACATAAAAATTTTGTTTTATCGATTCGTTTTTTAAATTAAGTGAATGAATGATAAAAATTACAAAATATTTTTAAAAACAATAAACTCAGAAAAATCATAATTTATTTTTTTTTAATTTTTAACAATATATAACATTCATAACAGGTTATGAATGAAATTTCAAAATTAAAGTAGCAAATAAATAATTATTTATTTCCTAATTATATTTTAAGTTTAAAAATAAATAGATAAATTTAAAACAAAATAAATATAAAACATTTTTTAATTTATTTAATATTTTTAGAAGAATATTAAAAATATTAAATGAAACATTTGTTTTTATTTAAGAATAAACTTTCAATATTATAGAGAACTCAATACATAATTTTATAATAATTATTATTTAAAACTAAAAAATGAAAAATTTAATAAAAAAATTAATTAAATTTTAATTTATTTACTCACAAAACTAACTAATAAATAAAAAAATTAATTTGATTTACTAAAAGTATTTTTTATAGAAATTAAAAAAATTTTTAGCATTATATAAGAACTTTTAGAATTTTACATAATAATTAATATTAGTAAATGATCTATTTAATATAAATTCATTAATTACAAAATTATGGAATAATTTGTCAGAATTAAGACTTGAACATTACAGATGCAAATTCCTCAATAGTAATTCCGTTTTTCCCATCTCTATCAACATAAGCATACATATCTTCAAGTTCTTCGTCTGTTAAATTTAAGCTCATTTACTTAAAAGCAGACTTAAATTCAGAAAGAGAAATAGAATTATTTCTATCTTTATCAATTCTTTCAAAAGCATGCTAATAATCTATCCTTTTTTCTCTTAAAATACGACCTATCCTGCTAAATATTTATTTTGTTAATTACTCTTTTGGATTTTCACTGATTGAAATTCTTTGACTTTACTAGTCCAAAGATAAGAAAGATTAATAAATTATATTTCCTCTATCATTCTATTTGACTACTCTCCTAACTAAATGATTTATTTCCTTGTCACTTAAATCGTCTTTTGAAACGTCTTTAATTGTCTTTTAAAAGTCAACAACAGATACCCAATCTCTACCAACAGATTTCTTTTTGAACTCTTATTCATAAAGCGACTTGTATTTCTTAACATTTTTACTGAATTTTTGACTTAGTTAATCATCAGGATCTTGCTAGCTTACTGAAATAGCTGAATCTCTTGCTCCAAATTTCATATTTTAACTTGAAAGCATGCTACCTTGACCTTATCTGATTTCGCTTTATTGAAGAGAAGAAGGCTCAGGAGTATTTCTTTCTATTTGTTTGTTCAGCATTCCTTAATGAAATAAATTAAATGTTAATTTAAAATTAAAATTTTGATATTTAAATAAGTAAATACCTTTCTTTTCTAGCCTTGTGAGTTCATTTTTGAGAGTTGATATAAACTCTTTGATAGAAACCTTTTTATCGTTATTTGTATCAAGGAATTCATAAAATTCCTTTAATTCATTAGGTTAGACTTTAATATTCATTTCAGCAAATGCTTTCTTAGTTTCCATCTCTGAAATAAATTTATCATTATTTGAATCAAAAAGATCAAATAGATCACCTCTTGTTTTCTTATTTTAAACCATATAACTATTGAGTTGAATGCATATGCTTTCAATAGTAGAGACTATATTCTAATATAATTATTTAAGTTAAAAAAAAAAATTTATTTATGAAGCAAATATTTACCTTTTCTTTTGTAAAAATAGAATCATATTTGTCTTGATGCTTTTAAGCTTCTACTTTCAATGAGTCAATGAACTCAAACAAATCAATTTGATCATCATTATTCTTATCAAAGTTATATGTAATAATTTAAATTTCTTCAAATTTGAGCTTGATATTGAGCTTTTCTGACAAGAAAATCATCAATTCTATATTAGATATAGTACCACTTCTGTCATTATCAATAAGTTTGAAAAGATCTTAAAATGAAAGTTTTTGCTGCTTCAGGTAATGCAATATCTTTTTTACAAGAATTAATCTTTAAAAAAATTCAATTTTTTTTTCTTTTAATTACCTTTTATTTTATTGTTGATATAAAGTGATCTATCTATCTCTAATCAATACTTCCCTAATTTTGGCCTTCAGAGTTGTAAATAAATTGCTTGAATTCTTCTAAACTAATTTATCCGTCTTTATTAAAATCGATTACTTTTAAGAAAGTTTGAATTTCGTCTTTAGAGATTTTCCATCCTTAGAATGTGAGATAATTACTTAGATTAAATAAGCTAATTTATCCATTACCATCATCGTCTATTTCTTTGAAAATTTAATTAACAGTCTTATTTTAGAGCTTTTTAGAAAGGAGAGCACAAACTTTTATACGTGTTCTTTCATAATTTCTTCTATCTTCCAACTTATTATTAGATATTTTAAAATTATAAATTATTAGGTTGTAAAATAATCAGTTTAAATTGTAACTAAAATATTTATTTTTAATATTTTTTTATCAAAAAAAGGGAAGTTTTTATGATTTTAATAATTAAAAAAAATTAATAAATTGTTAAATTATCAAAATATAAAAATATAAAAATTGTAAGATAAAAAAAGAAATTATAGGTTAGCTAATTTTAATAGTAATTTAATAAAAAAAGATATTTTAAATGCATAAATAAATATAATTTGATAAAATTATTACAGACAAGTTCTTCATTTTAAGCATAATGGATGTTGGCTCGTAACTACCCAAATTTTATTATTACCTTCTTTTCTCTAATTCTCTTTCTAAAAGAATATCTTCTGTGTAACCTGATGTGTCAATTAAATAGTTTCTGAAAACACTTTCGAAATTCTACTTAGTGAATGGTTAAGGAAGTCTGTGATAGTAAATATCAAGTTCCTCGTCAGGTATTTTTAAGCCAAGAGTTTCTATATTATATTTTATAATAATAAATATTCAAAATAAATAAATAATATTAAAGTCATACCCCTTACAGTAGAGTAGAAGTCATCTTTAGATATGTACTCATCCTAGTCTCTGTTCATAACATAATATGATGTAGTGAGTGCGAGACCTTTAGATCTAAGAGAGTCTGCAATCGTTCTTGATATTTTATTTTCCCAATCACGAGCTAGGAGCATATGCTCATATTTAGGCTTGTAGTCTTCTCCCCATCCTTCATACCAGTAAACCAATACATGGAGCTATCCTTTTTCTTCAGTTACACCTCTGGAGGTTTTTCCCATTATTTTAACTACAGGGTAGATAACATCACCATCTATTAAATTATTCAAATTTAAAACACCTGAACCTAAAATATCTTCTTCCATATATTCTTCCTTTATTAATTTTAAAAAAAAGTTATTTTAACTTTAGTTTGCCATAATATAAATCGAAAGTAAAAAATGTTTAAATTTATATTATCATACTTGATTGTGGTTTAAGTTATCCACTTAATCATTGAATACAATAAACTTCAGGCCATCATTTCTACACATAGAACGGAAGTTTTCATCTACTACTACATCAATGACATTTTCGTAATTCCAGATAGGGTTTGGTCCCATTTAATTAGGTGTTATGTAATCTTTACCCATAAAGTTAAAGAAGACAAAGAGTTAATCTTAATGCATAAAACCATGGCCTTAAGCCTTGTCTATTTTAATGACTAATCTTTTTCTCAAATACTCCTTAAACATTTCCTTTTCTTATTCTTCTTTAACCTTTTAAGTATTAAACTTCATTTTTTCTGAAGCCCATTCAATATTTCTGTTGATAGGGTATCTATTTATAAAAAAGTAATTAAATATTATAGAAAATTAAAATAACAAAAATTGCTAGTAAATTAATTAATTACCTCATTCTATATTTTATATTTAAACAAGCAATAAACTAATCTTAGGACATTCCACGAGTGGCCCTTACTTTAACTGTTTGCTCAATAACTGCACTAATTGAAGGAGAAGTATTTTCACTAATCAACTATCCCAGAGGTACATTAGCAGTACCAAAGAGTATAGCATTTTATTGCTAAACGTGGTACAGTTCTAATTTAAGATACTTTTCTTTGAGGAATGTTATAAAGAAATCATCTACTTTTACCTTAAATGTTGCCTAAAAGTTGTAACTATTTTTCTTTCCATCAACTATTGTGGTATGCTGCGTGTCATGATTATAGAAATCTACAGTAAAAAATGTCATTATTTCCTACATATTCAAAATAGTATCTGATTATCTCTAGCAAATATTTTCATCTAAATCTACACTTCCAATAAATATATCAAAGAAATTTTCTCCAGGTCCTACATATAGATAGATATATTAAAATTAGATCTATTTCTATTTAAAATTTAAAGTTTTTACCAAGTTCCTCTTCGGCATGATCTTCTGTAATGAATTCTTAAACATTCTTATCATACTTTACATTATCAATCTCATATATGTGTGTAGGTCCTTTTTAATCATCTACCATGTATCCTTTAATTGAGGCTAACTTAGCTAATTCTTCTGCCTTACTTTTTTAAATTCTGAGCTGTTCATTGAGCTAATCTATTTCCAATTTATGCAATCTTTCTTTCTCTCTATCTATTTCTATCTTTGTACGAAGCATGGTTGCTTATCTTTCTAAATGCAAACCAAGTTCACCCTTTTCTAAAATTAAGTGCTATATTTTTTTCTTTAGCTCAACAGGGTTATCTCCAATCTTTGCATAAACTTCATCTGCTCTATTCTTCTCTGTTAGCTCTAAGTGTCTCCATTTAGGATCTTTACCATCCCACTTAACTAATCCCAAAGCCTAAAAAATAAATAAATAATTAACTAAATAAACTTGATGTATATATTAGTTATTTTTAATTTTTACATCTATGAAATCAGATTGCTAGAAATCAGAGAGCTTTTCTCCTGCTAGAGATCCCTTTCGAAGTATTTCTAATTCTGTTTTAACTTAAACAAATTCTTGTCTTTTTTTAGAAAGCTCATCTGTTAATTCCAAGTTTTATTTTTCAACAAACTTAAGCTTCTCATTTAAATTATCATTCATTTCTTTAAGATTCCTTACTTCTTCTTTAATTTTAAAATTTTCTTCACGTATTTCTCTTAATCTAACCTCATTAATTGATTAATCTTTGAAGTCTCTAAATAATGGATCTATAGCAAGCTACTGAAGCTGCTTTTCTAAAGTGTTATTTTTAGCTTTGACCTAATTAATTATTTAATTAAAATGTATTTTACCAATTTAAATAAATTACAGTAGTTAATTCATCTTCTAATTTTTCATAATGCTTGATTTCATTCTTCAAGATATCTATTTCTGTTTTTAACTCTTAGTTATACATTTATTCTTTTTACTAAGCTAATTATGCTTGCTTTAATTAAGCTTAGCAATTTTATAATGCAATTCTATTCTATTCATAATGAGAGGTTATGACTTCTTATTTATTTTATAAATCTGTAATTCTGACTTAGGCTTCAGTCACTCTTTAGTGGCCCTTATCTTACTTGAGCACTTAGTCTTATAGCATTTTAATTTACTATTCACTCTCCTTCAATTAGATTTTATAATTGTCAATAACCTTTAACATGTCACTTAGCTTTAAAGTTATAATAAGTAAATTTTAAATTATTTATTTCAAAAAATTTGGTTTAAAAATATTTTAAGGTCTTTTTAAGAAATATTCCATGATTAATTTGTCTATTAATTTTATAATACAAAATTTATAATTTATTTTGTAAGCTTACTTTTTATCTTTCTTCTTCTGATAATGCAGCCATATTTCTTTCTTATTCTTGTTATTTAATCGCTTTAATTAATTTATTTTGCGAAGCCACTTTTTATTTTTGATTAATGACACTTTTAACTGAAGCCAAAGCTTCTATTTTTTATTTTAATCTTGAGTTTTCAATTTTTAAATTTTCAATTTCAACATGATCAAAAGAATCCAAACCTTTTGTGTCTCCTTAAGAAAGATTTCTAGAGTTGTAGCGAAGATCTTTTTTAATGTGAGAAAGCTGAGTCATCATCTTTTTTAGTTCATTTTCTAAATCATTTTATCTAGATTTTAATTGTAAATTATGCTAATAAGTAGTAACAAAGGCATCAGTCTTTTCACGATCATTCAATTTATTCCAATTATAGGGTTTAGCTGGTGATTTAAGTCTTTTTTTATTTAATTCATTTTCAAGTTTATCTCTATCTTTTTGAGAAACAGTTCCTTTAAGTTTCTTAGCTTTTTCTTCATCACTTGAATAATTTTCTTTATCATTTGTTCCTTCTTAAAAAAACCCTAAAATGTTTTAATCTTGATTCTTTTACTATTCTTTTTCACTTTTATATTTCTATCTCTAACCTTAACTTAATGGATCTTGCTAGCTTTCTATATTTTTATGAATTTTCAAAATTAATGAAAAGAAATTTTTATGATGTAATAATACCTAAAATACTTTTTTTAACATCACCCTAGTATTTATTACCAATTTCAGATGTATCAGATCTTTTGCTTTCTATATTTTTAATTTACCATTTAATTAATTAATGTTACTACTCACATAAATATAATAGATTACTTCCAAAGATATTAGCTTTTTCCATTTGCAAAGCTAATTCACTTTTTCTACTCATTTTATTATATTTGCTTATTCTTTTTTGAAAATAATGAGAGGATCAGAAATTCTCTTAAATATATATATCTGTCCTAAATTTTAAAAATCTATTTTGTGATGATTTGAATAAATCTTGATTCTTTTTTATTGAAACTAATTTGAATTCAACTTAATTAAATATTCAATAAATTTTATCAAATAAAACACTGGAAAAAAAACTTAATCAAATTAATATAAATAAATTTACAATAAATACCAAAAATCTACACAATTAAATAATAATTTAATTCTATTTAAAAGTAGTATTTTCAAAACCCTAATTTTTAAATTTAAATAAAATATTTAAAAATAAAATCAATATAAATTTTTTACAAAAATATTGATAAAAAATAAATACATCAAAAAAGTTTTAAAAAAAAATACTTTTTTTTTGAAAGAATTAATTAATTTTGCAAAAACTGAATAAAAATTAAATATTAATGAATAAATAATTTAATAATATAATTTTTGGTTAAAAATAAATTTTAAATAATTCAATATTTTATTAAAAAAGTAACAAAATTTTATCAATTTATGAAAAAAAGATTAAAAATTTATTTAAACAAGTCATCATTTTAACTTATTTCCTTATTTCTTTTAAATAAAATAAATATTTTAATTGATTTAGATTTAAAATGAAAAAGATATTTATTTTAAATAAAGATTTTCATTAAATAAATTATATAAAGTAGTAATAGTTTAAAGAGACCACTTTCCTGATCAAACTTTTTTTAGAAAGATGATAGACAAGATTACCAAGATTTATTGTGAATACTTATTTATAGCTTTTTAAAAAAAATCTACCTAGAATAAGCGAGTGTTCCTATTATTAAGTTAATTAAAAACTAAGATTTAAGCTTATTTATTTCTAATTTAGTATTTTTCAAGTTTTTTAAAATAAAAAAATCTTTATTAATTCATTTTTTACATAAAACAAAATTCTAATAGTATTCATAAGATAATTCTATTAACATAATCATTATAATTAAAAAAATATTTAAGAATTGTGTTTTTATATTTAAAAAGATTAAATTTTTAAATTGTAAACTAGCTAGATTACTTCCTTTAAAATGGACAATATAATCATTTAAAAAGAATTAAATACTTCTAAAGATTAAGCGAAAAATACTTAACCATTTGATTAGGTATGGGGATATCTTATTCCAACTATAAATTAGTTAAAAGCTATTCCACTTGTCAATTAAATATCATTTTTAACATATAATCAAGAAAAATTTGATATTCTTCAAGAAGATTAAATCATAATAGATTAAAGTAGAATTATCAAAGATGATAAAACTAACTTTAGAAAATCATTAAGAATAATATAAAATTAAAATAATACATCAATATAATGTATGGATGAAAATATTGAAGTTAGTTTGTTTAACAAAAAAATAAAGTTTGGAGTTACTTAATAGATTCAAGATGGAGATATTCTCATGATTTAAAGCAAGGCAGACCAAAAACTTCAAAAAACAAACTTCATATTTGCTTTAAATTAAACTAAGCCTAGCTAATAATAAAAAGAACCTAAAAAGGATGATATCATACTTGAAAATATTGAGTTAAAAAATAAAATTAGTTAAATAAAACAAATGGATGAGAATATAGAAAATGATTTAAATTGCGCAATTTGCTTGGAATTAATGCATAATCCTGTTTCAATCATAGGCTGTCTACATAATTTTTGTGGAGATTGTTTAAACAGATTTATATATTATAATGGTACAATAAATAATTTATGCCCAACTTGTCGATAACCGATTGCAGATGTTAAATAGAATAGTATTATTTAGTCATTTATAGAAAAGCATTTAAAAATATATCCTGAATTAAAAAAAGAACCAAGCTACTACTTAAATAAAGATAAAGAAAATAATTTTGTAAAAATGTAATAAATATTAATGCTTCATAATCATATATAGTTCTAAAGAAACATTAATATCTTGAGGGATGATGATTAAGACGATATAAGGTTTTGCTCCTAAGTTATTTTTTTTATATTGATGTTAATATTTTGCTATATAAATTCATTTTTCCATAAATGAAATTATTGAAAAGTACAAAGTAAGCCAATATTTATTTTAAAAAGTTATTGAATAATTAAATTTTTTTGTTCATATTTTTTATTAATTTTGTAAATAAATATAAATTAATTTATTTTATTTAATTTTTGTTAATTTATAAAAATGCTTAAATAAAATCAATATTTTTGATTTGTTTTTATTTAAATTCTATTTTTTAAATAATTTTATTTAAATAGATTTTTTATATTTAAATGAATTAATTTAAAGTTATTGATTTATATTGGTTGTAAAAATGAAAATAGCAAAAATAAAATTAATTTATTTAGGTAAAGTAAAGCAATCAATCATTTTAATTTAAAATATTAACACTTGTTTATATTTGTTATGTATTTTTACTTTTTTTAAAAACAGTTCAAACCTTTTATCTTTAAAAAGTAAGCAGTTAAAAATACAATTACTCACTAAAATATAAATATCTATAAGAAAAATATATCTATAAAACTTATTTATTTATAAATGAAATTGTATTTTATTAAATTGTTTAAGTCAACTATACATTAAATAACATATAAATAAAGTTTATATTAATTTTTATTTTTATTTTAAAATATAATTTCACATTATTACTATTCACAAACTAATTAAATTTATTTTGAAGGTTTAAAGATAACTTTTTATTAACTTTGAAAAAAAGATATACAATAAAAATCAGTTAAAAACTAATTTACAAATAATTTAATTATAGTGTGTTCATCGCCAGTATTTTTAACGATATTTTTTTAATAAAAGAAAATTTGCAAAAGTCATTAAAATTCTGGCAATATTTAACTGAGGAACATTATTGAGAAAGATTTTGAATTAAATTAAATATAAGCATACTTATTAAATGGAATTTTTTATTATTTGAAATAAAATAATAAATGAGTTAGTATATAAATATTATGTGTCAGCTAGATGATTAGATCAAATTAATTGTTAATTTTCTGAATATAAATTAATTGAAAATGTAAATTAAATACTATTCATCTAAATTTTATTTTAATAAAAATAAAAATTTATGGTTTATTTTGATTCTACTCGTGGCTATTACATTTTATTTTTATTTTCACAAAATTAGATATTTTGTATTTTAGTTACACTAATTAGATGCGTAATCGTAAATACTCCCTATTTCAAATTATGCTTTTAAATATATTTTCGTCACCACTATGATATTTTAAATCAACTTTAATCTATTTTTTTAATATTCTTTATTTAACAGTTGTCAATTTATTTTTAATCTGAAATTATCTTTTTTGTTTTTGTAATATTTTTTAGTTTTATTACTATTAAAACGTTTTTATCTTAAAAAATAATATATATTTTAATTAGTAGAGTATTTATAAAATGAATTATTCAGGAAATACTATTTAAAAACAAAAATACTTATAATTTAAACATAGCTTTCAATATTTTATTTTGATCATTTTTAAAATAATTAGCTTTTGTCACATTAATAAATATAAATTAAAAGTACCTAAATTTTATTTATACTCTATTAATATTAAATGGATATAATTAGACAAATAGAAAATAAAAAACAATTAATTACAACCACAATTATTAGTATCACCTTCTTTGGAAAAATTTAATTCCCTTGTATAACATAATTAATTCGATTAACTCAATTAATGACCATCTGTGCCAAATATATAAATTATTAGGCTAAAGGATATATACTTAAATATAGCTCTAGTATTTATTTACATGCTGACATTGTTCATATATTTTTATTTATATGTTTGTATTTTAATTCAATAAATTTCTAAAAATTTTGCTTGTCGTATTTATAAGATATTTTATATTAAATTTGTTTGTTAAATGTAGTACTTACTGTAAGTAGTTCACTCTTGTATGAAAAATCTTTTGATTGCTTTAACAAAAAAATAAGATATTTTAAGTGCAGGGATGGTAATTAATGATATTCTTTACTTACTTCTTATTGATTTAATTAAATGAAAAATAAGAAAAATTGGAGGAGAAAATAAATGATCATAAATTTAATTTAGATACTGTAATAAAAATAGAAAGAAAAGTTGAGGTACAAGCTGTTCTTCATTTCAGCAATTAAAACTATACTCCCAGAAAAAAAAATACAAGGTAAATTAACTTTTAAACAAAATGTAAAGAAGTATCAAATAATATGAATCAAATTAGCTAGCTCACACCAGCCCCAAAAAAACAAATGATATATTTATTTTTTCAATTTATTCGTTAAAATTTTGAGAAGAATATCCCGCTTTTCAAAATACTAGCAAGGAAAGAAAAATAAAAATTAAATTTATAACCAATCATAATATTTAGAAAGAGAGTTAATTACTCATCACAATTTAATTATGTACTTTATTATATTTATTTGCTTTAATAAGATAAAGAAAAGTTAGTCTTCATTTAATTAAATAATTACGATTAACTTTCAACGAAAAAAGTAAAATCAAAACACTTCAAACGATATAATCAAATAACAAAAAAAATTAAAACTCATTAAGAAAAAGAAAAGAGAGATAAAAAGGAAATAGTCCTGTTCAAACCCAAAGAAAAAGAGAGACAACACACAAAAACTCGTCACTTTTCTTTATCAGCTTTTATTTTAAAAGAAAAACAATTCCTACTAAGATAACCACAGCTTTGCAAACTATTAATTTGTCTCAACGAATAGATAGCCTGACCAATTAACTTGATCATTCTAAAAAATATAATTTATTAATTATTAATTAAAAATGCAAAAACAAGACAATGCTGAAGATCAGCAAAAATTACCTAACTTTGGATAGGGGAATCCCAATCCAATGTTCACTTAATCTGCATATACTCCTTCCACTTAAACTATTCGCGTTAATCATCAAATGGAGTCGTAAAATTAAGGATAGCCAATGTATAGATCAACTGCTTCTCCTATGCACATAGATCTTGGAGCAGCTTAGTAATAATTTTAATTGTAGTAGAATTCAGCTATGAGCAATCAAGGTGTACCTCCTCAATCTTAATATAATCACCCTTCATCAGAATCTCCTTTCACTCCTCCTCGCAAGCACCCTTTAATTAGTAACGGCAATACCAATAATACAACTGCAGTTACTAAGATGAGAGGATACACACCAACTACAACCTCAGGAAAAATTCCATAGATTCCAATAGCTTAATAAATGGGATCCAATTAAATGAATACACCTTTTGGGTCTGCCATTCAAAGGTAATTTTTTTTAATAAATTTTCTGAGCAAAAAATAAAGAAAAATATTTTTTTCTCAATCAATTAATTTTTTTTTTACAACATATTAAAAAAAAAAAAATCAGTTTAAAAAATGGTATTTCTAATTATTTTATCTATTAATAAAGAGAAATATCACCAATTAATAGAGATGTTCCTATGATGAGTTATAATAAAGCTTTAGATAGTGTTGCCATCTTAGGTAATGAGTTTGAATCAACTATTAAAGCATTTGTGAGTGTCTAAGAAGAATTAAATATATGGCGTGAAAAGTACTAGAAATAGGCAGAAATATATGAAGCATAAAGCCACGAAGAAAAGCAAGAATATTACATGGCTTAGTAAAAACTTGAATAATCTTAAAGAGAAATTGAAAAGCTATAGCTCATTGTTGAAGGCGTTAATCAAAAATTAGAATTTAACTCCTAAAAAATGAAAACTCTTGAAAGAAAATGCTAAGATTATTCTGTTTTAGAGTAGAAATACAATCAACTTAAGGTTGTCAACCGTGAACAAGAAGCCAAGATCAAAATTCTTGAGACTGAATTAAGCAGTGCTCGTGAACTTATAGAAATAAAGGATAGAGAAATTCTAGATCTTGAAGTCTACAAGCGCGAATATGCAGATGTATAAGAAAAGCTTTAACAGCTAGAAAAGGAAAACAATGACTTGAAACACAATATTTAGGATAGAGACAAAACTCTTGAATAATACCTTAACAGCATTGAGCACCTATCTAACTAGAATAGCTTACTAGAAAAAGAGAACTAAGAAATGAAAAATCACATTGAACAGTTCGAAAGAGTAAAAAAATTAATTAATCAAAATGGAATCAAAGATATTTCTTAATTTTATTATTTATTTTTTTATTTTATTAATTTTGATCAAAAAGAATTAATTAGAGTACAACTAACAAATTTTAACAATCAAATAAATATAACAAAAATGCAAATATATGATATTTGTTATTTAAAAATAAAAGAAACTCTTCTTACCTAGTGGTTAAAAATCATTAACACAATTTCGAATTTTCTCTTCTTTCTTTAAATAATAAAGGATTTCATAAATTTACATTTTTTATATCAGCCATCCAACCGAAATTTTGCCTGTACATAAATCAATCGCTATTACTATGTTTAAATACCAAATAAAATTTAAGATTAATCAATCATCAAAAACTCAACTTTTTCCTCTAATTAATTAAAATATAATTTGCCCCATAATTTTTCAGTTAAACATACATTATTAAAAATTGCATTCATATATTTACAGTTTTTGAAATTCTTTTTCTCTTCTTCTTTATTTGCCAAATAGCATAAAATATTGATACAAGACCATTAATTAAATTTTATTTGAAGATATTTTACTTCATCAACTATTCAAAATTTGTTGAACTTTCTCTAAAATTATACATTTTTATAAAATAGGAAGTAGATTAAGTTCATGATGAAATCGATAATGGTCTTATGGTTGCAAGCTCTAATATGAACACTTCTAAGAATTTATAATCTCAGTAGTATGGTGTTGAATTTTCCTAACAATATGTTGGGGGCATTCACCATGACCAAAACCTCCACATTTCTCATCCCCACGGTGAATAAGCACTTGGATCAGCTATTGGAGAAATACCTTAAGAGTAAGATGAAAGAGAAGAATAAAATAATTAATAAGTTGAAGAAGAGGAAGAGGGTAGTGAATATGAAGAAGTAGAAATTGAAGTTTAAGAAGAAGTACCAGTTGCTGAAGAACAAATAGAAGAAGACGGAGATAATGAAGAAGAAGAAGATGATGATGATGACGAAGAATATGAATCAGATGAGGATTAAATGATTTAGCAACCCATTTAATATCATGCTGAAACTCCTATCTAATAGGCAAATCAATCAATTTATTAATAACACCCTGATGAAACTGTTTAAACATTGAGAGAATAACAATTTATTGAACATCCTGAAAATACAGTTAGAACTGCATAGGCACCTTAGATGTATATGACTTAACAATATCCCCAACAATACTATGCATAAAATCAATACTATTCATAACATGGTTAATAAGCTTAACCTTAATAATTCTAATAGTAACAACAAGTATTGGTATCTTAACCCTCATAAGAAAGATAATCTAGCTAAGTCCAATAAAATGTCTAAGATTATTCTTACCAATATGGAAATAATAACAACACACTTAGTATTCCTCCTGAATACATGGATGTTTAGAATCCTTTAATAAGTTCAGTTGAATAATCAATCTAAAGTAGTGCTAAATCTTCTGGAATGTAACAGTAATAAAATGCATCTTTCCACTAAAACTTAACTGGTCCTGTTCAATATTCAATCTCACCTCGTAAAGCATCATTCGGTATTTAAAATAGCGAATAACAACAATAGATTCATCAATAAATCTAAAACTAATTCCAAAAGTAATAGAATTTACCAGTTAGTGGAAATAACTTAGATACTTTGCATAGCTAACATTCATCAGTTGCTCAACATAGTCAATATATGACTCCTTAATAATTCGAAGAACAATAGCGTTTATAATTTACTTAATCATAAAGTATTCCTTAAGCAAATATTAGTGTTGTTTAAACTCAATAGGAGTAACAATAATAGCCTACAACAAGTCAAATCATAAGATAATAATAATAAAATATTTCATAGAGTACTCAAGTTGCAGGACCAGCTAACAACTTAATTAACTAAAACAATAGAATGGTTTAAACTGCTTACAATCCACAATAATAACATTAACAACCTCAGTAATAATAACAGTAACATCAACACCAATACGAAAGGTAATAATGTATCATAGACTCCTAACAATAATCTTCATCAGCTCTTAGTGGTAATTTCTAAGAGTTGAATCCTTCTTAATTGTAAAGTGAATCAGATAAATAATTCATTCCTCAGTTAATTGAAGATATCTCTAATAAGGTAAAATTCATTAATATTTAATAACAGATATAAAGCTTCTTTCTTGATTATTTATAAATAGGTTGAAGGTTTTAATTCTTAAATTTAATAATCTTAGATTAGTTAAATTCCTGATGAAGTGAGTCAAAGAAGAGTAAATTAATTAAATCATTTTATCATTTTAAAAATTAAAAAATATTTAATATATTAAGGTTTCTGATTTCAATAGCTAATAACCCTAGGAAAATTTGAGATAAACTGCTAGTGTTTTAGTGTAAAACAATTAATAAATTAATACTAATTTCTACTCTTAAAAGTTACCCTAATTCCAAACCTCACCTAAATAAGTCTAATCAATTAGAAACTAATAATAACCATTAATACAAAACCAATCAATTTAGTAATCTTAGTATATTCAATATTCATCAAATGAATAAGAGTAGTAGTAGTATGACTAAGATTAAGGATCTGAATATGAGTAAGAGCCTCCTGGAACTCAATAATACGAGTCTACAATTCAATTCTAAAATTAATTTAGTTAACACTATTCTGTTTCTCATGATAATTTACCCTATGGACCCTCTTGTTAAGATATAGTTTACCAAGGAGTTTCTGCAATTGTTGAGAATCAAAATAATAATGTAACTGCAACAACCAGTATTCTCTAAGAACCTGCTGAAGCTTAATAACATTAAGAATCATCATAACCAGAGCAAAATGTCAATGTAAACAAGCTTGGACGTGGTTCTTTGAGAATGGGCCAAGTTTAAGACTAATAATAGTAGGTATCTCAACTTGGAAGAGGATCAGTCTAATTAAATAAAAATTAACCAGCAGTTAATGTAAAGAATCTTATGGAAGCTCATTAGTAGTCTCAAAGTAGATAAACTGCTTAAAACCAACAGGCTCAAGGTTTAGATGAAATTTAAGAAGAAAATGTTTAATCTCAAGTATAAAATGCTCATGAAGAATCCTAGCACGACTCATCATCTATTGCTGCCTCAGCTTCTTAACCTCATCATTTGTTAGAATAAGAACAATAGCACTTTGCATAGTAAGGCTCTGTAACTAGTTCAAATGCTTCATAGAGATCATAAACCTAAACTATGTAACAACCTCCAACAATTCAGATATCATAGTAACAGCTTTAAATTCATGCTAATCCTTAACAAGAAGGTAGTACCTTCCTTGATCAAACAGATGAAGAGCCACTTTAGATTTCAACTTCTTAATTTGTAAGAATGTAAAACTCAGTTTAATAAGCCCCTTAAATGATCATTTCGCAATTAAATGATGCACAAGATAACTCAATTGCTGAAGGCTCTCAAATTAATCAAGCAAATGTAGACGTTGGATAAAACTAATATACTTAAAATTCAATTTAAGAGGTTGCTTAATAGTTACCATAAAATAATTAACCTATTTAATAAACACAATCAGTTTATGTTGCTCACCCCTAATAATAACAATTAAACAACTTTAAATCAACTCCTCAACCTAATATTGGCAATAATTTATCAATTCCTGGTTAACCACAGTAATAATAATAGTTAGACTCTTCTTAATAATAAGCTATTCAATTTGTTTAGTCTCAATAAAATTCTTACAGCTCTTCTGATAATTTACCCTAAGTCTAAGAGCACCCTGGAAATAATTAACAATAACTATTGGCTTTACCACAAAGCAACATTTCTTAAGTATAATCAGTTTATCTTCCAGCTGGAAAGCAAGTTTAACCCTAACAAAATCTTATATAATCATAGCCAATATAGCAAAATCAATATCAAAGTTTTGGACCTGCATAAAATTAAAATGAATAATAACCTGCAGTTTAATAATCCCAAATTTAAGTGTCTGAAGTTAATTAGTCACAATAAAATTAACCTATCTTAAACTCGTAATAATAACAAAAACAAGAAATAATTTAGTCATAATATACTTAATAAGAAGGACCAGTAGAGGAAGAAGAATTATAATTATCATTTGATTAACAAACAAATAAGTAAGATCATGATGTTCAAAGTGGAGTTAATGCAAATGAATTAAGAGAATAATTATAATAAGGAGGATAAAACCCTATGTAAAGCTAATCAGTTTATATTCCTAGTGCTAAATAAAATGCATCAAAGAGCATGACTTAATCACAACCTTTACAACCTCAACACAGAAATTTCCCCCAAGTTGAAAACGAAATTATCGAATAACCTTTAGAAGAAGAGTAAGGTACATAATACTAACCTCAGTAGCCTAGCCCTGTTTAATAAGCTGAGTAATAATAGTAATAGCACTAACCTTAGTTTATTTCCTAATCCTAAGTATAAAAACCTTAATAGCAACCTGCTACTTAGGGTTAAATCTTCCATTCTTAAGTTCAAAGACCTGTATAAGGATTATAAGTAAGTTAGAACTAATAACAAGTTCAATCTTCTCACGAAGCTCAAAGTGTTGTTATTTAATAATAAGTGGAATAAGTTGAGCAAGATAATTAATAAGAATAATAATAGTAATAAAAATAACATTAACCTTAATTCTTATCTTAATCTTAAGTTTAACCACAGTAAGCTGCTGTCCAAGGATAGATGTTCCATTCATAAGCCTAAAGATAAGTTTAAGGTTTGTAAGTAGCCTAATAATAGCCTGAAAACTAAGATTAAAGTCCCTAATAAGCATAGAATAATTTAGTAAATTCTTAAGAATTGTAAAGATCTGTAAAAGAAGCATAGCAAGCTTAATAGCAATAACGTAACTAACCTTAATTTATTTCGTAATCTTAGGTTTAATAATAATCAGCTGCTCCCTAAGGATAAATGTTCCACTCATAAGCATAAAGATAAGTTTAAGGATTATAAGTACCTTTACAATAATAACAAGCATCCTAATAAGCTTCTAATCAAGTGCCTTCTTAATCTCAAAGTGTTGATATAGCTCCCTAAGAATAATTGAATCAATAATAATAATAACATCACTAGCCATCATTTATTTCTTAATCTCAAGTTTAACAATAATAAGGTGCTCCTCAAGGTTAGATGTTCCATTCCTAAGCTTAAAGACCTTTGCAAGGAATATAATTACCTTAACAATAAACTTAAGAGGCTTAAGCCTTAGATACTTAAGCTATTCCTTAAGAGTAGAAATAATAAGAATAGTTTGCATAATAGCAATAACCTAACTAGCCTCAATTTATTTCTTAGTCTTAAGTTCAACAGTAATAAGGCTAAAAATAGGGTCAGATGTTCTACTCTTAAGCTTAAAGACCTTTGTAAGGCTTATAAATCCAATAATAACAAAACTAATAACCCACTGTTTAAAATTAAATGCCTGCTTAAGCTTAAAATGTTATTGCTAATCCTTAAGAGTAATAACAATAACAAACTCATAAACCTTAATTCATTTCTCAATCTTAAGTTTAATAATAGACAGGAGCTACTCAAGGTTAAGTATTCCACTCATAAGTTCAAAATCCAGTTAAAGGATTACAAGCTCCTTAATAATAAATTTTATAATAAGTAGAAATATAAGGTCCTGTTCCTATTCAAGTTTAAAGTGTTTAACAAAGCCAATAATAATAATTATCATCATAAGCTCCACCTGTTGATTAGTCATAATAATAACAATAATAATTATTATAGGTCCCAATTTAACAATCATAATATTAAACTCAGTCTTCTTCTGATGCCTCATAATAGTAAAGAATTTTACCTACTTCATCTATAATTGTATATCCTCCAGGTGCTGCTTAGGTTTAATCTTCTTCTTAATTTTTGTAATCATAAAACTAATAACCAAGAGAGGCTATTAGTACTCTTTCTTTAGGACCTGCTACAAACACAAATATTCCTGTTGACTAATAATAGAGATAAGGAGTTTAAAATGCTTTACCTAATCATATTTAGACCTAATCTTATTATATTCCATAATAATAACAATCCGTAATTTCCTTTAATGGTTCCACTGTGCAATAATAATAATAATAACCAAGTTAGATGAGACCATCAGGTCAGTTAGTACAATCATAAATTGAGTAAAAAAAAGATTAAAATAGCTTATCTTCTATAAATGATGCCAGCATTACTGCTATTCCTCCTAATTCTTAAATATATATTTCTAACAATGCAGCTCCTCTCTAAGCTTCTTAGGTTGACAAAAAGAAGAAGAAGAAAAACAAAAAGAAAAATATGACATAATCTGAAGCCCCTATTATTAGAGAATAGGATTTGGAAGACTCTTAAAAAGTAAAGAGATCTAAAAAACCATAATCTCCTAAATAAGAAGGTTCAGAAGAATCTATGTCTAAAACTTCTATCCCAATGACTAAAACAGTTGTCACAAAGAAGAAAGTACTCGTAAAAAAGAAAAAATCAATAGATGGAAGCTAAAGCTAAAGCTCTATCAAGAAGTCTGCGGTATCAGGTGCTGCTGCTCCAGCTTCAGTCTCTTCAAATATGTCCAAGACTTAAGTTCCTTCTAAATAGAATTAATAAGAAATCTAATCTCTTCCCTAATTTGGAAAGGTGACATCTTAAAAAATGGAATCATCTACTCCTTTATCTCCTCATTCTTAAAGCAAATTAAAAGATGAAAAGAGTTAAATTAGACCCTCTATATTGCAGAGAAAATCTATCTTAATGACTGGTAGTTAACAAACTAGAACTGTTACCTCTGGAAGTAACAACATGCTTGAAAAGATTATTTTCATGAAAAACTAATTATTAGAAAAGAACAATGAAATTGATGCACTTAAATTGAAAATAGATGAAAATCTTAAACAAATTGCTGCATTATCAGAAGAGAATTCTCAACTTAACATCTAAAATTCTTAGACTAGAGAAGAATTAGAATAAACTTAAAAGTAACTTCAAGAAAACTTCGAGTTCCACAAATCTGAGATTGATAGCCTCCGCCAAGAGTATGAAAATACTATTGCCCCTCTACTTTAAGTAATTAAAATTGAAATTATTTTATTTTTAATTGAATTAACACTTTCTATATTAGGAAAAAACAAACCTTGAAGAAAGCAATCTAGCTTTAAGCAAATAGTGTGAAGCATTCGATATTGCCTTGTAAAATAGTGATGAGGAAAAGCAAAGAGCTATCAGAGAATTAATTAATGAAAAGGAATAATTACAAAATCTAAGTGAAGCCATATTGAAAGATAAAGATAAAGTTGTAAATGAAAATATTTAATTGAAGGATGAATAATCTAGAAGAATTAAAATGGAAAACCAACTCATCAAAGACAATGAAGACTTGAAGAATTTGAGTGCCAGTTAGTAAAAAGACATTGAAACTTGGAAAATCAAATATAAAAACCTTAAAAAAGAAATTAATGGTTTGCGCTTACAGTTTGATAGTTATAAGAATTAGATTTTACATGAAATTTAATCTAATATTTAAGATAAAGCATCTAACTTCTAAGGTATACTCACTACAATCAAAAAGAAGTATCATGACTAAGGAGATTCCTAACTTTCCAGTGCTCGTGAAATGATAATTTAGCAAGATTAATAAGAATAAATTTAAGCACCAACAGCTTTCAGTGCTCCTAGATAATAATAATAACAACCATAATATAATAATTACATTTCCTAATCTCAATAGTATCATCCTTAACAACCCTAATTCAGCAATAATTATATCACATAATCTCATCCATAACCATCTCATCAAAAGAGCCATTCTATACATTCTTATGCTCCTATTCATACTACTGAGTTCATCCCCTAGTAATCTTAGAATGATGAATAATTCCTGAATGAATTAAAGTATAGAATTAATGCTCTTAAGCAAACTTAAGCTGAATAAGAAGCTCTTTAATTAAAATCATAACAATAATTACAATCTATTCAAATGCACTAAAATGTTAGATAATAATTCTTGAGTACTTAAAATATTTAATAACCATAATAAAACTAAACAGTCCCTGCCCAATAACAATTTGATAATTCAGCTGATTAAACAATCTCTGAATAACACTATGAAGATTCATAGTAGATGGATCCTATCGAATTCTAATTAGAACAACTTATGGTTCTTAAGAGTCAATATGAACAAGCACTTGGAAGAGTAAATACTTCCATGTCTCCTCAAAAGAGAAAGTGATTATAAAAATGAATTAATGATTTATAAGAGATTTATAAAAAAATCTCAAAGATATTGCACATAAAATTAAAATAAAATGTTTAAATGAAATATATTAAAAAACAAAAATGTATAAAAATATTTCCATTTTATATATATAATAATTCATATCATTTGTATAAATAAATCAAAGCTTTATATTTTAAAAATATATTTCTCAAATTTTAATTCATTTTTTTTATTTAATTTATATAATAAAAAGATTTTTATTTATTAGAATAATAATTCTAATTGAAAAATAAGCAGTATTTTAAATTTAAATAAAAAATATCAACTAATAACTTTTTTAGAAGAACTTTAAAAAATGAAAAAAAATTTTTAATTTATTTTATTAATTATTTATTTAAAAGTATTCAAATAATTTTTTTAAAGAACAAAATTATTATTATTTAGGTTCAAAAGCTAATTAAACACATTTTTAGATAAACTATAAAAATTTTAATTTATTTGATATAAATGCTTGTTTAAAAGTTATAAATTAATTTATTGACTTTATACTATAATAATTATTTTTAGAGTCAATAATTAATTTAAAATATTTTTAAATGAACTTTAAAAAACGAAATAATAATTTTAATTTGTTTGATCTTAAGTATTTGTTTAAAAGAATCCAAATAATTTTATTAATTAATAAAAATTTAATGTTCTTGACAACTAAACATTTGTTTAAAATTAATCAACTTTTCACTTAATAAAATTTTAATTTTTTTGAGAATAAAAAACAAATGAAAGCAATAAATTTTTAAAATAAAAAATAAGATGATTATTGAATTATTTAGAAAAAATAATTAAAAAGTAAATATAAATAAAAAAAAAGTAAAATAAAAAATGTGAAAAACATAAATTGATAATAAAATCCAATTTAATTAAGTATTAACTAGATAGATAGGTAAGTAATTAAAAGAAATACATTATTCTATTTTATATTTATATTGTATTTAAGGATATTTTTTATTGTTTATTTACACATAAGCGATTTCAAAATCACCATCCTTGAGGGAAGTTAGAAATTTGAACTTGTTAGGAAATCTGTTTGAATAAATATAATATTTTTTTAATATTAAAAATATAAAGAAAGTATTACTTATTGACCATTAAGAGTATATCCTATTTTAATTTTAAGAGCAATACCTTTTTATCCTTACATACTATTTTATACAGTCATTACCTTTTTCATTATCAAAAATTAATAAACTTGTTAAGATTTTTAAATTAATTACTTAAGTAGTTTGTCCTTATGAATAAGGAGCAATCATTGTATTTGAAATGGGTTGCATTGTAAGCTTCAAGTGCTTTAGGACGGCAACCTAAAAAATTATTTCTGTGAGAGGGAACCCAGATTTATTATTGAAGATGCTTGTAATTGTAGTTGTGGTATCAAGCTAATTTTAATTAAAATAAATTTAAAGAAAATATTATTTGATTGAGTTGAATTACTCTATCACAATTGAAGACAAGATCTAAGTTAGAATCAGAAAATGCAGTAAATGAATGGGCAGGCTAGCTTAAACTTTGAGTTGCATTTCCAAAAGTTGAAGGAGAAGAAACTCCAAAGTCTAGTAAATTTCCCATATTCTATGGAGTGTATCCACTTTATTATGCATTCTAAGTTTGATTGAATGTATTGACTGATGGAGTAACTCCACCAACTTAGCTGTTACCATAGAAATTAAGTAAATTTAATCCATCATTTTGTTAAGCAGGAGGGTTTTAAACAACTTAGCTATTAACTACATTAGTATTGTATGTAGGAACAGGGGATACATCATCATCATCAACAAGAAGATTTAACAAATCAACGCCTCCAGCAGTGTTTCCAGCATTATTAGACTTAGAGTTATTTCCAAAATCATTAATACCAATTTAGCTCAAAGCGTTACTTTAATCGCTAGTATTTGCATTTTAAGGAGCAGGAGGATATTCATCAAGGTCAATATCACCAACTGGTTTACTGTATTTAAAATTATAAATTAGAAAAATTAGTTTGATATGAAAAATATATTACACAGAATATTGATCGATTGCTGGTTGATAAGGAGGAATAGGCTCAAGAATGCTGTTTCTATTAGCATCCCATTAGCATTCAATAAGTTTGAGATATTCGCATGAACGCTTTTGAACTTCCAAAGAAGTAGAAGTTTAAAACATTTCAATTAAATCTATAATACGATTTTAAGAGTTTTAGAACTTAGGGTAAAGTTTAATCAAAGCATTTAAACCATATTCCTTAATGTTATCAGGTAATTTGTTGCGTTCGAATAATTTTTCAAAAAGTTGCATAACTTCTTCTTCTTTAACTGTTACCTATATTAATTTATTATTATCGAAGATAAAATATTTATTAAGCTTTTTAATGAAATATTTACCTTAGTATCTTGATGTGCAACTGGAGTTCCTCTAACGAGTAAGTGTCCGAATTCACCAATACAGTATACAGCAGCTTTAGCTAAACCATTTTAATTTATGTTTTCATTTAGAGAGAAATAAAGTTTATGGACTGAATAGCTTTATAATTCAGGAGACATACAAATTAAGTGGATCATATTATTTGTAGATTCTTCCTTAATATAATTACCAGCAAGTGTCAAAACTTTAATTATCTAGTTTAAGTGAAAATTTAAATTTATGATAAAAAAATAAAATAGAAATTTACAGTGTCAACCTACCATCTGCGGTTAGGTGAGTGTTTGTCAACAATTGCACATATCTGTTAAATATTTGTAAAAAAATAAAACTTTGTGGTTAAGAAATTATTCAAATCACTTTGTTTGTAAGCTCACGGAGGAAACCTTCATCAGTAACAGCAAGAAGATAATTGAGCAATTCCTTAATGATGCTTTTAACATTTTATTCATTAGTAATGATGTAAACTAAATCTAAAGCTAACTGCTTGACAGAAATATCACTTTCTTTCATACAATCTAGAATAGTTTATTTGTGCTTTTAGACAGCATTAATATCATGATTAACAACTTGCTTTAACATGAATAAAGCACAATACTTGCTATTGTAATCCTTTTAGCTTAAGAATTTACCTAAAATGTTAATACCTAATGTTTTTAAATGACTAGAACTTTCAATTTCCATAATTGTTTGCACACATTCATAGAGAACAGCATTACCTGTGTTTTTAGAACTGTTGGTATTACTAGAAACCTATGTATAAAAAATAATATTTAGTAATTAATCACTATATATTTTTTTAAGAAGAATTTAATGAATTCAATCAAAATCGTTACTGATGCGAGGACATTAGAAACTTCTTCAGAAACTGTAGTATCTCCTTTACCCATGTATCTGAAGAATTTCAAGATCTTCATTTATAAGAAAGGATCAACCACACCAGCAATTTCAAAATCTTTATCGTAATGAGACACCAAACCTTAAAGAACTTTAATCATGGGAGTGACGTATTTTTTGAATTTATCCTTGGTTGTAGGATCATGTAAAATAATTTCTTCAATCAAACCAAGAGTTGCTATCAAAACACCTGTAAAAATAATATATTATTTGTAAATATATAATTAAATATAGTTGGTAAAGAATATATTTTGTATTGTTCAAGTGGTCATATTTTTATTTAAATATAACACGTCTTCTTATCTTCGTTTTTAGATTAATTACATTCATCAACAAATTGAATTGTTCAAATAAATAAAAGCAACGAAGAAATTAATTCCATCAAATAAAAATATCTTCTCTATATTTGAAATTTAATTTTCTTTAAAATTTTTATTTTACCATGGTGACGATCTTCCATAAGGGTGTTAATTTTTTCAATAATATCAGGTAAATGATCAGGCAACTTTTTCATAATTTTAGCAGCAGCAAGTGGAGCTTTTTTTCTTGTGAAAGAAGTACCACTTTGCATGATTTTAAGTATATTACCTATAAGTTCTCTACACATATCAGTTGTACATATTTCGCTAACTGCAATAATTGCTAAACTTGCTACATAATTATTCTAATTTAAAAAATAATATATTAAAAAACTTCATTTTATGCTAATTCTAATTCTTCAAGTAGTCTGTTTTTGTTTAAAATATCTTAAATACTTACTTAACTTTATAAATCTGTAAGGAGACGTGAAGTTGCCATCAATAATACATCAGACTATTCATGGAAAAGTTAAGTAAGTCCTAAATAACCTATTCTCTTTTCTGTGAAAGACTAAGCAGAAATGAGTTTCAAACATTCCATTTGACCGAAATCAGTGTTGTGACCTAACATATTGATAAAAAGCAATTTTGCTACATTTCTTGGTCTATATTCCTCTTCATTTTTCTGTATTTTATAAAACAAATTAAAATATTTTTTCTTTGTCTTAGTTTCCATGCAAAAATTTTATCTGAAATGCGAACTATTTCAGTTGAATAAAAATTATTTTTGAGCTTTGAAAATTAAAATAAGCATTTTTATATCAAATTATCATTTATTTGGCCTGTTTATAGCTAGATTACTTTAATTTAAAAATTATGGACAAATGCTAAAATTTTAAACTAAAATATGAGAAAAGCCTTTACATTAAATGATTCACGAATCAATGCCTTCTCCTTTTATACTAAAGCTCTTTCTTCGGCTGTAGTTTTGCAGCCTCTAATAGCCTTGATTAAATCTCTAAGCTTTTAAGGAACTTCTTTACTCATATTTTAATCTGTTCTTTCTTTTTTAATAAACTCTTATTGTGTTTTTATCTTTCTTTTTAACTTGAAATAAAGAAAAAAAGATGTGAGCAATCCTCAACTACTGTTTGATTTGATTTGATTAGACTTTACTTTGAATAATGCTTGTTTGTTTGTTTTTTTATTTAATTTCCTTTACTTTTCGTTTGACAACTTCAATTATATCACGTTTTTATAAAGACATTATTTTATTTATTGATTTATTTCATTAAAATTTTGAAAGTAAATCTCTCAAAATAAATAAGATCATGTTCACTGTGCTTATTAGTTTATTAACAATTTTTATCAAATATCTGTCATTAAACTACTCTATTGTTTTTTTATTTCTTATATATCCCTAAATAATTTATTTTAAATTTGTTTATATACAATAAAAAATCTTTTAAATGTTTCAATCTATTCATTTAATAGTTATTACATTTTTATTTTTATTAATATATCTTTTTTAAACAAGTTTTTTTTATATCTAATTTTTTAAATTATTTAACAGTTTTGAAATAATAATAAAAAATTAAAATTTTCTTAACAATTAAGTATTATTGATAAAAAAATAAATTTATTTTAGAATACTTTAAATTATTTTCTTTTAATTTTACTTTTAAATAATTAATTCAACTGTGATTTATTAAATTATCAAAGTTTATTATTTTGTATTAAAAATAAGAGATATGAAAGGAAAAATATAAAATAGATTAAATTTAAATAAAATTTATCAACTAATCAGAAAAATCGTGTATTTATTTTATATAATTTTGCTAAAAAGTAATAAAACCTTGAAAACATGTTAAATTAATTATAAAATTATGAAATATATTTGTAAAAAAAAATTCAGCTGCACTGTTAAGTTGTTGTTAAAAATTTATTTTATTTTTTAATTTTATTTTATTTATTTTTTATGATTATTTATATACTTGCTTTCTAGCTTGTTTTTTAATTTATTGTAATTATTTTTAAGGTTATTTAATATTTAATTTATTTATCTATTTAATTTATTAATTTATTCAGTTTTCTTATTTATTTATTTATTTGATTTTGTTTTTTATTTATTTAATTTTCTTTTTTATTTATTGTGGTCTTCTAATTTGTTCTTCGTTTAAGCTAAATTTTTAAAAAATATTTTTTATATAATTTAAAACTAATAAAGAATTTGCTCTTTTCTTAATAGGATGTTAGAGTTTGAAAGATTTGCATTTAGATTTGATTTCAGTTTGATTGTTGCCACCATTAATTTAATGGGTATTAATTCTGGTTTATTTTCTTTTTAAATTATTTGGGGATTGGTGTTGCAGGGCATGCAGGGCTTTTAGCAAGAGGCTAACGTGGCTTAAAAACTTTATTTTAGAATTAAACTCATCATTTTAATGTTAACAGGCAAACAATCGCACATCATCTCTTCTTCATGCTAGTCATTTCTTACTACTATTACATCAACTATTTATTATTTAAGAGACTTTATAAAAAAAAAAGTTTAGATTTGATATTCCGGACTAAAAGTATGTCCAAGCGTAATAATATTTATTAAGGGATATATTAAATGAAAAAACTATTAGGTGATCTTAAAGATTTTAAAGTTTTGTGGGGAGGAATCTTTAAAATGATTTTTTGTTGACTGGTAATGAAAAACTAAACAATTTATCCCTTTTATAAATATACTACGCGAGAAAGATGATTTACTTTTTTCTTAATTAAAATCTTTCCCTTAAAATTTTTTCTTTTATCAATTAATAATTTAAATTTCTTTCAAATTAATTTCCTGTGAAAGAAGAAATTTTTAATTTTACGAATCTAATCTAAGAAATTATTTATATAATTTATTATATCTATTCGCTTAATATTTAAAGTAAATATTAAAAGCAATTTATTTATTTATAAATATATTTTTAACAATTTAAGAATAATAAAAACTTCAAATTTTAAAATTGTTTTAAGAAGTTTTTTAAACAGTTAATTAATTTGATAAAACTTAGTATAAAAATATAATAGCTAAATTTAATGTTAGATTAAATTGTGTTATATAAAATACAATAAATTTTATCATTTTTAAGAATTATAAATTTATCATGAGTTATGAAAAATATACATTTTACTTATTATGCTGATAAAAGAGAAAAAAATATTGTATTTTTTGAATTACTAAACATTTTACTTATTTACTATTTTTCTTCTTTAAATCAATGAAAGATACCTCAAAAATGTTAAAACAAAAAAAATTAGTTCGTTCCTTAAAGGAAATGAAAAGATATTTTCTACAAAATAATAAATTAAATTAATTTACAGTTTATGATGAAAAAATATGAAAATAAATTTTTAGTGATAGAAAATAAATAGATTTTACTTACAGGTAATTGACAAATGTTTATCTAAAAAACAAATTTGAATTTTCGCTCTGGATTATTTAACTTACCTGATTTTTGACTTAACCAAATTTGCTTGATTAAATAGAAAATAGTTTTGAATTATATAATAATTATTAATTAGTTAGAATCTAAAAACGTAAATAAACATTATTTAGTTTAATAGAGGATTTTTTTTAAGCATAGAGATATCAGAGTTATATATAAAAATTTATTTACTTCAATAGAAAAAGACGTAAATATGTATATCTAAAGCTGTTTTTTTATTTTGGAGCCAGATAAATAATTATTTTGGATATCAAGCAAGAATTCTTTGGATTATAATTCACAAATACCATCACCACTAGAGAGAGTGAGTGCTTATTTGAAAGGAAATTTAAAATAAAAACTAAAAGAAATCTTTGCAAGTCATGTAATTTATAATAAATAAAATAAATAAACTAAAAGCCAATAAAGAAAAGGCAATAGAAATCTTCAACAACTAAAAAAGTCATTTTTAGAAAAACAATAAATTTTATTTCAAATAAAAATTAGCAACTTAGGAATGTTCACTAATACTCCTTACACCGCCTAAACAGGTGCCAATGGTTATAAGATATCCACTACTCCTTCTTATACTTCAGGTACTGGCTCTTAACCTTATGCAGGCTCTAGTATTCCCCCTAATCCTTATGCTACTTCTGCAGGTACAACTGGTTTTGGCTCCACATCTAACCCAGTCAGCTACTCAAATATGTAAGGACTTACAAATCCTTTAGGAAATACTCCTAACACCAACTTATATACTTCACCCTCCTCTTTATCCCCAGCTCCTGCTTAAACACAAAAGCAAGTTGCAGGAAAATAGATCTCAAATACTTAAGCCGAAGATGAAGAAGGAGCAGTTAATTTTCACGCTTTAGTTGAAAAGAGAGAACGTGAAAACAACAGAGATGTTTACGAAGGTGAACCCTACGATTGTTTAAAGCACTTAACTTAACAGCAAATTGATGATTACGCTAAGAGAGGTATTACTGATTACCTTAATTGCTTAAGATTGAGCACTAAGCAAGAACTCCACTCTAAATATGATAGAACCCTTAAGACCTGTGAAGTCCAAGGAGTTTAAGATTTCAAAGATGATGAATTCCCTCCCGAACTCACTTCTTTAGTAGGAAGTAACTAAGCTGGTAGAACTTCATGGAAGGGTCTTAAATGGCTTCGTCCTAGAGATATTAAAGGCTACACCAATTTTGCTCTTTTCTAAGATGCTATTGAGCCTAACGACATTAAATAGGGTTATTTAGGAGATTGCTATTTCCTTTCAAGTATTGCTTCATTAGCTGAATGGCCAGGTATTATTTAAAAAACTGCAAAATTTTAAAATGAGTTTATGCAACAAAAAAAAAAAAATTTTATTAGCTTTACATATTTCAGAAAAGTTTAAATAGTAAACTTATTAGTAATATCTGTTTATTTAAAAAAAAAGATCGTATTAGAAATCTCTTCTCATTAGATAAGCCCAATCCCTACGGTTGCCACTGTGTAATATATTTTATTATTATTAACAAATATTATAATCTTATTTACTAATTAGGTAAAAATCTGTGATAAGGGTGAATGGAGAGAAGTCATTGTTGATCAATTCTTCCCTTGTGTTTCTGCTGCTAGAGGTCCTTCTTTCACTAAGGGTAATGGTGCTGAAATTTGGGTTATGCTTCTTGAAAAGGCTTGGGCTAAGATTAATGGATCCTACGATTAAATTGAAGCTGGTTTGACAAGAGAGTGCTTGCATGACTTCACTGGTGCTTGTACTCAAACATTGTGGTTAGATGACCAAAACACCTATGATTCAGTGTGGTAAAAACTTTTAATAGGAGAAAAGAATAACTACGCTATGACATGTGGCTCAACAGATGTAGCATCAAAAGAAGAACTTGATAAGCTTGGTCTTATTAATGGTCACGCCTATTCATTACTAGGAGCTTATGAAGTCACTTCCTAAGGCAGAGTTACAAGATTAGTTAAGCTTAGAAATCCATGGGGAGAAAGAGAATGGACTGGCGATTGGAACGATTCAGACACTAAATTACATTAATTAAATCCTGATGACAAGAGAGCTATTGGCAGTAAAATATTAGAATATTTTTTGTTTATTTCATTTATTAGTCAATTAATTAGTTAATTTACTAGTCATTCATTCAATATAAGATCTAAATAACTTTGATAAAATAGAATATAGCAAATGAATAAATTTTATTTTAAAATATCTGCAAAATCTAAATAATTTAATTAAATTTGTTAAAAAATTTCCATTTTTTTTTTTCATTAAAATAATTAAATTAATATTTAAAAAATAAGTGCATGAAAGAGCTGAAAATGATGGTATTTTCTTCATGAGTTACGATGATTTCCGTAAATATTTCACTGATGCTCAGATTTGCTATGTCCATGATGATTTCGAATATGCATCAATAAGAGCTTAAAGTGCAGCTAAGTAAGCTAAATTTTTCAAGGTCAAAATTCCTTAAAGAGGTAGATACTTCTTTGCAATAAATCAAAAATCGAAGAGAAAATATCCTAAGGATTAGCAAAAAGAATTCAAGTATTCCACAGCTACTCTTTTAGTTGCTAAGCAAGAAAGTGATGGAACATTTAAATATATTGAAGGTTAGCAAAGAGAAGATAGAGAAGTTTGGACTGGAGAAAGTGAAGATTAGATTTATGAAGCAGGTACCTATATAGTTTATGCAAAGGTTTAATGGCGTAATAATGATTTTGACGAATTCGTTTTGAGCGCCTATGGTTCCTCTAAAGTAACATTTACAGAAATTACTAAAGTAGAAGCCTAAAATGTAATTAGCGAAGCATACTTTGACCATGCAAATAGATTAAGCAAGAGATAAAAAAAATTATTAGCAGATAATAAATCATGGATCCTATTAGATTAAACTGATGATGGTTTCTTCTATTTAGCCATTAATAATAAAAGTGATAAGATTCTCAATGGTGAATTCAAGTTCACTAAGATGGGAGGTTTAAAACTTAAGAATCCATTTAATGGATAAAGTGTTAAAGTATCTCTATCACCTGGAAAGCATGCTTGTGCAATTCTTCGTGTTAAAGACTATAAATAATTAACAGCACTCTCTCTCAGCTAGACTATTCAATTTAAATGATTTATTTTTGTTAAACTTAGCCCTAGAAAATTTAAAATATTTCTATAAACTAAGTTTTAATTTAATTTTGTTTTTGAGTGTGCTATGTATTTGATGTTTTAACTTTGAAATACCTTTTACATTTACTATTTTTACTTTTAAAATATATCAATAATTATTAAATTATTTTAATATTTCCAAAATTATTTTAAATACTCTTCTTATTCATAAAGAATAAATTAGCTTTTTTTAAATATTTAAAAAAGAGGGTAATTTTGATAAAAAATTATAATTTTAAATTAGATGTTGCATGAATATAATAATTATTATTACTCTATAAAAAAAACTAATTGCTATATCTCCTTTATTTTGTTTGAATTGGATGCAATCTTACATATTATTTATTTTAATTTAATAAGCGAATGTTTAAAAGATGAATAAAAATTTAAAAATTAAAATTTTTTCAAAATAAATTTATTAATTAATTACTTTTAATATTAATAAAATATATATGATTTTATGAAATTAATATTTTTAGTTTAAATTATTAAATAATAAAAAAGATTTGAGAATAATAAAATTAGAATTTTATTTAAGTTATATTTTAAGATTTTAAGACAAAATATTATTAATAAGAAACTAAAATAAATCTTTCTTACAAATAAACCAGTAAATATTGATTAATATTTATTGGCTAGTTAATTAGTAATATTTATTTAATTATTAAAATAATTAGTATTTGTTAAAGTTATAGCTTTATTTTTAGGGAAATTCATTATTTTTATTATATTTGAAAAACAAATTTATTATAATTATTATTAATTAGGTTTTACATTTATGATTGTTACTATTTTGGTGTTATTAATATAGTTCAAAATTACAAGGGAACACTAACAAATTTATTATCTTTGATTGTAAACCTCCAATATTTATCTATCCACTCTTCTGCATAATCTATATTTATTCTTTTGCTTGCAATTATTTCAAACTTTTTTAAATTTTCAGGTGATTCTGCTATAAATAAATCTTTTCCTTCTCCTCTCATATCAAATCCATTTCTTTCTTTGGTGATGCCCATAGCCAATGTAAGTTTTCCAGGTCCATTAACTAAATCTTCGGTTTTATTTGATTTCAGTGAGGATCTATTTCTATGAATTAAATGGAGTCCTTTAATTGGCTCTACAGCTCTACATAAAAAATAAATAAGTTAATAATAAATTTTAAAAGAATTTTAAATAAATACCTAACAAGAACAGCTTCTGGTTCTTCAGCTGTGGCTGCAACAACATTAAAGCACCAAGTATTATTATAAATTGTAAACATATATACATGACCTCCTGGAAGCCAAAATGAGCTTGTCTTTTCAGTTTTTTTATTTTTATACGCATGACACGCCTTATCTTCTGGAGCCTTATAAGCCTCAGTTTCTACTATCCTGCATGCAATTATCCCATCTTTTGTTTTATGAACAATCAGCTTTCCTAGTAAATCTTATGCTAATGTCACAACATCTTTTTCATAAAAGCTATCTGGTACTTATTTTAGTTAATCATCATCAGCCTTCTTTGCGCTAGCCTTTTTTCCAAAAAAATCTGATATAGATTTTTGCTTTGGCTGTTCAATATCTTCTTGTGGCCTTTTTTGTTTTTACATTTTTTAAAATCTATAAATTTTCTAAAATTTAATAATAATAATAATATTTGATTAACCTTTAAACGATAAATCTGATTTAATATTCCTCATAAAATCTAACACAATTCCCTCCAACCAAAAAAAAATATATTTTCTCAAATTGTTTATACCATATTCCAAATTATCTATCTTTTAACTTATTCAAATTGAGCCATAAAATAATATTTAAAATTTTATCTTATTCAAAAAAAAAAAAATAATTTAGACATTTGATAAATGGATTTTCAAGCTTAAAAATAAATTTTAATTATTTAATATGATTTTTATCATAAAAAATTAATTAATAGAAATTAACAAAATTTCAAAAATATTTGTCAGTAAATTTATTAATTTATTGAAGTTTTTGAATATCTTTAAAATTTTATTTATCAATAAAACAAACTAAAGATGGTTAGCATTATTTATATAATACTTAAAGAGCCTCTCTTGAGCAACATTGCTCATTTTATACTTTTTATAATTTCAATAAGTAAAAATTTGAATTAAAAAGGCTATTAATATTTTTAGATATTTTTTTTTTCAATATTTAATTAATTGAAGGTCTTGAGATTGTAAAAAGGCCAGCAATACTTTAAAAAAATAAAATAAATTTAAAATTAGGCTAGGAAATAAATATTTATAAAATTTTATATTATGGGAAATTGTTGTTAGAATAGTTCAACAAAAGATGAGTTTGAAGTAGAAGTGCTCTAACAAAACAATGTTAAAGCGTAAGGAAATCATATTTAAGCATAACTAAACTCAAGCAGGATAACAAACAACAAATTAAATGCAGATGATTCATAGAACAACCATGTTATGACTTCATTAGCTAATGAAGAGATAAAAGAAAGTGGATTTCATGACAAATTAGATTCAGTAGATGGTAATGGATTTGAATATGAAAATGAATATCATAATAAACACTCTGAATAGGGGTAGTAGCAGTAGTAGAACAGCATTAAAAATAAATTTAATCTCAAAATAGATTTAAATAAAATAAATAATGAAATATCATTCTCACAAAACAGCGAACAGGATGAACCTTTAATGCGCCGCAGAAAAAGCTCTAGCGAAAATGTTCATACCTAGAGCTAACCTGATAGTTCTAGAATATAATAATAATAAAACAATAGCAATCACTAATAAAATTAAAGTAGTTAATATAATAATCATAATAATTAAAATGGATCCTATCATAGTAGTTAAAACAAGCTATACATTGATGATATAGATTAGTATGAGCCCTACTAAGGTCCTCCAGTTCCTAAAAAATAGCTGAATATAAAGTTAGATCTGGAGAAAATTAATGAATAAAATGAAAATGAAGAATATAACCCAAACAGTTTGAAAAGAAAATATTGATTGAAAATTAAGATAAATCAAAGTAAAGTAAGAAAGAAGAAAGGAAGTTTTACAAACAAAAAAAATCAATCAATCAAATAAACAAACAAACAAACAAACAAACAAACAAACAAACAAGCAAATAAAAGTAATTAGATAAATAAATAAAGTGATTAATTAGCTTTTAAAAAAGATTTGCTAAATAGATTATTACAAAATAAAATAAAAAATAGTTACACCAATAAATTAAACAAATTTTATTATTTAAAATCAACTTAATTTTACAAAAAAATTAACATAGCATAACCTATGCACAAACATATATTTACCATTAACTTATTAATTATGAATTATTATTGATATAATTACATCTCAATATATTATTATCCTTATTATTATAAGTATTTATTAATTGCAAAAACATATTAAACTATATTAAAACATTCCATTAATATCAATATTCCTCAACAAAAAACAAATTATTAAAGTATTTATAAAAAAAATAATATCAAATATTTAATATTTTTGGAAGTCAAAAAAATAAGCAATATTTATGCTCTTTTTATTATTGATTAAAAATCAAACACAAGTTCATTAATCGAATTTAAAAAATAAAATTTGGGATAAGAATTTAAAACTATTGTAAATAAGAAATGAACATTTATTAAAAATAAAATAAAAATTTTCAGTATCTCAAGATATTATACTTTAAATATTACCAGTAATAAACTATTAAAATCTATTTTTTGAGTTTACTAAAATATTTATTAATTAATTAGATAAATTATTAACCTCTTTATTTTCTTCTCAACTCTATTTATGCAATATCATTCAAAAATATCAGGTAAAATTAACTACTAAAAAATTTTATTAAATTTTAGTATTTATTAATACTATGCTATTTATAAGATAATGCTACTGTATCTTTTTGTTTTTTTGTGAAGTAAGAATTATATTTAGTAGTCTGGAAGATTGATAAAACAAATAAATATTTGATAAGTTTTTGGTATGTAGAATTAATCAGATATACCAACAAAAAGATAAATATTAAAATTATCTATTTTATAAAAAAATAATACAAATTTATCAATATGTCTTAAAATCTTTATTATATTTGCATAGCAAGAGAAAATACTATATTATTAGATTATACTGAAGTTATAGGAAATTTTAGATTGATTGTATAAGATGTTTTAAGCAAAATATAAGCTAATACTATAGGTATATACACCTTTGGAGACTATAAGTTTTTCATAAAATCAGATAATGATAATTTTATTATTTGCATTCTTTGCTCTATTTAATATGAACAAAGAGAAGGATTGAAAGCACTTGATTAAATTATGTAGATCTTTATTGAAAAGACTAATTTTTAACAAAGAACTGAATCCCTCAGCCATTCTCTAGACAAAGTTCTAAAGAATGATGTAAAATAGTAAGATCATTAATTTTTAGTAAAGTTTAATTTACTAATATTTAATTTTTGTTAAAAGAGTATACGAATAGTTTAACTCTGTCGAAAATGAAGAATAGAACTCTATAAATCAAGTTCTTGAAGAAATAGTATAAATTGAATAAAAGACTTTAAATGAGCTCCTTTAAAGAGATAGCATTATTGAACTGAGAGTAAGTAGATTACCAATTTATGATAAAATTGATTTTAAAGAATCATATGACATATAATACTATTAATGGTGGAAGAATAAAGATTTATTGATAGCTATAACAATTATAACGATTCTTATATCTTGGCTAATTAGTTCTTCTGCTTGTGGTTTTGACTACTAGCACTGCTATGATTGAAAAAGTGTTTTATATATAACTATAAATCAAATGCTCAAAATAGCAGCAAAACAGAATACCAAATTAAATTTTTTTATAAATATTAAAATTACTTAACCTAAATTCATAAATTCATCAACTGTTTATTTGATAAACTATAAAATTAAAAATTATTTTAAGATTACCCATAAAATTTAAAATAATAATTTCTAGTACATTTTTTTGATTAAACTTATGCTAAAATAAACAATAACTTGCTTTTTATTTTAAAAGTATTTTTATTGATTTTATAAAAATTAGATAAAAGTTATAATATTGTATGAAGGCTATATTATTAATTCTTGCTATTTTCAAGTTTTCAACTAATTAAAATTTATTTATTTATTTAGTTATTTCTTATTAATATAGCAAAAATAAATATTTATAAAAGTTTTTTTTAATTTATAGAAAAATATTATACAAAGATTATAAAATATTTTATGAAAATAGAGAAAATAATTATTAAAATATCAAAAAAGTATCTTTCTTTCATTTTTAAAATTGCTTTAGTTAGCTTATTTAAGCGATTTATTAATTATTATTAATATTAATAGTATTAATCATCATTTCTAAATCACTTAATTAAAAATCCTTTAAACATTTTTTATGTAGAAATATATTAAAAATTTTGTATTTTTAATTTATTATTATTACTTCTATATCTGATTTTGATGTACAAATAATGTTATTTTATCTTAAAAATAATGTTTAAAGTTTATTTAAAATAAACTATAAAATTAAGCATAAAAATAATAAAATTTAACTAAAAATTTAAAATAATAATTTCAAGTTACTTTTAGATAAAAAATATTTAAATAAACAAATAATTTGATTTATATTTTAAACATTATTTGATTATTTGGTTATTTATATAAAACACAAGCAAAAGTAAAGCAATTAACTATATACATATTTCGTTTATTTTTTCATTTTTTCAACTAACCAATTAATGGATGATTTATTTATTATTTAATAGATTATTTATAATTATTACAGTGAATGCCTATGATAACTACTCATATTTATATATATTTAAAATATTTTTCTCTTCTAAAAATCAAATATTTTTATTTTATATCATTTTTTATAAAATTAATTGGGTTCTTTTAATTTTTCATTAACTTTCTCTGTGAGATGATACTTAAGTTTAATTAGTATTATAATTTTAAGAATTTTAATTTGGATTAACTTATGAAACACTTTCAGCTTAGCTCTTTTGCTTTTATCCTAATCCTCTATCATTGCCTAAGATACTTTGTACTGTTTGTTAGTATCTCTTTCTTAGAACATCTATTTCGTTCTAATTATCGTTACTTTTTTCTGAATTTGTTAGAGAAGACGGCTATTTTGTATTGAAAATATATTTAGATTTTTGATTAGACGCTGATGGTGCTGGTGGAGGAGTTCTAATCAAATTTTAAGTATCCTTATACTGAATTTTAAAATCAGTTGAATTATTACTGATATTTTCTTCAAAATCTTAGCTATAATTTTTCTGTGCTTAAAGAGGTGAAGTTTTTTAAGAATCTTTACTTTTGAAGTTGTTTAAAATCCTTAATTTTTCTTACTACAAATGCTCAAATTAAAGATCAAATGCAGTAAGCATAGCTGTTAATTCTTTAGTTGTTTTATTATTAGGATCATCTACTTCTTTAAGTTATGAATAATTCTGATTTTACTAAATTTCAGCACTTTTGTCATTGTCTGTGTCTGATGAGAAGTTAGAGCATTTTTGCAGATATTTCTCATAAGTAGATTTTTCTTTTTGTATTTTTTTATCTAACTCTCTCATTTATTTTAGTATTTCTGCATTATCTTAATCTAGTTAGATACTTTCGATGCATGCCATATTGTTTAGAGAGCTTATACAAGAATATTTATTTGCATTCGAATCACCTCTTTGATTTTAGCTTTCAGAATCAGATCCACTCTACTGATTTAGCTAATTCAATTTTTGATCAAAATTCTATTTTTGTTGAGCATTCAAAGATTATTGACTGCTTAATTAGTCATTATTTTCTTCATGCTCAGTATGAGAAGGATTTTTAAATGAAAATTCATCAGCATTTCTTTGATTTCTACCATTATTAGCTTTTTAATGCATATTTTTTATTTATTATGGCAAAGGAGGCTATAAACTTTTCAAATTTTTGTTGGCATTTTATCTCTCGGCATTTAGGTTGCTCTGATTTGCTTCACTTGATTATGAATAATCTACATCTTAATCTACTTCCTCTTCTATGAAAATATTATCATTATTATAAATTTATATTTAAGGTTTTTTTATGCTGGTTTATTAATTATATTTTGGCTGTTACTTCTCTTACTATTTTTATTCTTGTTAATATTCTTCGTCATCCGAGTGGCAAATTAATCTTAATTCTCTGTTATCTAAAGATTTAATTCTTTTGTTTTTCTTTTCAATTGATAACTGCTAAGTCGAGGTAGAACAATTAGCTTAGTTAGAATAATTATGGTTATTTTTGTTGTTGGGAGTGTTTTAGTTTGTTGCTGCAATGATACTTTCTTATTGAGAGGTAGCATTACCTTCTTAGGAATACAGACAGCTATCTTATTAGTACTTTGACCTTTCAGGTGAATTTTTTTCAGAATCACAAATGTAATATTTATTTTTATTATTTTCAATTTCATTTAGCTCTTATTAATCTTATTTTTTTTCGTTATGCTAGAAGTAATAATTATCATTTTCTTAATAATCTTATAATTCGCTTTATTTTTATCCTGTTTTCAAGACGTAGTTTGAATAGTTAACAGGTTCTTGCTTTTTGATTGAATTTTAATTACTCTGTTATCCTGAAAGATATTTTTAATTACACAAAACAATTTAGTCTCTATTGCTGCTTTATGGAGGTTTTCCAACTTGTTGAGAATTATTCTTTTAGCTTTTTTCAAATTATATAGTTAATGTAGGTTTTTGCAAGCTAGGTGAGTGAGAAGTAGAATTTACTTTTTACTATTTATCAAATTTAGTTCCTTCAGAAGTTAGTTTAATTTCTACTTATTTTAAACTCAATTTATCGTTATGTGTAACATATTCTAATTATTCATCTCTATTTTGCGATTAATTAAAACTATTTTACATTCTATTTATATCTTAAATAATTTCTTCTTTTAACTGCTATTCAAATAAATCATATCCCTCTAATGTATCAATCATAGAGTGAGCTGCTTCTTATTCTTAATTTTTATGATTTTCTTACCTAAGTTGAGCAAATTAATGACTTTCTTTTTGATTTGATTACTCCTCTTTATTTTTTTAATACTTATAAGTAAGAGATGATTGCTAACTCCCATTGCTTATATTATTAATATTATTATTGCTATTACTACTATTAACATGTGTTATAAGATTGCTCATTAAATTGTTTCCACTACTTTAATTATTATTATTATTGTTATTAGAAGCACTAAATAAAATACTATTTGAATTTATTTTTTCTTTGTTTTAAACAAACGATTAATGTGTTGAAGAAGGATTGGATTAAGAACAGTATAACGAGTTAGTCATGTCCTACATTTTTGATTGTAGATTCTTCATAGCTGTCATAACTTTAGTGTATTCATCAAATTGCTCATTAACTTCTTTCATTTCTCTTTGAATCTTTTTATATTTTGCTTTCCAAATATCGCAATTTCTCCTTAATTCTCTATTTTCATGTTTTAGCTGCTCTATAAACAATTTTGCTACTTCATCCGAATCTAATGCACTGCTGATTTTTTAATCAAATACACTTTGTAGTTTTTAAGCACTGTCTTTATGCTCATTTATTTTAACAAGCATTTCACTCATATGAATTTGACTTCTTTCCTTCATCAGCATTTCTACTTTTTGCTTTTCTCTTGTAATTTCTTCATTCAGTAGCTTATTTTCATCTATTAAGGGCTTTGTGATGTTTTAAATCTCTTTCATAATTTCTAAAGTACATTCCTAAATATTTTAATTATATATATTTATTAATAAATAAATTAAATTATTTCATTAAAAAAAATATCATTTATATTATTTTTATACATTTTTAATTGATTATTAAAGTTAGTCCATTTCTCTTCTGTGGTTAGATTCCATCTGATTAAGCATTTAGCTTTTCTAAATTAACTAGGAAGTAGCATCATTGTATCTTTCATTAAGATTTGAATTTTCTTTTAGGAGATTTTAGATCTCACTAAGAGTATGAGAAAGCTATTTTGATTTTTCATCTACTTGGGATTTTAGTTATGTGATGTCTTCTTTTTACTAATTAATTACTTTTTCTAAGTTATTATTGATGTGTTATTTTTGATTTTGATCTTTTTTCTCACTTTAAAAGGCGGCAACCTATGCTTAGAGATCGTCCACCATAAGTTATAATTCATTATTCTCTTAAATACTAATTTTTATTTAGTTATTTAGCAAGTTGTTTTCTTATCTTGACTTATTCAACTCTTCTTGCAGCTCATCTATTAAAACTTTAGATTAATTAGTCTTTTCCCTTAATGTTTGCAAAATCTCTTCTTTATTTAATATGCTTTGCTTCAAATTGTTTACCTCAACTAAATGAGAATTATTTTAGTTCTCTAAATTAAAGGAAATGCTTTCGTTTTAGTTTTTATTAATTTATTTTCTTAACTGAACTATAATTTCTTATTAATCTTCGATCTATTTTTTTTGAATATTGTTTATATTATTCAAAGTACTGCATTCAATTTAGAGATCTTAAAACATTTTCATTTAATAGTTAAATTTATTTTTTTGTTCATTCATATCTTAATCTTTTTATTCAAGCAACTTTTTCAACGTGAAGAATTCGCTTTTAATGTTATCAAATTCATTAATAAATTGATCCTTTTCTTTTAATTGTTGAGCTAGGTCATCTATTTTTTGTTTATAGAATTCTATTTAACCAATTGAGCAATCTGAATGCTTTGTATATTAGTCAAGCCTATTATTTTATTCTTAATTGTTATTGTTGCTATTATAAGAATTGTTTTGTTTGGTAGTAATTTAATTTGCTGTATTAGTCGTAGCTGTAGAATACAGATATTACTAATTAGGAGAGCTCTTAGAATGAGAATTATAAACATAATTGCAACCGCCTTGCTAATTTTGGTTGATATTAGATTTTATAGGAGTTGAAAATAAATTGGAACTCTTTTATTATTCAATTTTTGGATCGTTTTTATGAATTTTAGTCTAATAGTTATAATCGTTTTATTATTTGCTAAAACTACTATTTATGGAAGAGGTAACATTGATTATTTTTCCATTATTTGAGTGGCTTATTAAATTAGAATTATTCTCACAATTTTCTCCTTGATTAAATACATTAATAGGCTTATTAGAGATAAAATTGTTATTGCTGGTATTTAAATTACTTTTATTAGTTTAATAAATACTACTAGATTGGCTATTATCTAAGTCAGTTTGTTGTTAATCACCATTTACATTTTTGAGTTTGGAGGATGTTTTTTAAACACTGCTGCTATTAATACTACATACTACACGACTTAAATTATTTAAACTATCTTGTTTATTCAGGTTTTAATTATTGATTATATTTGCTTATGAATTATTTGCTTGTAAAATATTTTTTTGAACTTTTGGAGACTCTGCTTTTACATGAGTAGGATTATTTAAAATATTAGCGCTAGTAATTTAATTGCTACTTACTTTAGCAATACCTAAAATTGGACTACAACTTATATTTTCACCATAAGTAAATGATTTGTTTTTGTTTGGAGAAGCATTTTGTTAAAACAATAGAGAGAGATTAGGTTTTTAAGCTGTTTTTGATTGAGATGGGCTTCGAACTGGTGGTGTAAGAGTTCTTGGCCTCTCAATTTATGTCTTTACTACATCTTTGCTATGGACAGACAATATTTTTGGAATTCTATTTATTTATTGAATCACAGTTTATTTTTAAATGTTTGATGAGAAATTCTATTACTAATTATCAATTGCTTGTTATTTTTATGATATTTAGTTACTTTTTTCAGTAAAAGAGTCTTCTTGGCTGCTATTTACACGATTTTTGCTTTAACTGTATTGTTCGAATGTTTCTTTGTAATTTTTTAATTCTTACATATAATCTTAAAAAAGGTTCTCTCCTTTGAGTAAAGGGGAAATATTTCCAACATTTCTATTTGTTATATTAATTTATTCTAAGCTTCTATTTGTTTTATCCAAAGAATTGTTTTCGAACTGTTGCTCTTCCATAGAAGCATCTTAATTGATAAAACTAGAGTCTTCGTTTGTGAGAGGTGGATTCACTTATTAAATTGGTTGAGAAATATTTCTTTGATGCTTAGAAATAGAAGCTTTACTAATATTTTTGTTATTGGTAAATAAATATCCTTAATATAAAAATATGCATTTACTGTATGTCTGATTGATTTTGATTTCTGCTCTAAAACGTCAAGAGCTATTGAGAATCAATCTAGAAGCTATCATTTTGCTAATTCTATTTTACTACAAACTAAGATGATTAATTGCACTATTTATTGCTTTGGGAACTATCTTTCATGAAACTGCCCAACTATTGTTACATTCCAAACGAAATAGAATGAGACATATTCTAGGGTTTCATATGTCTAAAACTATAAATTTATATATTAAACCTATTTAATTATACTATTAATACTTTAATTGTTGAATTAATCTTCAATTAAATAAATATTAAACTAATTGAGTTGTTAATAATTTTCCAAAATAGTTATTTGAAGAATTGTAAGTATTTTATAATTACTGTAAATTTTAGCTGCATTTTTCATAACTTTTATTTTCCATGATTATTTTACCGTTAAAATAATAAATTCAAAAAAATAATTTGTTTGAGGTAGAAATCAATGTTATTATTAAAAGATCTAAATAAAGGTAATAAATACCTAAAAATTTACAAAATTTACAAGAAAAAAAACAACTAAATATTTTTCAAATTTTCTCTTGGAAATCATTTTTACTGATAAAAAAGCTAATTAAATGAAATAAAAGAAAAATATTTTTAAAAATTAAAATAATTTAGAGTTTTAAAATCAGTTTTAAGTTAAAATATAATATTTATAAACAAAATTTTTATTTATTTTATTGTTTTTCAAAGTAGACTTATGAAATTATCTTTAGAAGCATAGTTAGTTTATTTTTAATTTAATTAAATAAATTTGTATTTTTTTAAAAATAAAATGTTTTTTATGAAAATAAATAAACTCAAAAATAAAGAAAATATTATTATAAGTGTGTTTTTATAAAAATTTTATGATTATTAACAGAAATACTGTGTATTTATTTTTTTAAGTAGATCACATATTAAGTATTGTTATTACTTTGAGTAATCTCTAGGGAGAGAAAATTTACAACATTAATTATATAATATTTATAATTTTTTTAATATACAAAGTGAAAAGAAGAGAATGTCGTTAATTAGTGATTCTTAATCACAAAGGCGATAAATTTCAAAGAGTAAAAGCATTCATGAACATAACAGTTCTAAGCTGAATTTACTACCAGCTGAGATAAAAAAGTAAGGGGAATTTAAGAATTAAAAAAGCGAATCTTTAGCTGAATAAAAAAGTCAATTAAGTGCATAGTAAAAATTCAAAATGATGATTTAGTCTAATTCAAATAATGTCCCTCTACCAATTTCATAAAATTAAGGAAAAAACACAATAAATAATGATAATTTAGATAAATATAAAGTCAAGAAAAACAGCAATAGTAATATTAACATGAATCATCAAGTATAATAAAAGGAAAAAACTCCTTCGAGAGGAGTTTCTCCTAATGTTCATTATATATCTAAGGGAATATAAAGACCTAAATCTGTTTTACATTCAAGACAATCATCGTCTGAAAATATAAGTGGGATATCAGGAGTTTTAAACACTAACTAGAGTAATTATGCCTCCAATAACTTCAATAGTGGTGGAGGAGTTTAAAATATTAATAAGAAAAATAATTAACAAGAAACCAGTGCATAGAGAAGTAATTTAATTTCCACATTAAAATTTTACTAAAATTTATTAGATTTGTTTGTTTAATAGTTTGTGCCCTATCTAAAAACCAATTAATATTTTGCTATACTTTTTTAATTAATTAATTCAGTTGGCATCAGACAAATATCCAACGAAAATTTTCAAATAATTTATACTTAGCTAGCTTGATATTTACTAAAAAAGTTAAATAAATTAACACCATCAAAAATATAAAATAGGACTTACTCTCAAGAATTACAAAAATGAAAGGGTCAAGAAACATAATTCCAGCTAGAATGAAAGTTTAGAGCTAAAAGATTTAAAGAGAGAAGAGTCTCTAAAGAGACTAAAAGAGCTTGAAATATAACTAATAAGCAACAAGAATGAGCAATTTGGAATTTAGTCTTAGCTCAGCAAGAATAACAGCTACCTATAATTAAAGAACTTATCTTCTAATATTTAACTTTCAGCTCAAAAAAATAATAGTGCTAACAAAGATAACAGTGCAAATAAAGGCTTCAACTAGAACTTATATCTAAACGATCAATCAAATAGTAATAAATTTTCTAAGATTGATAAGATTTAGGAAGTATAGAGTTTTGTCTTTAATCCAAATTAGGATTTAGTATAAAAAAAAGTCATTGTGCAACCGCAAAGTGAGAAAAATAATCAAAATAAATTAATGCTTAACAACTCTAAAGAAAATATAAATTTAAATAGTAAAATATAGTAATCGTAGAATTCTTAAATGAGATTTTAGAATAATACAAACAATTAAGCTCCAGTGAAGCAAAAAAGTTATTCTCTTTATCAAGCTAACAATTAAGAAACACTTGGTTTTAATAGTTTTTCATCTAACAACAATAAATAAAGCAAAAATAAGTTGAATAATGCTAATAATGAATCACCTTAAAAAAATAAATATATAAATTAAGAATTAATTGTTTAAAAATAACTACTCCAACCAACAAAATAATATAATAATTAGCAATCTAGTAGATAAAAAACAGAATAAAATGATGATGTCAAAAAATAAACAGTAAACAAATAAATCCAAATTTTAAAAACTTAAGAAGACTTCGACTCTAATAGCTAAAAAAAGTCAAACATTATTCTTTAATAAAATAGCAAATCTTCTGATAATAGCAATCGTGAAAAAAATTAACTTGATAAAAATGCAAGCATATTTTCAAAAGAAAACAACAGCTAATATCCATCTTCTATATAAAATATTCCACCTGTATTTATGGGTGCTAATGTGAATAAAAGCATAAAATCATAAAATTAATAAAGTGGTAGTAAATAACTTAATAGTGCTACAATATAAAACAGTGGAAATAAAAATTATTACTATAATGAGAAATATATGTCAGATTCTTAAAGAAAAAAAGAGAGTATCCTTAATGATAAGAGTCCTAGTATGATTTCAAATAGCGGAGGAGTTATAGCTCCTAATAATAATGGTGTAGGGTATTCATAAATAACTAGCAAGTCAGTAACACCTGAGCCTATCTAAAAAAGCAAATTAAAACTAGATTCAAATAGAAATTCAATGCACATGATAAGAAATGTTGATAATCCTGTTATTAGTAAACAAGAAAGCATATTTAGGATAAACAATACAAAGACAAATAATAATAGCTCTTATAATAGTAACTCAAATATTCTTCCTACTAATATAACTAATGAATACAATTCAAATAATAAATCTTCTGAAAGACTCTTGTATCATCCATCTTAATCTACTAATGCTCAAAAAGCAGATCTAAGTAAAAGAAACAGCAATTCTTTCTTAAGAAAAAGTGCAAATAATGGTTTGCCTTTGGTTTCATAAGATTAATTAAGTTCCAGATTGAATTCTAAGTCATTGCATATAGCAAAACAAAAGCAAGATAGACAACAAAGTATTGAGATTAGTTAAGCTATTGATAATCATATATAAATTTAACAAAATTCTGAATAAAACGAAGATAATTAGCTTCAAATAAATGAATAGATAAAGTTAGAAAATGGTAATGGAGCACAATAATTACAAAAAAATCAATCATCATGTAAATAAATATTTGTTTTAATAAGTAAACTAAATTTAAATTTTTATTAAAGTGAGTGAATTAAGGTTGAGAAGGATAAGATAAGTTAATGCTTCCAACAGCAAACTAAATATAAAGCTTCCTAACATGAGTATGTAGTAAAATAGTCATAATCAGAGTATACAAAATACTGAACCAAGTGAAAATGGTAGATAAATAAAATCAATAAAAAGGGTTGCTAAGCCAAAGTAATTCAATCATTAAAAAGTTAAAATATTATATCAAAATATTCTATTTAAAATAGCTTATCATTGAATAGAATAATTGATGATAAAAGTGGTCAAATAAAAGAAGAAACAAAAAAGAGAATTTAACAAATTATAGAAAAGCAATTTAAAAATAAAAAAATGTTTGGAGCAGCTTAGTAAGCAGATAATCTTAGTACAGGATAAAATAATTTGCAGTAAAGCAAAGGAGAAATGGTAACAGATGAGCTTAAAGACACAGAGGAATAATAACTATACGGAGTCAACTATGATCAAGAAAAAGAGATAAAAGGATATATTAAAGGAGTATTTATTTTAAATTAATAAAATAATTTAATTTTTTCAATTTTATTTTTATTTAAAATAGTTGATGGATGTTCTAAAGAATATAAGCAGTGCTAAAAAAGTATAAAATCTACCTAGCTTAAAAAACTCCCCAATCAGAAAGATAAAGATGAAAAAGAGAGATAGCATCAGTATTTTATCGTCTTTAAATTAGAGCTTGTTTAACTCAGTAATACTCTTAAAATTAAAAAAAAAATATTTTAAGAATAAAAATTAAAAATAGGCCAATTCAAGTTTAGAAAGAAAAAAGTAAGGTATTGAACCCATTTCGAATAAAAAGTTGTAAAACAAGCTATCTGCTTCAAAATAAGTTGATTAGTTTTAAGATCAAAAGCTGAACAACTAAAATGAAGCTTTTGATTCTTTAGTAAAAGGAAAAAAAACAGAAAGAAAGAAAACTCCTTCCAGTGTTTAGAAGCAACTTGACTATTCAATCCCAAGTCAATATGTAAGCCAATAGAAATATGGGAATAACTAATCGCCAGAAGGGAGGAAAATAAAAAATGAGAATGGATTGTGTGAATAGGAAAAAGAAGTAGATTATTAACATATCATTCAGAATAGTGTGAGTAAAAGAGAGTACAATCCTTAAAATTATAATTACCCTGAGCCTATTAATTAAGAGATCAAGGAAATGAGTATAAAGAAAATGCAGTAAAGCTCGATAACTCATTTTCAAAATAGCTATAAAAAAGAGAAATAGTTCTACTATGAAGATTAGAGTCCTATAAAAACTATTAGCAATCCTAATGGGTCTTAAAAGCTTTCTTTAAATGATCTTAAAGAGGATTAATAAAATAACACTGAAAATAAAGTGCAAGAATTAGCTAATAAGCCTCTTATAGCCCAACCATACTCTGTAGAAAATTCTTCAAATTACTATTATTTTGTAGAGTCTGTTCCTCAAAGCTTAAACTAAATAAATGTAAAATAAAAAAATAATTATTTTTTTTATTAATTATTTTAAAAATTTTGTTAGGTGTAGTCATTAAATAACGATGATAAACAATAAATGAAATTATTACAAAAGAGTTCAGATGCAATTATAAATAGAGGTAATTAAATTTATATTTTTTCCATTTAAACAATTGTTTTAAATTTGCAATTTAGAGAAAAGGAGTGCATCTACTCATAGAATTCTTGGAAGGGAAAAACCTGTTGGAGAATTAAGATCTCTAAGATTAAATACTTCATAAAAAGAACGCTCTGCTACTATACATCATGGAGGTGAAGAGATTCCTAATGAAAATAATAATGATAACGAAGAAGGAGAATAATTAGGTGTATTTTGCACAGATTCGAAAAAAGAAATGCTTTTAAAGGTTAGAAGAGGTAGAAGTGTAATAAAGACTATTAATCCATATAAATCGGCTGAGAAAATTTCTTCAAATTTAAGAAAAAGTCATGAGAAATACAGCAATTAAAAATTAGGTTTAAGCCAAAATCGCTGTACTTCAGAACCTCGTGGCATCAATCATGATAGACTACCTTCTGCTTCTCTAGTTAGTGGAATTAATCAAGATGATGCTCAAGCTAGTCTAAATGATAACTAAAAATAGTTCTATTAAATTTCAAAGTAATAAAGAACTATTTCAGTTCCTAATTATAAATTCCTGCAACCAAATTATGGAAATCCTAACAATTTAACTGAATAAGACTAAGAAGAGAGTAAAAATGAAGCAAATTCTTAAATTCAAAATGCAAACTCATTTTAGTAAAATCAGCCTATTGCATTAAAAAAGAGTAGTGCAATGTCATTTGGAATTTAAGAAAAATAGGAAAACGATGAAGTTTTAAGTCGTGTTAACAGCTAAAAAAGATCAAATTATTAGAAGATGTGGATTGATCAAATTAGTTCAAATTTAACAGAATAGATTTCTACTAACATATAGATTGGTAAATAAGAGTACTAATCAATATAAGAAAAGCACCAACAAGGACAAAATATATAAAATTTGAAGCCAAGCAATAATAATAATAATAATAACAATAAAATTTATATAAATGAAATGCAACATAAAAAAATTGTAGGATCGTAAAACTAGTCTGGATGTGAATCACCATTTGTCTCTTACTAATCTGTAATAGCTGGAGTAGTACCAGAATAGTAAAAGAAAGAATCAGATTTGACTGAACTTGTAGAACTTTTAGAAGATGAATAGTTGGATCATTAGACATGGAAAAAGAAATCAGGAAAAAAAGGAAATGTGGCAGCGATTCACTTCACTCCATCAAAAAGAGTTATAACTAATCAGTCTCATAAAACTGCTCACTGCTCATTTATTGATGGAAATGAAACAGTTAGGACGGAAGTTATTGGACCAATAATACAATCACAGTTATTTTTTTAGGATGAAAACGAAAATGAGGTAAGCTAAATTACTCCATAACAGATGAATTAATTCAAGTCGAGGAATTCATTTTTGAGCTTTGATTTGATGTAAGAATTGAATCTTAGACGCTCTAATTAAAATTTACTAGGGCACTCAAAGAATTAGAATAATTTGAATCCAAGCTCTATGATAAATTAAAATTATGCAATACAACAGTATATGTTAGCTAACCACTACTAGCCTTCACCATTAAAAAACCAAAAAAGTTAGCAATAACAGTAGACTCAAGTCTAATAGCTTTTCGAAAACATACAAATAAAGTAAAATCAGGGAATTTAAAGCAGTAGTAGGAACTCAATGTCTTCAAAAGAAAGAATACCCATTTCAGTAGCTATGAATTATTAGTAGGATTAAAATTAATAAGAAGCAAACTATTAAGGATATGACTATAACCCAGATTATGAATTGTAATAAAATTAATATGACTAAAACTTTGGAAATTAAATAAGTTATCGTTCACGTGGATATTTTAGAAAACCACCTACACACAGATCGTACAAAAGTAAAATTAGCAGCGAAGATAATAGCAATGTTTAAAATAGCCACAAAAATACTTCAATTAATTCCTATCAAGATAATAAGAACTAAGGAAATAATATCAAAATTTAACAATACGAAAAACCCCCAACTCAATAGAATAAATTATTATCTTAGCAAATCGAATAACAGCAGCAATAGTATTAAAATGTTCTATCAAGAAAACAGACACTAAGCGATAATTTAGGATTAGAGAATAAACTCTAAAGATAATCTTCATATGATAATTAAAAAAGAAACAAGATCGATCAATAGATTCTACCAAATTAATTTTAGCAGTATCAATAAAAACTAAACGATAATCCAATAACTTAGGGCAATTAAAGACAACAATAATATAATCCAGAAGAATATAAGGTAAACAAATAAAACGAATCTGAAAACGAAGAGAGAATACTAGATTTACTGCTTTTAGATACTCATGAATTAAAAGATAAACTAAGAGAGTAACCTACACGTAATAGACTTAAAAATGATATTAATTCAAACAACTATAACGATATAGTTAAATCACTTCCTATTCCTCCTGAACTACCTCCTAATAAAAACATCTTTTAGGAATACAATTAAAAAATTTTTTAATATGACCATAATTTATAATGAACAAACAAATAAAAAAATAAAAAATTTCTTAAATCCTCTTAACATTAAATTTTAAAATATTTTTTAAATATTTACATAGAAAATATCTAAAATAAATAAATAATAAAAATTTCATTTTAATTAATTAAAATTGTAAATAAAATTTCTGCTGAAAATAAAGTACTTAAAAATGTATATATATTATCTGTTTACTAGTTATTAAAAATTTTTAAAAATTCATTATTGATCAATTTCAAAACATATTTATTTAAAAACTCCTTTTTTAATGTTATAAAATGATAATAAATAATTATTTAAATTCTTGAAAATATTTTTTAAGAGTTGATTTAATATAATTTTTGCTAAGATTATTATAGAAATAAGTGGCAAATTATTAAGAAAATTTTCATGAAGTAAAAAAAGAGATAATACCATTAATAATAATGAAATGCCAAATTAAAAATCAATAAAGGGATATAAAAAATTCGTAACTTATTAGAAAAAATAAATTTACTAATCTAAAAAAATTATTCTTTATGATATTTTTCATTTTAAAATAAATAAATTATTTTTATGGATGTATGAGCATGTTTTAATTTATTTAAAATGATAAATTAGATTTGAGTGATTTAAAATTTCATAAATAATTTATCTATTTCTTAAAGCTTGCTTACTTTTATTTAAAATAAAAATTTTAACAATTTTAAATTTTATTTCAAAATTCAATTTAGTTTACACTTTAATGTAGATTATTATAATAATACCTACATTTCTTGTCTCTAGTTCCAATTTTTATTTTGGTTTATTTCTTTGAAATTATTATAAAATAAATTTAATTTAAACTTAAAACTCCAAAATATACCTAACATTAAAATTTCATTCTCTCTATATTTTATAAAAGAAAATGTATTGATAAATTATTATTAAAGTTATTAAAGATACTTACATTAATAGTAAATACTTAATTTATGTCTACCAAGTAAGTTAAAATTTTTCTTACAATATAAAGATCTTGTTTATTTTAATATGATTACTTTTTTTACAAGACGATTGTGATTTTGAGTATTTAAAATTTTCCCTTTAAAAGATAAGACTGTAAATTTTATTAAAAATAGATAAAAGCATGTTGGCAAACAAACAAAATTATGCATTCTTGGATCAACTAAATAGAATGTTACTAATTATAAATTAATTCAGTAGTTAATTTGTGCATAAATCAAATAAGAATTAATTACTTTGAACTACTTCGATATATGACTAGATTTTTTGATGATAGATGATTACTATACTTTATAATAAAAAAGATCTCCAAAAAATAAATAATAATAACTGCTAAATTAAATATTTTTTTTCTTTATCACTACAAAACAGTATATTATACTTAACTATTAGCTTATAAATCAGGCGATAAATGAATTAGTCAAAGACTTAAAATTCTTAGCAAGCCCCTATAACAGACGATGAAAAACAAAAGCAAGTATGATAAATTAAGTTTTAAAATATCAAATGGAACTATTAACTAAAACATACAATCACGAATATTTAAGAACCATTTTGTAAAATTAATAATAGAAAAAAAAGATAGTAGAAATTTTAAAAAAACCACCTCTTACAAGGTTATAGTCTCAATTAGTATAGCTGCAAAAAGCAACAGAAAATATAAAATTCTTTAAAGAGTTGAATGAAAAAGAAAAGGATGATGAGATTCACAAATAATGCTGCTAATATATGATGTATGAATAACATCCAAAAGGACATCCTGTCATAGTGATAAGTATTATGATTAATTAATTTGTTTATCGCATATATGAATTTAAAAAATTCTTAAATATTCAAATGATGTTATTGATTAATGCTATCTATTTTTTAATGTATATAGATACTGTTGGAGATAAATTTTATATTATATTAAGCGGAAGTTGCTCTGTTCATATAAAAAAAAATCAAGATGATCAATCTGAAATTCCTGAATTAATTAAGGTTGCTGTAATGCCAACAGGAGCTGGATTTGGTGAACTAGCTCTTATAAGCAATAAGCCGAGAATGGCAACTATTATTTGTGAAGAAGATTGTGAATTTTTAACTCTATAAAAAAGACCTTTTGACAAAATTCTTAAGAATAAAAATCAAATAAACTCAAAACTAGCATATTTAGAATCACTAGCATTTTTGCAGGAAATAAACAAAGGATACTTAAGAGATATATATTCTAGATCAGATTTCAAGAGCTTTGTAAATAAATAAAGCGTATTCCTAGAGGGTGAGGAAGCAGATGCTATGTATATTGTTACAAAAGGCACCTTTAAAGTATAAAATATTTTAATTAATTTATGTTAATTCATGTTTAAATGTTAAATTTCAAAAAGGCTATGAAAAAATTTTATGTGAAAGGTCCACAAGAGAATGATTTAAGCTAAAAGAGACTCGAGGATTAGGCAATAGAATAATTCAGAGTAAAAGAAAAAAAGCTAGAATTTAAAGTTATGCAGGTAATAACATTTTAGATAAAATTCAATAGTACCTCGAATCAAATTAATTAATTAATTAATTTATAATTTTATATTCTCAAATTTAAATACATTTAATAGAAAAACATAAATAATCATGTAATAAATTAAATATTCAATTTTACTATTTATAGATTATGACATTTAACTAAAATGAGTATTTTGGAGAAGAAGAACTAATTGAGAAAAAAAACAATTTTGTTGATAATAAAGAGAGCTCTGATTCATCAAAAAGATCGTACACAGTAATTTGTGAAAGTGTTGAAGGAGAGCTATTAAGAATTAGAAAATAATTATTTAGAGCTAAAGTTATGGGAGATTATAATGGAGAAAGATATATGCTTGAGCATGTTAGATAAAAGAAAAATATGTTAAAAGCTAAGTGCTAATAAGTACAAGAGCAAGTTGATAAATTCTGGAAATATTTAAAAGAAGATAGGCAATAGCTTTAAAATAACTTATAATTAGAAGAAGAAAGTAAAAAGCGTAAGCTTATTGCAGATTAATTCTCCGACTCATCATCTTTCACAAATTTGGATGATCATATGAAGGCTTAAAAACCCTCTTAAAGAAAATTGCTAAAGAAAGGTTCACTTAATTTAGATAACCAAATAGTGTAATTTATGACGGGAAATGATTTGTTAGAAGATAAATAATTAACTAGGAAAGGTAAAAAAGATGCCTTAGATAAACGATATTCTTTAATAACATCAAACAGAGAGCTTTTAAGTTAAAATTTGATGGCTATGATTGAATAGCACGTTAATCAGGGTAACAACAGCACTAAACCTTAATCTTCTAAAAATATACCAGTTTAATTAAATCAAAGAAAATCTCTTGCTAACTTAGATAGTGTTTCTTAAAAATAATTCTCTGAGGGTCTGTAAAAACTAATAAATTAGATGAGTAAAATTTTTATTTATTTTTATGTTTTATTTGTTATTCTTTTGTCTTCTTTTAGCTAACTACTACAAATAACACTAAAAAGAATTCTTTTTTTGAAGAAATTAATTAAAGCAAATTTAGGAATGACTTCTAAAACAATTTCAAATAATAGCTTTATTATTTTTTAACAATGATCATTTAATATATTATTAGAGGATAAAGAAGTAATTGAAGAAGAGGGCAATTAAAACTAAGGCAAAAGCAAAACTAGCTAAAACTTTTTTTAAGAAGTTATGATCACTTAATTTATTAATCAAGGCTAGTAGAACCAAAATAATTAAAGAAACAGCAAAATTTTAGATGAGAAAAACTAATTTCTCAAATAATTAATTGAGAAGCAAGAAGCAAAATAAGTTTAATAGCCAGCTAACTCTTAGTAGAATTCTCCTTTCAAACAGATAAAAGAGTTATCACTGCAACAATAATAAGAAATATTATTTGAACTTTTCTAAAATCATCCAAGCTAAAAGGAACAAATCAAGCAAAAGAAATACAGCATAGCAAGTAATAATGAAAACCTCATGTAAACAATTTCTAGCAGAGAAGATAAAAACATAAACTTAATGGGATTAGATAATCGAGATATTCCTGTGAGTAAATATGAAATGTTCAAAGATATAATTAAAATTGAAGAAAAGAGAGAATTCAAATTCACAGATGATACTAAAGATGATATCGTAACCAAAAAGCAGATCCAAAAAATGCCTTATAAAAACTATTTAAAAGAACAATAAGAAAAAAACTAAAATAAACTATTTCAAAGTCTAAAAAAGAAAGCCACAAAACACATTAAAATAGATGCAAGTCAATCAAAAGACGAGCATAATATCGTCTTTATTGTACATTTTTTATTTTATTTAATTTATCATAAAAATATTTTTTCTAATTTAATTTAGGAGCCTTACAAATCACTAAATTCAAGTCCAAATTTTAAGAATTTCCCATTAAATAACATCTAAGAAAATAATAATCAATACTTTTTCAATGGAAATATACCTCATCACCAAAGCTTAAATCAGTTAAGTCCAGCTATAACTCCTGAATAATTAAATGCACCTAGAGCATAAATATAATCTTAATAGGACTAAACAAGAAAGTCAATATCAATTAATATTTTATAAATAGATCCTTCAAAAAAATAAGCTGGGCCGTTATCTCCTAAAATCCACCCCAGCAGTAACAAAATCAATATGATAAAGAAGAATTTATTTGAAACTGTAACTTAAATAGCTAAAAGTGAATAGAAAATAAAAAAAGGAACAGTTCCTTTAAGTGAAGATCAATATTATCACACTAAAAATAAATCTTAATGTGAATTATCCTATCCTATTACTATACGCTCCTAAGCTTTTATGACGCAATAGCAGCAAGATGATCTTTTCGGGGCTAGGTCTTAATCTTAACATAATTTGATAAGCTGCAATAGTAGGGATAACATATAGTCTGGCGGTAACTAAAAGCACAAACTTTAATCTATGTAATCAGGAATAATATCTCCTATAGAAGAGGAATGCCTAACTTCAAAGAATATAGAGTATAATGACTAAAATGATGAATAGAGAGTAAATCCTCAATAAGCTCTTTAGCACAAAATGAGCATTCCATCATTAAGATTTATAAACCACGAAAATTAATCTCCTGACAATCATACTTCATTAAAGTCTATCCCAAAGTTTTTACCCACTCAAGGTGATAGTCCACAAGGCTAAAGATAGGAATATTATATTGGATAGGTAAACTCTTTACCTTAAAATAATCTAACAAAAGACACTAAATAAGCTAATCAACCTACCACTACAGAAAATTTGATGAATTAATAACGAAACTAAAAGCATTTTAGTTTAAATTTAAGAAGTGCTGGGTCTCATAGAGTAATCAGATAAAGTTAAAATCCATCTATAAGTACACCGAATGATTAAGTTTAAAACAATTCTAGAATATCAAAACTGAATGAACTTAGTTAAAATACAAGTGTATCATCACCTATTGGCATGCAAAAAAAGAATTTATCTCTTAAAATTATTAATGGAAACAGTTTGTTTAACAAAGATAAGAATGGTGGTATAGTAAGTAAATAAGTGGCCAATAACTTCAAGTCTGCAAATATATCAAATCAGAATAGTAACAGTAATGATAAATCATTACAAGGTCAACACACACCTGTATAAGAAGAAGAAAGAGAAGAACAAACTCCTATTGCTAACATGTTATATACTACTCCTAATACTTTTGCAAAAACTCCTTAAAATTCTAAATTCAATTTAAATAATGAAATAAGTAGCTCATCATACAAAGCAAATGGATATGGAGGAATGCTTACTACAAATATTAGTGGGGATTCTCCATAAGTACAATAAATACAGTACCTTTAAAGAAAATTTACCTATGACTCCTCAGGAAAAAATTCTAAAGAGGGAGGTAATTCTAGTAATAACAATAGACCAACATCAGGAAACGCTGAAATTAGACCATATTCTGCATTAAATAAAAATAAAGAAGGTACAAACTTGTTCTTTAACTTCCCAAATGCAAACAATTTCGTAAAGAGCTCTGCCATTAAAAAGTAAAAGCTCCTATCTCCTAACAGTTTCAACAGCACTGTGAGCGGTAGTCCAAATCTAAATTCAAGAAAAAATATATCAATAAAATAAATATAAGATTTAAAAAGAAAAAGTTTGTAAAATGAGATAGGTCCAATAAAGGCCTTATGTGGAAATGGAGCAGCTAATCATTCTCAAAGTTTTACAAACCTTCCTTAAAATACAAATGAAAATACAGTAACAAATTCAATCGCCCATCTAGCCTCTCATAATGGGCATAGAAATAGTAACTATTAATTATCTAATATGTAGTATTAATTAAATGATGTGAATAATATAAATGACTTGAAGACTATCTAACAAAAATACAACAAATCAGATTTTTATTAATCAAATCATAAACCCCTAACTTTATTTGATGGATTTGAAGATATTCAAGAATCAGTGAAGTCATAAATTAAGCCCCCAATATAGATGAACAAGCGCTTTTAAAAAGGCTTTAGTATTACACACACTAATAATTTGAGTCATAGATGATTTAAATATCTTTTTTAATTAAAACAAAGTATTTTTAAAAAATAAATATTGTGTATAAACAATATCTAAGATAGATAAAAAGAATAAAATCCATCAATTAAAGAATCAAAAAATATCTTTTTAAAGAAGAGTGTTTCATAGTGATTAAATTTTTTTTTATCCAATCTATTTATTTTTCAAATTTTGTTAATAAAATATAAATTTTTTAAATAAATAATAACTTGAGAGAATATAAAGGATATATATATACCCTATAAAAAAAGCTTAAAACATAAAAGTGTAACATTATTTTTACAATTTATAATATTATTTCTAATAAACTAAAATACTTTTTATATTTCATCAACTTCTAACTTGTATTTGTATATTTATATTTTCTATTAATTTTTAAAGACAATTTATTTTTTGAACTTTTAAAAGTTATTTGAAAAAAATAATATTTGGTGATAATTGTGATTAATCAAACATTAGAATTTTGCATTTCGATAAATAAGTTATTATTTATAAATATCATATCTCTTTTATTTAATAAATTTTTTTTAAATACAGTTTTTTTAAACAACTAAATTGCTTCAACAACTAATTATATTTCATGAGAATCATGTAAGTTAGTAAGAGAGCTAAGATATTAGATATTTTATATATTTTTAAAATACTATGGATACATTTTGTTCAATATTTATTTTGTTTGTATTGATATAAATTTGGATTAGCATCAAAAATAAAGTCAAACATTAAAAATTTGAAAAATGTATTTGATTAGTTAATAATATTTTAATTTTTCTTAAATATGAATTTTATAATATGTCGGTAATTATTTCGAGAGATTAAAGACAACTTTGAAAAAGTAGTATTTTATACCTTTAACGATTGTTTAAAGTGTTAAACACTTTTTGTACAATATTTAAAATATATGAAATGCCAAATTATTCATACTTTTAAATAGAAAATTTAATATTACAATAGAAAATAAGTCATATTATACTAAAAATAAAAAGTCAAAGTAATATAAGTAAAATAATTTAGAAATCACGCAGTCATTTAAGCATTTAAAGTAATAAAATATCAAAAAAAATTTTAAATTATTCTTCTCTATTTTTATCTATTTGGGAAAAGTTCCAATAAGAATGCTCTCAAAAATTCAAAAATTTCTTTTTTAATCAATTTATTAACAAATTTATCAATAGTTAATTAATAAAAATAGATAATTTTGTGAATCGAAGTTGATTTTTTAATAAAAATACTAATTAACACATAAAAAAATTTAAATCAAAATTAATCTTGATTTAGTCGCTTTAATAAATAGTGATCTATCTCTCGAATACCATACAAAAATATTCAAATAACAGAGCCTTTTTAATATTTACATGCTAATATTTAAAATTAAGATAGAGAGATTTCGCAAAAAGAAAGCTGAAGTGTGAAGAAAACAAAAATTATTTTCAATGCAAAATTTAGATTTTTAATCTGAATGAAATATAATTAATAATCTATAGATACAAATAGCGTCATAGAAACTGTCAAGAGAGACTTATAATTGGTAATAAATAAGATTTTTTTATGGATATAAAAAGCAATATTTTTAATCAATAAAAGAAAAATTTAAATAATATATTCAAAAGATTTGAAGTAATTATAAAGCTTACAAATAAATAGAAATAAAACCTTCATATATAGGGTTAAGATTCTACGAAAGAAAAAAAATTGTTTATTTGATTGGAATTAACATTTATATTTAGATTTATATATGTGCATTTATATAATTTTTTTGATTAATAATATTTATGCTTATAATATTATACTACTATTTTGTTAATATTTTCCTGTGAATAGTATCAATAAGTTATTTTAAGCCCTTTTTTGCTTTCTTTTTAATCTATCCGGGCAAAAAGAGATAGATCAATAATAAAGATAATTTATTAGTTTGAATATTTACCAATTTTTTTTCCCATCACCAAAATCTCTTCATTACCATCAAAAGATAATAATAATCCTGAAAATTAAAATTTAATTAACAATAAATATTAAATATTAGCTTAATAAGCTATTTATTAATGTTCACTTTTGCGTCCAAAGTCTTGAAAAGCTAGAATTGTGTTAATTAATGGGAGTAGTGCAGAAATCACTTAATTATAATTTTTGCTTCAATTTTTTTTAAAAAGATTATTATTTTTTAATCAATTATGGATTTATTTTTACAAACAACCATATCATATTTACTCAAAATAATCTAATTCATAATGGTAAATACACGATTACTTTTCGAATGTAAAGACTTGTTCTTACTTAGATAAGACAAGCAAATTAGAGTTAGTTGAGTATCTGAAACTATAAAGGGCTAATATAAAACATTCTTTGGAAGAGAGGAAAAATTTTCTTTTTTTGGAGCTTGGATGGAAAAATATATTTGGTAAGGTTAGTCAGTCGTTTCTTGTTATTTAATTAAGAAAAAATTGATTGATTTTGATTTGAAAGTTAATCAAGCAATATACGTTTCTTAATAAATTTATTTAATATATTTAAAAATTGCAAATTATTCACCCATAGTGAAAAAAGTAATAGAGGTTATTGAGAATGTTATTATTGGGTGAGGAGAAAAAATTTGTACTATTATTTGTTATTATTGTTGATATTTATTTGATTTAATTATTTTTTATGTAAATGGTTATTTTGTGAGATCAGTTTTAAATATTCTGTCATTAGAGCCTAACAAGATATTTTCACATCTGAGCAATAAAAGCAGTCAGCCAGCAACTTAAATCGGTTTGTTTGTAATGATTTAACCTTAATTTAGGTGCATGATTGGAAAAATGAAGTTTAGATATTTATATTTGTTTTATAAGTTTTTTTGGTAAGTATGTATGTAATGTTTGTATAATTATATGATTTTATGAGTATATGTATGTATTTATATCATTTTGGTAAGGAAAAATTTAATGCTTATATAGTAGTCTCAAGAGAAAGTAATTAATATATAGTTTGAGTTTATTATGGAAAATTAGTAGATTTTTATTTGAATAAGATACTTTTTGTGTTTTATCAAAAGTTTTTTGCTTAGTTGCATTTTACGCCATAGTTATTTTAATTTATTTAACCATTTTGGGGCAGCTTGATATCCACAGAAATATCTTTAAGGGAAAGAATATCCAGATTAGGGCTGTTGAAATGTGATGATTTGTAAGTCGATTCTTTTACAGCAGCTTCATCTAGAGAATTATCGTTGGTGCTTTCAGAATATTAATCGCTTTAAGGAGTTACATTTTACTTGTAAGAAGAAGCTTAGCCTTAAGTAGGGCTGAGGACACAGGCTTGACGTTAGCTTAAGAAGCTTTAAATTAATTGTTTACTTCCTTTTGGATGCTATCTTTTTTAATTTAACTTGCAAATGGCGTGAAATTTATAGATGCCTCTTTTTTGTGGGTCATCATCACAATCAACCTTTTAGGGTATCACATTATGCCTGATTTTTATAACGATAGTAGGTTTCTTGTCCATTAAAGGGGGTGCAGAATTATGATCATAGTTATTATCAAGATCAGCCATTTCGCTCGTTTGTTTGATATCGATAGATTGATAAATAGATTTATAGATTGATAGATAAATAGATATGTTAGTGATTTAGTATATAATTTATATTTTAAAAATAGTTTAGTAAGTGATTTAGTTTGTTAGTTAATTAGATTGTGATTTAGCTTCTTTTTTATTCAATGTTATAATTTTTTATTCAGTATTAAACAAAATATTGGAAATATTAATTATTATTATTATTATCATTTATCTTTATCACTTTTATAAACCTCTTTATCAAAATATATATTAAAAAATATTTATTTCAAGAGGATTTTCTTTTCCTTAATTTAATTAATTACCCTGATTTTTCTTTCTAATTATCATGAATTATAAAAATAAAAAATAACTCTAAAATCCATTAAGATGGCTCTTTATTTATATGTATATATTGAAAAAATAGCACCACCAACTATTTATTTATTTATTTTCTTCATTATTAAACTAGAATCTAATTCTAATAGAAAGAGAAACATAAAAAGAAACTAAATCGAATTCTCTCTTTCATGTTCATTTGAATATTATTAGATAAAAACTAAATTTGAATGAACATTATCTGTTTGATTAATTGATCAATTGTTTAAGATAGTAATTTCAATTTTTAGAATCCCCATAACTATTCTCTTTCTCTAATAAAACTAATAAATTTTCCACCTTGCAATAAATATATTGTTTGTTTCATTATTTATTTCATTTTCCTCTCATTATAAATAAATACTAATTCTATCAGCATTATTAGCTTTTTCATATACCTTAATCAATTATCTCATACTATTTTTTGATAGCAAATCCAACCATTCTCTTTCAGTTTTTGGTGAATATCATTCTCACTAATAAAGATTATGCATTTTTTATTCTAATGTGAAAAAATTTTTATTTATATAGATAGCAAATAGAAGTACAAAATACGTAAATTAAATCTATATAGATAAAAAATGATCCTTTTTTACTAAAGCTTTAAAATTTTTAAGTCTATTTTGGATGCCACTCAATATTATTTTAAAGCTTATCAGACAACTTTTTTTAAAAATTTATAAATTTTGCTGTTGTATCCTAATAAATATTGTATTTTATAAAAGGCGATTAACATTAAAATTTAACTTAATTAAATAAAAGATATTTAAGTAACTTAAAAAAAATCCTAATTTTAAAAATATCCTTTCATTTTTTATAAAAACATTTACTAGCTTAGTTTAAAAACTCATGTTTTTTAGTAAAACGAGTTTATTTGTAAAAATTATTTCTTAACTATATTTTGCTTATATTATTTTTTAAAGCTATTGAAGTAGCTTATAACTTGATTAAAACCCAAAATATGTTCTCTGAATCAAAACTGAACAGAATCTAAAACTTATTTATAGATTCTAACAAAATTTGGGAAAAAATTTTCCTTTTTATAGTAAAATAATATAATTTTAATAAAACTGGCTATGTTTGAGTAGGATTTTCATTAAATTTAGCAGTATTTCTTAGAAATTAGTATTTATTAAATTTAAATATTGAAAATATAAATCTTCTATTTTAAAAAACTATGGGTAAATGAAGATAAATTGAAGAATATTTAATTGACTGGGTACATAAAAAATAGTGATAAATACATTCAAGTGCATTTTTCATTATTATCAGATGAATTTATCGCATATTTTATTTAAATTTACAATACTTTGAACGCTTTTTGAAAGCAAAATAAAATTAGTCAGATTTTAGTTTTTATAATTTAAAAAATCGAATAGCTTAGATAACAAACAAAAAACAAATTAATTCTGTGATCTGCAGATTATTTAAAAAAAAGGCGGGAATATTATTAATTTTTTACAAAGAATGCCTGGAGGTTCATGTAAGATTAAACAAAAGGAGATAAGAGTTTTTTTAGTGGTATTTAAATTAATAAGACGCAAAAATTACATTTTATAGAATTTTAATCCAAATTATTTATCAAATATTTTGCACTTTTAAGAAAAATGTATCTATTATTTATATTTATCTTTTTTTAAAGTATCTTAATAAATAGAAGATCAAAATCTAACATTTATTATCTATCACATATTTGACTTAAAGGCAAAAATTTAAATTATAATAATATCATTATTTAATGATAATGATAAAGTATTGAAATTAACCATAAAATACTATTTGAAAAGTTAATTTCAAATAATATTTTTCTTGAAAAATTAATTGTCATTTACTTATTCTTACCAAAAATTTAAAGACTAATTTAAATGAGAAAACGCTTTCATAATGTAAATTCATTAAAAAAATGCATTTATGACTGAATTACGCTTAAATTCTTAGTAAAATAAAAACTGTAGAAATTTTTAGAAACAAAGTTACAAACAAAAATTTCTTTAAAAATTAAATTAATTTCGTTTTAAAATTTTTTTGCAATAAGCAAAAAGTAAAACAATAAAATTTTATTTTACATTTCAATTAAAAGATAAAACAAATAGTAATCATTTTTATGTTTTAAAATTACTTTGAAATCAATCTTCAATATTTTTATCTCTCATAATCAAATTTAAGAAATTTGATATAAGCATATTTACTAATTAGCTTTTTTATATCAATAGTGGATACATAGCTACTAAATTTATTTACAAAAATTACAATCAATAAATTTTAAATGGGTTGTTAACTTATATAAAATTTTTAAAAATTAACATTTTTTCATAAATTAAATATTTTTTAAGATATCTACTTTTAAAATTTTTTACTTTATATTTATTTACTTAACTATGCAAACCTTTTATAATTTAATTATAATTTCAAAATTTTATTGATTAACTATTTTTATAATTTAGGTTTTGTTTATTAAAAATCATTTTAATGTTTTTTTTAATTATTTAAGATAAACTTAAACTCTAACAAAAAATATGAATAACACAGATTAAATAATATTCTCTCATATTATTAAAAATAAAACTTAATTTATTTTTATGTCTTTATTTTAATGAAACTAAATTCTAAAAATGATTTTATTTACTTAAAACATTACTTTCATAATGGTTAATTAAAATTAAGCATATTACAATTAAATATTTAGAAATTATAATTTTAAATGTTTTGAATAATCTTTATCTTGAAAATTGTATAAATTAACTATTAAATACTATAAGACAAATAAATTAGATTTTAATATACTTTATAAACCGAATTATCTATGTTTATTAAGTTAGACTTATTAAGAGTGTAAATAAATGGAATACACAACAGAAGTTTTTTCAAAAAAAGTTTGTTTGATGAAAAATAAAATTTAGGTGAATTAATTGATATGGAATAAAGGCATAGCAATCGATTCAAATGCTAGTAGATAAGTTAATATTTTTACATTGTTGAGTTTTGCAGTTGATTATAAATAGAAAAGAATTAATAAAATTAAAGGAGATATAGCTCTGGAGTAAAATTTTAATTAACTTCTGTCAACAAAATTTAAATAGAAAGGAACTAAAAAAACCAACAAACAAGCTAACAGCAATAAAAGAGCAAAAGATAAATAGTACAATAATACAAGATTAAGTTTGAATATTTAGATAAAGACCCCGATTTCATAGCCAAAATATTATTGCTCACTTCTCGTTATTTTAAAAAAACTTTTATCAACTAGCTCATTAAAAAAATTTAGTTCTACGAAAGTAGGATTAGTTAGTGCAAAAAAAAAACATAAATAAGCATACAATTAGATAAGAATTTCAATATCCATCTGAAAAAAAATGGATGATAAAAATGAAAAAGAGGGAAAAGATATTACGGATGAGTAGGCAGGAATAACAAAATTAATAAACGATATAAAAATTATGATCTTTGAGATCGTAATAAGTTTACTCAAAGAAGAACCTATTTTGTTAATGGGGCGCTCTATTCTGATAGGGCTAGAAACTATTCAAGTTGCTAGCTATGTTTTCGAGCCTCAGTTGGTAAGTTTATGGAAAAATCCAGGCTTTATAAATGTCATTCAATATATAATGAGATACACAAGAATTGTGCCTTTTTTAGAAAATCTAACATTCTCTGCCTTTTAAATTGTCTTCTTCATGACAATCTTCTTTTTAGTTATTGTTATATTTTTACTCATTTATATGATTCTAACAATTCGTAAAAAGGCTTAGATATTTGGCTCAGTGAATAGCTTTGTTAGATACTTTTCAGAGTTTATTTGCTCAATTCTATATATTCCGCTATTAGAGCTATTCCTAATTGTTTTTAAGTGCTCCAGTCAAACTTAAACTACCTCTTCAGCATCCTCAACTAATTCCGCAATAGTCACAACCACTGTAGTAAATGGTGGAGCTTTATATAACATAGTTTGGCCTGATACTCAATGTTACACAGGTAAAGAAATCTAATATAAAAAATTTGTTTTCCATTTAACAAAAAACTATTTAAATTTATTTGAATTCACATAAATGCTAGTTAATCAAAATTTTTAGTTTCGATGAAGCAAGAAATTTATTTATTCTACTTTTTTAATTACTAAAATAGGAAATTATATTGCTTTTGTTTTACTTGGAAGTTTGTTTTCTTTGATGATACTCATTTACACAACTATTATCACCCTAATTTATTTTGAATGCAGACTTACAACAACTGATTGTAATTCAAAATCAACTGCGAGAGGAGACTTACTATTTCTACTATTTAAGACTACTTTAGTTGTCTAATTTACATTCTTGACATCTAACTCATATCAAGTTATCATGATCTTCATTTATTCAATTGTTTCTGCTTGGTACTTTAGCCACTTTAGCTTTAACTTATTTTACAATCATTACTACGTTGCCAAATTAGTGACGGCTAAATCTGCTATATGTATGTGGACATCACTAGTAAATTAATTTTATTTTTATTTAATTCAACTTTAAATATAATTATTAGATGCTTATTCTAGCAAAGCTGATGGAAAACTATGCATTTGATGGAACGCCTTTTATTTGGATTATAGGAATGCCTTTTATTGTTTTAATTGTAGTGATCAGATAAGATTAAAATTTCGAATACATTTTAATAAATAGCAACAACTATGAAGTATTATCTTAGCCTATGTGTCAGCTTGTTTATTTAACTAAATTGCTCAATCTTTATCACACTGACAAAAGTATAGCGATTCTTGTCGACGGTTTTCTAGATTTTCACAGGTCATTAACAAGTAAAGAAGATTCACATACAAAAAGGAGAGTTTTAAAAACAACAAAATTCTCAAAGATGCTTCGGGAAAGAGGTGAGTGCGAGCAAGTTATTATGGTAATTGCCGTACTATAAGGTATAACTAGAAATTTCATCATCTACTTAATAATTTTTAATATATTTTTTAAAATTAACATACAGGTATGTATTATTATGGTCTCTAAAAATTCCCCAATAATACTAGGTTAAGAATTCTTTATGCTTTGTATTTGTTAGATAAAATGCTTTCTAAGTAACAAGCTTTGCAAGAACTGTTAAATGCTGAAATAGAAAGGCCTGCATTCGATGAGTCCTTTATCATTTACAGGTAAAATTAATTTAACACTTCATAATAAGGTTTTACTTTATTTTTTTTATAAGATACAAACAAATTATAGAAAATTCATTAATGGAAAGGACAGGAATGGATGGTAAGAAAGGAGATAACTTTGAAATGGTTAATGAACTTTCAGTTTAAAACCATTTGAAATAGTGTCGCTAAAATGTAGAAAAAAGTGCAAATTTGCATATGGAGTTTTGGTCATAGCTTAGTGAAGATTCACCTGATTTAGGTATAATAGTTAGTATATTATAAATATTTAATAAAATTGATTGTTTTAAATAGGAAAATTAAGTGAAATTGGTTATAAAATTAACGTTGTCAACAATTTAGCTTCAGAATAATGGAATAAACTCTAGCAAACTGATTCTAATGTGCCTTCTATGATGAGACTCTATGCCAAATTTATGATAGAAATTTTAAACGATAAAGAAGGAGGAGAGTAAATCTTACTGAGACTTGGAGATATGAATTCAAGAAATAGTAACAAAAAAGGAAGCGCTTTAATAGATTTATCTTCTGAAAGTAAACCTACTATTTTTATTTCAGCTGAAGATGACTCTTTTGGCATCATAACAAATATCAATTTAGCTGCCTCTGGACAGTTAGGTTACAACAAAATGGAAATTTTGAATCGTAATGTGAAAGTAAGAATTTTTATAACAATAAAATAAAATATAAAAAACCAATAAATTTTTAAATTTCCAAAAATAGGTTCTTATGCCTCAAATGTATTCCAAATATCATGATAATTTTTTAGAAACATACTTATCAACGCTTGAACCTAGAATTTTAAACAATGAGAGATTGTTACCAGGGAAGAATAAACTAGATTACCTTGTCCCACTTTAAGCACTAGTGAGGCATGTTCCTTCCTTGATTCACGGCTTACAGTTTGTTGCTCAATTTAAAATATAAAAAACTGTCAATTTAGTAAAGATTTTTTCATTATCTATTGAAAATATTTGATTAAATTCTTAATAAAAATAGTACACCTATTTGTTGATAGACACTGAAGGGAAAATACAGAATCTGACTTCTACCTGCATCAGTATTCTTTCAGTAGATTAGAAAAGAGTTTTGAAGAAAAAAATGAATATAGTAGATGCTATCCCTGATTTCTGGGACAAACTCAAAGAATATTAATCAAAAAATGGTGGTCACGCAATTGTTTGTGATCTTAGAAAGAAATCAAAAGAGTTCCCAGCTAATGTTTAAGTTCAAGAAGTCTCATTTAGACTAGTCGGCCACTAAGGCTTTTATGTTAAAATAGAAAAATAAAGATAGGTTAGTAATAAGTCAAATATCGCAGAAACCCTTGCAGGGAAAGATACTAATAATACTCTTGCTAATACGATGAGAACAGATAGGAAAACACTTCTAAAACACTTTTAAGTAAAGTACGATACCTTTAACAAAAAGTATCTAGGAGAATTATGCGAAGGCCCTCCTGTTTACACTAACGATGATTTCGATTAATCTCATATTATAATTTCTCATGATAATTCAGTTATTGGAATGAGCCATATTGATAAAGTTGAAGATCTGAGAACAGCAGAAGAAAAGCTTGATGCAGAGGAGCTTTTGAGTAAAATTTATTATTTTTTATATTTAAATTTAATAACTTTTTTAATTATAAAAAGAACCAAAGTATGGCGCAGGAATCAAGACAGTTAGGCTAATAGATGGTTAGTTAAAAGATATAGAAGATCTTAAAAGAGATGATGGAGAAGATGATGATAATACTGATGATGAAGACAATGGCTAGGGACTTGGGTAAAAAAACGCTGAAGAAGACGAAGCTGAAGATACAAAAGAATTAGGAAATATCTTTAAAAAGAGATCTAATTTCTTATAATTTACTTCAAGCAACTAATTCCTCTATTCAAATTCCATGAAATAACTGCGTTTAATAAGCTATTTGTTCATAATTGTATTATGCAGCATGTGTTTGGTAAATTACATTAATATTAATTTTATTTCTAAGATTATTGGACAACTAACGATTGAATGATTTTTAATTTTATTAAATTAAATTAGCTCAATCATTTCCTTACATCTAACTCCTTTGACGAATGTAATACTAGATACAATTTATTAAATTAAAATAATTTGATGGCTGCAGAAGGACAGAGAATTCTAATGAAAATAACTTAAATGTGCTCATTAAACCAAAAACTAATAATTGTAAACGATCCCACTGATTATTTTACATCGTTGCAAACAGATTTAAGTGCAAGTTATGATTCTATGTCTACTATTTAAACTCAGCTATCATAGGTTACTTTAGATTTAACTGCTTAGCACAAAAATATGTTGACAAATAATGTGATAGCCATTAAAAGTAAAAATAGTGATGGTTCCATTCAAACAGATATGTACAATTTCAATGACGTTACTCGTTAGCTACTCTCAGTAGTAAATACACTGCAGTCTGCTCCCATCTCTAAATTTAGCTTTTTAGATGAAGACATTTATAAAATTTAGTAAAATAGTTTATTGTTAAATTTTATTAAAATGTTTTTCTTTTGATTATAAATTATTTATGCATTATTTATTTATCAAATATTAAATTTTATAGATATAATTTCTTAAATGACTACTACATTGCTTAGACTTAAATATCAAACTACTTTGTCACAGAGCTTGACAACTGGGCAAATAACAAGAGTAATCTATTCTTAGTTCTTCTCATTTTATCCATCATGCTCATTCTAGTTTTGCTTTTAATAATTCTACCATTCTACTTCTGGGTGACAAAATCACAAAAAGAAGTATTGACAATATTTTTAGAAATCCCAACTCCTAAAGTTAAAAAGCTGTTTTAAAAATGTGAAAATTTTGTTAATCAAATGCAATCTGGAAATGATGAAGAAATGTTTAGCGATACCTCTCTACAAAGTAATCACGGAGAAGAAGATGCCATGTTCTTGAGATCAAAGGGTAAAAAACGTAGAAAATTCAAAATAGATTTAAAAAATAGAAATAATTTCTTTATTCCCTTTATACTTTGTGTTCTTTTCTTTGAAGCATATTTCATAGCAACATACTTTGTAAGCACTTAACTGGCAAATAGTGTTCAATAATTTGTTTAAGAAATGAATACAACAACCATGTCTGAGAGATATTATTCTTATGCCTTAAATGTTTAAGTAGAATTATTGATCGATCCTTTATTCACTGCTAACTTAGGTACATCTCATGATTATTTAACATAAGCTGTCAATGGTATGTATAACTTAAATTCGGATGTTTAACGTGAGCACAGTAATAACATCAACGCATTAGATGCTTCTTATGTTTCTTAGTACTAAAATATTATGTTCACTAATCAAACTTGCCAAATACTAACTGACGCGCGTATCGCTTCAACTCAGTCATGTGAAAATTTTGCAGAAGGTACTATCATGTAAGGCTTAAGTCTCTCATTACCAAGATATATAGAGAATTTCAGATATGTAACATCTTAATATGAAGATATCCTGAAAAATACAACTGATCAGACCAAAATATTAAATTATTTGAATTAACAAATTAATGGAACTCACATATAAGAAATGTATGATATGCAAGATTTATATGTGCGTGGTTTGTTTGAAAGTTTAGTTAATGTATTCCTAAGTAGCTTATCAACGACTCTAAATTCATCATAGGGCACAAGAGTAACACTGCTTATAATTGGACTTATTGTTTAAGTTTTACTTTACCTTTTCTTCTGGTTACCTGTCTTAGCAGCTCTAAGCAGAGAAGTTGTACGTATTCGTTCTATGATTACAATGATTCCTTTAGAAATATGCTAGCAAACTAGGCTTATTAGAGAACTAATTTAAAACTATGCAAATATAAATTCAAGCATTTAAGATTGATTTAACATAAAATAAAAATTTTTAACAATTATAAAATAATTTAGTAGTCAGAGTTTATTCATTTCTTCATATTTTGTATAATAATTAATTGAAATCATTTCTTTCTATTAACTTTTAATTTTTAGTCAACAGTTAATTGAAGTTGATCAAAATAATTTATTCATTATTTCTTTGTTTCTTGTTTTTTTACTACGGACGTACTTAATTAGTCAAATCAATATTTATTTTATTTAAATCATAAAATTTATTTTAATTAATTCTAATAAAATTTGCATGAAATCATACTTTTATACTTAATTATAGGTTGGTAGAAAATTTTTCTTAAAGAAAACAATTGAATTAATTTAATATTTCATTAAGATGAATTATTAGTAAGGTGGTAAAAAATTAAAAATAAAATTTTCCTCTCCTCTTTACAAGAAAAGAGCCTATGATATATATTTATAATAAAAAAAATCTACCTTTTTTAATGTTTAAAATAAAATTATATATAGATTTTGTTTCCTTATAATAAATACTAAAGGAGTTAATTTAATGTAAAGTTAGTTATACATTTTTTATTATTTTAATTTTTAAAAATGAAATATTTAACTTCATTTTACATTTAATTTTAACTATGCAAAAATTCTTTTCTATTTGTTATAATAAATTTTTTTTATTATTTTTAAAAGCTAAATAAAAACAACTAGTTTACAATTCTTTTAAATTTTATTAGAAAATTTTTTAATTTTATAAAAATAATTATAATATGAAGGTAATAAATTTCTTTCAAACATATATATCTTTTTGGAAAATTGGTAATTGGTTGTAAAATAATTACGAAACATAGATAAATATAAGATGTGTAAGAATAGAATAATATTTATAAACTAATCATTTTCTAAATTCTCAATAATTAATAAAGAGGGTTAGATAGAACAAAGAACACTTTCGAAGCAATTTTCAATAAAATCACTCTTAAGGATGAATAGTCTATGTAAAGATTCTTATTTATTTATTTAGTTAGTTAGTTAGTTTTGGTGTGTATGATTTTATGTTGATAGTTAAACAAATTTTGTTTTTGTTTAGTATATATATTAAAAGTATATCTAATAGATTAAAGTGAGCCATTAAAGATTATGAAAGCAAAAAGATATAGAAAGAAAGAATAAAAGATATTTTTAAGAGGCTCTTTATATAAATTCTGTAATTTAATGTTTTTTAAAAGAATTTATAAGATTTATCTTTTGACAAGAAATTTATTGCTTAATCTGTAAAGCACATTAAGATAGTCATATATTTTATTTTCAGTTAATCTATTGTATATCTTAATCAATATCCAAAGCAGCATTTTCAATCTATATTTGTTTATTCCAGCCTGTATTTTTTAAATAATTAATAATTGTTAAAGTTTTATTTAAATTTTAATTATTACGATCCCATAGCTCTAAGAAATAGTCAAGCATTGAAGTAGATGCTATGATAAGAATGTTACCAATATGCAAATTAGGAGATTTAATAAAGCTTATTATTTTTAAACATTCTTAATTATACAAATTTATTTACTAAAAAAATGTCTTACTCACTAAAAAGCCCATGAATAGATGAAAAGGTGAATGAAGATGAAATTACTACTAAAGTTAATAAATAAAATGCCATTGAGCCAAAATTAATAATTAAGCTTCCTAAGCTATGCTCATATGAAATTATCAAAACTTTCAAATTTGCATTGACCACAGCCATACCAAATACCATTGTACCTGAATCCCAGAATCCAAGTGTTTTACCTTTTGAATCAGAGAATGAAAACTCTAAACTTTGATAGCTTTTGTTAAGTAACAATAAATAAATAAACAAACAAACAATCAAAAATAATAAATAAGTAAGTAAATAAAATATAAAATTGGATGCAATCAAAGAGTGATAAATAAAATTTATATTTGCAAATATTTAAAAACTATAGAAAAAATAATTGGAATTTATTAAGTTTAAATTTTAGGAAAAAAAATATAAAAGTTTGGAATTGAAATAAATTTAGTTGATTTAAAAAACTTACCTGAAAAAGGCTAATATTACTGATTAGCAAACACCGCTGAAGAACCAAGCCCAGAAAACTTGTGTGTTAAAGAGTTAATCTATTAATAATTTAATTAGGAATATTAGTTAAAATAAAGATGAATGTATTTATGTATTTATTACGCTTTAGACCCTATAAGTAGTAATTCTTTTTGTTTTCTAAAAGCACCTTGTAATCAAATTCATAGTCATAAACCTAAGATTAATTAGTTAATTGTGATGAATATTTCATTTAGAGAGAAATTTATCAAGAAAAATCTTACTGCATAAATTATAATTGGGAGAGATGCATAAAATACGTTGAAAAGCTAATAGATATAACTATCATATAAGGTTTGTCCAGAGAAATTATTATAGAACGAGTAGAAGAATTATGGTAAGACCAGCACTATGTTCTTGTAAAAATTGTAGCAAACTAACTTAGAATTTCTTCTGTATGACTCTCTTCCATGGAAAAATAGGAGATTTCTTAATATTTTAAATTCACCAATAGAATAGTCACTCGCTCTTGCAGCCTTTGATTATTTTTAATATTGAAAGCATTAATAAAAAATTGATTTATTTAATTATAATTAATTTACTTGTTAGCCTTCTAAACCTTTAATACCAACACCGACATGTGCTGCACAAATCATATTTACATCATTAGCTCCATCACCTATTGCCAATGTTGAAACATTTGGCTTATTATCTCTTACAAGACTTACAATTTATTGCTTTTATTTTGGAGAAACTCTGCAGCACAAGACTGATGTGCAATTATTTGTTATTGTTAGCAGAAGGGTCTTTGGTCCTTCAACCATTGCATGCACCAAAGCTTCACCAGTAATGATAAAAGCATTATTGTCTTTTACTTTATTTTGATCATCAACATTTGTTTCTATCTATTTTTTTATATTACGGAGCTATTTAAGGATATCAGCTTTTATTATTTCTTCAGGTTTGTCTTCTACATCTTTTCTTAATTTAACAATGTGCTAATTTAAATCATGAGATAGAAGTTTGCAAGAAAAACCAATATTGATTGCTGTTTCTACTTTATCACCAGTTAATACCCAAACCTAAAATTATGTAAATTATTAATTTTTTTAAGTTCTTTTTTTTCTTAAATATATTATTTATTACCTTAATTCCTGCACTCTTCAAAGCATGAATAGTCTATCCAACTTAATCCTATAGCTTATCTTCAATGGCAGTAGCTCCCACTAAAATTAAATCCTTTTCTAAAAGAGCTTGGACTTCTGTCATTCTTTCTTCTCTGTTTTCTATAGTTGTGCATGCTTCATGATACTATTTTGACCAACTCTAATACTCTTCATTTGAAATTTCTTTTTCACACAATAAAAGAGTTCTAAGACCTATATTACCATAGTCATCTAAATTCTTTTCAGTCTCTTAGATTTTAACAGATTTTTATTTATCCATGAGAGAAAATAGAACGGAATCAGCACCTTTAGTGTACAAGTAATACTTATTAGTTTTTAAATCTTAAATGACAACGGACTATCTCTTTCTAGTAGAATCAAAATCAAAAACATGCAATTGTTTAACCTGTCTGTTTTCTCCTTTAAAGGTATAAATTAAATTCTGTTACTCATCTATTCCTTTATATTCAACTCCACAATACTTTGCAAAATTTACTAAAGCAAGTTCATCAGGAGAAGCTGCCTAAAATTAAAAGTAAAATTAAATTTTAAATAATTGATGCAATAGTATGTATGTACATTGTAAATAATTTCTTTTTTCCCATTTTCTTCCTTTTCTTCAGTAATGACTGTGTGAGTTAAAGCTAGGATTTCTAATGTTTTCCTAAATTACAAAAAATTTATTTAAAAATCCTTCTTTTTTTAATTAATTTTTATCATTTTTTTACTTAATTTTCAAATATTCAGGGTGACTTTCATTTTTAAATGCAGTAAAGAAAGATTGATCTCTAAAATCAACATTTGTAACTTTTGGGAATGCTGAGATATCCTCCATATAATTTGGATGTTCTCTTTCTTATGGTTCACCTTTTTATAATTTAAAAAATTAATAAATTTTATTTAAAATATATAAAATAATATTTTTTATTTAAAAAAACATACAAATTATATAAATAAATTCTTTCTCTAATTTAAGAATGAATTGATAATAAATAAATAAATGTAGTTAGTATGCTTATTTACCGTATGAAATACCATTGATTGAAATCTTTTTAAATTCCATAATGTTACAAGTTAATGTTCCTGTTTTGTCTGAGAATATATATTCGATTTATCCCAATTCTTCATTTAAATTTGAGCTTTATACACTTGTAGGAGTGATTACGGTTTCCCCTTTTTCATCTACGCAAGTATAAACCATTTATTCATCTAAATTGATGATGATAGCTTAGAAGAATTTAACCATTTCTAATGTAACAAGCAGTGCTATTTAGTGATTAAAATATTTATAATTAAATAAACACCTTTTTTGTTTGTTTCATTAATAAATTACATATTGGGACAAAGTTATTGAAGATGAGAATCCAATTGCCAAATCTTACAAAGAAGTTGTAGTAATCACTATTATCTTCAACCTAATTATAGTATAAATCAGATTATGAAAAAAACAAGTATGTGTATTAAATAAATTTACTTAGTTCTAATTAATAGCCAAATAAGGAAGATAGCTAGCATTCGAATTGTACCAGATCATATAATAAAGTGAGCAAAAGAAGCACAGTACTATTTGTACTACAAAAATCAAAATAATTTGATTACCCATAGTCTTTTCAAGATGACTCTTTTTTGCTCTAGCATTAAAATTGTTTTTCATAATTTTGGTATCATGTCCAGTGTAAGAAACTAAACCTAAAACCCATTTTGTATTTTTTAATTTGCAGCCTCTGAGTAAGAAATTATTTATATCAATTGAAGCTTGAATTCCTGTAAAAGAGCAAGTTCCTTTAAATTTGTGTAGGAGAGGATTTGGTAATTCATAGGAAAAGACTATAGTTCTATCATTTGCTTACTTTAAAAATAAATATTAATAATTAATAACTCGAAAATGATAATTAATAATAACAAAATATCCTTTAATAAATTGTTAAAATATTCTAAAAATAGCTTAATAGAATCTTTACTTTATATTAAGGTCCATAATATTAGTAAAGATCTTTATGTGCGTTACGTTGTTTTAAATTAGTCTCACCATCTAGAGATTTTGTTTCGATGTAGCAAAGACCTTTAGGTTCAGAGGTGGTTAAAACTAAGATATCAGCAGGAAGGAAATCTTTATCTTCAACCTTTTTTAAATATGATAACGAATAAAGTAAAGAATTAATCTCTGTCATATATTTTAAGTTAAGAATTCTTATAAATTCTTAAAAATATTAAAAATCAAGCTAATTTTAAGAGGAAAAAAAATTAATCAATTTTTGAGTACTAGAAAAAGCTTTTTTCATTTTTGGAAATTTGTATTTTTTGTTAATAAACTTTTTTTTTGTGTGATTTTATGAAGGGTATTTTGAGCTTTATTCTTATTTTATGAAATAATTCAAAATATTTTATGAAAACTGCTTCGAACGAATTACTGTAAATTTTTTTCTCTTGTAAGGATAAATTAATCAAATTTGATTAATTGATCGAATTTATTTTATTTTTAAATTTATTCATCTAAATGCATTATTTTATTTATTTATTGACTTATTAATTTTCGTTTAATTAAAAATTCAAACAAGTAATCTTCTCTAACTTAATAAATAATTCACTAGCTCGCTAACTAACTAACTAAATAAATAAATAACTAACTAGCTTTCTATTTATAAAAATAACTTAATAAATAGCTTTTAATTTTTACCAAAATGACATCTCCAACATAAAGCTTTGCCCATTCGACCTCCACAAACATATTGTTTTGTATATCCCATTTCTTTGTTTTACGCTATTTTATAAAATTATATTAGTTAATTATTATTCATGAAAATAATTTTGGTTAGTATCTTTTTAATTAAGCTTTAATAAAATGCCAAACACTAAGCAAAATTACAATTTAGAGAGCATTTTATTCGAAAAATGCTTTTAATTCTCAATAAAATTTAAAAAAAAATAGAATGACTATTTATGTAAATTTTTTATTGAGAAGTTAGCTCAAATAATTTATTATCTTGTAGAGGTTTTAATAGTGTTTTTTAGTTTTATTTACATGAAAGTCTATACTTATTATTTAAGGTATTGTAAATAAGCCATTTCTTTGTTAAATTACTTATTTTAATGCTTTTTTATAATACACTTCTTATAATTTTGTTCATTTAAATTGTCTCTTTAAATTAATTGAAGTTTTCCATTCTATTATTGCTAAGTAAATGGAACTACGTTTGCTCATTGCTAATTAATACCAACTACTAAATAATGATATATAATTAATTATTACATTATTCTCTTCATTATCAGATTTATGACGTTTATAATCTTCATAGAAATCCTTTGCTGCAGTAACTACAAGAATGACAAAGAGCGGCAAGAAAATTGTAGGAATACCTTCAGAAATTGAAATTTATGGAATAATTTAAAAGAACCCAATAACCTATTTATTGTTAATAAATGTAAGATGATATATGATGTAAATATAAAATTTAAATTCGAATAAATTAATCATCTCTCATCTTATTCATTCAAAACACCTGCAAATGGCTGTATAGCACACGTTATCCTACACATTTTAGCTTTCTAAAAAGGTATTTTAGATGTTTTTTGTTGATATATTTTTTTTTTTTTACTTTTTTTTTGCTGTTGGCTTCAGGTTTCTCCTGATAAAAAACGAAACTAGAGTAATATACTAAAGAAGTATTAAAAAATAATAGGAGTTAAAGTGCCTTTAATTAAAATAATGAATAAAAAAAGGTTTATTCAAGTAGAAATGAGTGAGTAAGGAGAGAGCCTAATAAAAAACAGTAAGAAAAAGGAATATGCATACTAAGAAATACAGATTTGCTATCTTAGAAAATTGCTCAATCAAATTTTTAGGCACAAAGTTAAAGTAATTGTATTTGCTAGTTGAAATCGAATTGTCGCATAAATTTTTATCAATTCTCATTGAAGTGATCTATCTATTTTTGATTTATTCCCTTCCTAATTTGCGTCGCTTCTTTTCTGGAATAAGTACATTTTCATATTCGTAGTCGTACCCAAAACCTTTCTTGGATACATTTATGTAGTTTTTGCTCATCTAATTCCTCTGCCTTAGCACTTTAGCGTTTATTCAGCTACTTATGCTCTTTTCTTAGAAAATAATATTAAACAATAATTAGTTGTTTTTGTTTATTTTTTTTTTATTCAGTCAATTAATAATTAATTGCAATAGCTATTTTATTCCCTAAACTAAAAACCTTTTTCTTTCTTTGTTTCTTTATCTATTTATTTATTTTTTTTGCTTTTTAATTAGTGGTTGGTCAAAGCAATCTTTCGGAGTTAATTTCAATTAATTATTAATATTATATCTAATAATTTTTTGGCTTTTTATTTTATTTTCATTTTTTTCTTCTCCTTTTCTTCGTGATCTTATTTATTTATTAATTGACTTCCTAACTTATTCATTCAGTCTGTAGTCTTTATAATTAGTTTATTTGAGTTTCACTATATTTTCTTAATTTTTAGATCAATTTCATTCATCTAGTCAAAACCAAATGTTGTTAATTTTATAATCTTCGTCTTAAATTAACTTTAAAAAATTTTAAATTAATCATGCATTGAACAGAGAGACATACAGATAGACCTACTAGCTTTAATTGTAGTGAATCAAGTAGTCACATTCAATTTTTTACAATAGTAATAAAATTGATAATTTTATAATCTTAAATATAAAAATAATAATAATAATAATAATAATAATAGATAGAGACTTCATTATTTCATAGTAATCACATAAAACTAAATTCGATTTAATTATTTCTTATTTAAAAAATAATTTAGAATAATGAGTTGTATTTTTGATAAAATATGATTTCGAGTTACTTGATATTAGATGCTTACAATATATTAAATGTGTCAATTAAAATGTATTTATTTGATTTAGGACTATACATAATATTTTTGCATTGAAATAAGATCTATTTGTCTATTTTAGTTATTATATTAGTATTTAATTCATCTAAAATTTTAGTAAGCTATTTTTTTAAATTCATTCGATCCCGATTAGTGATTTAAATAAATTATAGAAAAAAATAATCAGCAAGCGACCATATTTTTTTAACATGGATAAAATTTTTTATTTATAAATCTTATTTTTCAAATACTAAATAAGGAATTTTTTAATATTATCACTTAAAATGAAGAATAATACTATTTATAATAAATAATTTTTTGAAGTTTTTCATTTGATTTTAATTGATTTGAAGAAAGTTATGTCTTCAATTCATTTGAATATATTCTCATAATTAATTTTGAATATGAGTTTCTAGAAATTTAAAAGATTAAAAGTCTTTAAAAAACAAAAAAATGAAGTTACTAAAAATTAATTTTTAAATAAAATTCAATTCTTCAAATAAAGCAAAGAGATATTTATAAGCTCAAAATTAAAAAAATCAATCAAAATTTTAATTAATTTGTCTAATTTTAAAAAATCACTGAATTGAAAATTTAAAGAAATGAGTAATAAGCTAAAAAGCAAAATAATTTTTTACAAGATTATTTGTAGATTTATTTATTTTTTATTAAATTGATGGGGTTGGGGTTGGGGTTGGGGTTGGGGTTGGGGTTGGGGTTGGGGTTGGGGTTGGGGTTGGGGTTGGGGTTGGGGTTGGGGTTGGGGTTGGGGTTGGGGTTGGGGTTGGGGTTGGGGTTGGGGTTGGGGTTGGGGTTGGGGTTGGGGTTGGGGTTGGGGTTGGGGTTGGGGTTGGGGTTGGGGTTGGGGTTGGGGTTGGGGTTGGGGTTGGGGTTGGGGTTGGGGTTGGGGTTGGGGTTGGGGTTGGGGTTGGGGTTGGGGTTGGGGTTGGGGTTGGGGT